GGTAAATCAGGAAGACAAACTGTATAACTAACAATTAAGATAACATTTGCCTAGTTAAACCAACTCAACTCAATAAAAACGGAATTGAAGTGAATGGGTAGCACAGTGCCGAGGGAATTTTAGTTGTGAAAATAGCTAGACACAATCACGTGCCAAGCACCAACTTCCTGAAGAGAAAACAACAAGGAAAAACACAGAACGGTGGAAGTTACGAGCAGCTCAAACGCACAGCAAAATAAAACTAAAAGGTTGGGGGCTATGCCACCGAGTAAATTTATGCACACGTTAAGCAGCTCATAACGGGTAACTTAAAAGCCAACTAAAGATTCACAATGGGTGGAAAATGGCGACGGCGACGGCGACACTTTCTACCTCGAGGAGCACTCGAGTGGGCCATGAAAACGGAATTCATTTAAATTTATGAAGCATAGAATTTCATTTGGATCAGGGGCTAAAGTTCCTGCCACTTGGCCAAATTGTTTATGGGCTTATTACGGCTCCTCCCTTCGATAAAGCACTAAATCAAATCTATGGGGAATAATCTAGAAAAGCCATCAAAGAGGGATACAAAACATAACCAAAGTGGATCATTAAAACTAAGTCCATAGAGAAAGAAAATAAAATAATATTTTATTAAAAATCTATTTAAAATATACAGCATCCCTTTTTCTATTTGTAGAAAAAAATCGAAAAAAAAATGCTTTGTTTTAGAATTTGTTATGCTATGAAAAGCTATGAAAAAAAAAAGTAATCCAGTCCCAAAATTACTTAATAATTAAAATAAAATTAAATTTTACAAAAATCTCTAAATAAATATATATTTTTTCGTAGTGCACCATTGTGGTTTCATAGTGCATTTCTTTGGTTGATTAACTTTGTTTTTGCCAAGCACTTAGTGGCAAGTTGCGTGTTTGTTTGCCGCAGTCCAAAATGCAGTAATGTTGCATGCAACCAGGAGAGAAGCGGGGCAAGATAGTTGGGGTCTGTGGCAGGGTCATCTCACATAGCTAAGCCCCACTGCATGACATCTGCGGTGAACGGGGGTTTGGGAAACGAAGGCGGCTTAGACACATGTAAATCACATTGGATCCCTCGAGCTCGCCTGCCAGTTAGAGCCGCAAAAATGAAAGCCTTTCAAATGTGGATGCACCTGAGTTGGGGATTTGGCCAGCTGCACAAGAAATACCATCCAAATTTATTCTCTGCTTTGTTGTGGCGAAATTAGCTTGGAAAACAGAATAAATATTCATGGATTATTTCGGAGTGCCCAACTAATTGCTGAAACAGAAATGTCATTATTTATCCTTCTGAATAATTGATGGTCGTAAATAAAGCGTCAAAATCACTTTACAGAGCATGATGATAAAGTGGGCTAAATAAATTTAAATTGAATTAATCGACATTGATAATTACGAATTATTCTGCACAATTTAAACTTTAACTTAAATTTAATATAAGTCGAATAAAAAATTCATATATACCCGTTGCTATCAGCAAGTTATGAGCTACCAATTAGGCAGAAGCCACAGGACGAGCAGCAAAAAGCAAATGACTTCCGGATACCAAAGTCAAACTTTTCCCTGAGGCGGTCTTATGAGTAAGGGAGGGGCACTCCTGACAGCGAAGGGAATTCCATGAACAGGAACAACACATAATCAATAAAAAGTCGAGCGGAGAACGGAACACGCAGCACAAAAACAAAATAAAAGGACTCAACTGAGAACGGAACCTATGAAAGAAACAGAAACAAATGCTAGTTTATCATGGATTGGACTATCAGCTACCCTGTTTAAATAAACAATAGTCAATAAATAGACAATAAATTGACTGATACTTGTTTAATGTGTGGAGAAGAAACAAAATGCTAATGTAAATAAAAAACAATTTTGCTAAAAACTCTTAGTAAAAAGTGTTTATCTAAACTGTATATCTAAAAAAATTATAAACGTATTTTATAAATTTTTTAATTTATTTACCATAAAAATATTTATCTTTTTTAATCAAAACAAACTTATATGCTCACCAGCTCCCGACATTTTATAGGGAAACCCATAAAAGAGAACCACTCAGTCTGTGGCTTTTTATTTGTGGGCTGTTTCACGTTTTCGTTGTTTTTTTCAGCTTCGGAAACATTTTCGATTTCATTTTCACTTGCCATTAATTGGTCGAGCCGTGAGGAACTTTCAGCGGGCATTGGAGAGAAAAGCGTTTTTCCACACATGAAATATATACAATGCAATAAATATTTGATTAATCAACAAAAAAAGAGAAGAAAAGTGGCACACCGGTCGCTCCGTCCCACATGGCGAATACGCAACAAGTGACGAGCACGAGCTTTTCACAGCGCTTCGATGGCGGCTCTTGCGGCTCTGACTGTAAAATTTCATACGGTTAACAAAGTTAATGAAAATTGCTCGCCCAGCGAACGATGAGCGATCTGACATCGACCACATCGTCTTGTCAGCAGTCGCGTCGGCGGAAAAGCGGAAAAGCTCTCCAAGTGCCAGTTGATTTCTTGTCGCGTCGCAGGCCAAACGTTTTCATTTTTCGTATGATTTTTATATATACGTACCTTTGTGAGACATAAAAAGAGCGTGTGAATATTGGAAAAATATTAATGTCCCCTCATCAACGATAAGGTGTATTAATCGCTCTATTGATTAACCGCCAGATGACTCATAAATCTTCATAATGTTCGTTAGAATGTCGTGCGTATGGCAGACCTACGTGAAATTAAACTAATTAGAATATTACGCATACGCCACCGAATGCAAACAGAAATTCGCTAAAACGACAAAGGTGTCACTGTGTCCTGTGTTCGTTCGTTCGTGTTTGTGCTTCTGGCCACCTGAAACCAGTCGAAACTGGTTGGTCAATCGGCCAAGAGCCATAAATGTGGGCCAAATAAAAATGCAAAATAAAATGTCACATTCATGAGATAAATATCATATTGAATACATATTTGTGGAGCAAAAAAGCCAGTGCTCAAAGTGCCAATTGTATCGCTAAAATGGTGAAAATACTATACAAAGAGTGTAATTAAAAATTGGAAAACAATTTAAAGCTCATAAAAATTGCAATTGTTTATAGTTGTTACGAAAATTGATTTTCTAAAAACATGTGCAAATAAATTGACATCGTTTTTGCCACAACATTTAGAACAAGCGGAAAAAATCCAAACGAATCGTACAAATTTTGGGAAAATGTGTATAAATTCAAACTAGAATCGTATTAATATAACATTTCAGCATTTAGCTTGTTTATCTCTAGCAAAAAACCGGGCTCATGTATCTATATGTATGTATGGCTATACTCAGATCCTGCACGAAACCCAAATCATTCTCGAAAACAAAACCACAGATAAATACACAAAACACAGCGCAATTGTAGATTAGAATTACAGCCAAGGTCAAGGGCCGTATACCCCCCTTGACCTAGTACAAAAACAAAGAAACCAACCAAGCACGCGCAGCTCCCGGCTCTACAAGAAAATCTAATTTTATAATTTTCTTTGCTCTTTTTCTTGTTTGGTTTTGTATTTTGGCAAAGCACAGAACGCAAAATTTTTATGTCATTAGCTTGAGTATTTTTGGCCAGAAAATGAAGCGAAATTTTCTATCTTGGGTGTTGGGGCTATCATTTCTCACACTTGTCTTGGCTTCTTGATTATTTTGCTGCTGTTTATTTTGATATGTGTGTGCTTCTGTGGTCCTCATTTAATGATGGACATTATTGCTGTAACCGGGCTCGTTAAAAGAATTAATTATAGTTGGCCCAGCCACTTGAAAGTGTTGTAAAAATGTTTACGATCCATTCCGTTGTTGCTCTCCATTTGATTTGCGCTTTAGTTGATGGCCTGCGTGATTGACTTAGTTAATGACTTTAGGAGGGGCGTCATATAAGGTGCCGAAGGCAATGCCCAAGTGGCTGCGAAAGGAATTATGGATTTAAATAATGCATTTTGGCAGTTTAGCCACTTGCACCACGGGGCGGATGAGTGATCTGACGATTGGCTTTGGGGAAATCATTTCAGCAAGACGGTTTGCCACAAACTTTATGGGGTTAATAATTTTTTGAATTATTGCTAGCTATTTAAGATTTTTATTTGGAATTCTTAATCTGATTTTGATGGGAAATAATATTTTTTTTAATTACTGCAAAATTAGATTAAAATTATGAGTCATAGCCACAGATTGTTTGAGAGCACTAAATGCATAATCTTTCTATCTGAGTTTCTGGAATTCATAAAATATTATGATTATTGGGCGAATGAAATAATATTTTTGGAATAAGTAGGGTAATAATTTTCGGAATTATTGCCAGCTGTTAAAGATTTGATTTTAATTATAAGATTAAGCTTGCATAAAGTTTGTTTTGGAAATACCAAATATTCCATTAATTTCGCTTCGATTGCCTTTTGCTGACTTTTCCAAAATAATTAAATTGGGTTTTCCGAGTTTAATGCTTCATTTAAGCCGGCAGGCTGTTTATAAATTGCCCCGGCACGTTGTTAGCTAAGCACTTTTCAATTTGTTCCCGCCCACCTATCCCGCCACGCCCCTTCGCTGTTCCAACGGAGCAGCTGTCTAAATTTATCGCACCAAGGCAATCAATAAGCGACCATAAAACTAATTGCGCCGTGTCTTGAACTAATTAAACTGGCACAAACACACTGTAGTAATTGCCAGGCATTTGGAATTTTATTTTTCCTTATTTCCCCCTTTTTTATTTTTTTTATTTGCGCTTCTTAGGGGGAAACTTGAGCACGAGTTCGCGTATCCTGCAAGTGAGCTAGGTTCGGTACGGTACGGTTCGGTTCAGTTGGGCTAAGTAATTTTGAGCCGGAAACTGGCAATTTCCGCTTGACGTTGCCACACTCGCGCCCACTTGCACACACTTTTATGTACTTGTGTACGTTCACTTAGCCCCCGAAAGCCATTTGTTGAACTAATAAGCTTTTTTATTAGTTAATGCAAACGAAAATAAGAAAATTGGGTTGGTTTATGCTTGTTAACAATTTATTATCGAAAGAGTACAGCAGGCGAGACGAGAATGCGTTTTATGGCGAGATCAGAATTCATACTGAATTTACGAAGGGCCAGCCAGCCGAATGCTGGGCCCAAAATGCAAGCATACAACAAATGGGAGAGATAAATAGAGAGAGATGCCTTTCGTGATGCAATTGATATAAGAGTACGGATTTACAAGTTAATTAGCTGCTGCGGCTGCGTGACCCGACATACTCCCCCCGTTGGAAGCCTGGGTTTCAACATCATCCTTAAGGGGCAGCAGACATAGCTTGTTCACTGCTCGCTTTGTCACTCCTGACGCTGTCTTCAGAACGGCAACTCGAGCAACGCCATCTCCACCGAACAGCAGCTCAATCACTCTGGCGAGGGGCCACTTCATGGGAGGCAAGTTTTCGTCCTTGACCAGAACTAAGTCATCGACAACCAGGCCCGGTTTGGGGGTGCGCCACTTGGAGCGCTGCTGCAGAAGTGTTAGGTATTCTTCCTTCCATCGGGACCAAAAGATCTGCTGCAAGTAGGCCACGCGTTGCCATCCATCCAAGCGATTGAAGTTGAGACTGGTCACATCTGGCTCGACGAAAGATGAAGGCGGACCACCATTCAAAAAATGTGCTGGGGTTAACACATCCAGATCAGCGGGGTTTTCTGAAATCGAGACTAATGGTCGAGAATTAACAACCGCCGAAATGTGACACACCAAGGTCCGCAACTCCTCAAAGGCTAAAACAGCAGTGCCAACAACGCGGTAAAAATGATGCTTAGCGATCTTCACAGCCGCTTCCCAAAGACCGCCAAAGTGAGGCGACCTAGGAGGAATGAAACACCAATCAATGGCCTCCGCCAGGCAAAAGTCCAATGTAGCTTTCTGATGATCATTGCTGAGGAATAGGCGCCTTAGTTCGAGCAATTCATTGCGAGCGCCGACAAAGTTTGTTGCATTATCAGACCAAATCTGCCGTGGCTTTCTTCTAGTGCATATAAATCGTTTAAGGCCATGTAGAAATGACACTGTAGAGAGATCCTTAATCAACTCCAAATGAATAGCTTTTGTGGCGAAACAAATGAAGACACAAACGTAGCATTTTACTGGAGGCTTACTTCGCACTTCTGACTTGTAGAGAAATGGTCCGCAAAAGTCAATGCCAGTGACTTCGAATGCATGAGATCCATCGAGTCGTTCCTTTGGAAGATCCGCCATTATATGCTCCACTAGTCGAGGCTTCATTCGATAGCATCTAATACATTTGTTTACTGCCTTCATCACCGTCTTCCTCCCCCCAATAGGCCAATATTGGGATCGAATTATGCCGAGTAGCGCCCGTGGTCCAGTGTGCAGATTGCTTTCGTGAAAGTGAGTAATAATGGCAGCAGTGACCGAATGACTCCGTGGTAAAATAATTGGATGGCGCCCATTAAAATCCAGCGAAGAATTCTTTAGCCGGCCGTCCACTCTAAGAATCCCAAATTGATCAACAAATGGCGAAAGAGATGCGATAGAGCTGGATGGGTGCACCAATCCCTTTGACTGCAACGATTTGATGTCGTCCCATAAATGTGAGCGCTGGACCAGACGAAGCAACAGCCGAGTACCGCCTTGAAGGTCAGACACCGTGAGCGTAGGGCGACGGATGCGATTACTAAACTTGTAGACGTATCCGAAAACTCTTTGAAGGGCGGCGAAGGAATTGGCAAATTTTGAATTAGCCACTATGTCTTCGTATGGAGATTTTATTAGTAAAATCTTTCGGCGAACCTCAAGCGTTGGTCTTTCAGCAATGATTGGGGCCGGCCAGTCAGCTTTGGGGCCACAAAGGAATTTTGGTCCATGCGCCCACAAAGGAGAGTCATTAAGCTCAGCAGGAAAAGCACCTCGGGAGAGAATGTCAGCTGGATTTAAAGAAGTTGGAACATATCGCCACTCTACTGACTCAGTTAGCTCTTGAATGGCAGCTACTCGGTTCGCTACAAAAATGTTGAACCTGGAGGGCTCGTCTCGGATCCATGAAAGCGCAACAGCAGAGTCGCTCCAGCAGTATAACTTTCCCTCAAATGCCTTAGTCCCAGCAACTTCCGCGATGAGTCTAGACAGGAGTTCAGCCCCACAAAGCTCCAGCTTGGGCACAGTGAGTGTTTTTAAGGGGGCTACCCTTGACTTTGAGCAAAGCAATTGAGATCGGCCGTTGCAAACGATGTAGACACAGGCACCATATGCTTCTATACTGGCATCACAAAATCCATGAATCTCACTCTCAGAGTTTGGAGAAAGAACCAGCCGAGGAAATGACGCATGCTTAATTTGCCCAAAACTCGTGCATATAGCACTCCATTCCGTATTCTGTGACTCCGGGAGGCTTTCATCCCAAGATAACTTCTCCTTGCACAGTTGTTGAAGGAATATTTTCGATTTTGTGATCACAGGTCCAACCAACCCGAGGGGATCGTAAAATCGCGCTATTGCAGACAGGACAGATCGCCTGCAAGGTCTTGATGCTGACTGTAAGACCGAAAAGGAAAACAGTAATTGGTCAGAAACTGGATCCCAAGCGAGACCTAGGGTTTTTGCAAAATCAGTTCCATCATCAAACTTCAAATAAGACTCCTTATCCTTGTCTGCAACTCCCTCCAAAACAGCTGACACATTCGAGCACCACTTTCTAAGCTTAAATTTTCCCTTGGCTAGAAGTTTTGATGTTTGATCCATAATGATGATTGCTTCTTCCTTGGATTTGGCTCCAGATATCAAATCATCCACATAAAAATCGCGACGAATGACCTCAGCCCCAAGCGGAAACGCTGTATGCTCGTCTGCTGACAGCTGATGCATAGCTCGCACAGCCAGAAATGATGCTGGCTTCGTGCCATAGGTAACGGTGTCTAGCTTAAACACCCGCAATTGATCCTGGGGGGAATCCCTCCACAAAATGCATTGCAAATAGCTGTCCTCAGGCTGAACCCTAACACAGCGGTACATTTTGCAGATGTCTCCTGTGATTGCTACCGGGTGTGAACGAAACCGAAGAAGAATCTGGAACAGCTTATGCTGAATTACAGGGCCTGCCATAAGAACATCGTTGAGAGAATACCCTGAGGAGCTGGCCGCCGATCCATCAAAAACTACGCGGAGCTTAGTGGTGGAGCTATCTTCCTTTATGACGCAATGATGAGGCAAGAAGTATCGGCACAACCCGCTGTCAGAGGCAGACACTGATGACATATGTCCTAGATCGAGGTATTCCTTTATGAATGCTCCATATTGAGCCTTCAAGGCTGGCTGACGATTTAGCTTTCTCTCTAGGGACAAGAATCTTCGATAAGCTTGCTGGTAGGACTCTCCCAAGAGGTCTAGATTGAGCTTGGCAGGTAAACGAACAGAATAATCCCCAGCTGGCAAACGAACAACGTGTCTTACGAAATGTGCTTCACAGTCCAATTCTTCCTTAGTAGCGCGTATGATTGGCTCGGCGCAGCTTTCCACTTCCCAAAATCGTCGAAGAAGATCATCTAACCGATCGAAACTATTCTCCCTGCTAGCGAGGGGTAACTCTTGAGACGACAATAAGGACGAGCCATTGGAGAGGCCATAACCTCCAGAAACAACCCAACCCAGACGAGTCTTTTGAAGTAGGGGTAATCCATGTGGAAGCTTAATTTGGCCAACGCATAACATCTCGTAAAAGAGGCTGGCTCCGATTAAAAGGTCCACCCGCTGGGGAGTATAAAAACTGGGGTCCGCTAACTGAATATTTTTAGGTATTTTCCAATTGCCGATGTCGACATTGAAGCTAGGCTGCCGCTCTGTGATGTTCGGAGCAATCACCGCGGTAATGTTGGCTGAGTAATCGGAAGTTCGGGACCGAACCGTAATATTAACCGAATGACCATCCGTCACAAAACTGGAATCTCCTATTCCAGTAACAGATGCTAAAGATTTTATCTTCTTTACTTGAAGCTGGCTTGCGAATCGGGACGTTATTAGATGCAGCTGGGAGCCAGAGTCGAGTAGAACTCGACAGGGAACGAAAACTCCGGAGCGGTTTTTTACTAATACGCTTGCCGTTGCTAAGAGCACAATATCATTACTAAAATCCTGTGCAATGAGAGCAGTCGAGGTGGAAGGCAGTGCAGATGGTGATGCAGACGGAATTGCTTCTTGAAGAGGTGCTCCTTCTTGTGAAGAAAGGGAAGCTAAGTTTCCCATGTGAAGCAGGGTGTGATGCTTCGATCCGCATGCACGACAATTACTGGAATTGCACTGCCTAACTTGATGACCAACCTTAAGACAATTTATGCAAAGACAGAGCCGTTTTGCTTCTTGAAGCCTATTCGTAGGAGACAGGGCTTTAAAATTCTGGCAATAAGAAATGGAGTGACCTGCATCATTACAGAATATACAGATCCAAGGGTTCGAATTCGAGGCAACAAATGCTGATCTACGCGTATTGGGTATTCTGTTACTTCCCACCTGAATGCCCGGCGCATAGTTTGCCATGGCAAAATCCATCGTCTCCAACGTCCTGCACCGCTGCTCCAGAAATGATGCCATTGACTCCCAAGTAGGAATTAAGTTGACGAAGGCAGGGTCCTCTAAACGCTCTTCCCACTTGGCCTGACTTGCCGGATCCAATTTTTGGAACAGGATTTGGACGATGATGCATCCTGCAATTTGTTCCGTCGTGCCCAGCCCCTTAAGAGCGCGGATATGAGCGTTGAATTTATCCGACAGCTCCCGAAGTGTCGAAACGGAACCACTCTGCACCGCCTTTATTCCCAGGATCTCAGTAATGTGTGCCTGAAAAACCAAACGACGATTATCAAATCTATTTTGCAGTAAATCCAAAGCAATTGCGTAGTTGCCGTCCGAAATTTCCAGCGAGCGAATAGTTTCCAACGCAGTATCCCTCAGGCATGATCGTAGATGCTGCAGCTTTTCTATGTTGGTGAGATCAGGGTGACTATCTATGATAGTGGTAAACATAGAATAAAAATCAGACCAATTTGCATAACCTCCAGCGAATTTTGGAAGCTCAAGTGGAGGCAGTAATGTTGCCCTATGTCGAGGCTGACGCTGCTGGAGGCCGAAAGCTCCGGGAGTGATGCCGTCAGCAAGAGTTGAGTGCGAAAGGAGCTGTGAGGCGCGCTTTGAAATTTCGGATCGAACAGATGACTTCAAAAGTACGAGAATGTCATCAAATTTTTCACTCAAATCACTTTCAATTTCCTCGAAATCCAATTCTTCGAGCTCACCAAGAACCTTTTTAAATGTTCCTTGAAGCTCATCAATCAGCTCCAACCTCACGTGGAGCCCGGATTCGTCGCATGAAGTTAACGCCGCACTTGAAAGGGAATCCACTAAACGCTCCACTCTATTAAATAAAGCAGTTGCCTTGCGCTTTAAAAATATCACCCTGTTTTCATCAGCGGTAGCATCTCCAGCAATTCCCGTAGGCATGGCTACAACAACAACAACGGCACAAGCAGACGAAATGCCCGAAATTCGGTTTCAGCGGGAAGATGAGCGCAAAGCAAACGAAGAAATAACGGCCCGTTAATTGGCTATGTACGCTCCAATATATAACTAATTTTTATGCAAATTTCGGCAACACAAAAATGCTATTTATTTATAGCGCTCACTGCATTCAAGGCTTTATTTTTTCGACAAATGATTTCTGGCTCCGCCAATGCACCGCAGCCGCAACAACGAAAAGTCAATAAATAGACTTATTTATGTGATTTGCACTTAATATTGTTTTTGTACGAATCACGTCGGGGTCACCAATGTTGAACTAATAAGCTTTTTTATTAGTTAATGCAAACGAAAATAAGAAAATTGGGTTGGTTTATGCTTGTTAACAATTTATTATCGAAAGAGTACAGCAGGCGAGACGAGAATGCGTTTTATGGCGAGATCAGAATTCATACTGAATTTACGAAGGGCCAGCCAGCCGAATGCTGGGCCCAAAATGCAAGCATACAACAAATGGGAGAGATAAATAGAGAGAGATGCCTTTCGTGATGCAATTGATATAAGAGTACGGATTTACAAGTTAATTAGCTGCTGCGGCTGCGTGACCCGACACCATTTTTGTTGGCCAAATGTGCAAGTCAACGAACTGAACGGGCTAAACGAAACATTTGCGTGTTCGAGTAAAGTTAAAAAGCCAACACTACAGCGGGGTGACGAAAGTAAACAATAATAAAATTGACTTAAGATTGTCATCTCCACATTTCGAAATAAATGTGCTTTAAATATCAATAGATAACATAATTGATGACTACACAGAAAAAAAAATTCTATTTGAAATAGAGTAAATTCTATCTTTCGGATTAATGTCAAATTTATGATTCAAAGATATCAATTTGATATTTTCAAATCAAATCAAGATAGATCTTTAAAAAATATTAACTTAACCTGGACATATCAATCTGATCTTTCGTTAATTTTTGTTCTGTGTATAAAATAAACAATTTTATTTCACTTAAATAAAATTTGGTCTTTAATTTTTTATTTAATAAATTTAATAAAATATTGTCAATATTCCTTATAAAATAAATTACCTAGACTCTGATAATATTCTATCCGCTAACAAATATACATCAACGAATTATTATCTTCATTATCTTCATTCTGGCTGCATGACCTCGGTAAATGCAAATAAATTGCCGGTCCTTTAAAACAGAAATTAAATTAAATACAGACCCAAATAGCGAGGCAAACAAAAAACGGTCGGCGAAAGTTATTCAAATGAAACCACAGTAACGACAAATCAGATAACAAAGGGAGCAGGCACACGCACCGCCACACAGACCAACAAAAAAAACCCACACAGACAAACAGAACCCATCCCGAGAGCGGTCAACAATTAGGAAAACCCACAACAAGCCACCAGACAACAGCACCACCCATCACACACCGCCCACCGCCCACCACCATCAACAAGTCCACCCAACCAGACGCATTTCAACCACCGAACTCACGATGAATTTAATGTTTCGCAAGAATTTCCGCGAGGGGGCCAGCAAATCGGGCGGCGGCGGGGGAAAGCTGCAATCGAAGGCGAACAGGACGAAGCGCTCGAGGGATATGGGACTCGTCCAGCAGCCGGAGGAGATCCACTACCGCACCCACCTGTTCTTCTCGCCCAACCGACCCGGCTACGATGTGGGCGAAGGTAAATTGTCGTTCGCCTTGCAAAAGCAGCCACAGCAGCAGCAACAACCACGCCATTGCAAATACAGTAGACCATCGAAAGAGTGAACAGATCATTAGTCGATCGAAAAAGAAAAGTTAAAATAATATTAAACCATTTTAGATTCATATTTTCTTAGTGCCAATATTTATTTCTGAGCAAAAATAAGTACTCATTTTACAAAAGTATTTGGAATACCCTATACATTGTATATGCTAGCAGCCGTAACCATGACATTCAATTAAAATCGATTTATAAAAACCTTAAAAGCACTATACATAAATTGTAAAAAGGATTATGTCTCAAGTTACAAATATGCGTATTTGTAATTTTTTTTATAGTTTAAGAAGCAATTTAAGGTTTAACAAGTTTTATATATATTGTTGGGCTGTAGCACCTATATTTAAATCAAATTTTTATAATGTGTATGAACAATTTGAAGGGTGTTTCATAATTGGTAAAATGAATCGATGGCCATGCTTTGAGTTAATAAAAAGTTTTATATTTTTCCAAAACAAAAGCACTTTTTAAAAACAGTCAAGCATTCATTCTTAAATCTCGAACACGTTTGTTTTTCTTTCCAACATAAGATTAAATTCAAAATTTAAAAAAACATATTTTCAAATTTGGAATGTTCGTATACATAAATATTTATCATCCACGATACACTGAAGGGCACCAGGAAGATCGCTTCTCGATAAAGTGATCCCTTCTATGTCTTCGATGACAGCAAACACGTACTCGTACCCACTCGCCATGGCAATACTTGTATTTATAGCAGTGACGGCCACTATATACAGAGTGGACTAGCACCAGAGCAAGCAGGATAAACTAAAGGATAAAATATAGAAAGGATTAAAAGAAAAATTTACAAAATACTCATTATTCCAAAGCGATATTTTCGTATACAAACAAGACTATGTCACATAAAAAATCTACCTCGATGCCATAAAATTGTCTTCGCTTCGAATTCCAATTCGAACTGCGTTTGCCGAAAAGTTCGAAGCGAATTAAATTTTATGGCATCCTAGAGGTAAATAAATAAAGTTTTAATTTTTCTCAAAGAAATATATTCTAAACTTTACTCACTAATAATTTCATGGTGATCGCCTTTTTGAAACTAAAGTCACTTTGATGTGCAGCTCTTTTATATTCTTACTATCGGTGCGAACTGCGCAGTAAGCTTAATACACACACACATACAGAGCGGAATAACATAATCAGTATATACAGCCATGTGAAAAATAATAGGGACACCTTGTAACGTCTGAGGAAAATTTCTATAAAGTTACTATTTTAAGTTATTCTGCTGGTATCAATTTTTTTTTAGTTAGTTGATGCTTGCACTACTTAAATAAAAAGAAAAATTAGGGTAAATAAATTCAAGCGATATATCCCATTTTGGGAGTGAAAAATAATAGGGACATAATCAGAAATTCTATGATATTGTTAATAATTATGGAAAAAGTAATAACCATTTAATTTATTTAACTTCTTTTTATTTTAATTGGTTGAAAGTTTTTTGGCAAAACGTTTTTTTCGACTTGCGAAATCCGGAGACTGAGCATATTAACATTACCAGTCGAGATTTGTATTCGAAAACTAAACTTCATCATTCAATGTGTTTCGTATTGTTTACCTATTGAAATACCAATTTAAGGGTCATATTGCCTTTTATATGGAACAAAAACACTTCAATGATCGTTTTTATTAGGACTCTGCTGTCATTCGTGTCTTCAATACGATAGACGAGACCACACAAAGTTGCACCATAGCCGATCATTCTTCGTTGAAGATGGTTTTAACTGTGAGTTTTAACATTAAGGCGGTGACTATCGGTCTTTTTTAATGAGAGCTTAATCAAAAAAGGCCAAACATATATATTTGTGTGCCATCGGGCCGTTGGCCATTGAGCCATTTCATCAGAGGCCGTGCCATCATCAGGCCATCATTTTTGACTGGTTCTGTATCGTCTAAAATAATAACTATATATGGATGGCTTGGCCTGAAATTTTTTGCTGCAAGTTTTAAAGGCATTTTAAAAAAGTTTTATTAAAAAATAATCGACTTTTGACGATTAGCAAATACAAACGCATCGTGTCTACAGTGTATTTTAAATATTGCGCTCCAATGTGTTGGATAATTAAGATTTTTCGCCTCCTGCGGTGAACTTTTTATTACTTTTGGATACACTTCCCGAATTTTTGAATCACTTTACGAAAAAAAAGACAATTTTTTTTAATTTTTTTGAGTTTTTGAAGTTATTGTTATTGAATGTTAATTTTTAGATTTTTAATTGTTAAAAGAACTTTCTGTGACTACTTTTGTATCAACAAATTAGTGAGAAACACTAAATTGTAAAAACTTCAATATTTTGTGGGCAAGTGTTCCTATTTTTTTTCATTTGTTAAACTGATGCAGTCACACAAAATAATCAAAATCTCCAAAACCATGTTAATTTTTTTTCTTAAGTAATTTTTCTTCATGTTTAAGCATTTATTGAAGATATCTAGCGAGACATTTGTTGATTCTTTTTTTTTAAGGAGATACATAAGCTGGAACATTTTTGTTGCAGTGCCTCTATTATTTTTCACATGACTGTATATTCCTTTATGTACATAAAACATAGTTTTTTATTAGCTACTGATAAGCCTCAGCCTGACAACCGAAACATAGATGTCGCCAAAACAACAAAAATTATAAGGGATTAAAACAATTTTCTGTCAGTAATTAAATCTGGCTGGCCTTGATAGTTGGTTATAAATAACTCAACAGTTTCGAGAGGTTATCTTCCGGGATTTGCAAATTTCGGTAGGGCGTCATTGCTACCTCATCAGCCGGAGAAGAGGACGTAGATAAAGCACATTTAGGAGTATGTAATTAAGAATTACATGCTTCTTGGATTGTGACATAATTCAAAGTTGTCTGTTGGAAGCGAACTGCTTCCAGATTTTACAGACGTGAATAACAACAACTTATTAAGGAATAATAATAATAACTAGAAATAATGTTAATGCTAATTAAGCGGTGCGTTTTACTATTTTTATTGTAAAGTATTAAAAATATCCGTGTTCGCTCTTTCAATGGTTTACTGTAGACATTACATTACATAGCGTCCATTTCAATCATCCACAAACATGGCTTACTCTTTGTCTCACTCTTTCTCTCTCTACCTCTCTCTGTCTCTCTTGATTACTTAGGCTCCCTTGTAGTCGCTTGAGCCTGGCCCTCAGTTACTTGTGCTCCATTAACCTGACATTTGCATTTCAGCCATTTGCAGGGCATTCAATTGAAATGTTTCCATCAATTTTACAAACAGCCAACTGGCAGGTGGGACCATTTATTGCGGCCTAATTGAGGGTCAGTGTAATAGAGGATTTATTATTTATGAATGGGGCTTGTTTAATACAGTTAGAGTGAAACTATAATTGAATGGTAGAAAAAGTGCTCAATTTAATTTAATTTTATAGTAATAAAAAGTTTTATATTACGGGATTATAGCATTAGAGTTAACAAAAAAAGAAATGAATTTCGAAAGAGATAACACTAAATGGGTGCCCAAAATTATGCCAGAATAAAGTATATAAAATGATTTAAATTTTATAATTTTTATTTTATCAGTTTCAAGCACCAAAAGAGCCTGAAAATATGTGAATAAATAATTTGATCTTTTATAATTCTAGAATACGTTAATTAGTTAATAAAAAAAGATAAATTCTGGAAAACTATTTTAAACTATTTAGTATTATTCGGACATAAATTGTTCATTACTAACCCCAGTCAGGACTTCACCTTTTAATGGATTTTAGTTGCAATCGAGGCATCGCTTCTGCCTTCTAAGCTCCTCATTTTGCAACTGTCAGTGTGTGTGTGTGTGAATATGTGTGTGAGGAGGTGAGTGTGTGAGTGCCAGCATCAGCTAATCTTCCGGTTTCCAGTTGGCTTGGCTTAAGGGGCACAGAAAGCAAAAGCGAGAGCGTATGTAAGTTACTATTTGATTTCCCGATTAACTCTTTCTCCACACACAACGCCTGTGGCAATGGCCTTGAATCTTAGCCCGGAAACCAAGGTCTAAGGAGTATTTCCAGCAGCATCAGCAGCGGCAGCAGAGCCTACTAACCCACCAAACTGATGAATGTGTCTAGTTTTGGCCCACACTGTTAATAAAATCAGCAAACGAAAAGGAACTTAGTCCCCTGACCTCGCACTTTACACATCAAACTATTGGGGGCACAATTTTTGGGGCTTACATTAAACTGAAAATCTTATAGGAGCAAAGAATTATCTTTAAAATAATTTTTGATATTTTTTTAAACTACAAAACCAAAAGGATACTACATTAACTTTATTACGTGCTAGAATAAATTATGAACATAAATTAAAAAAAAAAAATTTATAAATGATTTACAAAAAAAAAAAAGGCTTTTAATAAAAGTTTCTATTAAATAGTACCATTAGCATTACAAGTGTAGCATTAAAATGCAAATTGTTCCTTTGTTTTCGATATCATTATTCCGATGATATTCTTTGTGCCCCTATAAACCCTTTTTAAAGAAAATCCACCCATCCTACAAAGCACAGTGTTTGAGACCTTACCATACACACTCTTTTCCCACCCTCATTGACCCTCCCCCCCCCTCCACGTTTTGTTGTTCTGTGTTTGCTGTGTGTGTGTTTCTTGTGTTTTTTGTGTGCATATAAAGTATCGACAGACTCCAATTTTCAGAACGATGTAGCGCCCTGTCAGGCATCCCGAGCACCCCACTGTCGAGCACCGCCCCCTCGCTGGCCCTGCCCGGCAATCTGCCCTACGAGCTGGACATTCCGCAGCCACTGGTCGACCGACGGCCGTCCGTCTCCCTGATGCGCTGGAACAGCAACAGCGGACCGGGTACGGAGAGCAGCAACAACAACAGCGCTAGTAACAGTTTGATCCGCCTGCAGCAGCAGCAGCAACTTCAGCAGCAATTGCAGCAGCAAATGCAGCAGCAACATCTATTGGCGACAGCAACAGCAACAACATTGGGGTACGCTGATGCAACGGTGGCCACGGCAACAACAACATTGCTAGCGGCCGCAGCTGCAGCCACGCGGCAAGGTTTGAGTCCCCCTAAAAAAAAACAAAAAAAAATAAAAAACTTGAGAGCCCCATCTGATTTAAATCAATCCGATGTGATCTCAACTATAGTTGTTGTTGTTGCTGCCCAAACTACTCGTTCAACACTAATGTCATTTTGCCAGCTCAGCTCACCCAAAAAATAAAAAAACACACTGACACACTCAAACAAACCCTATATGTTGCACCCCCTCCCAAAACAAAAAACACCCTAATCCCACTCCCAGTTTTCCCCAATTAATGTTTGTTGCACGTTGTACGTAGCTAACCTCAAGAGTTCCGATTTCTAATCCGGTTCTTCAATACGAATACTTCAAACTGACTGTTGCAAGTTCTGTCTTGTCTTCGTTTCCGTTTTCGTTTTCTGTTTTTTTATATCTGATTGTTGGTGAATTTACTAGTGAAAATACTGAAAGCTAGACATGTTCTCGGAGACGCCAAAAAGCTTTGCCTCGCTTTCAGTATTTTGCCGCAAAATACTGGGGAATAACATGCTGTACAACAAAGATCTCTGGGATCTCCTTTATAACTATACTAGCAAAATGCCTATTAATTGCAGCTTTCAAAGGATCTTAAGGCGAAGCTTTGAAGCAATCATCGTTAGCTTGGCGGAAAGCTAATACCTTTTTTTGATGTATTTCTATAACTAAATGTCTAACTTTACTGCCTCTGAGGCTTCGAAGCAGCCCCATTAATGGAATTTCACTGTACCTTACAGTGAACTTTGGTGGCGGCGCCAACTCGGGAGTCACACGAGCGGAACCCATCTCACTGGCCACCCTGGATCGCGACTGCTTCATCATTCCCGTGCACAGTGTGGACCGATTCCTGCCAGCTGGCATTCCGGTGAGTATATTCTGAAAATTAAATTAAGGCCTTGCTTTTTTTTTGACTATAAGAATATACACAATTTATGTATGTGTGTGTGTGATTTCCTGGAAGCGTCACACTATTTCGTCAGAATCCACATTCCACGTGTTGCCTCTTGTATTTGTCCTGTGGTCTTCTTATAGCGTGTAATATTTGCTCGGCGGAATATTATATCTCCCACCAATTCACAAACCAATTTACTAAACCAAATTACTTTTGCTTATACGATATTCTTATCGATATGAAGTAATGTCATATTCCGACATTGACCAACTACAACTTATCAACAATTTATTAATAAAAACTTAATATTTTGTGGAGATTTTACATAAGGAACTAAATATAGTACAAGTACAAAGGATGCATGAATTCCTTTTCTTGCTCATAACTTTTTAATGATTGGTCCGATTTGAGAAATTTCTTCTTCATTTCGATGGGTATCAATAATCACCACAAAATTGCATTTATAATTTTCCGAAATTTTTAAAGATGTGTGCGTCAGACACCTTTTAAAATCATTTAAGTGTGTTGGAGGGAACGTGGCACTCTGATAAAACAAATTTTCGCAGCGTAGGAACCCCACGAATCTGCATGGTTAATCCCAACTTTCTAGCTTTTATCAATCGAAAGGATTTCCGCCCGGAACTTTATTTAGTCTAAACCAAATTTCCCTTTATTTAAGCTGCCCGCCTTGAATGCCGAGGGTAAGGCCACAAGTCCTCTGAGCGTGCTAGAGGTCTCCGATCCCAAGTTGTGCATCCTGGTGCATTTGATGAGTCCCCTGGAGGCCATAGATCCGGTGATGGAGTCGCCACTCTCGCATCCGCTGCTCAAGCAGCGCTCCATAGCCGCCGAATTGGTGACTGAGGTGCAGCAGGCCAACTCGGCAGTTGGCGGAATGCTGCTGGCCAATATGGAGAAGAACTGTAAGTATACCTCATCCCAGCCGTAATACATATAATTTAAATATTGTTTACCCCCAGCCGAGTTCCCCTTCATCTCGTACTACCTGATCAATACGCTCCAAACGGATCCTTCCAGTTTTTATGCTGGCCTGCGCGTTTCCTCGCTGTCCAAGTTTGAGCCAAAGGCCCTCAAGTGAGTGCTTCAATCAGAGTGCATCCAATTGCCCATTTGTACTCCAATCTCAATTTCTATTTCAATTTCGATTCCTTTTCATTGTCAGATACACTGCCGCCCACACTTTGGATCTGTACAGCGAGGTGGCCGCCATTTGCCGCCCTCCACTGGTTTTGCCCTCAAACGAGGCCGGCAGCTTCAAGAAATCGCAGACCGCGGCCACCGGCTACATTATTAGCGTGTTCAAGGTGGGCTGAAGTAGTGTGAAACAAGATTGGAGAGATTTCATGAAAAATTCAATTTTAATTCCGCAGGTTTTCGAGGGCGACGATGGCGAACGATTCGAAAAGAATTGGCTCTACTGGACAGGCGCCCGCATGCTGTACAGGTACACTTAGAAAAATAGTAATAGTATTTTTTATGAAAAAAACTTGCCTTCAAATTAATTTTTAATTTAATAATAATAATAATTTAGCAAGCAATTAAATATTTAAAAATATATTTATATTGATTTATTTATTTTTCTTTTTCTTTTATTTATTTAAATATTGTAGAAAAGCCAGTCTTTATCCATTTCTATTATACGTCACACGTCGCATTTTTAAATATAATTAAATGACATATTTTTTATATTTGTATTATTTTAATTTAACATTTTATTAAATTTAAAATTCACATTTTTTTTATTATTTTTTTATATTTATTATTTTTAAATGTTTTATTATTATTTTTTGTCTGAAGAATATAAACATGGAAATATATTAAAAATTATTTCTTGCCTAAAAATTAGATTTTTTTACAAAGTTAGCGAAGTTGAGAAAATGATTTTTTATTGCTAAAAATAGTACTTTACTTGCTGGTTACCTCTCTGATTGCTGCTCCATTACAGATACCTGCCACGTGCCGCGGGCCTGAGGCGCATCGCCCTGCACAAGAGCACCTCGCAGAAGGGCGACAAGATGTATCTTCTGGTCTGCGAGTGCGCCGACCTGCTCAAGGACATCTCGCTGGCCGCCTTCCTGATTCCAGCACTGCGAGCCCGACTCTGCGGCTACACAGGACTCTATCGACCAATTCAGGCCTTCTAGTCGCCGGAACTACGTATTTTTCTAACTCCTGTATATAATGGACTTAGAGCTAGGACTAGGGCTGCACCTGTTACGTGATTCTAATTCGATATTTACTAGGCCTAAACAAATTTTTTGAACTCTCTCCCAAGTCAAACTCAGCTCCTGATAAAAGCGTAAATGGGGGATGTGCTAGGTGACCCTCGGATTAGGCATCTAACTTAAGTAGTAGACAATATTCTCAAGGTAACTCCATATCGTGTGCTAGATTTTTCTATAAATCATATAGAGGCAAGCCCAATTAATAGGACCATATCTAGTGTGAGTTGGTAGCAAAGAAACTTCCATTTTAGCGACAACAAATAGAGATTCAGTGGGAACTATATATGTATACCTATATATCATAGCTGTAGGCCCAGTAGTTAATCACAATTAAAATAAACGCTGAATTTTGCGCTGAAATGTAGGCTATGAAATCTGCAAACCGAAAGTCAATTCTTAGCATAAACAAAAAAAAAAACTAAATAGATTGTCAGGCTGGGGAAATGTATGAAATTGAATGGGTTTCAAGCAGAGAGGGATGGGGGATCTAGCTAACTTTGCCCAAATCTAACAGAAATCTGCCAAAGACATAAGCAAATCAAATCTTAATTTGTATCAAAAAATTGTTTAAAAATTCAAATAATATTTATCTAAGCAAATAAGTAAGCCAAATAAGATTTTCAATCAAAAAATTGACTAATTATTGCTTGGCTATAGCTTGCCACTTACACTTTAGGAAATATACCGTACATAATAACATATACATTTATATAACAACTGTAAATAGTTTGAGGAAATTTTAAGGCACTTGCTCCAAACACACAGAGAAAAACGCCAGGTTCCTGGCTTGTATTTGAGAACTATATAATTTTGCACAATAACAACAGAATCAAAAAGTGCTGTGATAATTAAACTAAAGCATAGCAGACCCATAAAATCAGTGTATATGGATTAAACCCCAGCCATAGAACCTTATATCACCCAGTCAAAGACGATATCATTTAATATCATTTGCCATTCACAATAATTCACAGGTCTCTGGCTTATTTTTTTTCCAAAATTAATTAGATAACCTAAAAACAGACAACTTTCAATGCCTATATGCTAAGCCTAAAGCCTAAGGAAATATTAATTACCAAATGTTCGAACTTTTTTGTCACATCTTAAGCTGCAAGCTTGGAGCAAAAACAAACGTTTGGCGCGTTTAGCATTAATAATAAAGCGTAAAATTAAAATTAAACAAAAATTGAGTTTTATCCAAAGATATTGTCGAATAAGTAGCCGCCGCGTGGACTCTTAAAATCTGCCTCACGTTTTCGGTGAAGAATGTAGGCCTCGAACTTTTGAGTTTGCAATGGACCCCAATTGGCAGTGGGTTGCATGGCCATTCTCAGTTTCTGTAAGGTAAAAAAATATTTATAATTTATAATTAATGATAGGAATATCTTATCATACTCACACTGCCTAAAGTCTTGCCGGGCTGCTGGAAAATTGTGACCAAAGCCCAGAAGGGCAACTGCAGAACGCCCAGGCCCCAGATAATCCAACCGGCCATATAGTAAGCCGGTGGGTACTGAACTCCCCTGTAGGTCAGAGGTTCGTAGCTGAAAAGCATGTAGACCAGGACCAGAAACATTAACCCGGGTGCCACAATGGCCCAGCAAATGCGCCAGTAGAAGCTGGTCTTGACATTCAGCATAAATTCAATGTCACTGCAGATGCGCTTCACACCGTAAATCCAACCCACAGCCAGTAATTCCGCAATGGCCAAGACAAGGGCTATAAAGGTGCAGCCATAAAAGTCCACAAGGTTCAGTATAAATTGTCCACCCGGTGTCATGTAAACCAAGCCGCACAGAAAGCCAATTATGGATGCACCCACAGCGAGCAGCCAATGTGGCAAGTGGGTGAAACGATCCTTGACCACATTCACCACCGAACTGGCCATTCCAATATTCGATCCTATTCCCAAAACCAGCAGCATGAAGAAGAACAGAACGGCGAACAATTGCGGCAGATACTTGAACTTGGCAATGGCCTCGGGATAGGAAATGAAGGCCAGACCAGCTCCACCCTTGACCACCTGGGAAATATCCGTAGTGTTGGTCTCATGAGCCAAGTTGCCCAGAATTCCAAAGATAATGCAACCAGCCAAGATGGATGTTAGGGAATCGATGGTGGTGATGATGATTACATCCCTAGGATATAGTAGATATTGTAATAGATATTTAGAAAGTGGTATCCAAATAGCTTACTTGTGCACATTCTTGTTGAAATCATTGAAGGAGGCGTACATGACCAGGGTGCCAAAGCAGATGGCCAGCGAAAAGAACATCTGGGTGATGGCCGCATACCACACATGTGGATTCAAAAGCTGACCCCATTGGGGTTTTAAGAAGTAAACGATTCCCCGCCAGGCTCCCGGCAAAGTAACCGCTCGGATCAGCAGGACGAACATGATCACATAGGGAAACAGGGCCAAGAAATATGAAGCTTTGCCAGAGCTGCGAATGCCCTTGGACAAAACCGTGCCGATGATCACCCAGGTGGCCAAGAGGCACAAGACCAAGTCCCAGCTGGGAGTTCCCAGGCCACCATCCTCCAAGGTTTCAGGTTCCCTGAGAACCGTTTGCCTGTATTTAAGGGAAGGTCAGTTAGGTTTTCTTTAAGTTTAAGGTATTAAATCTCACGTGAAGAACAGTTCTGCGGATGATATACCCTGCACAATAGATGTATCATTGGCCGCCGAAGCTCCTGTGGCCACACAACTGCTGCCCCATTCAACCAGACAATAAGTCCAAGGCAATTCCTCACTAAAACTGGCCACCAAATATCTGATGGTCAATGCCATAATGCAGGCATAGTAGGTAGTAGCCAAGGCGGTGGAATACACCTGACCATAGGCAATGCCTTTACAGAACAATGAAATGATTATAATCAGGGACCGTAAATAATCATTATTTGAGATTTTTATTTTAAAAAGACTACTGTGATATTTGGTTTTAAACGTCAAAAATAACGTTCTTTTTACTCTTGTCCGCAAAGTATATGCATTTCAACAAATCTGGAAAGCAAATTAACTGTTATTTGTTCATGTCTATAAAGTGCATAAAAACCAGTTAAATTGTTGATTAAAACTTGTAAGAACCTCAGTAGGCCTTTTAAAATAAAAATCTCAAATAATGATTATTTACGGTCCCTGATTATCAAATAAAAACACCTCTTAACGAGGTAAAAAACTAGTGACGATCGCACCTTCAACATACAAAAGTTCTGATATCAACATTTGTGACGAAAAATTATTACACTCGTCATTAAATAGACTTTCTAATATTTTCTCATTCGGCCCGCCCTAGCAAACTATTCCAGCCTTTTTCCCTTCACAGGCGTTTTCTATTGCAGCGTGCCGAATGAGAAAATATTAGAAAGTCTATTTAATGACGAGTGTAATAATTTTTCGTCACAAATGTTGATATCAGAACTTTTGTATGTTGAAGGTGCGATCGTCACTAGTTTTTTACCTCGTTAAGAGGTGTTTTTATTTGATATCAGAAGTTTTTGTTTGTTTACATTTGCTCTCATGGGAGCTAGTATATACATTTAAATTTAAATTGGTCAATCATAATTTGTAAGCCATTGTATTTAAACAAATTAAGTTAAAAAGGCGTTTAAGTATTTCAAAATACCTTTAAAACGAGGTATAGCACATTTCTGTACCTTTAGTAGTGTAGAACTTAAAATCTAACGAAATTTAGCTATTTTTAGCTTTTTTTCCCGCTAAAGTAGCGGCTTTTTCCAAAAGTCGTAGAACAAAAGATTCCTATATGGAACTCTTAAGTGCAAATTTACTGATTCCATTACCCCAAAATACAGTTCGTATACCCTCACACAAAATTCAATACTCAGGGAGCGTTAGTTGTTCGAGCTGGCAAAAGTGGCTATTTTCGTATAAAAATAACTTTTAAACGTGACTTTTTACAGTAATGTGTTATATACCAAAATTTAAGGAATCTCAAGGGCTATACAGTTTAAAGTTGTAAAGAAAATCGTTAGAGCCGTTTTTGAGAAAATAGCTAAAAAGTGATTTATAAAAACAACTTTTAGCCATAAATTTTAAACTATTGCATTAAGCCAATTTTACCCAAGGCAACGCGATTAGCATTTTAAATTACCTTTTTAACGAGGTATAGCACGAGTCTGTAACTTTGGTCGTTTAGAAACTATAAGCCGTCAAAATTTAGCTTTTTTCAATGATTTCCCGCCAAACTAGCGGGTTTTTCCAAAAGTTGTAGAACAAACGTTGTTCATATCCTGCTGCTAAGCACAGTAAAATTTAGTTCAGGACCCTAAAACCACGATTTGATGCATACCCACAAACAAAGGGACAAATTATTTCATTTTGGGAAGAAGAAGAAAATCTTATTTTGGCTATAACTTTTGAACGGGGCATCGGAATTTATCATATGACCCCTCATTCGACGGGAATTTTCAATAGAAAAACTACTAAAACATTGCGAGGGGGCATTTATCCCCACCGGCCCCAACAGCTCCAAATTTCGAAATTTTCACTTTTTTACTTTCACCGCTCTCTCTCCCAAGCCAATTGATTTTCTTAAAGTCTTGGTATGCAATCCTGTTAGTTTTCGCAATACCTTTCGATAGGTGTATCATTCATTATGATCGGACCATCACAGTAGATTTTCATTTCTTCGTGTATATATAGTAGTCGCCTTCGCACACTCTCCTGGTGCGCTTCGTCACTACATGGACTGCCGTCCATAGTGATAATAATTATTTAGGGCTAACTTACCCTTCATAATAGGCGCCATATCAAAAGCCTTGATGCAGCCACGACTTGAGAACTGACCAATTATCACTTCGAGATAGTAAACAGGTCGGCCAATTAACAGGAGCACTATCACATAGGGTATTAAGAAGGCGCCTCCACCATTTTCAAGAGCAATGAAGGGAAATCGCCAGACATTTCCAAGGCCCACAGATAAAGCGATGCAGGAGAAAAGAAACTCCACTCCCTTGCTCCACTGATCTCGCTGGCCAGATGATTCCGACTCCGCCTCACAGGTGATGGTGAGCTGTTGAACAAGGGTTAATATTGATATACATATCGAGTAATATAATATATTCAAGGACCGTAATCATTATAAGCAATGTTAAGAAAATTGAAAGTAAAAAATTAAAATTTTTCTGAATTTTAATATTTTTGATACAGTTAAAATGATTAGTTTTTAGTTTTATTTTGTTCTTTTCGTTTTAAACAATTACTATTACCTTATAAATATTTAAAAATCTAAAAAAAATGCTTATTTCTGTGCAAAATACCGATAGTTTCGAATTCAGTTTCCCTAAATTTATCTAATGGATCAAAAGTGCACCTACTTCTTCTCCCTCCGCACTGTAGACTACAGTACTAATGCCATCGTTAGATCCTGGCTGTCCTGTCCTCGATCCTTGTGCTCCCTCCATGTTTCGGCGTAGTTTTTGATATTCTGCAGCATCATCCATAATTTCGGATTAGATCTAATTTACGGTACAAGACAATAAATGAAATGCAGGCGGCAGACAAGACAAAAGCTGAGGTGCATCCAGATGGACGGCCACAAAACAAATGTCTGGAAAATAATAGCTCAGTTTAAGCTCAGTTTTCAAGTTCAAGGTTTCAAGCAATTTACGAAACGCCACTTAAGGGCTAATCACCTAATCAGCATTTTAATAGATCAGATTTCTCCAAAACTAGTTCGCTAAAAATATTAAACGGATGTCAGGCTACAACGTCAGGTGATTTTCGTTAATTCGTTAGTTTATGAATTTGTTTACTCTGAATTTTATGACTCTCAAATGTTAAGCTCACTCAAAATAGAAACTCGAACTTAATCCCTGTTAATGTTGACCGCTACCGGTGTAAATTTGCATATCTAGTCGATCAAAACAGAGCCGGGCCCCCTTATTGTTTCTTTTTTAAGCCATTTCACGGCTTAATAATTTTGAAATATCATTCCAACCAAGCTGGTTATTAAATGATTTCTATAAAGTTCACAAATCTGTTGTTGGGGAATTAATTATACTTATCGCACCAAATAATTTATGAGTTTTGCTGCAGTTCGCTGATAGGCAATAAAATTGCAATCATTGAGGGTTCAACGCGATCATTAATCACATCAATGTGAAATGTTTACCATATTCTGCAGTTCTTGCACCAAGGTATGACCAAAAATTTTTGGAATCTGAAGAAGAATCATCAGAAGAATCTCTTATCTGAACGGATGCCTGTCTACTGCGAAGTGTTAGAAGGCGGTTCGTCAAACTCTAAATAAACCTAACAGCTAGACGAAAGCTGTTGACATAAGCTCTAAATACTTGGTCGCTCCAGTGTCTTATCAAAATGTTCAGCTATCAAGTTATAAGCCCGAAATTTGTTGGACCAATTCTCCGTTTTTTATCTCTATCAAAAACGCACTATTTGATCTGCAACCAGCACCACACATTAATTAAGAATTATGAGTACTTCTTGAACATACACTGGCGGGATTTCTTAAAGACTGGACTGTCAACCGTTCTTAACAAGCTGCCTGATGCGACTAACTGGCATATAACACATAATCTACTAGGAAACCTATGGAGCTATGGAGCAGCGGCAAAAGCAGCATTTGAAATATGCCGAGCGTAGACTGCTCTCTCGTAATTTTTTAACGAAGAAGAGTCCACATTTCCTGGTCATCCATTATTTAAAATATATGATAAATAATTAAAAATTTATTTTCATAAATCTAGAATCTCTTTTGAACTCTTATACAAGTAATGCTGCTCAGTAAAGCAACTACAACCCTGCCCTCAAAATCCAAATCATTTAAATTAACTGTGCCAGATTCAGATTCCTAAACCAATCGAAGCTTATCGATTCATCAGGCCGCCGCATTAAACGAGACTTAACCAGATTTTACAATTACTTATTACTTGGGGGGTACAAAAAATATTGCCATTGGCCAACAATTACAATGAATTTAGTTGCGTCTATCTTAAGAATTTCCATGCCTGCGTTGTGTTCTGTTGGGAATCTCTTTTGGGTTTTTTAATGATGGCCTCGAGATTGCTGGTGACGTTGCGATTGAACAGAAGACTGAGGAGTCGAAGGACTATGATGATGATGACGGTTTCGAGGATGATGTAGCTGACCAGAGCGGGGTGTTGAATGCCTGGGGCTGAGATTCCGTTGTCCATGATGCAACAGGCTGTGCTGCAGTGGTTCAAAGAATCTACCATGTGGTTCGGACACTTCCTGCTCTTGCGGATTGGAGTGATGGGGTCTCTGCAGTAACTCACAGGTGGTGTCATTACCAGTGGTTGGATTCCCACTGCTCCCGCTGCTCTCAGCTTCGCCAGCTGGCACTACTTCAAAGAATGGTCGACCATTATTGCCCATTATAATCTTGGCATAATCACGACTGTAAGTTAACCATATGAATTACTTGCCAAGGAAAAAGTTCGCTGCTTTGCCATGACTTACTCGAAAAAAGTTTGAAAATTGGGCCAGTTGAAGATAGATCTTCAATTTAATACTCATTACCTTCCGTGGGCAAAAGCCCCAATGTTAATGAAAATCTGATGGTGGGGATTTTCAAAGCAATAGCAAGCTGGCGAACTTTTTTATTTCAACATTTAAAAATAATAAAACTTACACGTTCTTCTTGAGAACTTTGATCTCCTCCTCCATGGCGGCATTCCGCTCATCCTGACTGGCTCGCGTCAGGGAAACCCTCGAGTTTTGCTCCTTCAGCAACTGGATGACATGCTCCTGCCTCCTTACCTCTGTCTGTTTCTCGGTCAGAGTTCCGAAGAGATTGCGGAACTCCTCGACCTTCGAGGCCAGCTGGTTGTTCACCTGCAACGAGAAGGCGGATAAGCATAAGCAAAGTTAAGCCCATTTCCTTTTCGGCGAACCTGATTGATTTGCGTGTCTTTCTCGCTAATTTGATAGTACATTTGGTCCAGTTTGGTGCGGTTCTCCAGCTCGTTCTTTTGCAGACTGTTGATCAGATCGCTGCGAGCCTTGAGCATCTGCTTATCGATATCCATCTGCTCACGCATCTTGGCCATCTCCTTGCGCAACTGCTCCTCGGCTTTCGAATGGAAATCCGATTTGGTGGTGGTGATCTTAAGGGCCTCTTTAAGATCGCTGTAATAAATATTTTATATTAAACTAGCTTATTTAAAAGTTATTAACCCAACCTTATTTGCACCACCGCGTTCTTATATTTCGCACTCAAATCCTCACAGTCGGATTGATTTTTTAGGGCATTTGCCACCTGCTTGCTTAGCACATTCTTGTGCTGCTCGATATTCTGAAGCTGCAGCTTCAGATCGGCAATAATCAGGTCCTTTTCCATAATGCCCTTGTCCATGACATCCGGACGCTTCTGCAGAGCGACAATGAGCTCGCGAGCCTCCTGCAGTTCGCCCTCCAAATAGGTGATCTTTCCCAAGTGCTTCTCAACGGAACTGCGGGCACGTTCCAGGCCAACATCCGCCTCTTCCAAGCGCTGAAGCATCCGCTGGTTGCTATATAATATAAAGTAGAATTTAAGGATATGGGGATCTTAAAATATTCAATCAACTCACGCCGACTTGACCGTGGCCATCTCGGAACGCAGCTCCTCGATAGTTCCATCTTCGTTAATCAGCGTGGCATTCTTCTCGGCCAGCCGAATGGATTGCTCGCTGACCAGGTCCTCGCTCTTCCGCAGGCTGTTCCTCAGCTCAGTGATGGTCTGATCCCGGCTGCCCAGCTGGACAGCCAGCTTTCGCTCGTACTCGTCCCTCAGTTTGTTCATCTCCTCGCAGTGCTCCTTCTTGGTATCGAAGTATCGGGCCTCCATGTGCTGCTTCTGCGATCGCAGCTCCGCCATCTCGCGATAGAGATGATTATTGGTTGCCTCGGGCCGATTGGCGCCGGGTCCACACAACTGATCGATCTCAACCGCAAGGGAGTTCATTTTCTTGTTCTAGGGATCATAGAAATTAGAGCCCTGCACAAGTAACCTGACTTGTTTGTCAAACCTTAAACCCAACCGACCTACTTGAAACCCATTTGACTTGGGTCGATTGGGTTTGGGTATTTGGGTAAGTGAGTCAATTTTTACCCAAACCCAAACGACCCAAACCCAAACGACCCAAGTCAAATGGGTTTCAAGTAGAACAGTTCAGGTTTAAGGTTACCCAAAAAAAAAATTGATTTTTAAATAAGACGATGATTACAATTTTCACAGCTAATCGACCCGTCGCGAATTCTTAAGGTCAAGATGGTTATCTGTGTATAATATTTAAAATTAAAGGATACGATATATTGACATTTTTTTCCACATCCTCCGCCCATGCGAATTCTTTTGGTCTTCAAATATTACAGATGTATGATCCACAAAAACAAATTCTCTTGCTCTAAAGAATTCGCGGTTTTTGAAAAATCAATATAGAACATATTATTAGGTTTCTTAGTTAAGTTATGTATGATCCACACAAATAAATCCTCTTGTTCCTAAGAATTCGCGGTTTGTGAAGAATTAATAATTATAGAGCCAAGTATAAGTATTAGTGCCTTAGATAAGAAGAGCACGGTCCAACCAATCTGAAGATCCTCCTGTTCTTAAGAATTCGCGGGTTGGAAGAATTAATATAAAATCTATGGAAGTTCTTAAATTAATCGATTTTTTCAAAAACCGCGAATTCTTAGGATTAAGAGGATATATTTGTGTGGATTATACATAACTTAACTAAGAAACCTAATGGTATATTCTATATCGATTTTTCAAAAACCGCGAATTCTTAGGAACAAGAGGATTTATTTGTGTGGATCATACATAACTTAACTAATAAACCCATATGTATATCCCATATTTATTTTTTTAAAACCGCGAATTCTTTAGAGCAAAAGAATATGTTTCTGTGGATCATACATCTGTAATATTTGAAGATCAAAGAATTCGCATGGGCAAAAGAAGTGGAAACAAATCTTGACCTTTAGAATTCGCGACGGGTCGATGAGCTGTGAAAACTGTCATCATCGTCTTATTTAAAAATCCATTTTTTTTCTTTGGGTAACCTTAAACCCAACCGACCTACTTGAAACCCAATTGACTTGGGTCGTTTGGGTTTGGGTATTTGGGTAAATGGGTAAAATTTTACCCAAACCCAAACGACCCGAAAATTTTGGGGTCGGGTTGGGTAGGTAAATTTTTAAAAGAAAGCCTGACCTACTTGACCTGTAATTTCGTTTGGGTACCCAAATAACCCATTTTGTATACCCATGCAGGGCTCTAATAGAAATCTTAAGATACTGATAAAAAAATAATTGTAGAAACTTACCAACATCGAGGACAACTTGGTTCGAATCTCCTCGCGTTTCTCACGAGCCTCGAACTCATTCTTGGCCTTCTGAATGAAAGGTATGTAGTCGTAGAATATTACGAAACCTAAATCGACTATGGCACGACAGCGATGTTTCAAGTCGTTGATACTCTCAGTAGCTAAAAAAAAAGAAAGATATACATTTTATAATAAATTGATTGATCTATAAGATCTGAAATGTTTTCTACAGATTAGAAAACCAAATAATTGAAACAAAAATTGAAAGAATGCAATAAAATAATTTTAAGAAAGCTTTTAAGTATGCTTTAAAAACGTACTTAACTTGACGAGCAGAAAATAAAATATTTTACCTACTTTTAGACAACCAAAATTCCTAGGCTTTAAGATATAAAAATCAACAGAATAAACTCACGCAGGTTCTTGGGCAATCGCAGAAGATCGTCCTGGTTGACCACGACTTTGCATTCGTCGTTGATGACAACGGCCACAAACTTGTATTCGGCCTTACCATGAAAAGTCGGACCCATGGAGCGAAGTTTGTGCATGAACTCCGACTGCAGGTGCTCCAGTTTCTTTTTCTGCGACTCGAAGGCCCGCATTCTGTTCAATTCGATGACCCGTTGATGCGATCGGTCTGGCTTTGTACCTGCGAAAGGCTCATTAAATTTTTTCAATCAGCAAACTGATGAGGTAACCTGCCTAATTTCTTTTTTTTGGCCGCCATTAGCTGGGTAAGGAAAGTCAGTCGCGGTGGAGTAGCGCTTTGCTTAGACGCCTTGTCATCTTCAGCTTTCTTGTCGGGCAAGGAACAAGAACTTACGGTGGAGGGTCCTTTCAAAGGATTTCCCCTGGCTGGGGATGTGTTCCGCGTTTGTGCATCCGGAGTTCGGCGGATCGGAATACGACTGATCGGAACGCGACTGTTGGCAATTTTGTCGCGGCTACGACTGTTCAAAGCTGAGCCAGGACTCACAATGGGAGGGGCTGCAAAGGTGCTACATCGTGTGGAAGCAGGAGCCTACAAAGAATATCGGAGGTATCACTTATATACACTCCCGAGAAGTATTAACTATACTCACCCAAGTGCCAACGGCGGGCCTTTGAGATCTTCCCCCAGCCCTCAGCATGGAGGCTCTATTAGCTAGCAAGGATGATCGAGTAGAAACAAGGATCAATCCTCAAGTCACTAAATAAATTTATATCACTTACCACGTACAGGAGCGGCCATATTAATTTTCGATTGTAAGCACTAGTTTTGTAACTAAATAAATGTGTTTTTCTAACAGAATATTTTGATCAAAAAAACGAAAAAAAATATATACAAAATTTTTGTCTAAATAATTCAAGCTGCACGATGTCTAAAGGAGTACAAAAAAATACCTTCTGGCTTACTGAACGTGTTTGACTTATGAGGTATACTAAATTCCAAGGCAGAGCACACTAGATGGATGATTTTCCAACCCAAATAAGTCGGTTCCACTGTAGCCGGTGTTTTTTAGAGGTCTTTGTTTAGAATGGGCATATGAAAACAAATGAGTGTTATCAACAAATGCGAAAGTTTGGATGAAATGGACGCCTAGCTAAATAAGAGGGAAAAAAGTAAAGCTTCGGTTCTCTCTCGTGGAGGTTCTCCATAATCCATTCGTTGGACCCGATGCACATCGTCTGTCCAATAATCGACTCGGAGAAATTTGCATTCAGTTGCTGTTTGAGTGCCCACCGAGTAAGTTCTTCGTTTGAATTTCTAAACGGTTCTACAAAATATTTCATATACGATCCATCAATACTAAGCAGTTTAAGTGCCAAAAACTATCTCAAAAACTTAGAAACTGTATTTATTATTAACTAAATTTAGTTATACTTCAGTAACCTATTAAATGTGCAAATGAAAAAGGGTTTTACAGTACTGAAAAGAAGCCCTAAAAGTGCCTTCAATGATTAAATCTATGGGCATGGCTTTTGTCACCCTCTAGGGGCTGTTATTTTGCTCTAGACAGTCGGCGCGTTTTTCAATTGAATTTAATCAGTGACGTAGACGGTCTATATAGTACATATATACGCAATGCGATCCGATTTTCAAGGGGTAAACAACCAAGCCGCCTAGTTCAAGTTCCGCATGGCAATTGTGGTTTGGATCTCAAAGGAAATGGAAAGTGCTGTGTGGAAAAAATATGCAATAAAGTCATCTAATTGAAGGCTATTTCCACGAATTCAAGTTCAATTCAAAACTGGATGTAGGTCCCATTGGCTGCCATTGACATTCGATACGAAATACGAATGCGGATAATTAAGGCAATTAAGTGACCAGAAATAGTTTTTCCCCAACCACGTGGCTGCATTCGCTTAGAATCTAAAATTCCGACTCAATTTTCCATTGCAGCACTTTGAAATGAAAGCCCTGGAATGTTTTTTATTGGTGGTAGCTCTAGCGAGAGTTTTTCCCCGGATCGAGGGCTGCAGTAGGGTTCCATTGGGCACCACGGCAGCCAAGTCGCCGGTGGATGATAACTATGTGCTGTCCGTGAACGGAAATACACAGAGTTATGTGCCCGGTCAAAGGTATAATGGTGAGTGATTTATGATGATGTAACTTGTTATTCTTTATTACTAGAAATTTCTAGAATTAGGTTCTTAACTTTTGATAATACTTTCGGCTTTTCAGTAAGCCTCAGTGCGTTTTCGGATCTGTCCTTCATAAGCTTCATGCTTTCCCTGGATCTGGAGGGTGGTGAAAGCGATGGAGATGCCAATGCGTTGGGTTCCTGGGAGATTTCGGATCTGGCCGAGACCCGTTTCAGTCCACGCTGCGCTAATCTAGTGGAGAACACGAATACGAATGTAAAGACCCGCGTGGATGTGACCTGGGTGGCTCCATCGAGTCCTGGGCAGGGTTGCATTCTGCTGCGCGCTACGGTGATGCAGCATCGTGATGTTTGGTTCATGGACGATGGTTTCCTGACCAAGCGCATGTGCGAGGAGGAGGTGGATGACATTGACACCCAGCCCAGCATCGTGGATCCTTGCTGTGCCTGTGACGAGGCCAAATATGAGGTGAGTTATATAGCAGTGGTGGTCAGTGCTTTACTGCCTACGTGTGCGTCGAAACGCTGGCAGCGCAGCGGCAGGGAAGCTGCCTATCCCGTGTCTTCTGCTGGCCACCACTGATATATTGAGATTTATAGGGATAGACTACAACTAGATTCCTTACCCAGCTTACCTTCGAAGGCAAGTGGTCGCGTCACACACATCCCAAGGACTTTCCTGCGAATAGTTGGCGCACCAGATTCAGCGATATTATTGGAGCCTCACACACCTTGGACTACAGATTCTGGCAGTATGGAGAACTGGCCAGCGAGGGTCTGCGTGAGGTGGCTGAGCATGGTTCCACGCGAACCCTGGAGAGTGAGCTCAAGGATCAGAGCGAGCACATTCGCACCATCATCAAAGCGAGAGGAATTGCCTATCCGAATGTGACGGGCAAAACATTTGCCGTCTTTCGTGTGGACTCCAATCACCACTTGATCTCGCTCGTCTCAATGGTGGATCCCTCGCCGGATTGGATCGTGGGTGTTTCTGGTCTGGAACTGTGCCTGCCCAATTGCTCTTGGGTGGAGAACAAGGTGCACAACCTGTATCCATGGGATGCGGGCACCGACAGTGGACCATCTTATATGGTGAGATGATTTCTTTTATTTCTTAGATGCTATCTAATACTTTCTATACCTTCTTAGTCTGCTGACCAGCCGCAGGTTCCCCCAGACGTAGTACGTCGCATCAAATCGAATTCCCCCAACGATCCTCGTTCGCCCTTTTATGATCCCACTGGCGCTCAAATGAAACCTCTAGCCACCTTGCACATTAATCGACGACGTCTCTACGAGAAGAACTGCGAGTCTTCCGATTGTAAGTTTACCCTCTTTATATTTAACTGATTTATTAAATTGAATGAAATCCTAATCATTCAGCGGAACAGTTGCCGCCGGAGTGCGCCACACATTCTTGGTCCAGATGGGATGAGTGCACCACCAAGTGTGGTCCCGGCAAGCAGTACAGGATCCGCGAGTTCAAGAACCCAGCACAGGCTTCGGTAGGAAATATATCTTAGGAGATTTAGAAGTTAAACTAATTTTCATATCACCCCAAAGCGTCATCGTTGCAACAATGCCCTGCGTGAGGAGAAGAATTGCGTGGGTCACAAGTGCGCCGGCTTCAATGAGGAGACAGCCGAGGGCGTGGAACCGGAGGTGGTACCTCCTCCCGGCAGCAACGACGATCCCCAGTGCGGCCTGTCCGACTGGTCCGAGTGGTCCTCCTGCACGGTGACCTGTGGCACTGGCGAGATGACCCGAACCCGTCATTATCTCAACAAGAAGGCCAAGAAGAAGTGCCAGAAGGCGAGTAGGGCGCGTCTGCATGAAACCAAGATCTGCGAGGCCATGGAATGTGGCGGTGATATCGAGAACGAAGGTGGTGCCGCCGGTGAACCGGAGGAGGAACAGACCGGCGGTGGTGGTGGTGATGAGGGTGGTTCCGCCGAGAAACGCTCGATCTTTCGCAACTTTGAGAGCTACAGTCAGCATCGCGAGGACTATATACCCCCGGTTTGTGGGGTAACGCCCTGGTCGGATTTCTCGCCCTGCAATGGACCCTGCGGTGGCAACGGCAAGCGTCAGCGGATTCGCAAGGTGTGGAACAACAACCAGGTGTACGGGGTAACGGATCCCAATGACGATGGCCAGGATCCCTGTCGTCATATCAAGCTGCAGGAGGAGGTGAACTGCACGAATCCCAGCTGCGATACCATAGTCCCAGGATTCTGCTACGACGAGCTAACCGATAGCCCGTGTCGCGATAGCGATGTGGCCAACTTCTGGTACTACGACCATGTGAGCGACCAGTGCGCCATCTATTGGTCGGATCGCTGCGACAAGAATCGCAATAAGTTCAAGTCGAAGGAGGAGTGCGAGGAGACCTGCCGGCTGCCGCGTCACAAGCAGGAACTGCAGCACGACGGAGTTCCGGCCATTGATTGCCAGGTCTCCGACTGGGTATCGCATAGTTGCAACGCCTCCTGCGGCGATGGCTTCCAGTTGCGAACGCGTCGCGTGGTGAGGACGCCCAAGTATGGCGGGAAACCCTGTCCCAAGCACCTGGTTCGCTTGGATCGCTGCTACCAGCGGTGCGAGGATATGTACTCGATCAGTGGTCGGGGATTCGGGGAGCGCAGGCATGTGGTGAAGCTTAACCAAGCACCGGAGCCACGGGACGAGTGTCGCTACTCGGAGTGGTCCGCCTGGACGCCCTGCACCGCCAGTTGTGGTGACAATGCCGTTCGCCAGCGGACTCGCACCCTGCTGAACACCGACCTGAGCTTCAAGTGCAAGGATCGCGTCCGCATGGAAAAGTGCGTGATGATGCCGTGCCTCCTCAACAGCAACGATGAACCCGAGCGGTGGTGAGATGACCCTTGAGCTGTAACAAGTATTACCTATACACACCAATTATGTAATCACTATAGAGGGTGCCATTAAATATACAAAACCATACTCTATATGTTTCTCTTGCTACAAATAAATCGATATGTCCATGTAAATTTCAGGTAATTCATACTCATATCGTTTTTACCTGAAATATTCGTAAAATTGATCTTAAATAATATCATTTTGCCGAATTATTCTCTCTCGGAGATTCTCTAACTTCGAAAAAGAGCGCAAGATTCAGTATGGCGAGCAAAATTACGTGAGTGGAAGCAAGAAAGACGGATTCGAAATTCGAACTGACGTACTTCTACTACTATGCTAAGTTCGAACATATCAAATTTAAATTGACCTTAAATAAGGTAAAATTTACCTACGTTTCATATCGATTTTTTTTTGGGTGTAGGTTTACCAAACCGAATTTCAGTTTACACGTTGTAATTCCGATTCACATCAGTTTGTCCTTGACCTAGATCCATTAAGTAACTGTGACCAGTTTCCGAGTGATTTTCGCCGGGTTCCAAGTTCAAAGAACCCGGGCGACAGAGCGTCAATTGAAGAGCGTGCCATAAAAACAAACCATTCATAATTGATGGCAACTCAATCTAAGGGGATAATTGATCGAATGAAATGCTCATCGATTAAACGGCGACGGCGACTCAACAATTTCGGTCAGTCGTCGTTGAGCTTCGATCGCGAAGAGATGTTCCTGAGAATATTTCTGCTCATCATACTCCTGATTGTCGAGGTTCGTGGAGCCTGCTATCGGGTTCCCCAGGGAGCCTCCGGAGAACGATCGGCAGTGGATGAGAACTTCAAGATCCTAATCGATGGCAATCCAGCAACCTATGTACCAGAGCATCAGTACAATGGTGAGGGGTTCAAAGAGGTTGTACAATAAATATACTATCTCATTAATAACCATCAATAGTTTCGCTATCCTGTCCCATAAACCTGAAGTTTCTGAGCTTCACCTTGGTTGTCGAGGCCGAGGATCAGTCGAGCCTCATTGGTGGTCAGGATATGATCGGTCACTTTGAACTGCTGGGCACCACGGAAACCCGTTTCAGTTCCAGCTGTGAGAACATGGTGGAGAACACGAATACCAATGCCAAGACCCACATAGAGGTTTCCTGGATAGCGCCACGTCATCCCGACAGCGGTTGTGTGCTGATCAAGGCGGGCGTGGTCCAACATCGAGATGTGTGGTTCCTGGACGATGGTTTCCTGACCAAGCGCATCTGTCCCGAGGAAATTGACGAGCTAAACATCCTGACGCCTTCTTTAGAGAACTGCTGCGCCTGTGATGAAGCCAAATATGAGGTGATAAGATTGTTATAGCCTTTCGGATCTGCTAAGGAATATATATTCTTTCCTAGATTGTTCTAGAGCGCAAGTGGGCCAGGAACACACATTCCAAGGACTTTCCCGCCGAGGCTTCGAGGACACGCTTGGGAGAGCTAATTGGTGCTTCCCATAGCCACGGCTATCGGTATTGGTCCTACGGAGGAAGAGCTAGCCAGGGCCTCAGGGAGATGGCCGAGCATGGAGCCACCCGCACGCTGGAGAATGAGATCAGGGAGAACACTCAAGTGGGTTTCTAAGGTTTCTCTACTCTACCGAGCCTACTTCATCTGGTATTTTCATCCACAGAGTGGCGAAGTGCGGACTATTATCAAAGCTCCTGGCATTGCACACCGCCTGAATGCCTATGGAACAACGCTGGCCAATGCTCGTGTGGATCCTGTGCATCATCAAATCTCACTGGCCTCCAAGATAGAGCCTTCTCCCGATTGGATACTGGGTGTGGCGGGACTGGAACTTTGCCTGAGCAACTGCACATGGCTGGAAAGAAAGGTGTTGAATCTGTATCCCTGGGACATTGGCACCGATTCGGGTCCTTCTTATATGGTAGGTAGTGAGTTTATTAAGATAATATAAGATATTACAAGGACCGACCTCTTGAAGTCCGCAGATCAGCCACAGGTGCCACCGGATGTGGTACGCCGCATAACATCATCCTATCCCAGCGACGATCGTTCGCCATTTTACGACAAAACTGGTGCCTCAATGAAGCCATTGGCCACACTTTATTTGACCCGGAAGAAGCTTTACATCCGCGAGTGCGAAGAGGGTGAGTAGATCTTCTAATCTCCACAAATAACCCCTAGTGACCTCCGATCATTAGTTCCAGAGGATGGACCCATGGAGTGCGCTGTGCATCCCTGGAACGAATGGACCAACTGCAGCACGCGTTGTGGTCAGGGTTATGCCCATCGTCAGCGGAGCTACAAAAATCCCAGCTTGGCCGAAAATTTCAACTGCGATCGTCGCTTGGAGGAGGTGCGTCAATGCGAGGGAACCCAATGTGGAGCAGCGGAGGAGGAACCGGAAGGTGAGGAGCCCGGCCTGGGCATGGAGAATCCTCCACCAGGAGGTGGCTCATTGGCCGAATGCCAGCTGAGCAACTGGAGCGAATGGTCGCCCTGCTCCAAGACCTGCGGACGAGGATCCTCCACTCGCAACCGCGACTACTACAATCCGCAGGCCAGGCAACGTTGTTTGTCCGTCATGCGATTGCCGTTGGAGGAAACCAGGCAGTGCATGGGTTCAGATTGCGGAGGCACCATTCCGGATAATGGAGAACTTGACGCTTTGCCGGAACCGGATTTCTTTAACGAGAGAGATCAGGGTGGTTATGGTGGGAGAACCACAAACTGGAACAACAGACAGGAGAATAGTAGAAAGGGTTATGATAGATCTCCCTATAATTCCAGGGACAACTCGCAGGAGTCACCGAACTCACCCTTTGATCAGATAGAGAATCAACAGCGACCTCCTTATAATCCATCTGAAAACTTTAATGGTTACGACAAGGGATTTCCTCCCTCGAATACCTACAGCAATGATAAACTAGTGGGCAATAGACCTGGTTACAATGACTTAAATCAGGGCTATAACAATAACAACCCCTACAATGATTACACTACTCCTAGCTTTAGACCCGTATTTACCACTCGCTCTCCTTTTGGTGGTCGGTATCCCTCTAGGCAGCAGGATGAGGAGGAAACCCCCAGCGATAACAGTGCCAACTATAATGTGGTTCAAGATTACTGCTTCGAGAAACCCTACGCATCTACAAGACCTTGTTTAGCTAATCCAGTAGTGGTAAGCAACTTCTGGTTCTTCGACCACGAAGATCACGAGTGCAAGATCTTCACCACGGATAACTGCGATGAGAATAGGAACCGCTTTCGTACTCTAATGGCCTGCGAGGGTACTTGTCTGCAGCCACAAATGAACATGGAGCGATCCGAAAACGATGCCATGGATCCGTACGGAACAGGAGGTTCCTATGACCAAACGCAAACGGGAGGTAGACCTTATGATCAAAGTGTTGGAAGATCGGGAGCTAGATCGTATGATCAACTAGGAGGTAGGACGGGAGGAGGAAGCTATGATCAAATGGGAGGTAGACCGGCAGCAGGAAGCTATGATCAAACTGGAGGTAGATCTTATGATCAACCGATTGGTAAGTCATATGATCTTACAAGAGGAAGATCCTATGACCAAACAGGGGATAGATCCTATAACCGAATACAAGGTAAATCCTACACTCAAACTGGAGGTAGATCCTATGACTCAACAGATGGAGGAGCTTACGGCTCGCAATTCGTCGAAGCAGCTGGCGATATTGGGGAACCAATGTCGCAAACAAAAAGCAGATACGAAACTTCAAGACGCGGTCGTTATGGTTTTTAAATAGATATTAAAGATATATATAAAATAAATAATTATAAGTATGTTATAATAACCTTTCTTTTCGATATGGTATTCGTAGTTCCCTAAACCGGCATCTGAAGAGAAATCTCACTTGAAATCTCCCTTACCCAGACTTTAAGAGTTCGGAACACTACTTTTCCGGCTTTCCGGCATTGTCGGCTGATAAGAGCCTCCGACACACTCTATTTGTATCAGTGGGTCAGAAAAATACAATGCTCTCCAGCCTTATCAGCTTTCAAGTCTCTCTTCTCGGCTTTTGGCAAGCAATTCTTCGGAATGGAATCTCCGAATCTTCGAATCTCCTCTCAGTTTGCAACAGTCGCTCGTGTCGGATGGTTCTATACGCTTACAAAGCTCCCGAAAACACACATGTGGGGGTCAAGTGCTGCTCCTCTCGTGGAGCTACTACTTCTGGTGGCTACTTCGCTGGTGATTGGAAGAGTCGGCTGCCTGATCTGCACGCGCCGCCCGGCCAATACGGCCTCGCCCAAATCGCCGGTGGATGAGAACTTTGTGATAAGCGTGATGGGCAACCCGGAAACATACATTCTCGGCCAGGAATACAACGGTGAGAACGGGTTCATTGACCTTGCGCTTGAACTTCGTGGGAGATTGGAAGCCAAGGCTTCCCTTTGAGATTTCGCAATGTTTATTGTTTACTAAACAAAAGTGGCGCTTATCTGGGACCTTTGCGAATTCGCTGGAATTCAAGGTCGATGATAAGGGCTTCTATTTTGTGTGCTATGTATTCTGGAACTCAGACTGATTCTCCTTTAGTCTCTCTTAACGCTTTCAATGGCCACCGCTACATCAGCTTTATCCTGGCCCTGGAGAACGAAAATGGTGACTTTAGCTACCAGGACGACTTGGGTCGCTTCGAGCTAAGCGATCGGATCGAGAGCCGCTTCAGTCCCAACTGCATTAACATGGTGGAGAACACCAATACGAATCCCAAGACGCATATGCACTTGACCTGGGTGGCGCCCAGTGAGCCGGGCAGTGGTTGCATCCTGATCAGGGCTACCGTTCAGCAGCATCGCGATGTATGGCACATGGATGATGGAGGACTAACACGAAGGATCTGCGAGGAGGTCACCGATGATGTGGAAAGTCAGCCTGCAACTCCAACGGTGGATGTTCCCTGCTGTGCCTGCGATGAGGCGCGATATGAGGTGAGCAAGTTGGAGGATAACCAAAGTTCTAAATACCTTTTTGTTCCTCGCACCTCTAGCTTATTTTCGAGGGCGTCTGGTCCAGGAATCTGCATCCCAAGGACTTTCCTGCTCGCGGCTGGGAGACTCGCTTCTGTGAGCTTCTCGGAGCGGCCCACAGTTCGGACTATCGCTTCTGGGAAGCCGGAGCACTGGCCAGCTTGGCAATGAAACAGTATGCCGAACACTGCAGTTCTCGTCTTTTGGAGCGAGAATTTAGCATCAATTTTCGGGTGAGTAACTATTTCCATCTATAAGGAACTCCAAGTAATCTCCTTAACCCTTATAGGATCAGAAAATACGCACCATTATCAAGGCTCGCGGGCCATCCTATCCCAACATGAACAGCAAGGCGACGGCCTCGTTGCGAGTGGATCCCGTACATCACATGTTGTCCTTTGCCTCCAAGATAGAACCCTCGCCGGATTGGATTGTGGGCGTTGCTGGGCTAGAACTATGCCTGCGCAACTGCACCTGGTTGGAGGAGAAGGTGATCCACCTGTATCCCTGGGATGTGGGCACAGATGCGGGTCCCAGCTATACGGTAGTAGCTATAACGATAGTATTTGATAGCACAAAAAAAAGCATGTTCCCGTAAAATCGACATGGTCATGTAAATTTCAGGTCGTTTTTACATGAAATACTCCTTTCAACCAGGTTAAATTTACCTGGCCACATATCAAATTAAAATGTATCTTAAATAATGTAAAATCGATCTACTTTTCATATCGATTTTTTTTTTTCGGTGTGATTTTTAACATATTGATTTCCATTTCATAGTCAGCCGATCAGCCGCAGGTTCCGCCGGATGTCATAAGACGCATCCGTTCCGACTTGCCCAACGATCCACGTTCACCTTTCAACGATAAATCCGGGGCTCCGATGAAGCACATGGCCATTTTGACGGTGAAACGCCAGCGAATCTATGAGAGGAGATGTGCCGATGAGGATTGTAAGTGCAGTTTCCCGTAAAATCAATATGGCCATGTATATTTCAGGTCATGCAAAACCCATGTCGTTTTTACATGAAATACAATACATATCAAATTCAAATTGATCTTAAGTAATGTAAAATCGATCTACTTTTCATATCGATTTTTTTTTGGCGTAAGCAGAGAGCTAAATTAATCATATCCCCTTTCCAATACCCAGCCAACAATGATGCGGATGTGCCGAGAGAGTGCCTCACCCATCCCTGGTCCAGCTGGAGCGACTGCTCCTCCAAATGTGGCGCTGGGATGCAGTACAGAAGGCGTGTCTACAAGCAACCAGAGCTGGCAAAGGTCTACAATTGCAATGTGCCGCAGTATGAGGAGCGTGAGTGCCAGGGCGAAATGTGTGGTCAAAGCGGGCCGATGAGGGAAGCGGAGGAGTTTGAGGATCTGGAACCGGAGGTCAGGAGGAATGGCTATCATTCGGCCCAACAGCGGCGGGCCGAGTGCCAATTGAGCTCCTGGGGCAGCTGGAGTCCCTGCAGTGTCACCTGTGGCGAGGGCTACGAGATGCGCCAGAGGCAGTACCTCAATCCCCAAGCGGAACCCGAGTGCCAGAGTGTCCATCGCGTGGATCTGCAGGAAACGCGTCAATGCTCTGGGCGGGCTTGTCTGGGTAACCTACCGGGATCCTATAATCCTGAAATGGATGGTTCTTATGGCCAGTCTGGTCGCACTGGAGGTAATATGTATGGTTCGCAACTTGAACCGGAGGCAGAGACTTTTGAAGGCGAGGACGAGGATCCTCGAAATGGACTTCGTGGCTTCGAGGTTGGCAATCTCAAGGGAAACGCTGTCAGCAGAATGCCCGAGCGTCAGATGAATCTGGGGAGAGTTCCTCCGCCTTTTGGGCAGTCAAACTACGATGGAACCTACTATCCACCAGCCAGGACAGAGCGACCCATTTGGACGGGGCAACCACGCCTGGAGGATGTGGAACGGGCTCCCTGGCAGCGTCAAAGGCCCGCCAGCAAATACGGTTCGATGGTAGAGCCTCCAGAGGAGAATCCCCCAAGGGAACCCTGGCAGAGGACAAGTAATTATGGCAATCAGGAGATGTATTCACCCAGAGCAGAAGTGGACTCCTCACTGGCCAACCGCTGCTTCCAAATGCTGCAGACAGTGCTGCCCCGTTGTCCGGATCAAACGATTACGGGTCAGTTCTGGTCCTACAACTTCTGTGCCGATGAGTGCATGTTGTTCGCCACGGATCCGTGCGATCGGAACTTCAACAAGTTCAGTCGATTGGAGGACTGCGAGAGGTGTCGCCAGCCGGAGTTGGCGGCACTGCAGCAGGAGCACTCTAATTCGCCGGAATGCCAGAATCTTCGAAGCATCTGGCAGGCGGAACAGCGGGCCAGGGAGGAGAAACGTGCTGCGAACAGGAGGCGCAACTACACCGGCTATAGGCAACGCGCTAGAAATTAATCTTCATTCTAAAAAATTAAGCAATTCTTAGGTAAACTTATGTATATGTATAAATTTCTTTATTAAACTTAACAAAACTCAAACTAAACAAACATTTTTTAATTCATTTTGTCTCAGTAGCAGGGACCGTAAATAACAGTTATTTGTGATTTTTATTTTAGAAGGCCTACTGAGATTTGTACAAGTTTTTATTAACAATTTAACTGGTTTTTATGCACTTTATAGACATGAACAAATAACAGTTAATTTGCTTTCCAGTTTTGTTGAAATGCATATACTTTGTGGACAAGAGTAAAAAGAACGTTATATTTGACGTTTAAAACTAAATATCACAGTAGTCTTTTTAAAATAAAAATCACAAATAACTGTCATTTACGGTCCCTGCTCAGTAGCTTTAAATATAAAATGATTCTCATTTTTTCTTCTAGTCCAAAAACATTTTTAACTAAATTTCTAAATTTTACAATGCGTTTTAGTAAATGCAAAGCGCTTATGTACATTTATTCAAAAGTTAAAATATAAAACCAATCATTTTATAAAGTCAAACTTTTTTTCCCTTTTGAAACCCACATATATTATATTCTGTTGTTTTCATCCTGGATAAATTGAACCGCCACCCGTGGCCACACCAGGTTGTAGTATAACAAATTGTCTTTTAAATCTTCGTTCATCATAACAGGGTACATTTACATCTACACTATAAACAGAACGGATCCAAACAGCTAGCACAAAAGCCAGGAAGATAATCTGTAGGTTAACCAAAAAATTGTTTGAAAAAATTTTGAAACGGACTAGTTTACTTACCCATAGTTTCACCATGACTGGATGTTTTGGAATGAGTTCGATCCCGAACTGTGGCTCTTTTATACCCGCTCGGATTACAATAAAAACCAAACCAAAACAAAAAACAAGAATTTTCTTATGAATATGTATATTTATACCCTTTACTCGTTGAGTAAAAGGGTATATTGTACTCGTGCAAAAGTATGTAACAGCTAGAAGGAAGCGTTTCCGAACCCATAAAGTATATATATTCTTGATCAGGATCACTAGCCAAGTTGATCCGTCTGTCTGCCTGTCTGTATGAACGCTGAGATCTCGGAAACTACAAAAGCTAGAAAGCTGGGATTTCCCACACATATTCTTTGGCTTCCCACGCAGTGCAAGTTTGATTGAGGTGCCACGCCCCCTATAACGCCCACAATCGCCCCAAACGATTTCAAAATATGTCTGGCGGCCATATCTTTTAAGACTTTCAAAATGTATAAATGCAATTTTATAGTGTTTATTAATACCTATCGAAATGTAGAAGACATTTTTTCAAATCGGACCATTCATTAAAAAGTTATGCGCAATCAAAGTTCTTTATCTCCATCTTCCTCGCACTGCTAGCTGAGTGAGGGGTATCAGATAGTCGGGACACCAACCTGACTATAGCGTTCTCTCTTAATATTCTAATTCTTATCAAGTGCAAATTCGTATATATGTATGCATACTAAACATACTTACATAGGTATAGCAGAGCATTTTTGTTAGTAATTGCACGACCGGTGTTTTGCAGTGTTTATGCGGCGGCAGAGGTCGAGCCGACCACTGACTTAAACGGAAATCAGAAGCAAAAATCAGAACCAAATAAAAAACTCAATTAATAAACAAAAAATCACAAAGTCCAAGGCGAATGCCCTTATGTATGTTTAAATTTTTTAGTATACTCAAAAAAAAAACAGCCCGAAATCGCCATTAAATCAAGAAATTCGCCATGAATTTCAGTCGATGGCGATTTACCGTATTTTTTAGAAAGGAATTTTCTAAAATTTAGAAAAAAATTTCTGAAAAGCAGAAATACTTTTCTAAAATCAAGAAAAATTGCCATAAAATTGCGAAAAATTTCCTTAAATCCAGAAAGTACTTTTCTTGAAAATAGAATTTTTTTTCTTAAAATAAGAAAGGACTTTTTTTATTTTCAGAAAATTTTTTTTATTTTAATAAAATGTATACATATTTATTTTACTATTTTATTTCCTAAACAAGAAAGAGAAAAGAAAATAAAAAGGATGAAAAGAAAATTATTAATATTTCCTAAACAAAAAAGGAAAACAAAACAAAAAAGATAAAAATAAGATAATAAATATTTCCTAAAGAAAAAAGAGAAAAGAAAACAAAAAAAGATAAAAATTACATTATAAATATTTCCTAAACAAAAAAGAAAAAAGAAAAGAAAACAAAAAAGATAAAAATTATTAATATCACTATGGACGGCAGTCCATGTAGTGACGAAGCGCACCAGGAGAGTGTGCGAAGGCGACTACTATTATATAGCCGCAAAATTGAAAATCTGCTGTGATAGTCCGATCGTAATGAGTAATACACCAATCGAAAGGTATTGCAAAAACTTAAAGGATTGCATACCAAGACTTTAAGAAAATCAATTGGCTTGGGGGAGAGAGCGGTGAAAGTGAAAAAGTGAAAATTTCGAAATTTGGAGCTGTTGGGGCCGGTGGGGATAAATGCCCCCTCGCAATGTTTTAGTTGTATTCCTTTTGAAAATACCCGTCGAATGAGGGGTCATTTGTCGAAATCCGACGCTCCGTTCAAAAGTTATAGCCAAAATAAGATTTTCTTCTTCTTCCCAAAATGAAATTTTAATTCTGTTTGTCAGTTTGTCAGTTTGTCAGTTTGTCAGTTTGTCAGTTTGTCCAAAACATGTTTTCTAAGTTTTGAAAATTTGATATGACGTTCATCACATCGATATAAAAAACTTTTGTTCTACCACTTTTGGAAAAACCCGCTAGTTTAGCGGGAAAACAGCTATAAATAGCTAAAATTCGGAAAGCTAAATAGCTAAAATTCGGAAAGACTAAATAAGTACGTTACCTAAAATTTATTCATTCGGCACGCTACAACAAAAAACTTTCGTGTAGATATTAAATATTTGCTAAAGCGGGCCGAATGAATACATTTTAGGTAACGTACTTATTTAGTCGCATCTAAAATCATTTTTCGTCACAAAAGTTGATATCAGAACTTTTGTACGTTGAAGGTGCGATCGTCACTAGTTTTTTACCTCGTTTAGAGGTGTTTTTATTTGATTAATATTAAGTAGGTATTTAATATATTACGTATTATTAAAATTTACTTACTGCCAAATTATCAACAATACCTGAAATTGAAATTATTCCTGCAATCGAAAATAAAAATTAATATTAGAGAAGGATAGTATTTGCGGCCTGCAATAGTATGGCCTTTGCTTACCATAAATTTTCACACACTTACCAAATTTATATTTAAATTTATTTAAATTGCTTACCTATTAATTGCCTCTTAGAGGGATCGCACTTTAACTTTCTTAAATGGGCTCAACACAAACTTATTACTTTGAATGCTCATCCAAAACTGAGCACAAGGGTTCAAAATGCAGCGCAACGCAAGCAACTCTCTCGCGAGAGACTGCATTTCCAAAACAACAACGCAATAAAAGTTACAGCTACGCACAAGAAAATTCTCGATCATACGCACAAACACACATAAACATATACATACATACGCCAAAACTGTCGTCGCAACGCGCCGCGGACTAACCTTTTGTCTTCTTCTTTTTCGTTTCGAAGAAAGAGTGAGAAGCATAAAAGAAATACAAAAAGTTTTTCTTAAATCTATGGTGATTTTCTAATTATACTTTTTTGTTTTCAAGAAAACATTTGTTTTAATTCAGAAAAATTCGTAAAATTTAGAAAAATTTACCGTATTTTTTATGGCGACTTTCTAGATTATAGGAAGGGCTGAAGTACATTTTTTCTTAATTTAATGGCGAAATCGCCATTAATTTAAGAAAACTTTTGGAGAGCAAACTAGGAAAAAACACCATTGATTTAAGAAAAAAAATCATTTTTCTAAATTTTAGAAAGGTTTTTCATAAAATTCTGTTTTTATGGTCTTTTTTCCTAGATTCAAGAAAACAATTTCTAAAATTCAGAAAATTTTCTAAAATTAAGAAAAAAATTCATTTTATGGCGATTTTCTAAAATTTAGGAAAAAAAATTTTTTGAGTGTAGGCCGTAGACACGAGGCGTTTTTGGGGGAAATCCTATGGAAAATATGGTTCTCAAAAGTAAGCTACACAAAATTTGCACTGATGTTGGTGTATTAAAGTGCTAACATCTCAAAAACCAATTGCAACTATAACTTACGAATTAAAACCGGAAACTATCCCGCAATATTTTCAAAATTTGATAGTCGCTGTTATTGCGGGTCTTGTGTTATCGATAACTCCAGCCGTTTGTCAGCTGATATTTACATCCAAAACAGCTGACAGTCAAAACTATTGCAATATGATGCACCCAAAAACAACAGAAATTCAGTTTTTCAATTAGATTTCCCAATTAAAAAGCGTATCTAAATCCAAAAATAAAAATCGTCTTTTATGGAAACTTGTTTAACATTTTGTTTTCTTACCTTGCGCCGTGTTATGTGACTTGGCAACTCTTTAGACAAAAAAACAATTGCACAAGCAAAGGAAAGTCGCAAAAAACGAAAGCAAAAGTGGATTATACATATATGTACTTATAAAATAAACATGCAACGATTGGGATTCATAACAAGACATGCTGCAGCTGCAGTTGCGCAGCAGCAACACCTGCGTCCCTTGTCTATCCACTGGAATTTGGCCCAGAACCAAAAGCCGGCAGGTGGAAATCAAAGTGCACCCAAGACCCGAGACACCCGGTCACCCAAGGCTTCAGCCCAGAAGATCACCCTCATCCAGCAGAACCAGTCGATGAGCATAACCACGCTGGAGGAGGCCCAGAAATTGGCCAAACGACGGGAGCTGCACCTGTTGCGCCTAGAGCAGACGGATGCCAAAACGGGAAGGGGCATGTTCAAGTGCGTATTCTAACCACCCATCTAAACCAATATTATTAAGTCTAAATATACATTTTACAGACTAGTCACTGCAGCCGAAATGCTGTCAGATGATGCGGATCCATCGAAATCCTCCAGCGAAAAGGCCAAGGAGAAGAAGTCGGAGAAATCCCTAACCATTGGAGCACGCATCACGGAACATGATCTCTCCTCGCGACTGAAGAACATTGTCAAGTGGCTGGCCAAGCGGCACGAGGTGCGCATCCTCATCCAGGGCCACGCCAGTGGATCCGACGAAAGCGGCTCCGAGCGAATAGTCAAGACCATCGAACAGACCATCAAAGAGCCGCAAGTGATTGGCAGGATAGTGCAAAAGCGCAGCAAGAGCTCCTTCATCAAGTTCACCATTATCCCAGTGGCTAGCCCAGCTAATCCCAATGCGATCCAGTCGTGACAACTACCGCCGTTGCCTCGGATGAGCCACAATCACAGCTCGGCAATAGCAAAGCCACCGGGATTCGCCTTTCAAATGTCTTCCCGCCATTTTTCCGATAGGATCAAAAAAGAACGCGAAAAGCCCGTCGAGATAAATGCCGCTTCCATAGTCACCATCGGGTCACTATTTCTTTTATTCTGCTTTAAATACTTCTACTGGCATCAGCATTTGATGACCCTGATGGAGAAAGACGACACAGAATCCAAAAAGAAGAAAACTAAAAGAAGGAAAGATCTCCATCAACAACATGATCAAAAGCTGCATGAACACAGTCACGATTAGCGATTACCAAAACTGTTATAATATCTGTTATTTGGCTCAAAATTGTACCATCTTCATAAATAAAACACCACACTATCAATTTTGCAACTTTCTTTTCATATTTTGAAATTCTGATTTATTTCGTATATTGTTTTTATTAAGTGACTTGTATAGGTGCCATTGGTTTAGTTCGTATTCCGTTATAAGTCATTAATAATTTGTAAATATGTATTATAAGCACACGTAGACAATAAATTATTACACTTTCTCCATTCTATCATTAATATCTATATTTAATTATGTTTAAAAAGCAGATCGTAAAACTCAACTAAAGTTTTCTATTTATTACAAGAGCAAATAAAGCTTATTTGGTGTTAGTTAGAGCAGCTAGAGAAATATAAATAAATTGTGTAGTGGTGTGGAAAGAATTATATTTATTTTTAAGTTCAACGGTTATCAGAGGCAAAAGCACACGATTATAGCAGTGAATTTCTTGGTTTTTCAAAATACAGAAACTTTAAAAGTTAAATTAAAATAATAAATAATTAAAGCAGGGTATTAAAAATACGGCACAAGGAACATTTTGTGTCACAGATACAAGAATAAATACAATAATTGTTAAATAATTTAGTCTTCAACTAAAGTACAAACGCTATTTTTGAGAGCTCTATAAATTAATAAACTAGGAAAAGCAATTAAATATCAATGCTAAAAGCCGATAACGAAATCAGTTAGAAGGAACTCACGCTACATCGTTACAACTGATAAGCCTCATTTTTGGGTGGGGAAACCGATAAGCAGACATATGGTAAGGGGAATTCATTATACATTAATTTGGAATGAAAAATATGCACTAAATAAATTAACTACAATAAATGCCAAAGCGTGTGAGCTACAGTTTCGCTGCCGTTTTGGTTTGGTGACCTGACCTATTACTGACCTAGACGCGCTGGATCTCGAAGAGCTTGACCTCCGTATCGTACCAGATGGCCGGCTCCACGTTGCGCAGGTAGATGACGCCCCAGATGTAGGTGCGGAACCAGGCGGTGGTCCCCGCATTGGCCTGGTACTTCCGGATGAGAATGGGATGCGGCACGGGCAGCAGTCCCACCAGCGTTCCGTGCTGCAGAAACTTGAGGATCTCCGACTCGTCGGTCAGTCCCTTGTCAATGCAGATCTTCTCCACCTGGGGCACCAAAACCTGCAGCAGTCGCATTATCGTTTGCAGTGGCAGCTTCGAACGCCAGGAGACGATCCACTCGGGCTTGGGTGCCCAACGATCGCCCTCGCCTGGCACCATGCGAATGCTGCCTCTGTGCGCCACCGACAAACGTGAGAGTTCCGTGGGTGACGTGGACTTGCCATCGCCAGTTGGCGTCGAAGCAGCTGACCTGTCGTAGGGCACAATCTCTGTGGAATCCGCATCCGCCTGCGGCTTGTCATTCGGATGGGCCTGCTCGCGCTCGGTCATCTGACTGATGGCCGGTGTGTCCAGCAGGGAGGTCTTAAGGGTTCCCGGCTCCGCAGGCTGGGCAGTGAGAACGTCCAACTGCTGCTCCCCCGACTGAGATCGCTCATGGGATTCTGTCTCCGATTCGAGATCCTCCTCCGCCTTGGGCTCTTCATTGATTGTATCCTCCTCGTCATCATCCTCCTCATCCTCTTCGTTGTACTCCTCGGGAACATGGGCCGATGGCAGCTCCTGGGTGACGGCTGGCGTTCTCCTCTGCGGCACCCGCGGCAAATTGAACTTGCCACCCGTCTTGCGGCCACTCAGGCACTTCGCAATGCCAGCCATATCGGTCGGTAGATTCGCCATGGCATGGAACACATGACGCTTGCGTATAATTGTGTAGACTAGATTCGAGTTGCCATCGAATTGATACTGTATAATGTTGTTGAAGATCTCCAGCAGGAAAAAGACCAGGTGATGATTACTCGGTGCCGATAGCAGAAACCAGGGCGTGCTGAAGGCTTCGAGGAGATGTAAAAGCTTCACACTGGCCACCATCGAGAGGGTTTTCAGATAGGGCGAAACGTTAACCAGGATGGTTAGCAGGCAATCGAAAAGGGGCTGCAGTCGCTGATGGCCAGTGGCTATTATTTTGTGGAACACAGTGATCAGTAAGTCGGCATGGGTTCCAGTAAACACGGGTATATCCATGGGCACGGTGGCGGAATAAGCTTTATTCAGACGAACACCAAAGTTCCGCTCGCCTATGAATGATTAAAACTCATTAAATTAGTGCTTCCACACATATCAAATATGACTCACCCGATAGCAGCAGGAGTATAAAGACTCCAATGTGCATCAAACCTACGCGAGATTGGTCGGCCCGGGAATAGTTCAGGTGATACAGTATAGGAATCAGGATATCCAGAACATCGGAGCTCTTTAGCACGAAATACAGAAACTTTTTGTTGTAGTCGCATATCTTCCAGAAGAGTATAAGCAGCTCCTGGTGGCAGTGCAGCCGCTTCGTGGAGTTGGGCAAGTAGTTCTGGACCAAAGGATTATTCAGCAGTCGGGTTATGCCCTTGAGCACGAAGTGAAAGTCCTCATCGCGGTGGACTCGCGACAGATAGTTGATGAACAGGTTGTCGCCGCAATTGCCCTCGTCGTAGGATGCCTGACCGGGTTGCGTGAGCTGCTGCTGCACCACCATGTCGTGATCCAGGGTAACAATGAGCAGTTGAAGGCACGCCTCCACCAGAGGCTCCGTGGTATCCGCAAACAGCAGGTGATTGTAGGGCACACCAAATCCCACGGGATCGTAGGAGCACACTGTATTCAAGAACGAGGTGAACAGCGGAAGGGCATGCCGATTGTCGGCGGAGGTGAAGTAGGCTATCCACTTGTTGGGCTCCTCCGACTGCTGCGGCGATCGGTACATGGGCTCCGAGAAGCAGGTGAGCAGCAGCTTCAGCAGCTCCGTGCGCCGGCGCTCCATGTGGGCGTTGTGGGGCGGCGATTGGGCAAAGCCCACGCCCGCCTCCCAAATGTACTCGCAGCTATCGATGTTGGCCAGCTCCTCGGCCTTCTCGGGACCTGTGCGTCGCGTGGCCGTGACGGTGAAATCCGGACAGAAGAGCAGATCACAGGTGGCGTTCAGCAGGGATTGGGCCAGCGGCATGGTCTTCTCCTGCGACGGCAGGCTGCTCCAGAAGAAGTCGCGCCACTTGTCGTCCTCGAAGATGTAGGGAAGGCATCGAACCAACAGGCGAACGCAGTTGAGGACGCACTGCTGCTCCGCCTGCGTGCGACAACTGCTGTCCACCGCCTGGGCCAACTTCTCCACCGCCTTGTAGCACAAAGTGGCCAAATTGGCCGGGTTTTCGTTGCGAATCTGACGAATCTCGCTGGCGGTCACGAGCGCAAAGACATCCTCCAGCGTCGTCTGGTGGCCCTGCCAGAACTGCTCCCAGAACTGCTCGTCGCTGGGGTCGATCTTCTGGTTCTTCTGCGTCAGCTGCACAATCGCCTTGCGAAAGTTCAACTTGGAATCCGTGTTGCCCATATTGTTCGGGTTGTGGCCTGCTTTGGTATCGCTGAGTCCCTTGAATCCACCTGCCCCGTGCTCGCTCGCCTCAGTGGTGGTGTCCGCGGTGTTCTGAAACAAGAGATCCTGGTAGTTAGTGCGCTTTTCTCAAGAAAGTTGGAAAATTAGAAATTCGCCTACGCACTACCAACAAATCGCCAGTGTAACTTAGAGGTGGGTGCAGCACTCACGAGTTGAGATGGGCGCGTGACTGCTGTATTGCGATATGGCACGGGGATTGAATGGGCGATACTAATCAATTATAGGAAAGTTTTTCTTTTGTAATTTATAAGTGTAATAAATTAATAATTAGGATAAGATTAAAATCATTAGCAACTTATGTTGAAGCTTCAGCAACATTTGGTGAGGTATGAAACAGCTTTGATTGCTTTTTACATTTCTAATACTTAAAACCACGTTTAATTTTATTTCCATTGTAAGTTACCGTCTAAGAAAACCTTCGAAATTCAATTTAAAAGTAAATAACACGTACAGTATTGGTAATATAATAAATTCAACATAGTTGTTACAATTTTAAACCTCTTTGGATTAAGGACCGTTTTCTCGTCCGCTTGTTAAATTTGAAGTAGGGTTAAAACCTTGAAATCGTATGGGAAATCATTGTTTTAACCCTACTTTAAATCTAAGAAACGGGCGAGAAAACGGGCCTAAGTCTAATTTAATGGTTACTAAACATGTACGAAAAATCTAGTAAAAGTAATTCTTCTACTTGAAAAATCCTAAAATATTAAACCTCTTTAATCTAATAGTTACTAAACATTTATGAAAAATTTAGAAAAATTAGATCTTCTACTTGAAAAACCCTTTCTGTTTCCAAATCGATTAATAAGCTTTCGAAATAAACGCATCGAGTTGGCATGTCCGCTAGTGCCAGTGCTGCGAAGCGACCGACTGCCGCGGTGTTGGAAGACGTTCGTGCAAAATATTCGGGCTGCACAGAAGAACATAAACGACACGTAAACGTCACCAAAAATTAGCAGCTAACAAGTCTAAATAAATTAGGATTACCGCGAGATGCGCAACTAGGGAGTGCGCCGCGATTCGTGCGAGGCTGCGTGAGAGTGCGACTGCGAGCGGGCAAGTGGCGAGTGGGCCGAAAACATATGCGAAGGTCGACGGCGAGGAGGAGCTGCCCTGCCCCACATAAGCTGCAATTTTCTGGAAGCCAACTAGCTGCTCCCTCGAAGATCCCGAAGAGGAGCACCCCAACCGGACACCATGGCGCTGCCGGGCAATGGGATCTACGTGGTGCGGGGCGAGATGGCCACCCTGATGACGGCCATGCGACGTGGAACGCGATGGAATGCCACCGCCTACGTGGTAACTAATAGTTCTAATGCTTGATAGGATTAGTTAACTTATGGCCTATTTTCAGGACGACGAGAAGGACTCGCTGCTGAAGCTGTTCATTGACCTCAAGCAAGAGCTGAATCGCATCGAGGATCTGCGCCTCATCGAGCCGCAGGTGTTCCTGGCTCCGTTTCTGGAGGTGATTCGCACGGCGGACACCACGGGTCCTCTAACTAGTCTGGCCTTGGCCTCGGTTAATAAATTCTTGTCATACGGGTTGATAGGTGGGTTGCTATATACTATATCTTCCACCGGCATTTCCTCATATATTAAACTATCAATCCGTAGATCCCACATCTCCAAATCTGCCGGACATTGTGGAGCGCATTGCCGATGCGGTCACACATGCCCGCTTCATGGGCACCGATCAATCCTCCGATAGCGTCACCTTTATGCGTGTGATCGAGGTGCTGCACACGCTCATCCGGAGTCCCGAGGGAGCCGCCGTTAGCAATGAATCCATGTGCGAGGTGATGCTCAGCTGCTTCAAGATCTGCTTTGAAACGCGGCTGAGTGAGCTACTGCGTCGTTCGGCGGAGCAGTCGCTCAAGGACATGGTGCTTCTGTTCTTCATGCGTCTGCCTCAGTTTGCCGAGGAGCGCAGTGACACCATGCTGCAGAAAAGGTTCACCATTGGAGATGCTGCCAGTGGCGCCACTCAGGAGAAACTCAAACGGAAGGCGGCGGCACCAGCTGCTCCCAGAAAATCCTCAACCGTTGAGGAGCCTCCACAGACACCGCAATCTGCTAATCTAGCGGTTCCCGGCCATCTAAAGGCACCTATACTGGCCACCACGCCCGCCAGTCCAGCGGGAAACATTCTGGACATGCAGGGCAAGATTACGCAGACACCGACCACCACTGCAAGTGCGGGGGAAGAGGAAACCACTGCCTCCGAGGCACCTGTCATTCAAGTGGAGTCGCCTGACTCAGAACCCCTGCTGGAGGGCCAAGTTAACGAAGAAACCAGCTCTCTGGCCGAGGCAAACAGCAGCGAGTACATCAACTCGGTTGGCGTTCGTTTCACCCAGCAATCCACCGATCAGGATGCCGCTCCACTCTCGCCCTACGGCCTGCCCTTCATCCACGAGCTGTTCCGCTTCCTCATAATACTCTGCGATCCCCTGAATATGGAGAACACGGACAGCATGATACACACGGGCCTCAGCCTGCTCACAGTGGCTTTCGAGGTGGCTGCCGATAATATTGGAAAGTATGAGGGCTTACTGGAGCTGGTAAAGGATAATATGTGTAGGAACTTGATATCGGTAAGGAAATATATATATTTATTATCCTGGCACTAACTCTATTTATTCTTTACAGCTTCTCAGCTCGGAGCGCCTGAGCATCTTCGCTGCCGATCTGCAGCTCTGCTTCCTGCTCTTCGAATCCCTTCGCGGTCATCTGAAATTCCAGCTGGAGGGTTACCTCAGGAAACTGAGCGAAATCATTGCCAGCGACAATCCCAAGACGCCCTACGAAATGCGTGAACTGGCTCTGGACAATCTTCTCCAGCTATGGCGCATTCCCGGCTTCGTCACCGAATTGTACATCAACTACGATTGCGATTTGTACTGCACGGATATGTTCGAGAGTCTGACCAACCTGCTGAGCAAGTACACGCTGTCGGCCACCAATGCGGTGTATAGCACCCACATTATATCGATGGATGCGCTCATCAGTGTGATTGACAGCATCGAGCGGAATTGTGCAGCGGCCAAGAACAGCAACAACAGGGAATCTTTGCCAGAAGCTGCGCCAGCAACCGGCGGAAGTCGCCATTCGCGACACAACAGCGGATTGGAGGGAATCGTAATCGATTCTGGAAATAGTGGAGCTTTAGAGGAGCCTGTTGAACACATAGCCAGCTTTATAAACGCCAGCTCACAGCGATTGCGATCTGGCGGAGATGGTAGCGTGGGCATAACCACGGAACAGCTTGCCAAAGTCAAGCAGAAAAAGCGCCTGCTTTCTCAGGGAACAGAACGCTTTAATCAGCGTCCGGAGAAGGGAATCCAGTACCTTCAGGAGCATGGCATCCTAAATGCCGAGCTGGATCCCATGCAGGTGGCCCTGTTTCTACGCGAGAATCCCGGACTGGATAAGAAAATGATTGGAGAGTATATCTCGAAAAAGAAGAACGTAGACTCGAAGATTCTTATTAATTTTGTGGACTCGTTCGATTTTACTGGTCTGCGAGTGGATCAAGCGCTGCGTCTCTACCTGGAGACCTTCAGATTGCCTGGAGAGGCTCCGCTGATCTTCCTGGTGCTGGAACACTTTTCCGATCATTGGCATGTAGGTATTTCTAATAAGATAGAGTAGGTTTTTTAATTAATTTGTTTTGTATCTCTCAATTCAGACACAAAACCAGGATCCTTTTGCCAATGTGGATGCGGCCTTCCGCTTGGCCTATGCCATCATTATGTTGAACATGGATCAGCACAACTCCAATGCCAAGCGGCTGAATGTTCCCATGACGCTGGAGGATTTCACCAAGAATTTGCGTGGTCTGAATGGCGGCGAGGATTTCGATCAGGAAATGTTGGCTCAAGTCTTTAATGCCATTAAGTGAGCTTTATATATTGTATATATTATATGTCTCCAATTGCTAATTTCCTTTGGTGAATCTATTCAAGGAACGAAGAGATCGTTATGCCAGCTGAGCAAACGGGCTTGGTGCGAGAAAACTATCAATGGAAGGTGCTCCTTCGACGAGGCTACACCCATGCTGGCCACTTCCATTATGTCCACGATGCCTCCTACGACGTTGAGATCTTCAATATTGTGTGGGGCGCTTCTCTCAGCGCTCTTAGCTTTATGTTTGACAAGAGCACTGAATCGGGGTATCAAAAAACTCTGGCAGGTGAGCTTACATATCATTAAATGATTTTCTATTTCTTACCTAACCAATTCCTTGCAGGTTTCAGCAAATCCGCTGCCATATCGGCGCATTATAATCTACATTCGGACTTTGATGCCCTCGTTTTGACGCTCTGCAAATTCACAACGCTGCTAAGCAGCGTGGAACAGCATGAGCCCGCTCCGGCAAACAATGAAATACAGCAGGCAGTGAACTTTGGGCTGAATGCCAAGGGTCAGGAGGCCATGAGAACGGTTTTCATGTTGGTGCACGACTATGGCGACTGTTTAAGGGAGAGCTGGAAGCACATCCTCGACCTATATCTCCAGCTTTTCCGTCTCAAACTGCTACCGAAAGCACTGATCGAAGTTGAAGACTTTTGCGAGGCGAACGGAAAGGCCATGTTGATCGTGGAAAAGCCGCGCGAGAAACAGGAATCTGGTCTCTTCTCCAGCCTGTACTCCTTCATCAGCTCAGAGGGTCAGCGAGAGCCAACCTACGAGGAGCAGGACTTTATAAAGCTGGGAAGAAAGTGCATCAGGGAATGCCAATTGGATCAAATGCTGCAGGAATCAAAGTTTGTGCAACTGGAGTCGCTGCAGGAGCTGCTGAAATGCGTTCTGGGTCTTCTAAAGGCACCGCAGGGTCACAAATCAATTGGATTACCCTATGCCGAGGATCAAACTGTTTTTTGGATGGAGTTTCTCGTGAAGATTGTTGTCCACAATCGGGATCGCATGATTCCGCTGTGGCCAGCGGTGCGAGACCAGATGTACCTCCTGCTCATGGGAAGTGCCTCCTGTGGCTATGATTATCTGCTCAACCGTTGCATTGTGGCCGTCCTCAAACTGGCCATCTATCTGATGCGAAACGAGGAGCTTTGCCCGATTGTCCTGCAGTCCCTCAAGATGCTACTTATGCTGAAGCCTGCGCTGCTGTTGCGCATCTCGAAACAGATTTCTATTGGCATCTACGAACTGCTCAAGACCTCGGCCCAGAACATCCATTCCGAGCAGGATTGGCAGATCATCTTCAATCTGCTTGAGTGCGTGGGCGCCGGAGCTGTGCCGCCCAGCTACGATGATACCCAGCTGCCACTGCCGCCCAATGGCAGTGCCAAGTCGGATGGCGCTTTGAGTGGCGAGGAGGACGCCTCCGCGGTGCCAGAGCGCGGTTACACCTCCGATTCGGAGCTCACCAAGGCATCTGCAGCACCTAATGCACCCAGTCCAAGTGCCGAGAACTGGATTCTGGTGAACAACAAGGACAGTGAACTCACTACGGCCTCCAGGTTAGTTTTAACTAAGTAAATATAGCTTGAAAATTATATAATATTTCTGTTTCTTTTTCGCAGACCCCAATCACCACCAAGCTCAAGTTCTCCTCCAGTTAATACGCTCGTCTACAGCTGCCAGCTACTGGACCACGCGCCCTTCGCTCTGTTCAAGTGCTGGGACTCACTGGCCTTCATCGTACGCAGCGTAGCCCACATTACGCCATACAATTTTGAGGCCTGCGTTCGTTGCATTCGCATCTTTGTGGAGGCTTGCCGGGATGGAGGAATTCGTCAGCGCAGAAAGCTCGAGACTGCAGCCAAACAAAAGAGTTCCAAGAAGCGCAGCGATCGCAAGCCGGGATTGGCTTCTTCCGCCTCGAGTAGCAATCTTACCCTTCTCACCGGAGACCCGAGCGACAGCCAGGGTCAGGGAAATGCGGCAGAGCAGGAGGATCTGGCCCAGCGTTACGAACAGTTGTCCATTCAATTGCTGGACCTCATGTACACGCTGTACACGCGGACTGCTCAGATATTCCGCTGGTGGGCCGAGGAGGGATGTACAGTGCCGCAGTCGGCAGCTCTGTGGGCACCAGGCTGGTGTCCCTTGCTGCAGGGCATCGCCAGGCTGGCCATGGATCGGCGGCGAGAGGTGCGCACGCATGCCATCTCGTGCCTGCAGCAGCGGGCATTGCTGGTCCACGATCTGCAGACTTTGTCCGGGACGGAATGGTGCTCATGCTTCCACCAGGTTCTGTTTCCCCTCCTGAACGAACTGCTGCCGGAGAGCAGTGCTTCGGGGCAGCTGGACGCCTCTCTTCTCGAGGAGTCGCGCATTCGGACGGCCACCATCATGTCCAAGGTCTTCCTGCAACATCTCACCACACTCATTGAACTGGGCAACGCCTTCAACGAGCTGTGGCTGGACATCTTGGACTACATTGAACGCTTCATGAAGGTGGGATCGGATACGTTGTCCGAACAGATGCAGGAGATACTGAAGAACATGCTGCTGGTGATGCACTCGGTGCGAGTGTTCCACAATCAGGACGGCAGTCTGCAGCAGGCCCTTTGGGAGCTAACCTGGCGGCGCATCGGTGAATTTCTGCCCAACCTCAAGGAGGAGCTCTTCCACGATGAAGGTGCGTGTGGCGGTCGTTCTAGAATTCCCCTAACCTCTCAACCTACCAGCAGATGTAATTTCTCCAGCGATCTCGCTGGACTTTACGCAAATTAGATATGGCTCTTCACTGACCCTGCCGCTTTATGGTTTTAGTCCCAAGATTTCCGCTTTGGCCACGGCCAAAAGTGAGACCCTTCCAGCCAAGCAGCGCAAGAAACCCTGGGCCAAGTTCAGATCCAAGCTGAAGGTGCTCAAGGGACTTGCCAAGAAGAATTGAATAGTTCTTGATTTCATTTCAACTTCCCGATTAACATTCTTGTCTTTATATATTTTTATACAAATTAAATTAGTTATGGTGATTATGCTTATGCTTAATCTTGCAGGCAAGCGTGCTCAGACCCTAACGAACCCAGCTCCTGTGGCAGCTGTGGCTCCCAATCCACAGCAACAGTTGCCGGCGGTGGCCATTCTGCCCAACCAAGTCCAGATATCCAACGAGTTGATTGTGAGTGCACCCACTCCGCTGGCCGTTACGCCCACACTGGGTTCGCCTGTGGAATCGCCGAGGAGGAGTATTATACTGCAGCCACCCATGGCAGATGCACTGCAGCAGCCGCCCAGCTTTGTATTTGCTCAGGTGGGATTTTAAAGAAAATAAATGTAATATATATAATAATTTTTCTATTTACATTACAGCCCCTGATTGTTCCACCCCAGCAGATAGCAGCAACGGACTTGCAACCCAGCACTTTGCTGCCGGATCTGGTGAATGAGGCAACTGCTGTTGCTGTGCAGGCCACTTCCCCATCGCCCACGCACAGCCCACAAGAGTCGGTTCCAATTGTGCACCAGACAAACATTGTTACCACCAACAATACGTACAATAGCTACGCTATCGAAGTGCCCATGGCATCGGAACCTACAGCGGAACAACAACAGCAACTGCTCTACCAACAGTACTACCAGCAATATCAGGCCCAGCAGCAGCAACAGTTGCCCGCTCAAACGAGCGATCCTGCCATCAATGTGCCAATCAGTCATCTGCTGGCCGGAAATGCTTATCCCTCGCTACCCAAAATGCCGCAGGCATCGATTGTGCATAGCTTTGCGCCTGTTTATGAGGCTCAGGCGGCGGCGGCGGCAAGTGGAACAGCTGTGCCTGCAGCCGACATATATCAGGAATATGTGCAAAATCCCTACAACCTAACCCTGCAGCAGAATCCCCAGCAGCAGCAACAGCAACACCAGCAGGGTGGCCCCGGATTGGCCACTGCATTTCCCGCCGTTGCCACGCCAGCCAACTACTTTAATGTGAATGTGGATCCCAGTAGCATACCACCTGGATCGGAGCTGCTCTATGGCCAGCAGTGAGGAGGAGTGTTGGAGGAGATTTTCAAGCCACCTGACCGTTTTATTTTGTACCCCGTGTTGTAGAGAAGGGCTATCTTTGTAGTTAATAATATAAAATTGTGTCAATTTGTTTCTTGTTATTTATGCCTCCCCCAACTAAAGTGGAAATACATTCCGCCCGGGCGCGTGTCTATTATGCTAACCGAAGAACAACTCTAAATCACAGATCCAGATGCAATTTCCAGCAGAAAACCCTATAAGCTTTAGTAATGCAAATAGTTTAATTTATAATAAATAAATAATTATATCTTCTGTATGTTATGCAAAGAGGCAAATTGTAAATAATCAAAATTAAAAATCTATAAAACAAATTATGCAAAGATTTATCTTAATGGTAGTTATCTAAAATTTAAGGAGATTAATGATTAAAAGCCGATTACTGAATCGACAAATTGAAATTAAAAAAAAATTACCCGACTCCGTGACAATGCATATTGCAGCATTGCCGTGACCAGGATTCGAACCTGGGTTACCACGGCCACAACGTGGGGTCCTAACCACTAGACGATCACGGCTACGTCGGGTTGTTGGACGAGGCTTTCCAAAAACCGAGCTGGTCACCTATTAGTCAAGATTGGTCAATAAACAAATTGAAAGTACATACAAGATCTACATTAAAATCTACTTATACTACCCTAAAAAAATCAAGTTGACGATGTGAATATATATGATGAGCGAGATAATGTCAGAGTTTTTAATAAAAATATTACCACAAAATTTAAAATATATTAAAAAAAAAATTTTAACAAAAAAAACCCAACTCCGTGACAATGTTTGTTTCAACATTGCCGTGACCAGGATTCGAACCTGGGTTACCACGGCCACAACGTGGGGTCCTAACCACTAGACGATCACGGCTACATCGGGTGATGTCGAACGGCTGCCAAATGACTTTTTCGAAAGAAACCAGTTGAAGCTTCAACCCTAAAAATCAGGCGTGGCTATAAATAGCGTAGATTGTTAAAAAAAAGATTTGTTTTATTTATCACTCCTTTTAAAGTTTTCGGCAGTGGCTTATAAATTATAGGTATTTTTAAAGTAATTATTTCTTATAGAAGAGAAAATGATAATAATATTTCGCAATTTAAAAATATGAGCTGGTTAATCGTTAGACAACTCATGATCTGATGGATGCCTTTCACTAGGCGTGTCGAGTGCCTTTCACTTTTAGAGGTGCTATTGAACTTCAATACATTGAATTTTGTTGCAATTTTGTTTTATTGAGAGCATTGGTAATTCGCTTTGTAATGTAATGTAACAATCCTTTTCTAGGTATTCTGTTCAAATCCCTTAGAGTAGGTCAAAGAAAGGACTTTTGCTGAGCACTCCAACAATATCTCCAGGAAAATTTAAAAAAATATACAAACATAAATATTTAAAGAAAAAAAACATGGACTTTTTCTGAAGATAGTTTTTTTCTTGGTAGATATGTATTGGTTTTTGTACTGTAAGCTTCACTGTATTTTTTAGGCAGTTATTGTTATTGATTTAAAATAAAAAAAATAAAAAACCCCATCTCCGTGACAATGTTTATTTCAACATTGCCGTGACCAGGATTCGAACCTGGGTTACCACGGCCACAACGTGGGGTCCTAACCACTAGACGATCACGGCTACGACGGGGTGTTGAACGAGGCCGACCAGAAACCAAATCTAAGCTAAAGGGTTGCAGAACGACCAATTAAACTAATTCCGTTAATTGTTATATCTTCAAGAGTAATAAAAACATTTTTAAAAGTAATTTCAATTACAATTAATCATTTTCTTTATATAAAAAAAACCAAGCTAAAAACGAATCGAACACCAGATGGCGCCAGCTATATATTCCGTTAAACAACACTCTGTGGTCGTTTTCGAGTACTGAATTTTCCAGCTGATTTTTTTGCACGAGCAATACGAAACATGAGCAGCTACAAGGCCATTGAAATAGATTCCGATTCGAGTGAGGTTGACGAAACAATGCCTCCGAAACGCTGTGAGACACCCCCCAGAAGTGCCGGCGCAAAAGCCAAGATAAGCAACGAAATCACCCCTAAAGCCGCCAAGGTCGCTAAGACGGAACCGGATTCAACATCTCCATGCTCCTCGGACAAGACAAACACATCTCCTGTTAGTGCTGCAGATGTATCCGGTAAAGCAGGACGCAATAGGGCTCGGAAGAGCCAGCAGGGAGCCAGGCGCATTAGTCCTGACCTCCAGTTCGAGTCGATTGCTCTGGGGGAGGGCGGTGCCGAATCCCAGATCTCCAAGAAATCCAATTTGAACAAGGACCCCACAGACTCGCAGGATAAGGCTAACACGGCCATTAGAAACCTTCTGCAGAGCGATGAAATGCAGGAACTCATCAAGCGGATCGCCAACGAGCGGGTGCGCTGCAACTTCCTCCTGGCCACCTACCAACTGCCGGACATGAACTTCACCCTCAACACGTCCATGGATACGCTCCGCCTTCAGTTCCGGGAGCGCCTCAAGCAGCGCAAGGAACGGGGAAAGCGGAAGGCGAAGGGGCCCTCCATCTATGCTCTTCCAAGCACCTCAGCCAGCAGCCAGAAAGGATCCACCAAGGGAGTTGTTCAATCCCAAAATCCTCAGTCTTAAATCAGTTTGTTATGTATTAGATTTATATCTTTTGATTTGTAATGAACTGAAAAAACGATGGATATATTCGATTACTACTGCAGAATTATCTAACTTTAGTTTGTATAAACATAAAATTAAGCAAGCACTGACATTCTGTAAACGAGAATAAAAGATGAAACGGAAATACATTTGTACTTAGTGGTACCAAGAGTTATTATTAGTATTAAGAAATGAACAATATGCCTCAAAGAACATGGCCATTAATAAATATATTTTGATATTTTAAAGACAATGCTTTCTCTTTTAATTCTACTTTAAATAAAGTTGTGAGATTTACCTCAGATGTTTTTTGTATCATTATTTGAAACGTAAGTATAATTTGAGAAAGTAATTTTTTATTACAATCTTTTAAATAATATAATTTTGTTGTTCCTATCTTTGTGAATAAATACTTCAGTATGCGCAAAACTTTGATTTGTTGTGATTTTCTGCGCATGGCGGTGAAAACAGTCATTTGGCCGCGGTTTGACAACGCCCGACGTAGCCGTGATCGTCTAGTGGTTAGGACCCCACGTTGTGGCCGTGGTAACCCAGGTTCGAATCCTGGTCACGGCAATGTTGAAACAAACATTGTCACGGAGTTGGGTAATTTTTTTTTTTTATTTTTAACCTTTTTTTTAAGATAATTTAAAATGTAATAGTAATATTTATACTAAAGAATACTACCCCTTAACATAAAATATTTCCATCGCATCGTGAAATTAATTTAAATATAAGTAAATTTCAATGTAGATCTTGTAAGTACTTTCTAATATTTTTATTGACCAATCTTGACCAATAGGTGACCTGGTCGGTTTTTGGAAAGGTACTTCCAACAACCCGGCGTAGCCGTGATCGTCTAGTGGTTAGGACCCCACGTTGTGGCCGTGGTAACCCAGGTTCGAATCCTGGTCACGGCAATGCTGCAATATGCATTGTCACGGAGTCGGGGGAATTTTTTATTTTTAATCAAATGTGTCCCAGATTTTAATTCCTTAAAAATCATTTCCTCAGCTGTACAATTTTTAAGGTCGCATAAATCATAGAGTTTTATGTCCTGTCCATAAACACATCAACCTTTTGTAAACTTCTAAATAGTAAACACATATATTTCTGGCCAAAAAATGGATTTTACAAAAACGTCCAGCGTTGAGGAAACTGAAAACACTGACAACAGTCATGCAAAGAACTTGAACGAAAATGTGTCCAAATTTTATGAGACCATAGGAAATATTTCGCGAAACATCCGCAAGGACGACTGGACATACTTGCAACGCCATCCAGAGATACGAGCCATAATTCGAGTTATTACAACTGAGGCGATTAAGGCCAAGCCATCGAATATATATCATTTTACGGCAAATTTATTTACCTGCGAAAGAGACGAGGAGATGGTTGAAAAGGTAGGGTATATTCCCCTATACAATTTTAAAATGGCTTCAAATAGAGTATTTCCTAGATAAACAAGCAACTTAAGTGGGTCAATGAGCAGTTGAGAGGAGGCACCTGGAATCCTGCAGATGGAGATATTCCCTTTCCCGAAACTAGCGAAACCTCTTCAGAAAATAATTGCCAAACCGATTTTGATACTACAGCCAAATTAGACGTGACCGAAAGACTGCTTTGTCCTGATAATTATAGTCCTAGATGCAAGAAGTGTTGAGGAAATGCAAATATATATTATTATGTTAATAAATTATAAGTAAATAAATAATACAAATATTTTTAAAATATTTCTATACCTTTTTAAATAACACACTCTTTATCCAACACTAAAATTTAAAGCGTGGGGTTGCCAGATCGAGTCGTTTAGCAGTCTGGCAGCCCCAAGGCGAAACTGAAGAGCAAAGAAGACGCAACGATTATATTTTGTAGCGGAAAAAAAGTTTCTGAGTGTTGTGTAATTTGATAAATCAGTGAAAATATCAGTTGGTAAATTCAAGTTAATCGCCTGCCAAACAGCCAAATAAATGATAATACTCGAGGAGTGTCCAAGACAAGGACAAATAGCGAGGTCACGAAATCGAGGGGAAGCCATTTTGCGTGGTGAGTGAAACGAGCGCCACCGCCCCCGCGCACCACCCACTGTACCCACCCTCTCTGCTACCGCTCTTCTTGCCTTTTGTTTTGCTAGGCACTTTCGCCGCTAGAAACCAAAACAAATTGCGTTCTTTTAGGAAATTCCACACAAATCTGGATTTGTTTAATTTTAAGATTTAGTGGGATTTATTTTGCTTTTAAAAAACCATTTCTTTGAGTGACCAACTGCTGAAAGCTACGAAACCACAGCAGCAGCAGCAACAACAACAAATGCCGGCCGGCAAACGAAAGGGAAAGCAAAAGGAAGCCGAAACGTCATTCATTCGTGCGTTGACTTTGAAACGCTAGAGTTGTTTTAGCTTTTAGCCGGAATTGAAAGGCCGGAAAAGTTCTTTTCAGCCGAATTTCTAAGCAGATCAGAACGTGAAAATGCTGCCCCAAGATAGGAAAATACTGAGGTGACAAATCACCTTTCTAGCATTACAAAAAACTAGACATTTAAAACAATTTACTTACACACATATATTTTCTCCAGGCAACATACTCGCCAGAACCAGAACCAAAATCCGAATTCGCGGCGCCCGAGGTTCAGCCACAACTACCACCCCAAAATGGGCAGCAACTCGAAGGCGGATCCCATCTCGCTGACCTTCCACGACTCCTGCCTGCGGATGTCCGATGTCCAGCTGCTCCACGGACCCCACTGGCTGAACGACCAGATCCTGAGCTTCTACTACGAGTACCTGTCGCACATGAAGTACAAGACGAACGGGGATCTGCACTTCATTGCTCCCGAGGTGACGCAGTGCATGAAGTACATGGACGACCAGGAGCTGGAGCAGCTACTCGACCAGAATCAGGCCACCGGGAAGCCCTTCATCTTCTTCGCCCTGAACGACAACGATAGCTTCGAGGCGGGCGGAACCCATTGGTCTTTACTGGTCTTCTCGCGACCGGAGAAGACCTTCTATCACTTCGATTCGTATGGCAACAATAACACCGGGAACTCTGTGGAGCTGATGAACAAGATTAAGGAACTCCTAGGAGTCCGCCAGGCCAAGTTCCGGCCCATGCGCTGCCTGCAGCAGGCGAATGGCTACGATTGCGGCATCCACGTCATCTGCATGACCGACCACATCGCCGACTACCTGAACAGGTACGAGGTGATCGAGGGTCTGCCCTCGCTGCACATCGACACCGTGAAGGCCAAGCGCACGGAGCTGCTCAAGCTCATCCTGTCGCTGGGCGGCAAGGGATAGGTTCTCCAGGGGATTCCCCCCACCCACAGTAGCTTTAAGTGACCAAATTACATATGTAAATCGTTGGAGAATGGAGGTTGCTGATAGGAAGCCACCGGAAATATGTGAATACGATATCCTTGATATTGCTAATTTTAATTTGTTTATGTTTATTTAAAGAGCAGTGCCTGGCACTAAGAGAAAAAGAAGGAATCTTTGAGTTGCGTCTTTCAAATAAAGATTTGTTTACTCGCAAACTGGACTCGAATTCAGCATTCTAATTGCCCTGTTTGTTTGCTTAAGAGGCGCCTGTCGCCATTCGGGGATTACAAACAAAAACACATTCATCTTGGGTTGCAATTATTTATTGTAAATGCAAAACGGGAACGGATCCGCATGGATCGTTGATTATTTTACGTTTAAAAACATACAAATATAGATAAATCCACATCGAAAATTGATATTACAACGAGAGGCACTGGAGTACATACAAGGAATACCATTTAACGCCAGGCGAATACTCGGGTGGGTGGGTTCTTGCATGGTTTGGGTGGAGGAGGCGGAGGATCACCTGACCACTACACTCATAAAAATTTAATTCTTCATTTTAGAAATATCGCCATTGAATCGGCCTTTGAAAATAGAAAACCAAAATTTCTTAGAAAATTTGCCTTTGAATATAGAAAATTCAAGAAAGAACTTTCTAAAATTTAAGGAAATTCTTCGATTTTTTTTTATGAGTGTACTACTATCTAACATCTAGCTAAGCTGCATACTCGCAGATATGCAAATAAATGAGGCCAGGCCTCACAGGCGAACTTCGGGCCTGGCCCAGCCGCCAAAGGCTCTCTCCAATTCCTCGGCCACGGCCAGGCACAGTCGATCCTGGTTGAAGTTGGCTATGATCTGCACGCCCAGCGGCAGACCCTCGCTGCCCAATTGGCCCAGCGGCACAGCGGTGGCCGGAAAGCCCAGCACATTCACAATGCCCGTGTAGGCAAAGTTAATGGGTCGCGTAATGGGCTCGTTGTGATACGGAGCCACCGTGGGATGTGTGGGATAGATGAGGACACCATTATCGTCCAGCAGGCGCTGCAATTCCGCCCTCAGCTCATTCCGCTTGCGCACCAGATGGTCGTACTTCGGTGATCCATGCTTGCACTGGGCGCTATCCATAATGGCAGTAGACAGGCCGATGAACGTGTGCTTGGAGGCGCCAAAAAGCCACTTGAAGAGCTCCAGATACGTGTTGATGTCGTGATCCAGGTTGCCCAGCTGGTAGGCGAATCCATGGCCGCTGTCGTCGCGCATGTTGGCGAACCAGATGGCCGCCGACTGGCGGAACTGCGGCAGCTGAATGCGTTCCACTTTCTGACTGCCAAACTTTTCACTCAAATGTTGGACAACTCGTTTCATGGCCTAAAAAGAGGAGGATTGTGGTTTAAAATATTTTAATATGTAATAATTAGACCTCGGATTTCGCATATTTGTCCATTTTTGGTCCGATTTTTACCAAAATTTCTAGGTGGGTGTCATATTTTTCAAATGTAATAAATTCGGATGCATATCGGAACTATGCAAAATATATCCAAAAATTATATGCATAAAATATGCCAAATATATGAAAAATATGCAAAATATATAAGAAACCTTCAGTAAACACGGCGAGCAATTTAAACGAGCAGTTTGGCCGATAGGGCCAAAAACTATTCTACCCCTTTTACTATTTTTGCCCCTTCTCGCCTACTTGTTGGAAATATAAATAGGGAATAAATTAGATATCTCAGAAATGACGATAAGGAACAAACAATTTTCTTCGGGTAAATTAGGTTGGCTATGAAATGGTCAATGTTGAATAGTTGAGTTTATTTTATATTTTGCTTATGTTATGCATATTCATTTTATGCAAAAAAAATATAATATGCCATTAATTTTAAACTATGTATATTTTTATTAAAACAAACTTTTGTGTTTTCGGAATAGATCTATCTTTATCCTATAAAAAAATGCAAGTATGCAAAATCCAAGGTCTAATAATAATCTATTTAACTTTACCTCTCTCAAGTCAGGATCCACGGCGGAAATGAGACGTCCACCGCCATCGGACTCCTGGTAGAAGAACTTCACCTTCTTCAGGTCCACATCCTTGTCCAGATTGAGCAGCGCAGCCTTCTCGCCGGCCATAATCCTTAGCATGGGTCGCAAATCCTCGGCAAATCGCGACATGGGTCCCAGGCCCAAAAAGGAGTTCTGCTCGGCACTAAACGGAGCCGGAAACTGACCCACATTGGAAACGACCAGCTTGCTGGGCTTGTGGCCAAAGATGCCATTAAAAAAGGCCGGCATGCGAATGGAGCCACCAATGTCGGAACCCAAACCAAAAGCGGAGGCAGCCGCCGACTGGATGCAGCCCTCGCCGCCACTGGAGCCGCCCACAATGCGATTCGTGTCGTAGGCATTCCTTGTCCTGCCGTGCACCGTATTGTTGCTCTCCCACCACATGCACACCTCGGAGACATTGGTGAGGGCCAGGGGAATGGCTCCGGCCTTGCGCATCAGGGCCATGGCATCCGCATCCTGGGCACCACGTACATCCCGACGTTCATAAAGCCCGGCTGTATGGAGCATGCCTGAAAAACAGGTTATATATTAGTAATAATTACAAGGATATACTAAGAGCTACTTACCCTTGACGGAAATGCAATCCTTGGTGGTGATGGGCACTCCCAGGAAGGGTTTCTGCTTGGCCAGCTCCTCTACGCTGTATTGCCCCGATTTTATCAAGGCATCAGCCTCGGCTGCTTCTTTTAAAGCCTGATCATAGCGCTCGTCCACCACACAGTTTAGAATGGGATTGACCTCCTTGATGCGACGGATGAAGGATTCCAGAACCTGTACGCTGCTTAGCTGGAAAAGGGAAATCTTATTAGTTAAACTATAGAGAGAATAACTTTGTAAACTCACCTCCTGGTTGCGAATCTTCCTGGCCAGCGATGTGGCTGACTCAAGGAGAATAGGATCCGTGATCGGGGGAACACTCTCACCCTTGTGGCCATAGATCAGCCGGAAAACAAAACGAATGAAGGCCTGGAGAAGACCAAAGACGTAGCCACCAATGGCCCGAGCATATGAAACGCTCTGCGCCATTTCGCCGGATTTTTAGGAATGTTCGGCTGAAGAACCTCAACTACTTGGAATCAGAATCGGAATGGGATGTATTCTTCTGTTTTCCTCTTGCCCATGTGTGGATGTTCTGGAAGATTTAAAAGAGTGAAAAAATTAAATGCATGCATTATAAATTCTTGTAAAATATAAATGAACAAAGGGGAGGCCATAAATAAATTGCGTTGTGGTCGATGTTTTAACAGGTTTATCAGAGAGCAAATATTTGCTAGGCTCTGTTTTGCGAAAAATTTTTAATATTTTTCACAGCTTGGTAGAAATACTTATATGGGTCAAAGTAGGTATACCTTTATTACCTATATAAATCGTTTAAACCAAGGAAAAAGGCAATTTTCTTGGATTTATAGCTCGTTATTCAGTCACCTGATTCGGCAATAATGTATATGGATATTATGATAGCGTAAAAATTGCTTTAAAATCTTTTAAAAAATGCTTTATAAATAAGCAGCTGCATACATAAAAAAGTAGAAAAATATGAGTACACCTAGTTATCTCGATATTTATTTCAGATATAGGGGCAATCGATTTACTCAACACCCGACACATAATTTAATAGCCCCTACAATTAATTGGGGTGTCCCAGATAGGCCAAGTCCACACCTGTTCTGTGACTCATAGATGGGCAATTAGCACGGAAAAATATGGAAAATTCGAATCAGAGAACTTTGTTTCAAAATGCATACATATGAGCAAGAAACCGCAAACATTTCTCCAGATAATTACAAAGAAATGTACTCTAAATAAACAAAGGAATTTAAAAGTGCGCTAAAAGTTGGCAAGTACTAAAGTGAAAAACGTGTTTCTCTCTATGACAAGGAAAAGCTAAAGCCAATTTACTAGCTCGCTCTACGGAAAAGGTTGTTTAAACAAACGACTTTATTGTTCAAGTCGTTAACACTTCTCTATTTACAAAAACGAATAAGGGGAACTTTCAAAGCGGAAAAATACAAAGATTAAAGGTAGATATCGAGTTGGAATCGGGGCAATTTAATGTTCTTAGGGCCATATGTTTGGCCAGAATCAGGATTTTGTTTATTATCTTATCACGGGTGCGGTTCAGACAGCTAATTCACTGCTTAAATATCAGAAGATAATGGACACAAAGAGAGGTGAGCGGACCATATGTGGATCCCCATGAACTTGGAAAGCCAGACCATAAACTATATCCACATCAGAACTCCTAACTATTCTGAAGAAAAAAACAATTACGGCAACTGATAAGTTAGGTGAGTCATATGTAGCTCCCATTCGTTTGCGATAAACAAAGACCCATAACTAAACCACATCGTATATTGTGCAATCCGAATAGTACTCAGTGAATAATTAGTGACAATTCAAAGTTCCCATTGCTTATCGCATGGGGCTTATCGCAACATGTTCCTAGAGTTGGATTTTTCTATTAAAACCGCCTTTTAACATACATATCGCAATTTCTGCAGATTGCTAATTGAATTGCCAGACATTCGAATGCAAAGAGTGCATTATAATCAATTTCACACTGGCAAATTGTAGGGAGGGAGGTGAATTCACAAGGGGTGGTGACAATTTGTCTGTCCGTGACTGTCCCGTGAATACGGGAACAATTTGGGAGTAATGCCACAACGACCTTCAATAAAAATACAGAGCACGCTATATGGTGTTCAAAACACTCTGTTATAGTGCGGCAATTATAACGAGGACGGAAGCTAACTTCGGCAAGCCGAAGTTTTAATACCCTTGCAGATTTTACGAATTAAAAACTGTCAGCAATTTTTTTTTTTGACAAATTTTAAAAATTAACGTAAACCAAAATTATTTTACCGTCTTACCAAAACAAATACAAATTTTTTTAAATCCCTGCCAATTAATTTGAATATGCGGCGTGGGCGGTGGATGAAAGCAATGGTCCGATTCAAAAAGCAACAAAAACCGAAATAACAGCTTTATCTTAATAGTATATATAAAAAATTTTTAAATTGTATCTCTTAAACTAGAGTTTATGCCAAAAAAATAGACTTTTTTCCCATAGTGCTATGGGAGCTATAGGATTTAGACGCCCGATCGGCACGCGCGTTTACCCTAATGAAGGTACGCACAAAAAAATACGATTTGGAAAGTTTCATGGGAATAGCTAATATTTTGCGCGAAATATCCTGAAAAACGTCAAATTTTGACCGATTTCACCCTATTGTTCCTATGGGAGCTATAAGATATAGACGTCCGATCGGCACGCGCTTTTACCCTGATCAAGGTACGCACAAAAAAATACGATTTGGAAAGATTCATGCCAATAGCTCTTACACTGAGCGAAATATCTTCATTTTTGTGAAAGCTATATCCGATTGTTCCTATGGGAGCTATAGGATATAGACGTCCGATCGGGTCGGCTTTCAAACTTGATCTGCGTACACATGTTTTAGGACGACTATGAAAGTTTCAAGGCGCTAGCTTTTAAACTGAGCTCGCAAACGGTATTGAAACAGACATACAGACGGACAGACGGACATGGCTATATCGACTCCCCTATTGATCCTGATCAAGAATATATATACTTTATGGGGTCGGAAACGTCTCCTTCACTGCGTTACAAACTTCTGACCAAAATTATAATACCCTCTGCAAGGGTATAAAAAGTTGTTATGATAGACTGGGATTGGAAGAAAACAAAAACAAAGGTTGTAATAAGCTAGTTTTAAAAGTGTAGGGGAATAACATCTGCGAGAAATTCGTGTTTTAATAGAAATGATCTTAAAGAACTGAATCAATGTCATTGGTAAGTTGGCTCCATAAGGAAAAACTTTTGTAATTGATTGGATGTACTTAAGTCAAATAGAGAATAATTTCTTGGTGCAATATAAATCATTTCTACTTGAAATCATTCGCGCAAAGGTCGATGGGTAGTGATGCGAAACGATAATCGACCCGTAATCGGGGATTTAAGTGGGCAATCCGATAAGATTAGCCGTAAATACTTGTGTTTTTGGCACAGTGGCCAAAAAGTTACAAGTCTCCACAGACCTGTTGCTCCCCATTGGAGACTGGAGAGGGGAGAATAGCAATCGGTTCTAATTGCATGCTACTTGTAATTAGAAAATAGGCGGACTGCTATTGATTTCCAAGTAGGGGGTGTGATATATATGATACACAAAAGGTGGAAAAGCAAAGGCTACGACCGGCGAAATAGTTTGTGAGTGGGGGGCGCTGGGGGAGGGGAATCCCCTGGGGCGTGTGCCAGTGACATCATTTCAACATTTCCATTTCCAGCATATGCGTTGTTTGGATTGCAAATTCATCAAGTGTCATTTGACACTATGTACGTGTGTGTGTACAATATATGTATGTAATTTGTTTGTTTGCTTAGGGCGCGAGTAAAAAAAACACAAACAAAAACAATCCATCCGCTGACGTCACAAGATGCCGCAACAATAGAGCCTGATTTCAATTAAAAATTCACAAAGGATGTGCCACAAAAATGGGGAATGGGTAGAAATTGCACTTTGTTCAAGTTTAAATTACAAATAACCGGTTGGCGAAAGATTATTAGCGGTTAGTATGCCTATTCGCCATCACAAAATTACACATCATCAATGATAAATACATAAAATGGCACGAAATTCGAGATAATCAGTTATACACACAACACATATAGGAAAGTAATCCGCAGCAATATCAAACAAACACTTTTATCTACCCGCTAAGCACAAAGTCGACCGATCAGATGGGCGATTTTTTTTAAACATAAAAAACTAGCGTGACCGTTCTTGGACTTGCTCAAAATGCCAATTTGAATGTCTCAGAGTAAATAAATTAATTAGCAACAATTACAAAATTTATTTAAGAGTTTGGTAAATAATTAGATTTAAATTTAGTTTTAATTACAATTTTAATGGATAACATAAGGTACCAGCACGTAAAATCCGTATGGGCGAATCCAAGCTGGTATTTAAATATGTGGCCAGATGATGGTCACACAACAACTTAGCGCGCAAGTAAAAATATTTTGGAATTGCCTATTATGATATTTTGATAATAATGGGAAAATTGGAGAAATTTTTTTATTTTATTTATTTAGCCGAATGATTGATGATGATGATCTGGTTCCCAAAACCAATACAAAGCTGTATAGGATCCAACTCGTTCTGACTGGTAGTTATTTAATTTCTTATAAATATTTAGAAACAAGTTGTTTATAAAGTTTATTCCCAAAAAATTTAGATGGTAATGCAAAATATTCACTACGTAATGCGGCTATAAAGATTATATCTTACTTTATTCGGAATTTATTTTAAGCAAATAATATTGTGCGTACCCTCTTTCGGTTTTCAAAACCGTACATTTACTTATTTGTATATTTAACACTATTTGCATAAAGTTATTTATGAATAATATAGATATGTATGTGCATTAGATAATTTAAAAAAAAGTAACGGTTAAAAAAGTGCAGCAAAAATACTAAACAAATCACAGAAATACTTGATAAACTTTTATTTAGTATTTTTTAAGTCCCCTTTGGCAAAACGCACAGTGAACCGGTCTGGCAACGCCGGCCCAATTCGAGTTGACGCTTTCAAAAATGTCATCCTGGAACATTTGCAGCCGGAAAAGGAACTGAAAAGCAACCGAAAGTCGGGTAAGATTGGGCTAACGAAATGAGCGTGAAAGAGGATCTGGCCCTGCAGCTGGCGGAGCCGCAGCTGGCCAAGCTGACCAGCGAATCGGAGGAGATACGCTTGCGCGCCCTCGAGCAGGTTGAGACGCGGTTCATCCGGTGCCTGCAGCTGGGCGAGCGCATCCACTTCAAGCCGGTGCTGCTGCTCAAGCAGCTCATCCGTTGGTTTGGCCACACGCCGCCCCTGGCCGCCGACCGGGTGCTGGTCATGATCCTGGAGCTAATGCGATCCGAATACGGCGAGGCGGTGATCCGCAAGATTCCCTACAACCGGCTGAAAACCGAACTGGAGAAGGTGCGTCGTGTGCTGCGCCCGCTGGAGTCCACGAGGATTAGCGAGCTGCTGGATGATCTGCAACTGCTGCTCTTGGAGAAGTACAAGATGGACCTGGTGACGCCCTGCACCTCCAGCCTGAGTTCCATTAACCTCAGTAGCCAGGGAAGTGATTCCTCAACCAGCAGCCTGGGAAATCTCCCGGCCGAGTACTACGAGCCCGCCTGGACAAGTGCCGGCCTGGACGACGTGGCCAGCATGAGGAACCTGATCGATATGCCGCGCAACGGGGCCACCGATGTGCCCGAGCTGCAGGTGCAGCTCACCCACCTCATCATTCGCATGGGCGACTACCCAGCGGAGTATTTCCTCCAGTCGCCTTTTATATTCCTGCATTTGGTGCAACTGCAGACGCGGCAGGATGACAGCCTGCTGCAGGTGAACCGGGCACTCATTGCGTTCCTCAAGCAACTGCAGCGCCGCATCCAAGTGCGTCGTCATACTTTGAGCTATGCGGCCAGCTTTGATCCTCCGGGAACGCGTCCCAAGCAGCTGAAGGTGGCCAACGCCTTGGGCATTCTCCTGGCCAACTGCACCAAGCTCATCCGACCGCTGCTGTTCCGGTGCACCGCGGATAACTGGCACATTCTGGAGCTGAGCGTGGAGGCCGTGCGAACCTATGATGTTCTCAACTTCCGCGTTTCGCCCGGCGGCACTGAGCGCTTTGCAACAATTGTTAGGAGGCTACTCGGGTTCTGCAACGCCACTTTGGAGGGCGATGACCTGGAGAAGCTGGTGGACACGCTGATGATTCCGCGCCTGCAATCGCTGATCTTCAACGGCCTGCTGCAGGACACTGTGGCCCTAAATTTCACCTACGACAAGCACTTGGATCGCAACAAGGCCAAATCGCTGATACAGCCCATCATTCTGGACAGCTCGTATCTTTCCTGCGTGCCCGATCGCATGAAGTCGCTGAGCAACCTGATTTGCGCTTTGTCCTCGGAACCCTCGGCCGAGGAGCAGCAGCTGATCAAGCTGAAGCGGGCCTACAGTTTGGCCCTCAATCAATTCCAGCCAAAGACCAAGATGGGAGCGGCGCAACTGATCCAAATGCACAGGCAGGTGTGCCTGGTGACCAACCAGCTGGGCAGTGAAACCCTAATCAAGCAGCTCTTCGATGCGATTGTGGAGTGTACACCGCTCTACGCGAACAATCAGCAGTTGCGCCGGGATGCGGAGGCACTGCTGTACACCCTCATAGATTTGCCCGACCACAATCTGCGTGGTTTTGTCTACCGATTGATGCCGCGCCCTGTGGTCTCGCACTTCCATGCCTTCATGAACAAGACGGTTTATATGACGGGCTGCAGCAATTTGGAGCTGGCTCGCCAGCACATTCTTGGCCTGCCGCTGAACACCAAGCTGCTGCGCCGCCTGATCCTCCAGAGTTGGGACGCCGATGCCCCGGAACAGGTGCGCCAGTGGTGCATTGACTATCCCACCATGCTGCTCAAGCTAAACTGCGTGATTGCCGCGCAGGACTTTAATATCGTCTTTCAATTGGTTCTGCCTGTGCTGCCTTTGCTCATCTGCAGATCGGTGATTCACAAGCAGCTGCACAAGGTGGTGTGGCAGATGTTTGAGCCGGACACAAGCAGTCTGGATCCGCCGTTGATGCTGCGTGGCTACGTCTTCTACATGTTCCATCCGTTCTCCCAGATGAGGGGCGAGGCCACCACCAGGATCGCCTACGTGCTGCAGTGCCAGGATTACACAAATAAATACAAGCCCACGATGGACAAGGTTCCCATTGAGCTGCTGGCCAATGATCTCTGCCTGATTCAACCGCCTGCTAGTTATAAAAGCATTTTCAACGAGTCCTCCGAGGAGCCTTTCCAGGGACAGCGCAGCCTGGATGCCCTGATCCGTTTGCTGCAGACCAAAGACCTGAGGCCCACCATCAGAAAGTCAACAATGACGCAGCTAAATGTTTTGCTTCAGAACTGGAAGGCCTGCGAGGACTTCTCCACGAAGGAGGATGGCTATCGACTGGTTCTGGAGTCCTTGCACAACGCTTTGAAGAAGGAGAGTGTTAATGATCCCGCCGACATCCTTCTGCCCGCCGTGAGTATTCTGATGAAGCTGCTTTTTCACAACGAAGGATTCCGCAAGGAGATTGCAAACACTTTTGAGGTGTACGTCTGCCTGCTTCGCGCTTTGTTTATGCTGCCCCACGAGGCGCAGTTGCGCCAGGATGTCAGCATATGCCTGTTCCAGATGCTCTTCCACAACTTTATCACCTCCACGGAGGACAGGCTAGTGCTGGATGTAGAGCTGGGTGCCATGATTCTGCCCATCACCTACGAAGTGCAGGTCACAGCGACGGCGACTGCTGTTTCGGAGGGAATGGCGCTGCAGCAGCAGTTGCAGGACACCCATTTCGGTGGAGACAAAGCGAGAGCTTCGCAGCATTGGCGGTTGTATACGGCGCATCGCGTTTGCCAGTGCCCATCGAGCATCACCTTGGAGTCTGTAAGAGATTTGGACATCAGGGAGTCGCTGAAGATCCAAGTCGGTGATCTCGCATTGATGCAATCCTCCGATTTGGATTTGCAGCTGGGCCACCAGCTCACCGCAGCCAGTAACTGCAGCAACCACGAGGATCTCCAGTATATTGTGACCCTGGTTCAGCTTTTCCTCGTCCTCCTGCGCAGCTCGATTAGTCAGTCGGCGGGCGAGGGCCTGTGGAACTTGATCCACAAGTATATACGCGTGGCTCCAGGCAACGATGCGGATCGCGGGCTCTACCAGTCCCTGCTGGAACTGTGCCTCACCTGCCTGCGCTTCAGCCAGCCCCAGGTGATGGGCGGCCTGACCGAGGCCCTCGAAAGCGATCATCATCACAGCTTTCAGCTTATGCTGCACGATCGCTTCATTCCGCTGGAAACGCTGCACCTGATTAGCCAGTGTTTGACGCACCTGCTCTCCTCCGCGTACTGTGCTGGTTCGCTTCAGATGGACTGGCACGCAAGGTTCTTCATGCAGCTGAGTTCGTTGGCCAAAACGCACTTTGAGTTGCGCCAACTGCAGCATGTGCGCTGCATGCTACGCATCCTACGGCGTCTCAGCGAGCTGGATCTGAAATTGAGTGATGTCCAGTTGACGGTGAGTAGGGGATAGAGCCCTGCAATGAATTATTTTGAATTTGTTGTTTTATATGAATGAATTAATTAGAATTTTGAGTTTAATAGAATTGAATGAATTTGAATATCGAGTTTAATAGAATTCAATAAATAAAGGGCAAGAATTCCGAAATAATTCAAACGACAATTTTCGTTTAAAGAAGAAAGGCACATAATTTTGTGATTAAATCTGCCTGAATTTTATTTACTAAGCAGTTAACATTGATTTGTTAAAAATTTTTCACTTTTTGTTCTCAAAAGAAAGCACAAAAAAATCTGGCAAAAATTAAAAAAAATCATAAAAATTATTCATTGATTTATTCAATTCGAAATGAATTCGAGAAACATTCAATTTTTTCACATAGAATTAAATTAAACAAATCAGAAATTTCATGGCATACTATGATAAAACAAAAATTGAATGATTCACGCAGGGCTCTACTAGGGGATGCTTTTTATTTCATTTAATTAAAAATCTAACTTTGAACTTTTTACCCTAGTTCTATTGCCAGCACTTCATACAGCTGTCCAGCGATCTGAGGACCTCGACGCAGACCGGCGCCCAGTGGCAGCGGGATTGCCTGCACATCATCTGCCAGCTGCACATGCGTCAAGCTCGTCTTCCTGCCAAACCGAATGCCTCGAACGAGGTGGTAGTCACGCAAAAGGTGCTTCGCTATTTGCTCGGCCTGTGCGGGCACAGCGATGGCGAGGTGCGCGCCCTGGCCTGGGTTTCGATGGCCAATTGGATCAACGGAAGCGGTGGAAGCATGGCCAACATTCTGCCCCGCCTGGACTTTCTCCCCGGCGGATTGCCCGCCTGCTGTTTGACCACGCTACTGGATGTCCACGAAATTATGCTGGTCAGGGAGTTGGCCGGTCGCGTTTTCATCCTGTTGATGCCGATCAGTGGCGCAGAGACTTGCGTGGAATTGTTGCGGCATCATGACTTTCTCAAGGACGCCAACAACGCCCTGCGGATGACGCACGTTACTCCCTGGCTAAAAAAGGAGCCGGTGGGCGAGCAGCACTCGTGCGAAATAATTGCCTGCTATGTGGCTATCTGCACTCAAATGGTCGTCCTCCAGCCGGGATGGTGCGCCACGCTGTGCGGGCATAGCTTCATGAACGGACTGAGTGATGTGATGAAGACGCCAAAGCCACCGAAGGCCTTTTCCGCATCCTTTGTGGCGCTGTGTGCCGGACAAATATGTGAGTTGTACGCTTTGTGCTATCGTGATAACTTTGAGTTCCTGCAGCGGAGCATCTGTCGGGATTCCGTCCTCATGCAGAGCTTCCTGACGCTAACGAACGAAGTGCTGGATATGGATTGCCCCGAGCGCTTTATGGTTCAACTGCTCAAGTTGTTCCTGATATTTTGCAAGGATTCGAATGCCTACGCCTTTCTGGTCGAGCAGCTGAAGAGTCAGCCAGCCTTGTTCCTGGATTTCTTCCTGTATGGACTGCACTTGTCGTACACGAATACCCCCTTTCAGCGCTACACCCTCTCCTCTTTATCCATGGTTTTTATTAAGGCTCAGAATGCTGCGGAAAAGGAGAGTTTGCTGCGCGAATTGGAGCTTTATATACTGCCACTGGATGATCTTTTGCCCACTGAAGAGGAGGATCTGGTGCTGAATAACCAACACGAAATAATTTCCATAAATAAGCAACTGATATCGTTATGCATGCAGAATCAGCCGGTGAACCCAGAGGGTGGGGATCAAAGCCCAATTGCTGGCATCAAGACCACCAATGCGGCTGTGGTGATTTACCACCGCCTGGATCGCCTCTTTGACAAATATTATCCGCCCAAAAACTTCAGCTTTTTGCAAAACCCCAGTTCAGGTCATGTCCAGATCTGCGAGACGCTTGGAGTGCTGTTGAAGCTATCCCCCTGGGCTGTTCATGCGGCCGGTCAACTGAAGCTACTCGAACGAGTGGTTAATCTCCTCGATACTTTTCTCAACGACGCAAACATTGGAAACGCCACCGTCTATGTGAAGCGCATGGGAGCCCACAAATCGCAGAATATCCTGAGCAATCTATTGCTACTTATAAACATGCTGTCCCAGTGGCATAGTTCGCATCATTCTGTGATTAGCCACTCCCCCATGGCCTCCACAATCGTCCGCCTGTTGATACGCATGTGGCCCTGGCTGTCGCACTCGACGCATCTGAAGAAGATCACCGTGCAGCTGGCCATGTTCCTCACCGAGCACTCCTTCGAGATGTGCAAACAGACTTCGCTTCTACATTCCGGACAGGCGCATTCTCTGCTAACTTTAATGGTTCGTGTTGCTGACTTTGAGACGACCAAGAAGGAGACTCCCAACAAGGAGCCCAGTCTCAGCATGGTGCCCGCTTTGAGGGTAATGGGAAATTGCTGCTCTTGTGCCGAGGGTCGACTGAGTCTGACCAAAATGCACATACTGGACATGTTTGACACCATCCTGCCTGCCAATCAGGCTTCCACGCAGGCCACCAAGGTGCGACCACTTGTTCTAAACGCTTGGCTCGGATTTTGGGAGGTCTATTCCCGGTACGATGTGGGAGCCAAGGCTTGTCATCTGCATTCCCTCATCAACACCATTCAACGCACACCGCCCTTGAGCCAAAAGAGGATCCTGTGCCTTCGTATTCTTCGCAACATGTGCTTCTTCAATGGCAATCGCAGCCAGCTTGTGGAAATGGGTGACTTCATTAACCTCCTGCGTGATATTGTAAACCAACCCGTGAACAAAGCAACTGGATCGGGGGAAAAGGACTTGAACTCATTCGAAGAGCACCGCTTGGCTGTCCTGATGCTGTGGAAACTCTTCGGCTTCGGGGCCAAGTACAAGGGCATGTTGCGGGGCACCAAACTGTTCAAACTGCTGATCGGCCTTCGAGTTGAGCTGTCAGTGGTTTACTCTGAAAATCCGCACAAATACACCGACGTTCCTTATGCTAAAGATCTCGCCGAGTTGCTGGAAAATCTTATGGAGTCGATGCGACAATAAACAATGGACGGACACGAACTGACATAGTACAAATAAATAGGATAGCTATAACAAAATTGTTTTTTTTTATAATATGTGTCTTTTGTAAACGGACTTTTAATATAACAAACGAACCAATGTACTCAAAAAACAAGTTATTACTTATATTCTCACTTTTACTGTGAGTCTAAAACCACTCTAAGTCTACACGATGTCCTTAAATGATGAAAAATAAATATGTTAGCATAAACTGAACAGTAAACTGATAATTTTATCATTGAACTACCCTAATGGAGGGCGAATTGAGCATTTTGTGGTCTCAATAAGATGTGGTACTGAAGTAGCCCGAGACGTATATATTCGCAGCAACCGCATATAGACATAAAGATAAGATTTCCAGGTCTCCAGCGACTGGCAAACAAGCGTGCGAAAAACAATTTCTTACACTATTTTAGAGCCACATAAAGATAGGAGTCCATAAATCTGCCATTATTTAGATACCAAATCGGCAAAAACCAACTGGGAAGCAACTGGAAAATATCCGGGGTTTTTCGCGACACTCTCGTTAGCATCGAACGCTATATTGCATGCATAAAGCGATTTATCTTTATGGGCTTCAAAGTGCGAATCACTGCTGATAATATCCGTCCACCTTCAACTTTAGTTGCCACAAGTCAATGGCACTTTCAGTTCAGTCCCGACTGGCCAAAGGAGCTGTTCGACTCTCAGCGACCGACTAGAATACATATCGCCATGAAGTCCAGGGACGAGAATGTAAGAATTGATTTTAAAAATCAATTTGTGGTTATTAATCCATAAACTATTTTACAGGGCTCTGCTGAAAGCAAGTCGGACATGGCTCTGGTTCAGATGTTATCGCAAGAAAAGCAGATGAAGCATAGACTATCCTGGTACTACGCACCATCCTTTCTGCTCCTGTGGGTTGTACTATTCTATGCGGTGGTGTATCCTTTGTACCATCGACTTCCCGACTCCGTTCTGATAGCGGATGAATCCAGTAAGCCTGGCCAATTTGTGGCCGAGAGGGCCCAAAGATTGCTCTACAAATACGACAGGATCGGACCCAAAGTGGTGGGCAGTGTGGCCAATGAGGTGACAACGGTGGCTTTTCTCGTGGAGGAAGTGGAGAATATCCGGGCAGCAATGCGAAGTGATCTTTACGAGGTGGAACTGGATGTTCAGCAGCCCTCGGGAGCTTACATGCACTGGCAAATGGTGAACATGTATCAAGGTGTGCAGAATGTGGTGGTGAAAATAAGTTCAAAGAGCTCTAATAGTTCGTCCTACCTTCTGGTAAACAGCCACTTTGATTCCAAACCCAGCAGTCCCGGTTAGTAAAACAAGCTGTTACTCCAAGAAGGATTTTTTAATGACATCTGTTTAAAGGTTCCGGTGATGATGGCACCATGGTTGTGGTTATGCTAGAGGTTCTCCGTCAAGTGGCCATATCGGGAACCCCTTTCGAACATCCCATAGTATTTCTGTTCAACGGAGCTGAGGAGAATCCATTGGAGGCGTCGCATGGTTTTATAAAACTTCACAAATGGGCGGCAAATTGCAAGTAAGTTTAGATATTCCCTAGAATTCGATGAAAATTAAAAGAACCTTTCAACAGGGCTCTCATCAACCTAGAAGTAGCCGGCAGTGGAGGTCGTGATCTGTTGTTCCAGAGCGGTCCCAATAATCCCTGGCTCATTAAGGTATGCTACTTATGACGCATTCCATAGTTTCGAGGAAATTATTTGGCTAGACTCACGGTTATTTGCAATTTATGGAGCTTATATTGTTTATCGAATTTCCAACAGCTAATTGCGGCAATTTGATTGCGGCACATTTTTGTTTTGCTTTGATGAAATCGACACTTTGTGATAAACGGATACTTATTTTATTTACTCCTCATAGTACTACTACCAAAATGCGAAGCATCCGTTTGCCACCACAATGGCCGAGGAGATATTTCAGTCTGGCATTTTGCCATCGGATACGGATTTCCGTATCTTTCGGGACTACGGATCGCTGCCAGGTAAGTTACAGGTTTTTTTTAACAAATTGATTAGTTTTGGTTTTCTATAAAAACTTGTCGCCTAAAGGTCTTGATATGGCGCAAATCAGCAATGGCTATGTTTATCACACGATTTTTGATAATGTTCAGGCGGTGCCCATTGATTCCCTTCAAAGTTCGGGAGAGAATGCTTTATCTCTGGTACGGGCTTTTGCCAATGCCAGTGAAATGCACAACCCAGAGGTGAGTCATTTGAAGTCCGATATACTTGGAATAACTCATATATCATCCTATCTCTCACAGGATTACAGCGAAGGACATGCCGTCTTTTTTGATTACCTCGGTCTATTTTTTGTTTACTACACTGAAACCACTGGCATAATCCTGAACTGTTGCATTGCTGTTATCAGTTTGGTTCTGGTGGGCTGTTCTCTTTTGAGGATGTCTCGTGAATCGGATGCCTCGATTGGTCAAATATCCATATGGTTTGCCATTATCCTGGGACTCCATGTGCTGGGAATGATTCTCAGTCTCGGATTGCCCCTGCTGATGGCGGTTCTGTTCGATGCCGGAGATCGTTCGATGACGTATTTCAGTAACAATTGGTTGGTGATTGGCCTCTTCATCGTTCCAGCAGTTATTGGACAGGTTCTGCCCTTGACGCTCTATTACACCCTGAAACCGAATGTGAGTTGGTTTAGCTACAAATGTTATGAAATATGTAATAATATTTATTTTCTAGGAGAACATTAGCCACCCCAATCACATACATATGAGTCTTCATGCGCATTCTGTACTGCTGTCTTTAATTGCCATTATCCTGACTGCAATAAGTCTGAGAACTCCTTATCTTTGCATGATGTCGTTGCTGTTTTACGCGGGAGCTCTTTTGATTAATCTCTTGAGTACTCTCCATGATCGCGGTAAGTAGTTAAATAAAATTCCTTAAATAATTAATTAATATTTATAAATCTACAGGATACTATTGGGTGTTGATAGTGCAAGTCCTGCAACTGATGCCATTCCTGTACTTCTGCTACCTCTTCTACACCTTCCTCTTGGTTTTCTTTCCCATGTTGGGACGTTTTGGCCATGGCACGAATCCTGATCTCCTGGTCGCCCTCATCTGCGCTCTGGGAACTTTCTTTGCCTTGGGTTTTGTGGTAAGATGAGAGGCCTTACTCGCAGTTAAATCTAATTTTTGGTTACCCTAGGCTCCCCTGATAAACATGTTCCGCTGGCCAAAATTGGCATTGCTCTGCCTGGGAGTAGTCACCTTTATATTCAGCATGATTGCGGTTTCCGATGTGGGCTTCCCATATCGCGCCAAAACCAGTGTGATGAGAATTCATTTCTTGGTAAGTTTATCTATTGAAAAAATGATTATATTTCTAAAAACCTATTTTTTAGCACGTTCGTCGCATTTTCTACGAGTACGATGGCTCTGTGAGTCTCAGTGATTCTGGCTACTACTTCGACTTCCAGGATCGTCGGCTCTATTATCCTCTAGAGGATACGACAGTGAACCTAACTGGCCTCGTTAGCACAGCCTCCGATTGCGATAAGTACCTGATGTGCGGAGTTCCCTGCTTCAATCACCGCTGGTGTAAGACCCGCACTAAGAGTCATTGGCTTCCGAGGGAGCAGGAGGTGGCCATTCCAGGTGCCACGTCTCTGAAACTTCTCAGCAAGACGGTCTTGGAATCTGGTAAAGTGGCTCGATTTGAATTCGAAATCTCTGGGCCACCACACATGAGCCTATACATACAACCGCTGGATGGGGTTGAGGTAGAGGATTGGTCCTTCATCCGAAATATGCTGGATGAGCCCGAAACGTATTCGGCTCCCTATCAAATATTCTTCGCCTATGGAAAGGATAATTCTCCCCTAAAGTTTCACATTGATTTTGCGGTAAAAAATTTTTATAAAATATTGTTATAATATCTAATAATATCTTTTATTATAGAAATCTTCGGCAGACTTCAGCACTCCAACTTTCCAGCTTGGTTTTGCTGCTAGCTTTGTGAGCTACGATTACGCACGTGACGCTGCTGGCCTAAAGTTTATATCCGATTTCCCCGACTTTGCCCACGTTATGGAATGGCCCACTTTATATGAACGTTATATATTCTAAGTTATCGCCTTATTTTGTTTGCACCAAACAACGCCTCTGTTAGCTATAAAACCTAGACTAATGCCTAATATTAAACGCACTGCTTGGTGTGATGGAAACTTTTAATTGTTACCATACGAGCAAATTAATCATAAGTTCGGGTTCACTCGCGTGTGTAGATTGGGCGATAAGATTTGGGTGCGTAGATCCGAACTGACCTGCAAGTAGATTTTAAATTATAAATCTAAATGGGCGCTATCATAGCATGATTGGTTTTCCAAGCACATTGTTGTTGCCATCGGTTGCCTATCAAGGCTCTCAGTGGGCTATCTTTATAAACTGAAGAGTGCCGATTCGATCCGCGAGCAATCAGACCACAAACATTTAGTAGCACTACTGTTGGGCATCAGAAAGGTTCTCCACTTGGCTCTCCCCGGAGAATTTCGCTGGAAATATGGAACTGCAAGCTGACGGCGATAAAGCGAGTACTTATTAATAAAACCTTTCTTCTATGAGTATTAATCATGAATCATATGATATACAGGAAAGCTACTCGGACACCGTACTCTACCATGTTCTTTCGAAGGAAAAGGAGTTGAAGAGGAGACTGCCCTGGTACTATGCACCCTCCTTTCTTCTCCTCTGGGTGGTGCTATTCTTCGGAGTCGTACTTCCGCTTTTCTACCGCCTACCAGACCGAGTAACCATTGCCGACGAGCCACTTAAACCCGGCGAGTTTGTGGCCGAGAGAGCGCAGAAAGTGCTCTACGAATTCGATCGTATCGGACCCAAAGTGGTTGGGAGTTTTGCGAACGAGGTGACTACGGTTGCATTTCTCTTAAATGAGGTGGAAAAGATTAGGGGAGAAATGCGCAGCGATCTCTTTGATTTGGAAATTGACGTTCAGCAGCCAACGGGTTCCTATGTGGTGGGAACTATGACCAGCATATATCAGGGCATCCAGAATGTGGTCGTAAAACTTAGCACTAAGAGTTCCAATAGCTCATCTTATCTCTTAATCAATAGTCACTTTGATACGAAGCCAGGAAGTCCAGGTACTAAAGCTGGTATTAATTATTAATGGAATGTAATATTATTATATTTTATATCTAGGTGCTGGAGATGATGGCACAATGGTTGTGGTTATGCTAGAGGTTCTTCGTCAAATGTCTATATCCGAAACCAAGTTTATACATCCATTAGTATTTTTATTCAATGGAGCCGAGGAGAATCCTTTGCAAGCCTCCCACGGTTTTATAACCCAGCACAAATGGGCAGCTAATTGCAAGTAAGTTGGGGAACGCATCTCACAGAATTATCTCAATTATTTCCTCCAGGGCCGTCATCAATTTGGAAGTGGGCGGTAGCGGAGGTCGAGATATTCTCTTTCAAAGTGGTCCAAACAATCCCTGGTTGGTAAAGGTATGAAATAAAAGTGAACTAATCAATATCCAGTTAAAACTGTGCTATTTTAGTATTACAAAGAGCACTCCAAGCATCCGTTTGCTTCTACGTTGGCGGAAGAGATCTTTCAGTTTGGAATATTACCCTCCGATACTGATTTCCGAATATTTCGAGATTATGGCAACATTCCCGGTAAGTGATTGGTTAAAAGTTAAGAAAATTCGAAATAAAATGCATTAATCTTTAAAGGTCTTGACATCGCACAATTTAGCAACGGATATGTTTACCACACCGAATTCGACAGTTTTGATGTTGTTCCCGGACGTTCGGTTCAGAGCACAGGAGAAAATATTTTATCAATTGTTAGAGCGTTTTCCAATGCCAGTGAATTGAACAACACTGAGGTGGGTAGATTATTTTTACCACGATAATATGATCACCTATAAGTTTTATTAAATTGCAGGAACACAGTGCAGGACATGCTGTCTTTTTTGATTTCCTGGGACTTTTCTTTGTGACATACACAGAGAAGACTGGCATAATTTTGAACTGTTGCTTTGCGGTGATAAGTCTTCTTCTCATAGGCTGTTCGCTATGGAAAATGTCTCGTGTTTCTGAGATTTCGCCTGGAAGAATATCGATTGTGTTTGTTGTAGCTCTGGGACTACACCTACTTGGTTGTCTTCTGTGCATTACCCTACCTCTATTAATGGCTGTTCTGTACGATGTGACTGATCGAACACTGACCTATTACAGCAATAACTGGTTGGTGATTGGTCTTTACATATGTCCGGCAATCATTGGATTGGTTCTTCCTTCGACGATATATCACTCATTCAAGCCGAACGTAAGCGGGGATATGTGATCTAAAGTTTTACATGAATGAATATTTAATTTTCTTTCAATTTCAGGAAAAGTTAAGCCACTCGTATCAAATCCATATCGGCTTGCATGTTCATTGTGTAGTGCTATCATTCCTAGCAATTGTTTTAACTATAATTGGTCTTCGAATTCCCTATATGTGTATGATATCTTTGGTTTTGTATGTCGCCTCTCTGCTAATTAATCTTCTAACTACCCTACATGATCGTGGTAAGTGGAAAAGTAAAAAAAGTAAATAGTTTTTTACTAATTACTTTTTATTTTCAGGTTACTACTGGGTACTAACGGTGCAGATAATTCAGCTTTTCCAGTACGTGTACTTCTGCTACCTTTTCTACATATTCCTTGTGATTTTCTTTCCTGCGATGGGAAGAAACCGCGATTCTTCTAATCCCGATATGCTTATTGCCGTGATTTGCGCTGTGGGAACTTTCTTCGCCCTGGGCTTTGTGGTAATATTTAACCGGAACTCATAAGCATCAGCTCGATAAGTCTATTTAACAGGTTCCTTTGATCAACATGTTCCGCTGGTCCACCATTTTATTGATTGGCCTAGTCGTGGTGACCTTTGTATTCAGCATGATTTCGGTTTCGGAAGTGGGATTTCCTTATCGCCCCAAGACCAGTGTGATGCGAGTTAACTTTCTGGTTAGTACAAATATTTCATAACTTGGTGCAAATGAACTGTAACCAAAGCATGCAAATAACTGTTAACCGTTTTTTTCCTTACGCTCTACTCCCGAGAACAACCGAAAAATAGCATGCCCCTCGTTCTCTCTCTGCGCAGCACACTTCGTTTCCTTTCGTTTTGGTTTTCGGTTGAGCCTTTTACGTTGAGCTGTTCGTGAGACGCTCTGTTACGAACCTCGTTCAATGAGAGTTACGAATGTCGCTCGCACAGGGAGACTTATTAAAAGACCGATTGACTGAAACAGTCATCGCAAAAAGTCTTTTCACTAATACAACTATACAATGTATTCCCTTTGAAAGTACTTGCGAGTGAAAGGGAGAGCAATATCGCCCAAGCACGTTAACGTTAACACATGCGCAAAAGACTTTTTGAAACGTCGTTCAGGAGCAATCGGTCTGTAAGCGAGCCGAGCAATAGAAAGCCGAAAAAACTGCTCGTCGCCTGAGTGCGAGCAAAATTTCTGTACGAACAATTCAATCGGTTGCTCTCTGATTGTTTGCTCAAAGTCTCAGAGAAAAACAGTTATTTGGGGACCGCACGAATCGGTCAACAGTTATTTGCGAGCTATGACTGTAACGTTTAACTTTTTCACAGCAAACCCGTCGAATGTTCTACGAATACGATGGTAGCCTCAGTGTCGATGATTCGGGCTACTATTTCGACTACCAGGATAGACGAGCTCTTCGTCCACTGAAGGACTACGCCGTAAACTTGACTGGTCTAACATCGATAGACGCCTATTGTGATAAGTACGTGATGTGTGGAATTCCTTGCTTTTGGAGTAGCTGGTGTAGGGGGCTTTCCAGTGCTGCTTGGCTGCCTCGCGAGGAGGAAGTGGATATACCGGGAACACTAGAATTGAATCTCCTTAATAAAACCATTTCGGAGACGGGAAAGTACAAAAGATTTGAATTTGAATTAACTGGCCCGCCGCACATGGGACTGTATATAAGACCTCTCGATGGGGTAGCAGTGGAGGACTGGTCCTTTATAAGGACAATGCTGGACAAGCCGGAAAAATACTCACCACCCTACCAAATATACTTTTCTTACGGAGTGGATAAGACCCCCTTTAAATTTCACATGGATTTCACAGTAAGTTAAGCTAGAAGAACAATTTAAAACTTTATTTTATTAATATTTATCTTACAGAAATCCGATGGAAATTACGATGAACCACTATTTGAGCTGGGAGTTACCGGACACTATGTAAGCAAGGATTTCCAGAGGGATAAAACTACTCTGCAGTTCATAGCGGATCTACCAGATTTCGTTACCACCATGGAATGGCCTGCTCTATTTATGCGATACATCTTTTAGGATCCACTTCCTTCTTAAGTTTTGCATTCATTATATTTCGGGACATTCCAAGTGCTGCGATAGTGCAATCGATAAGGAAAGAAAATATATATTAATCTCTCTACCTACATCTAACGTCACGTTAATCTGCCAGACATCGGCGTTGAATGAATAAGCTTTAATTTGCAGCTGCCCCTCGCGTGCGTCGGAATCGCCACTTATGTATATTTATATTAAGTCGTAAACCCGTCCAATTTAGATACCATGGCCGTGGCCATGGTTCACTCCCAGCCGCCCAGCGGCCTGTGCGCCTCAAGACAAAGCAGTTCCCCCGCCGGCGATCGAGCTATCAAGCGGCACAGGGGCTTTATCTTTATGGTCCTCTAATTCGGCGGAAGGCTTCGAGTCGATATGCTCGGGGTGCAGACGTTCAGTTATGCGTTGATCGGGCATCGGAAGGGTTTGACTTGGCTCCCGCTCCCCCACAATCTTACCATGGACGAGAAGACTGATAAAGTGAGTTTTGATTTGGACAAAGACTCTACTCCCCTCGATCCCGTGCTCGTTGAGTCCTTGTCACTGAGAAAGGGAACCATCCGAAGGCAGAGACTGTCCTGGTACTATGCCCCCTCCTTCCTGCTCCTCTGGCTGGCCCTCTTCTATGCCATCGTGATCCCGCTTTACTACAGACTTCCGGATAGGTTGACCGTATCCGAGGAGTCCCTCTACCCAGGAGAATTCGTGGCGGAAAGGGCACAGCGGCTGCTATTTACCTACGATCGCATTGGACCCAAGGTAACCGGTAGTTATGCCAATGAGGTGACCACGGTTCAGTTTCTTGTAAATGAAGCGGAAAAGATCCGTGCCGAGATGCGCAGCGATCTCTACGATATCGAGATTGATGTTCAGTCGCCAACGGGTGGATATGTCTTTATCGATATGGTGAACATGTACCAGGGAATTCACAATGTGATTGTCAAACTGAGTTCAAAGAGTTCCCAGAGTGAAAACTATCTGTTGCTCAACAGCCACTTTGACTCTAAGCCAACCAGTCCAGGTGAGTTTCCTATATAAAATCATCAAGTGCCCTTACTGATTGAGGTAATCAGGTTCCGGTGATGATGGCACTATGGTTGTGGTCATGCTGGAGGTCCTTCGCCAAATGGCGATATCCCCAACGCCTTTCGAACATCCCCTTGTCTTTTTGTTCAACGGAGCCGAGGAGAATCCCCTTCAGGGTTCCCATGGCTATATTACGCAACACAAATGGGCAGCCAACTGCAAGTGAGAGAAGAACGCTTTGTTTATTATGATTTTTTATTTGCAACTATAATTTATTTTAGGGCCTTTATCAACTTGGAAGTCGGCGGAAGCGGGGGACGTGACTTATTGTTCCAGAGTGGTCCCAATAATCCATGGCTCATGAAGGTGAGAATAAGAATCATTATTTCTCAACAGAAAAAAGTAGCTTATGGCTCAAGTTACCCTATAGACTTTATGGCGGAATTTATGGTCAATTATTTTACTGCCGATATACTAAACCGACTTTTTATAGTACTACAGGCTGCACGCGAAGCACCCGTTTGCGACCACAATGGCGGAGGAGATTTTTCAGAGTGGAATTTTACCCTCTGACTCAGATTTCCGAATTTTCCGGGATTTTGGGAATATTGCTGGTGAGTTTATGACTCATACATAATCTGGGGTAAGATAACAATTTTGGGGTTTACCCTAGGTCTTGACATGGCTCAGGTTGACAACGGATATGTGTACCACACGGTGTTTGATAGCTATGAGAATGTTCCTGGGCGATCCATACAGAATTCTGGCAACAATGTCCTTGCTCTGGTGCGTGCTTATAGCAATGCCAGTGAGCTGTATGCAACAGAGGTAAGATTGGAATTATTTCACTGAAATATTATGAATTCTTATGGTATATATTTCCAGAGTGATGAGGGCCATGCAGTCTTCTTTGACTTCCTTGGCCTCTTCTTTGTGTACTACACTGAGACCACTGGGATTGTTTTAAACTGCCTGATTGGAGTGATTAGTCTGGTTCTGGTTGGTGTTTCCCTATGGAGAATGTCCCGTCAGTCGGAGGAGGTTACTCTTCCTCAGATTTCGATCTGGTTCGTCAGCATTTTGGGACTGCACGTGGTGGGATTCTTGCTGTGCATCTGCCTGCCTCTACTGATGGCTGTCTTATTCGATGCTGGAGATCGGTCATTGACTTACTTTAGCAACATATGGCTGGTTTTTGGACTCTACGTATTTCCCGCAATTATTGGATTAGTACTTCCGCTGACACTTTACTACACCCTGAGGCCTAATGTAAGTCTAAGATTATCTAATTTTATAGAATAGTAGATCCTTACATTAGTTTCTTAATAAATTTCAGGTCAAACTAAGCCACGCTTATCATCTCCAACTCAGTTTACATGCTCACTTGGTTGTCCAGGCCCTTTTGGCCCTCATTTTGACCGCCATGGGTCTGCGTTCCCAGTACCTGTGCCTGATTTCGCTAATCTTCTATGGAGGTGCACTCCTGATTAATCTGGTTAGCACGCTGCACGATCGTGGTAAGTTTTGTTATAGCCATTAATCAATATGCGACAATTCCTTGACAATGATATATGTTTCAGGCTACTATTGGTCCCTGATTGTGATGTGTCTTCAGGTGCTACCGTTTGCGTACTTCTGTTACCTATTCTACATGTTCCTGGTGATATTCATTCCGGTTCTGGGTAGGAATGGTTATAATACCAATCCTGACCTTATCGTGGCGCTACTCTGTGGTGTTTGTGTCTTCTTTGCATTGGGCTATGCAGTAAGTTTCTCCTAGAAGTATTTTTTTTGTATCGTCTATATATATATCCTTGACTTTACAGGCCCAACTGATCAACATGTTCCGCTGGCCAAAGCTTATTCTTCTAGGATTGGGAATAGGCACCTTTATTTTCTGCATGATAGCAGTTTCAGAGGTGGGCTTCCCCTATCGAGCCAAAACAAATGTGATGCGAGCCAACTGCTTGGTAGGTAACCATTTCAAAATGATGTTCCAATATCTTATAGTTCTCTCTTTAAAGCACACTCGACGTTATTTCTACGAATTCGATGGATCGGTCAGTCGCAGCGATTCCGGTTACTACTTCAACTATCAGGATAGGCGAGCCTTTGATCCTGTCAAGGACTCAGTAGATCTCACCGGTTTGGAGCCGGTTGCGGATCGCTGCGATGATTACGTGATGTGCGGAATCCCCTGCTTTTATTACAGCTGGTGCAAGTGGCGCCAATGGGATGGATGGCTGCCTCGCGAATCGGAGGTTATTATACCTGGCGAACTCAACCTCGAGTTTCTGGGAAAGACTGTTCTGGAATCACCGACGATCGCTCGCTTCGAGTTCGAGCTATCTGGACCGCCGCACATGAATATATTTATTCAGCCCGTGGGTTCCGCAAAAGTTGAGAACTGGTCGTTTGTGAGGAAAATGCTGGACGAACCGGAGGAGTTCCAGCCGCCCTACCAGATATTCCATTCGTATGGAACAGATAACAGCTCTTTAAAGTTCTTCATTGATATGGAGAAGAGCGATGGTGATTTCAATACTCCCACTTTGGAGCTCGCAGCTGTGGGACACTGGGTCAGCTACGAGTTCGAAAGAGATGCAGAGGCTAAAGATTTTGTGGCCAGCTTTCCCGACTTTGTCCACGTCATGGAATGGCCTTCTATATTTAAGCGATATATTTATTAGGTAATTTATAGTCATTATTATGTACAGAACCATATTATGTACAATACCTGCCCAATGAATCCCATTAATAAATTTGCTCTTCTTATTTAACGGATTAGTATTTTGGATAAGAGAATGTAGTTTTATATCAAAGAATATGGGGTGTAGGGTTGGGAAAAACCCAAGTTTTACGGCAATAAGTATCCATTAAATTTCCTGTACGTGGGGTTGAAAAAACATAGCATGATAAGCGAATATTTCTCTTCTTGAAGAAAAGCCAACCGACGTTATCTTTATGGTCCATAATAATGGTGGGAAGCTTTGAGGCTATGCTTTCGAAGAACAAAAGTTTAGTTTCTCATTAGATTTCAATCGAAGCAGTTCGACTTCTTAATGATATTATCATGGAAGAGAAGATTGATAAAGTGAGTGTGAGCTTTAGGGTATAGAAAACCCCATTGAAAAGCTTTTTTAAAGGAAATGGTTTTCGACGAAGAAGCCGTGGAGTCTTCATCGCTGAAAGGACAACCTGAAAGCAGGCGGAGATTATCTTGGTACTATGCTCCCTCCTTTCTGCTCCTCTGGTTGGCTCTTTTCTTTGCCATTGTGATCCCGCTGTTCAACAGACTTCCAGAGAGGATAACCATCGCAGAGGAACCAGTGAAGTTGGGAGAATTTGTGGCGGAACGGGCAGAAAGACAGCTGATTGACTTTGAACGTATTGGACCCAAAGTTGTGGGCAGCCAGGCGAATGAGGTGGAAACGGTTGCCTTTCTTTTAGACGAAGTGGAAAAGATTAGAAAGGAATTACGCAACGATCTTTATGAGCTCGAAGTTGACGTCCAGTTACCGACTGGTGGCTTTTTGCTTGGCTCTATGCTAAACATGTACCAAGGTGTTCAAAATGTTATAGTCAAACTTAGTGCAAGGAATTCCCAGAGGGATTCTTACCTGCTGATCAACAGCCATTTCGACTCAAAGCCAGGCAGTCCAGGTGGGTGTTATTAATTCAATTAATCCAAAGTATTGAGACTTAGTACGGGATTTAATAAGGATCTGGGGATGATGGCACCATGGTTGTGGTAATGTTGGAAGTCTTACGTCAAATGGCAACATCAGAAACCCCATTTGAAAATGGTATAATATTTCTGTTCAACGGAGCCGAGGAAAACGCCCTTCAGGGTGCGCATGGCTTTATTACGCAACACAAATGGGCACCGAATTGCAAGTACGTCTGATTTCTGGTAACATTGAACATATTCTCAATTTTAGTTTTTAATTATAGAGCTCTTATAAACCTGGAGTCGGGTGGCAGTGGAGGACGCGATCTTCTATTTCAGAGTAGTCCCAATACTCCTTGGCTGATGAAGGTAAGAAAAATTCTTAGTTAAATGTAATACTAATTAAAATTGTTTTTTAGTACTATAGACAATATGCGAAACACCCTTTTGCTACTACATTAGCCGAGGAAACCTGGCAGGCTGGAATTATACCCTCTGATACGGACTTTCGAATTTTTCGCGATTATGGAAATGTGCCTGGTTAGCTATGAAAGCTGTGATATAAGAAATATTTAACATATTTGATGTACTAATAGGATTGGACATTGCCCAGGCTAATAATGGATATGTGTACCACACAGCCTTCGACACCTTTAAAGTGATTCCAGGACGATCTATACAGAATACTGGTAACAATATTCTTGCCCTTGCGAGGGCATATGCAAATGCCAGTGAATTATATAAGACAGAGGTATTAATTTTATAAAATATTTTTTCTACTAATAAGAAAATTATTATTTTTAGGAAACTGATAATAGTCATGCAGTGTTTTTTGACTTCCTCGGTCTGTTCTTTGTTTACTACACGGAAAGCACTGGAATTATTCTGAACTGTTGCATTGGAGTCTTCAGTCTGATTTTGGTCGGTTGTTCCCTGTGGAGAATGTCGCGTCAGTCGAAGGAGGTCACTCTTTCTCAGATTTTGATTTGGTTCCTGATTATCTTGGGATTGCACGTGCTAGGAGCTCTACTGTGCATTTGTCTGCCTCTTCTGATGGCTGTTCTTTTCGATGCTGGAGATCGTTCGCTAACTTACTTTACTAGCAATTGGTTGGTCTTTGGTCTCTACGTATTTCCCGCAATCATCGGATTAGTACTTCCATTGACTCTATACTTTACTTTGAAGCCCAATGTAATGCTACCCACTCAACTAACTAGATATAATCCTAACTACAAGACCTTAAATCAATTTCAGGATAAACTGAGCCATGCTTACCTCATCCAGATGAGTTTACATGCCCACTTTTTATTTTTGGCCCTGCTAATTTTTATTTTAACTGCTGTTGGTATTAGATCTCAGTATCTCTGCCTCATTTCGTTGATCTTCTATGGAGGTGCTCTTCTGATAAACCTACTGAGCACATTGCATGATCGCGGTGAGAGATCATCAAATCATTAAATAAATAACTATTCTTAACTGTAACATTTATTCTAGGCTACTATTGGTCCGTGATTGTGATATTACTTCAGATCCTACCATTCTGCTACTTTTGCTATCTGTTTTATATGGTGCTCGTAGTATTCTTTCCGATAACGGGAAGAAATGGAATTGGTTCGAATCCGGATCTAATAATAGCGTTGTTGTGTGGTTGTTGCACCTATTTTGCCCTGGGATTTGTTGTAAGTTACAGTATTTACATTTTCGATTTATGTACTTTCTGAACACTATACTCTAGGCCCAATTTATAAACGTCTTCCGCTGGCCAAAGCTCATTCTTCTCGGACTGGGAGTTGTAACATTTATTTTCTGCATGATCGCTGTTTCAGAGGTGGGCTTTCCCTATCGTCCCGAAACCAATGTGATGCGAGTTACTTTTATGGTAGGTCATTCAGCTTCAGTAAGATCCCAAGATAACTGACTCTTTCATAGCAAACTAATCGCATCTTCTACGACTACGATGGCACGGTGAGTCACAGTGATTCTGGATACTATTTCATATATCAGGATAGACGCGGCTTAACTCCGCTGGAGGACTCCGGTGTTAATCTGACAGGATTGATCTCCATGGAGCCGGACTGCGATAAGTATGTGATGTGCGGAGCTCCCTGTTTCTACTTTTGTGGCGGGCGGAGGAATGCTGGTTGGTTGCCTCGCGATGTTGCTAATCCCGGGGAGATAACCTTGGATTTATTGGAAAAGACGATCTTGGATACAGGCGATACCATTCGATTTGAATTCAAACTTGCTGGCCCTCCCCACATGAATATATTCATTCAACCAGTGGGAGTAGCTGAGGTTACGGACTGGTCCTTTGAGAACAAAATATTGGATGACCCGGATACATACAAACCACCCTATTTTATCTTCTTTTCATATGGAAAGGACGACAGTCCTTTGAAGTTCTATGTCGAATTAACGGTGAGTTGGTCATTTCTACAATAATTCTTAAGATCTATTTAAACTTGATCATATTGCAGAAATCTGACGGGGACTTTAGTGTTCCTATAATGGAACTCGGAGTCGTTGGACACTTTGTCAGTTACGATTATAAAAGGGATGAAGGAACCGAGCAATTTTTGGCGGATTTACCCAACTATGTTCATGCAATGGAATGGCCGTCGATTTTTAAGGGATACATATTTTAGATCATTTGTAGCTCTACACAAAAAGTTTATTAAAATGGTCTACGTATTACAGCAGATTTTTTGGCATATTGTCTATACGAAGTGAAATATCTTCGTCCATTACCTGCCCGAAGAGAACGGCCTTTACGTTCTTAGGGACTCCCAAAACTTATACTGATTATGTATCTTATCAAGATGTTATCTTTTTATCGCATTTGATTTAGGTTTTATAAAATCGATGCAAAATTTATGGCGCCTTTTTGCTATCTTTATACAGCAATAAAATTTCAATTCATGGTCCCTTGATAATTTTTTTCTCAATAGAAATAGATTGGGATGGCACAAAAATATCGATAATATTTTGCTTTTAATCGTTAGGCATCGGATTTTCAGGCAAAGAAATATTCTTAAAATTAAATCTATCTATTGTCAGTTTTACAGAAATCTCCTCGGGGTGGTTTTGAGTGGTATTTTTTATTGATGTACATAAGAATTTCACCTGAAGGGAATTATGTGTAACTCTCTCATTAGATTACAATTTAAACTTAGATCAAATGTTAAAAATACTTTTTTGACTAAATATGGGAAGTTTATACATTTTAAATTTAAAATATTCAGTTAGTTAAGAAGTTCTGTTTAATTTTCAAGATAGGATCTTCTTAGCGCTCAATTTGCGTAGAAATAATATTGTTGTGCATAAAAAATTAATCAGCGCTATTGTTTTATTATTTCCTTGCCACTACTGTATAAATATATAAATATAACAAGGTCTTAATATAATATTAGTTCTTAAGAACATCAATATTAATTTTAACCGAATTCGGGTATAACTGAGGCCCGCCGATTTTCTTTAAACTCATCAAAGGGGCACTATCCAGATGCCGAGATATAAAATTAAATCACTTTATGAAGATTGCCGAAGACTTTGACTCTAGAATAAAACTTATATAAGCACCATAAATATACTGGGTCTTGTGGACTGCAAGGTGGATATCAATCCCCGACCAGCCTTAAAAAGGTTTAAATCTGATAAACTTGGCAGTGGTTTGCTCAGTCGCACGCGGTACTTCGTTGTGATTTGATGCTGATAATATCCACGAACTGACGTTATGGAAAAACACAATGGAGGTTTCGAAGAGGATAGGCTATCGGAAAAAGTAGAGTCACCTAATGGAAATGGGAATGAAAAGGACACATTGCAATTGGTTACCGAGAGGATAGACCCCGAGGAGGGTTGCAGCAACGAGACTCTAATCGATATAAGGGAGAAGAAAAGCTCGCCAAAACAGCTGGAATGGTACTACGCTCCTGCGTACTTGCTCTTCTGGGTCGGACTGTTCTTCGCTGTGTGCTATCCCCTCTTCAATTACCTGCCAACTGGAGTGACGATCGAGGAGGAGTCCAACTCACCGGGAACCTTTGTGGCCCAGCGTGCTGAAAGTATACTGGTTCAGCTGGATCTCATGGGTCCCAAGATAGCTGGCGATTATGTGACAGAGGTTCTTATGGTTGAGTTCCTCCTCAACGAAATATCCAAGGTTCGTGAGGAGATGCGCGACGATCTTTATGAAATGGAGGTGGATGTACAGCGATCCAGTGGAGCCTTTCTGCACTGGCAAATGATAAACATGTACCAGGGCATCCAAAACGTGGTGGTCAAGCTGAGCTCCAAGAGTTCGAATAGCTCCTCTTACCTTTTGGTTAACAGTCATTACGACTCGAAGCCTAGTAGTGTGGGTAAGTGATTCTACATGATAGATTCTGATGATCCAAGATCTGAAGTAAATCTTATATTTTCTCTGCAGGAACTGGCGATGCTGAGGTCATGGTGGTGACCATGCTGGAGACACTGCGTCTAATGGCTACATCCGAGGAGCCCTTCCTGCATCCCATTGTGTTCCTGTTTAATGGCGCCGAGGAGCAGCCCTTCCATGGATCTCATTCGTTTATATCTAATCACCGTTGGTCAGCCAACTGCAAGTAGGTGGATTGTATATCTTGCATGGCAACTTATAATATTGATTTCCCAAATCAGAGCGTTAGTCAATTTGGATTCCGCAGGTGCTGGCGGTCGTGAAATTCTCTTCCAGGGGGGTCCCAACCATCCCTGGCTAATGAAGGCAAGTCAAAATCGCGCATTCCACTTGAGTTTTATCTTAATAGCCGGCTCGTAAAACTTTAAAAATGTACTTTTACTGCCACACTGCTTATCTAATCAGCTGCGTTTACGTTTCGATATATCCAATAAAAATCGTTTTTTTGCACTTTAGCAATACAAAAAGAGTGCCAAGCATCCGTTTGCGACGACAATGGCTGAGGAGATTTTCCAGGCTGATTTGATACCCTCCGATACGGATTTCCGAATCTTCCGAGACTTTGGACCGGTGCCAGGTGGGTTCTTCAAAATCGTATGGTATTTCTATATCTTATTTACCTATGTTGATTAAGGCCTGGACATGGCTGGTTGCTATAATGGCTTTGTCTACCACACCAAGTTCGATCGCCTGAAAGTTATATCCCGACGTGCGCTGCAAAACACTGGCGATAATGTGTTTTCTCTGGTTCGCAGTATATCTAATGCCGAGGAAATGTATGATACAGAGGTAAGTTATTGGTATAGCCCTTATTTTACATACAAAACTCTCTTTTACTAGGCTCATTCCGAGGGACATTCGGTTTTCTTTGACTATCTGGGACTTTTCTTCGTTTACTACACCGAGTCCACGGGCACGGCTTTAAACATATCCTTCTCCCTGGGAGCCATCCTGGTTATTTGCCTCTCCTTGTGGCGCATGGCTAGGGTTACGGATCAGAGAGTGGGAACCTATGCCCGCGCCTTTGGGATGCAGTTCCTCCTGGCACTTTTGGGCTTTTTGCTGGCCCTCGGCTTTCCATTGTTGATGTCTGTGTTCTACGATGCGGGCGATCGCACAATGACCTACTTCAGCAACAGTTGGTTGGTCATAGGTCTCTTCATCTGCCCTTCAGTTATTGGCCTAGTATTACCCGCAACTCTCTACCTGTCTCTGCGTCCCAGTGTAAGTCTAAAGAACCTTTTCTATTTTAAATATAAATTCACTTTGTTCTATCTACTTAGGAGAAGATACCGCACACCTACCATCTACAGATTGTCGGACATGCGTACTGTGTTCTAATGGCAGTGCTTTGCATTTTACTCACGGCTGTTGGCATTCGCACGGCATATCTCTTTATGATGTGTGTGTTCTTCTACTTGGGAGCTTTGATCATCAACCTGGCTAGTAGACTTCATGATAAAGGTAAGGCCAGAGATGAGATTATAAAGAGATTTTAATGAGACATTCTCGTCGACGTATTTAGGTTATCTCTGGGCTTGGGTTCTAGGTGTTTGCCAAGTGCTCCCATATCTGTACTTCACCTATTTGTTCCACGCCCTCCTGGTCATCACTATTCCGATGACGAGTCGCAAGGGCATGGAGGCTAACCCCGATCTATTGATCTCTTTGGAGTGTGCACTGGGTTCTATCTTGGCAATGGTGTTCTTGGTATGTTTATCCATTTCTTTTAAAGAAGGAGCTATTAATTGATAGAGTTTTTTATTCAGGCTCCTCTATTGAACCTCTTCCGACGACCCAAGTGCATGGTGGGTGGCCTCGCATTAGTAATGTTTATTTTCTGTATGATCTCAGTATCAGAGGTGGGCTTCCCCTATCGCGCCGAAACAAATGTGATGCGTCTACACTTTTTGGTTAGTAATGGGTAAGACAAGATAAAAGGCCTTTTTTAATAGTATTCCATAATGGATTTGTAGGAAGTACATCGCAAGTTCTACGAGTACGATGGCTCTATTAGTTTGGAGGACAGTGGCTACTACTTTGACTTGCAGGACAGACGATTTGAGGCTCCTCTGGTGGACAAGATTAACCTCACTGGACTCACTCGCCTCGACGAGCAATGTAAAACTGAGATGTATTGTGGGATGCCGTGCTTCAATCATCGTTGGTGTTTGGCTGTGAAAGATGCACGGTGGTTACCACGAGAGGAACCCGTAGATTTGCCTGGAACTCCGATATTGCGGCTTCAAAACAAGACTGTTTTGGGAACTGTGACTGCCCCGAGTGTTCGGTATCACTTCATCGTTTCGGATGGTCCACCAAGAATGAGTTTCTTTATTCAACCCTTGAACGGTGTGAAGATGCTGAGCTGGTCATTCCTCCAAGGAATGCTGGACAACCCCTCGGTTTATAAGCCCCCATATCATATTTTCTTTGGCTACGGCAGCGACAACTCGCCTGTCGAGTTCTCTTTAGATATGACGGTGGGTAGCTAAACTATTCTTTAAACGACACCTCATTGAATGTGAACTTTTATTTATATTCCACAGAAGGATGATGGTAACTTTGACGGTCCTTTATTAGAGCTGGGTATCTCTGGGCACTACATGAGCCATCTAAGTAAACGCGATGCGGCAACTCAGAAATTCATCGAGGATTTACCAGACTTTGCCCATCCCATGGAGTGGCCAAGTTCCTACGAACGATATATCTTTTAATATTGTTCAATTTTAAATAGTCTTAAGAATTGCTTCAAAATAAAAAGTTTAAATCAATAAGGCTCTGTTTTTCTTTGTTCTCTGTTTCCTGATCACTAAAAACTGACTTCTTTTCGCTACTTTTTTGATGATCGTGTTGATAAAGTGATTGCAAGAATGTCATAAAAACTCTTAAATGATCATTGATCAAAGTTTACCTTCAATTAGATGTGATAAATACATAAATCCACTGTTACTAATTAGTATCATTAGGAAACAAGAAAATAACATGTCATCCTTTATGATATTGACATGAGTAATCAAATTTCTTCCAATTGGTGGACTCCAAATTTTCCAATTATCTTCCAGACTGTTCTAGTTTAAGGGTATTTTTCAAGTTTATTTTCCCTTTTAAACTGGTCGAAATGGGTGGGAATTACAGCCTTGACTTTCGGGCACTGCCAACCAGATGCGACACAATAAATACATAAATCCGCCATAGCCAAAATGTGCGATTACGATATGGGGCAAAGTCAGGGGTAATGATTTTGGTTTGGGTAATCACGTCGTTGGCCCCTCGAGGGCCGCAAAAGATCGCTGGGTTTGGAATTTATCGATGGCATAGACGACACAACAGTATGTACGTATGCTGATAGGAAAGCGTGAATAACACGCGCTATAATGCCATAAATATCGAATATCTTTATACTATGCTGAAGATATCAACCATATCGCATCATAAAGTCGAACCACAGTTTTAAATTGAGGATGGAGATGTCCGGCAGGTTAGTCGTGCGTCGAGAGTCGTAGTAGGTGCTCTTGCTTGGCCGGTTCTCGAATCTCTGGGAAGTCGAAAAAAATGGGCGCTACAAAGAACGGCAAGGTGTGTGACTCATTAGCCCTGCCAAAGTTGGAAGATAATTTGTGAAATTCTCTTCTCATCCTAGACACTTTTGGGGTCCGAGAACCTGATCATCGAGGTCGACGAGGGTAAAGTGCGATGCAAGCAGTATTCCTGGTACTTTGCCCCCACCTATCTGCTCTTCTGGGTGGGGCTCTTCTTTGCCGTCATCTACCCACTCTTCCAAGCTCTGCCCACGGGCATCAGGATCTCAGAGGAGGCGGACAAGCCGGGACAATTTGTGGCCGAGAGAGCTCAGGAAATACTGCTGAAAATCAGTCAAATGGGACCGCGAGTGGTGGGCGATGTTAACAATGAAGTCACCGTTGTTAATTTGCTGCTCGAGGAAATAGAAAAAGTTCGCCAGGTATTGCGTGACGATGTCTACGATATGGAAGTGGAAGTGCAACGGGCATCCGGTTCTTATTTGATCAAAGGCCTTACAAATCACTATCAGGGCGTGCAGAATGTGATTGTTAGACTGAGTACGAGGAGTTCGAACAGCACTTCTTACCTTCTGGTCAATAGTCACTATGACACGAAGCCGGGGTCACCAGGTAGGTCACCTTTAGTTATTAATTATAGGTAATTTTAAAAAAGAAATTTCAATCTTTAGGTGCCGGTGATGATGCTGCCATGGTTGTTGTAATGTTGGAGGTGCTACGACTGGTGGCCATTTCAGGGGATCCATTTCTTCACCCCATTATATTCCTTTTTAATGGTGCTGAAGAGCAGCCAATGCAGGGTTCCCATGGTTTTATCACTCAACACCGATGGGCTGCCAACTGCAAGTGAGTTTATCTCTTTTGCTAATCTTCAAAGATCTTCTAATCTTATCTTATAACAGGGCCCTTCTCAATCTGGATTCTGCCGGTGCTGGTGGACGCGATCTGCTATTTCAGGGCGGTCCCAATCATCCCTGGCTAATGGAAGTAAGTTAAAAATCCCCTGAAAGTCTGCAACGCATTCGGTGATTAATGGTATAAATTTCATACCATGATCGCACTTCCGATATGGACGATATCACCCGTCTGGCTGCTGATCAATTAATCTAATCGTTGGCCTTATCTTAGCATTACAGAAACAGTGCCCCACACCCATTCGCCACCACGACGGCGGAGGAGATGTTCGAGGCTGGCATCATACCGTCGGATACCGATTTTCGGGTCTTTCGGGACTTTGGAGTGGTGCCAGGTGAGGAGTTCCCATTTACCCCTTGAACTGGAGTTATAAGATATGGTTTTCCAGGTTTGGACATGGCTGGGGTCTACAATGGTTTCGTCTATCACACGAAATTCGATCGATACACGGTGATAAGCCGCGATTCCCTGCAGAATTCTGGCGATAATTTGTTGGCCCTGGTTTGGAGTATTTCGAATGCTGAGGAAATGTATGACACTGAGGTGGGTTTTCTCTAGGGAATTAAATTTTTCCATATTTATACCCTTGCAGAGGGTATTATGATTTCAGTCAGAAGTTTGCAACGCAGTGAAGGAGACATTTCCGACCCCATAAAGTATATATATTCTTGATCAGCATCACAAGACGAGTCGATCTAGCCATGTCCGTCTGTCCGTCTGTCCGTCCGTCTGTCCGTCTGTCCGTCTGTCCGTCTGTCCGTCTGTCCGTCCGTTTCTACGCAAACTAGTCTCTCAGTTTTAAAGCTATCGGGATGAAACTTTCGTAAAAGTCGTATTTCTATTGCAGGTAGTATATATGTCGGAACCAACCGGATCGGACAACTATATCTTATAGCTCCCATAGGAAGGATCAAAAAAAAAAAAAAAAAATTCTAGCTCCGGTGTTTTTTGAAATTTTACCTTTTACTCTTGGGAATATTTTTTTTTATATATTTCTGAATTTCGGTTTTTTTGTTTTTTAAATCGGATCACTATATCATATAGCTGCCATAGGAACGGTCGAAAAATTAAATGGAAATTAATGGGAAAAAAATTATATCTTTGTTGGTTTTTATTACATTCCCTTCTACTCTGGGATATGACTATTTTGAAATATTTCCGAATTTCGATTTTAATTTTTAAAAAATCGAACTACTATATCATATAGCTGTGATAGAAACGATCGAAAAATTAATGTGAAATAATAAGAAATTTAACATTTTTGTGATTTGTAAATTAATAGAATGATCTGCAAGGGTATATAAGCTTCGGCTTGCCGAAGCTAGCTTCCTTTCTTGTTTCTAATCTTTTCTAATTATTATCCAACAGGCTCACGCTTCTGGACATGCTGTGTTCTTCGACTTCATTGGACTGTTTTTCGTCCATTACCAGGAGTCGACTAGCTTGGCCCTGAATCTCTCCTTCTCCTTCGGGGCCATTTTCCTGGTCTGTGTTTCACTGTGGCGCATGTCGAGGGTTACGGAGCAAACGCTGGGCACATATGCCGGTGCCTTTGGGCTTCTATTTCTCCTGGCTCTTGCAGGTGTACTGCTCGCTTTGGCTTTCCCCTTACTCATGGCCACATTCTACGATCTGGGCAATAGAACTTTGACTTACTTCACCAACAGTTGGCTGGTCATTGGCCTGTACATTTGCCCCTCGGTAATAGGCCTCGTTCTACCAATGACTCTCTATCTGAATTTCAAGAAAAGTGTGAGTAATGTGCTTAAAATCTTTAATTATATTGATCCTCTAAGAAATTTTTATCTGCAGAACAAGATACCCCATACCTACTACCTGCACATTGTGGGACATGCCAACTGCGTTCTTTTGGCCATTTTGTGTTTGGGGGCTACAGCTCTTAAGTACCGTAGTGCCTACCTCTTCCTGATCTCTCTAATATTCTACGTAGCTGCTTTGATTATTAACCTGCTGACCCGTCTTCATTGTCGCGGTAAGTTATTATCAGAATTTAAAGAACTATTCTGGATTAAAATGTATCTATTATTGCAGGCTACTTGTGGTCCCTGGTGTTGATTGTTTTCCAGATAATACCCTTCATATACCATGCCTATTTGTTCCACATGTTCATACTTATTCTCATTCCGATGTTCGGTCGCTTTGGGGTCTCCACAAATCCCGATTTACTGATAGCTGCTCTTTGTGCTTTTGGCACAATTTTGGCTCTGTCCTTTGCGGTAAAAGAGGATTATACAAACTTCCTTAAACAAATTAATTAATCATATTTTTTAGGCTCCCCTGGTCAACATTTTCCGTCGACCCAATTGGATGCTGGGAGGATTGGCCGTGGTTATGTTTATTTTCTGCATGATTACCGTCTCGGATGTGGGATTCCCTTATAGGGCCAAAACGAATGTGATGCGTGCCGACTTTATGGTGAGTGGGAAATCGAATTAAAGACCCCTAGAGGAATTTATATTTCATTATTATTGTAACAGCAAGTGCATCGCAAGTTCTTCGAGTACGATGGTTCCATAAGCCTCGAAGATTCTGGCTACTATTTCCACCTGGGTGATCGCAGGAAGGAGGCGCCTCTCCGAGATCACATGAATCTGACCGACTTGGTTCTCCTTGGCGAGGACTGCGACTCGGAGTTGATGTGCGGAATTCCCTGCTACCGATATTGTACTGCCCGCAAAAATGCGCATTGGTTGGCACGAGAGGAACCCGTGGAACTGCCTTATCCTACGGTTTTGGAGTTCCTTAACAAGACCATTCTTCCCGGCGGCTATCAGGTGCGTTTCGACTTCCGACTGACTGGACCTCCGAACATGGGTCTGTTCTTCAAGCCCGTGGACGGCGTAAGATTGCTTCGATGGACATTTGCCCCCGGGATGTTGGATAACCCAGCCACTTACAGGCCTCCCCTGGAGGTGATGTTAACCTACGGGATTGATAGCACGCCCTTTGAGTTTTTCGTGGAGTTTTCGGTGGGTATTACAGGGGATATATATCACATAACTAAGCTAACTAAGTTATTAATTGATTTTCAGAAGGACAATGGCAACTTTGATGAGCCCGTCTTCGAGATGGGCGTGTCCGGGCATTACGTGAGTCCCCATGACAAACGAGATGCGCTGAGCGAAGAGTTCCTGGCCACACTTCCGGACTTTGCCTTCTCCATGCAGTGGCCCGCCAGCTACGAGCGCCATATATTCTAATGTAATTCTAAGATAGATGATAGGAACAGTAAGTCAATAGAAGGGGATCAAACATTGGATGCTGCATTTCGAAATGTGCCGCTAGACAAACATTGGGCTGAAAATTAGTGGGGGGAAGAGCAAACGGTAAACGGTAAAGGGAACCATATGTGCAAACATTATCTGGCTTACGCTGCAGATCGATTGCAGTCAAAATACGGGTATAAATAGTCAGCCCTGGTCCATCGAAAGACACACTCAGAGTTCAGCAGCTCTTCCAGCAACAACAGCAACAGTTCCAGCAGTTCCAGTAATCCACCAAATCCACCAATCAACATGAAGTTCTTCGCTGTCCTCATCTGCTTCTCCGCTATCGTGGCCGTCGCTATGGCAGCATCCCCATCGCCCAGCCCAACGCCAACTCCCACGCCCACAACGCCCTCGTCGCCCACAACCACCACATACACGTACACCACCACCCCAACCTACACCACCCCCACCTTGACGACGACCTCCACCACCACCACGAAGCCCTTCAAGCAGCAGCTCCTGTCCCTGCTGTTCAACAAGAACAAGTCCGGATAGAGCCGCCCCATCCGATCCACGATGCCGCCACCTGAAACGATCCGTAACACCTGAATAGCCAATAAATAAAAAACATCAAAACAAACACGAACACAGCCTCTTGAATTCTCTTTAACAGCTGGGGAGTTCTACTTCCACTTTCGGGGGTAACTGACATTTGCTCAACTGGCAACCGCCCCTTTGGCCGGACCTGTTCCACAAAACAGCTGCCACAAAGGTCAAGCGGCACTTGCCACCTTCAGTCGGTCAGTCGGACAGTCAGTAAGCCACTAAGCCAGCAAGTCAGTTGGCCAGACATGATCATGGTCAGGTGGCAGTCATAATCCCCTCCACGATCATCATCATCATCGGAGACCTGAGTTAAATGTCTAATAGCTGCGCTGACAAATTGATGAAGGAATGCAGCAGGCTGTCCCTGTCCATCGCATGCAATCGAGGAAGAGTTATGAATGCCAAGCCGGCCATGTACAACACGATTCGAGATGATCGAGGCACCAACGCCCCGATGAATGCACAGGTGCACAGTGAGCACTGCCTAAAGGTGATGGTTTCAAAGTGTTGTCTTTGTTCAGGTGATGAGAAATAATTACTTATCTGCGAGGAAATTTTTGATATCAAAACGAGATAAAAGATGAAAATCATTTGATATTTTCTATATTGCTATAATATTGAAAACCAATTTAAGACAATTATTTTAATTTTCTTTGATTAATTTTACGATCTTGTAAGAAAAATACTGAGTTATGTATTAAAAATAAATTATTATCAAACAACTAACTATATTTTTTATTGGCTTATTACAATTTTGGTAATTTATGTAATAGTGTTGCTTAAAATAATCTATTATGTATTTAAGAATCACAAGCAATACTGCCAAGTATTAAATTAAGATTATAATGGAAAGTTATAATTTTTAATCTTATTTACATTAAAAATATGTTCTGTCTTAGTTAATACCCACTGTTCCATCGACAGGTTGTCATGTATACAACTCATTCGACAAATTGCAGCGGCGGCGGCGGCGGCAAACACAAATCGGATGGGTCGTGCACTTGTGGGTGGATTCGATTCGGTTCATGAACGCTCCATGGGAAGATGGCATCAGCTCAGCCATAGGCCACCGAGGAGGCTTCCGATCGGCGGGTCTTCAAAATGCAAAATGCTAGACACTCACTCGTAAATCCCCAGCTGCACGAGTGTCTGTGTGCAAAAGTTCAAGCGATTTGGTATAAATATGCAAAGAGCCGCCTCAGTTGGCCACAGTAACGGATCGAGGCGGACTCGGTGCAGACGATCGAAGGCGAGGATCAAAAAGGATATATACAGAGTGCAAGATGCAGTACACAGTAAGGCGGAGGAGGTGGAGGATGTAGACCTCCTAAGATATTCCTTGCTGATACTTGACTTGACTTTCAGCTACTCGTTGTAGCAGCCCTGCTGCTCAGCTTGGCCCAGGCCAAGCCACAAGTGAGACCCCAGCCCCAGGGAGAGCCCATTCCCATCATCCGACAGGAGCAGGAGGTCAACTTCGATGGCTCCTACAAGTATCTCTACGAGACGGGCAACGGGATCAACGCCGAGGAGGAGGGCTATCTCAAGAACCCGGGCACCGACAATGCCGGGCAGGTGAGCTTGGGTTTTGGGTTTTGGGCTTTGAGTAAATCGTGCTTGGCATTTATTTGCTACAAAATTAACTCTTGCTCTTTTGCCGCTCGAAAAGGTCGCACAGGGCTCCTTTTCGTACACCTCCCCCGAGGGCATTCCCATTCGGATAACCTATCTGGCGGACGAGAATGGCTTCCAGCCGCAGGGCGACCACCTGCCCACGCCGCCACCCATCCCGCCTGCGATCCAGAAGGCATTGGCCTACTTGGCCACCGCTCCACCGCCGCCGCAAGAGCAACCGGGCGGAGGTGGTGGGTTCAACAACCAGCGAAGGGGTTAACTCGTCTTCGCCCACACTGGAATTACCTGGTTCTACTCATTTACAAAACGTGTACGAATTAACAATAAAACTGGCCATACAACAACAAAATGCTGAGTAGCTTTTCAATGATTAGCCAATGATTTAGCTGGGGAATTTAATACTGGCTGGTGGTACTCAGTCCATTAATAAACTTAATCAAGTGGAAAATGCCCAATCAAAAGATGCCGCTTTTTGGTTACAGTTTGTATAAAATACAAAATGTTTGGTTTTTTCGAACTTGTAATACAAGTCTTGTATTCAAGTATTTTTCCTCTTTTATTTGCTTGTAAAACTGTTGGTAATTGCTCACTTTTAGATAAGATTTTAGCACTCGTAGGTCCAATTGATTGACCTAAAACGCGTGAATCAAAATGTGTACTGAATATTTTGATTTTATCGGCCAGGCGCTTGAGCTCGGAAATACCTAATTGAAAGTACTTGTCCGGCAATTAAGGGGATAGTAAAACCTGCCTGATTTTACTAGATAAGATTTGCAAAGTTCTAGGTTCAATCGACTGGGCTGAATGAAGTGTGTCAAAACAATCAAGGCGTTTAAAGTTATAGCTCATTCAAACCTACATATGCTTCTTATTGGCCCTAGGTGGTTAAGTAATAACACTAAAGTACATTACATTTTACAATGTATTTAATTTAAAGAGTATTTCTCATTTTAAACCATATTCCTACATTAAAATGCGCTAAAGGGGTAATGAAATCTTCTTAATCTTCATATTATACTGCCTATTTTTAGGCTGTTCGCGTAAAAGCTGTCAAGTGGATTTTTAAAATGCAGTATTTTCGAAAGATGTCCGAATATCTTTAAGATACCAACAAGAAATATAAACAACTACTGTTAGATCCATGCAAAGTGGTTCTCGACAAGGCAGAAGCAATAGATCTTCATTAAATCGCTTCTCCCGCAGAGTCATCATATCGGAAAGCTGCCATCCAACAAATTATGAACTAATCGGCTCGTAAAGCAAGACGCTTAATTGATCCAGTCACCGGTCGGAGCAGTGGCAATTAGACACGGCGAAAACCACTCAGAAAGCCACTAGTTCCATGTGGGCGTGATTGTGGGGGTGCATGCGAAAGATATAAAGCTGGGATCCATCGGCTAGATCTTTTCATTGCAACTCATCTTCGACGATGTGGATACGCGTAACGGTGGGTCGCCCGGATTCGGATACCAGTTAATCGGTGGTCTTACTATATAGTACTTAAATTTCTGGCAGATCGCCTTTCTTCTAGCCTTTGTGGCGGCAGTTTTGGCCCAGAACGATGGGCGCTATCGTCCTCCGCCCACGCAGGCGAGTGCCTCCGATGGACGCTATCGCGGTGGCAACGATGGACGCTATCGTGGTGGAGGCGATGGTCGGTACACTGGCGGTAATGATGGCCGCTATGTCCACACGGACAATAAATACGTGCACGACAATCGTCCCGATGCGGGTTACACTGGAGACCAAGGTCGCTATGTGAACGATAGGAACAGGGGAGGAGGCGGAGGAGGCGGTGGTGGTGGCGGAGGATCTGGGGCGGGAGGTGGTGGAGCACCCGTGGCCGCACCCACAGTCACAGCCAGACCAGCGCCAAGACCCACCACTGCACCACCGCCTGCGGTGATCGATCCCACTGCCAATTTGCCCAAGGGAAAAGGCACCGGCGAAGGCGGCAATGGCTGGGCCATCATCCGTCAGGAGGACGACGTGGAGGTGGATGGCTATCACTATCTGTGGGTATTACTTTTCAAATACTACACCTCTTTAACCCATTTATTTTAAGTTGGGAAACGGAAAACGGCATTCTGGGCGAGGAAAGTGGACGCATCGAAAAGCTGACCGAGGCGGATGGCCTGCGCTCCAAGGGATTCTACGAATACACTGGACCCGATGGCATCCTCTATCGCGTGGACTATGTGGCGGATGACAATGGCTTTGTTCCCGTGGCCGCCCATCTGCCGACACCACCACCCCCACCGCCCTATGTGGAAAAATTGTTGGCCTTCCTGGAGGCAAATGCCAAGGAAAAGAAATAAATTGTGAAACTGTAAATGTCTGAAGTTTAAAGAGAATAAATAGTTGTGCCATTCAAATTTAAAATTATTTTCTTAAGGGATCTCTAATTTTTACATTTTTAATTCCAATATATAAAATGTTTATTGCAGTGATTTATTTTCTGTCTTAAAATTGTTCGAGTTTGGAAAAATCTTAAAAGTTTTACAAGTAAAACCTAAAAGTATGCCCAATTTTATATCCTCTGAGATTAAAAAACACAAAGCTTATAATTTTTATAATTTATTTAATCGTGCCAGTAAGTTTTTCAAATGACTACAATTCCTTTTTGATTTACTAAACAAATTTAACTCAACTTGGGAAGGATTCGTTGCTGTATATACTCCAGGACCTCATTGATGGTGTCATGGATTTTAACGGGCTGAAAAGAAAAGAGATAATACTTAGGAGCTTTAAGTTTAAGACATTTTTAGATATACTTACATCCTGTTCTGAATTGATGTTAGATTGTTGCTTCTCTTGCTGCTCAGTTGGACCCACGACTGGTTCCTGGACCTGTGGATCCTGTGGCTCCTGATACTCTGTAGCTTCCGGTTGACCGTCATCGGGTTGCTGATATTCATAGGCCTGATCTGCATCCCACAATTTGTTTTCATTCAAGTAGCTATACCGCTTGGCATCTGGATCCGATTCGTCTCCATCTCGCACCCAGTGGAACTGGATTATCTGCCAGCCGGTGCCGTTGAAATTGAAGTCGATCATGAAGCGCAGGTGATCCCGTGGACCAAGCGTTAGGCCACCTTTGGCCTCCAGTTCCATCTGGGCCTTGCGGAAAATGCCACGTAGATCGAGTTCATAGGGCTCGCCACGATCCCCGTAGCCGCCGTCATAGGGCCTCGGATCGTGTTGGTACTTTCCACTATTATCGGGCACATACCAACCGGTGGCTCCGTGCAACTGGGGAACATAGCGCCCGGGCTTAAATCGCTTCGCCTTTTCCTGATCCTGATCAAGGTTCTGATCCCGATCCTCTCCCCTGCAAACTGCGAGTAGCAATAGTGCAATCAGCAAACGTGTGTCCATGTCGACTACTTGATTTCGTCTGATTCAACCCCAATGCACTTTGCCAACTATTTTAGTTTTGGTCCCCACAGACGATTGTTGTTCAGCCAATAAATCGCAAGGTTTATGTCCAAGACGACATCGTTCAATTGGCTTTAATATGGGCGGGTCGCGAGCTGATTCGGTGGCTGGTGAATCGATAACAGCTCATCCGTTTTGAATTCTTTGCATACTAACAAGCCATTCGGAATCAACTTAGTTGGCAACTCGTTTGCATTGGCAGCCACTCATCTCGCCTTTAACCTTTCTCGAATGCAAGTCGCGGCTAGCCGGATCAAAATTGGGGACGACGACTGCAGGAGACAAATGGCATCTTTAAAAAGTGTAAGTAAAAAGCAATAATGCAATTTTAACATATAAATTACCATAATCAGTTATAGTTTCAATTACACTTCAGTTGGTCTTTCAAAACTTTATCAAATTGGTATACTATTTCCCACCAGAATTCATTCAAATTGGTCGTTTAAATAAAGATTAAAAATACTTAAATATATAAAACATCCATATGAGGCGAATATATTTTTCCATTAGCCGTTATGCAAATTTATAACTCCTTGCTTAGAAACCGGCCTTAAATCATTTTTCAGCAGTCGTTCACCTCTTTTTTTTTATTATAAACCGATTCATGAATCAGCTTCCCGAACCCAGAAGAGATAATCCCCGAAAAAGACATTCAACCGCGCTTCATTCATCGAAGATCGATGGGTCAGACGAGTTTCAATTTGTTTACATTTCAGCAAATCCAATAGGATCAAAGGTAATTAGTGTCGTTTAAATCAAATTTAAAACGTATCATAAACAATGAAACGCCCGTTTTGCTTTAATGAGCATTAATAACAATAATAGCTGTCAATCAATCAAGCCGGCAGATCGGTCAACTCATCCGATTCGTTATCCATTAATCAAATTGTCAGAGCCGATGATTTTGGTAATCACAACATCGCGGTAGATCCCAGACTCTAGAATGTTTTAAAAGATATATGTGAGAAATCGAAAGCAAACACGCCCCCAAAACAAGGTTTTTTTTGACTTGAACTCTTGAATGGAACCTTGTGCATATTTGGATTATTCGATCATGGTAAGGAAGTGACTAAACGATTAAAGATGTTCCATGATTCACGTGGGGTTAAGAAACTTTGTCGATTCCAGACAATCGATGGATCATCGATGGGGGAATTAAAATTATATTAAAATTGCAACTTGTTGATAGGCCAACAGGTTCACATTTCTCCCCTCTCTTCCTCCCTTGTTACCTTTGGAGTCTGGTTTGTGAAATCTCGAATTGTTTCGAGACTTAAATTATTCAGCTGAAATAAATAAAGAGAGACTGCCCCTGGCAGTGGGCAGCCAACAATATGGTGCGTAATTTGGTGTTTTGTGGGCAATTAATTAATCTTGTTTGAATATTCCCCACCCAAGCAACCTTTTTTTACAAATCGTCCTTCGCACGGCAATTTATGCGAGTGCGCAAATTATCACCACTTACAGCTGACAATTGGCAACTATATATATATGTGGGGATATATATAAATTGATTTTAGCCGCAGACTTTGTTGCCAGCAGACGGCGCCTGCAGTATAAAATATTTAACGATAATTTCGCGGTCCGGCCAACTGGATTTATCTCATGACGATGGCACTAGGGAGTTCTGTGGAAGTGGATGATCACTTTGCATAATATCAAAATTCCATTGCGCTGATCTCATCATCCGGCACTCGGTGAAATAAAATCACATTTCTCTTTTTCGCACTTGTCAGGCTGCAAAATTTATTAATACGCGATTTTTCCTTTTTATTAAAATTAATTTTATGTTCTCCTTACAAGAGCCGAAATGAAATTGCTTTGAAATTTATTTTATTTAGCACCTCCAAGAGGGGCTACAAGATTGATCAATAATTTGGGGGAGCTTTGAACTCGCTTACACTCTGGTTATTTAGGGCTCCCCATTCCGATCCAGGTGCACCAGGTTTGGGAACTCTGATATCATTCCAGCCAACCCGCATCTAATTACGACTCATTGTGATTGGTAATTTGTTCCATTGTTTGGGCCTCCGATCCAATTGCCAAGTTACTTTGGCCTTACAGCGAAATTTAAAATTTAAAATTTCGTTTTGTAAATCAATTCGTTGGGTAAAACAAATGCCAGCCATTAATGGCATAAATCGCTTGTATTTAATGGTGCCGATTAAAATGTGAATGCGCCGTTTGCTACCAAAAGCGATCCATCTATCTTTCCATTCGGTGGCTAAACTGGCTAACAGCAGCTACCAATATTTATAGACGTGCAACTGTGATTTATTCGCCCACAGCAGCTGACACTGCGATGCCTCAGTGTGTACTAATTAATCCGAAAAGAGAGCAAATGATAATTAAACAAATCTCCGACAGCTAAACCGGGTGAACAATTTGAACATCAAAATTCTCAAATTATAAACAAAAAAAAAAAACCGAAATTGAGCGGAGAAAAATGATACTCGAAGCATTGACAGCTAAATGTGTGCGAAAGCCCACGCGAAAATGAGACTAATTTATAGGCTTTGTCCGAATGCACAGCCTATAAAGATTTCATTTGTTTTGCGCCAAATGCTAAAGACTGCCAGAAGAATTAGGGGGTGAAGGTTCCCGTAAATCATATGCGGAGCCGGGCGGAGAGGTCTCTTGATCCCAAACAGGAATGTTAAGAAAATAACGCCATTTCTTATTGTAATCTGTTTGCAAGCATCTTTAAAGTTAAAGCTGGGGGAAATTTGACAGTATCTATATTTTTATAAATATTTTGAGATTTGAAAGGGTGACAAAATATGGTTTAAGTAAGGTCGATAAGTATTTGTTAGGTCAGAATTTAGATGAGAAGGTTTAAAGAATTCAGATATTCTCAGGAATGGGTACATCCTTAAGATAAAGTTCTTGATTTGTTTATACATTTTTTATTATTTCGAATTTGTATGGTCTTGTTTACATTTCTACCCAGACTAAATTCAAAGATATTAAATATATCACATCAATTTTAAAAATTTTTCTTAATAGATAATAGTTTTTACAGAACAGTTTTATAATCTCCGTATATTAGCTTTAATGTAAATAAAATACAAATATTTATAATTTTCGTGATCCTAATTATATCTTGTTATATGTCCGTACTTTTGAGCATTATGAAGTATGTATATGAAAATGATAAGGGTAGAGTGACCACTAGATTTAATAGCCGCTGGCGACTAAAACATGCTCCACTAGCATAATGCTCTAGTTCACAGCCCTGAGAGATATGAAAACGCCCTCCAAAAGCAATGGAAAACATGGTCGGTTGAGATAAACTCGAAATTTCGCTGGCATATCAGCAGCAGTGCCCTGTGGCACAGACACATGTTTATTCCCTCGGCTTAATCACTTTATTTCGAAAGAAGACTCAGATTTATCGAGCTCCTCCAACTTCGGAAGTCGCGCTGGGTAGTGTGCGTCCGGATATCATGGGCAGCGGAACTAAGCTCCCAGTGTGGATCTGTATGGTCTGGCTGATCGCGGGTCTGGCGTCTGGAGACGAGGAAGTGCTTCGATGCTACGAGTGCAACAACACGGACACATCGTGCGGCTCTCCAGGAAATTCCCTAGGAAACGTGCGAGAATGTCCCAACTCAACGATGTGCTCGACCATTGTGATGACCCATTCCTTGGGACAGGGAAAGGAGTGGACCAGGACGAAGAGAGGCTGCAGCGAACAGGTTGTAATCTACCAAGTTTATGTCAACAAGGATTGGGTCAAGAAGTATAGAATAAATGAATTGAAGGAGGGTTGTACGAAGGCGGATAGATCAGTACAGTGCAATTGCCATGGATCCCTGTGCAATTCCGGGATTCGAGGACTCAGCAAATCCCCAACGCTGCTGATCTTATTGGCCATCGTCTGTACGAAAGTCATTCTTCCCGTCTAGTCGACGACACTTTTCGGGGTGTGTTCCCAGTTGCCGCAACAACTTAATGCTTCCTGGAACTCTCTAGGCCGTAAAAATAGTTTTAAGCAGATTAATGATTTATGTGCGACACTTTTCAAAGGTGAAACCTTGTCAATAAAGTCACTGATACCAAGCAAAGCCCAAACGAACTCGTTCTGACATTGGATATGGATCGTAAATACTTGACCGGCCGGCCAGATTAAATCGAACCGATCATCCTACCTGGGCCGTCACACATGGAATGTGACGCATCGAAGAAAGTGCGAGATTTGGCCACCTTGTGGCGGACTCAAGGTCAATGTCAAATATCAAATACCATATAATTCTGGGGCTGGACTAATAAAATAACACCAGCAGCACTCCTACGGTGTGAAGATCTCATATCTGATTTGAATACCATGCAAATCAAGTGGCCAGCGTCGCTGCATCACAAATCGAACTTGTAATTGATTAAAAAGTCATCTTATTTAAATATTTATTAAGTATTTGTGACTTTAATGAATGCCCCCATATAGATATCGCCAAAAATCCGAAGTCGAGAGCCACCACCCGAATCGAATCGCCTCGGAAAGTAACAATAACAGCACGCGCCGTGACTCACACTCCGATCTGCTCTGCTGGGCGATCGCGGAGATGGTATATGTGGTGATCACTGATCACTGATCACGTCCCCTTCCCGCTGATCTCCAGCTCTGGGTTCAGCGTACGACCTTTGGAGTGCAGTGACTGTGACGCAGTATCGATACTTGGCACTCGGTATCCAGCATTCAGCATCCAACGCCCGGTGCTTGGATACTCGGATACTCGGCTGTCCCAAGATGCGGCGTTTTAATCACAGTTTATGTGGATTGCTATTATTAATCGGCATATGCCCGCCAATGTGCACTGGCAATCATTCTCCATGTGGCTCTACACTGGAAACAATCTGACTGGAGTTTGACCTAAGTTCTATTACATTTTTAATCACTATAATTATTTTATTTATTTAAAATAATCTACGAATCCTTAGTTATCATATCATATCTGCTTTAAACAGAGGAATATAATAAGGAAAGTTAAACTACATTTATTTTTCATGGTATTCATAGAAGTTATTGATAATAGTTAATTTGAATATTTTATTGATTTTATAGAGACAAAACAAGAACGCTGTGCTTTTCATGAAAGGGAATGCTTTTTATCAAACACTTTGCTCTTGCTCTTATAGTATAGTAAATTATCCCCCATTCAAAGGTTATAAACTGTAAACAATATAAATACAATATAATAAAATATATCGATTTAAAATGAAAATCTAGCTTAAAATCTTTAAATCTTTAAAATCTGACCAAGTAGTATGAGGTTAAGCCCCATTCCATGTCTTCTTTTTTGCTAGGTAGCAACTTTAATCTTGACAGCATCTTCCGACGCTAAAACCGTTAAGGACACATTCCGAGCCGATCCCCAAGCTGTCAGTCTCAGCGCCTCGGTGTCAACGTTTGCCACAAACAATTAAATTCGTTTTTGTCAACATTTTTCTTTTGCCGGTTCCATCCGATTCCGGTTATGTTGTGAACCCCGAAGCCCCCAAAACCAACCTCCGAGCGAAAACCCATCCTCATCTCCATCTCCATCGCGATCTTCGGCTTCAATATTAATGCATTTCGAGTTGCGGCTGGCGTGCGCATTGTCTGAATTGTCTGAATTGTTTCATATTTTCTTATTTTATTTATATTGCCTGTACGATTTTTTGCTGTATTTCCGCTGGTGCGTAATTTATGATTTCATTACGGCACTTTTATGGCGCTTCCGAGTGCCTCCAGGTAGTTTTGGGATACGAATCTGCGATGTTGTCATCGGTTGCCACAACTAGTTAACTTCGGTCTCCAGCTGGGAAGTTAACAGACGTCGTTTAGGAATTGGGGAAGTTATATATTGGTTTAAGAATATCACTTCCTTGCAATGAATTATCAAGAAAGTATATAGTACGGAATTTCCTCCATTTTTATAAAATTCTTTATTATTTGTCATATTTTTTTCCCTACATCCTTGACATCAAAACAAAAAGTTCTTCCCACACCAATGACACAGAAAAACAAAATGCTAAAAAATAATACCTATATGTTTTTCAAAAATGGTAATCTTGGTTTGGTGACGTTTGCGCTGACCTGAACTTCACCTTCAATTATCAGCTTAATAAAATTGCCACCAAAATGATTCGCTCTTATTGTTCAGACGAAATTCGATGACAATTCGCTGAGAAGACCTGGGAATTTCTTTTTCACAACTAGAGTAAACAACTCCATGACGAGTCTCCAAAGGCCCCATATCCTTAGTTCTAGAAAGAACAATATATTGGGCGTTGAACTCGATATAAAGCGACATTTGTCAAATAATACAAATTGCCTAATTGGTAATATATGTAATTACGTTTACCGGTGACATTGATACGCTATATAAATTATCGTTACCGGAGAGCGATTAAAGTTGGCAGAGAGTCAGAAAGGCAGAGTGAACCACACAAAAGGTGAAACAAGAAGAATTCGGCTCATCATCTGTCTAAAAATCAAAAGGGAGCAGCTTGGGGTACATGTATCTCTTCAAGAAATTTAGCTGATGAACCGAAATGAACCGACGGATCTTCTCTCAGAGAATTTTAGGCGCGACGCAATGCGTTGAGAGCAGCGCTGCGACTGCGAACCTGGCATATTTCTATATAAATCCGGTGTACTGGAAGGGAAACCAAACATTCCTGTTGCAGTCACCTCTCGAGCAGGATTACCCAGTCACTTAGTCAGTCGGACAACCAGTCAAAGGATATACACTCCCCGAAGGATAATCATGTTCACCAAGTCCATGTTGAGCTTCACCCTGGTTGTGGTGAGTAGCGAAGAAAAAGAACATGCATCCTGATCAGTGCAGTTACAAAAGTGTTACTCATGTGTCGCGAAAAAAAAAGAAGAATCCAAATTAATTTAATTACCTTGTGCTGTTCTGTGTTCCCCAGCAAGTTTTAGCACAATTAAATTTTTATTTGGCTGCTGCACCTTTTCTCAAGCGTTGAATCATTAGCAGCATCCGCCGATAAATTCAAAACTCAACTCGAGTGCATTCAACTGATCCGCACTTCCTGTCATATTCAATGGCATTATGTAAATCAGTTAATAAAATCACATCCTGTTTCTCCTGCAGGCCCTCTTTGCTGTCTGCCACACCAGTCCCGTTCCGGATAATAATGGCAAGTATACGGTTCCACAGCAATCCTCTAGCGATGGCAAATATCGCCCCAGCGACGATGGAAAGTACCATGGGAACTCGCAGAATGAAGGTATTTTCGTGAGACCATCATAGAAATATCGTGCCTAGTGCCACGCCCACTGACTGCATGCCGCTGCCGCCGCCCACTAACCCAACACCAGCAATGTGAAACAACAAAAAAAAAGCAAAATTGACTTGCCCAGAGATACTAACATACATACTATACCTCACATGTATATTTGTATAAACAACCGAATTCGATAACACACTTACTTATACGAATAATCTGCTGCTGACTCTCAAATAAGTTCAAGCTCAAGGCTGACGTCTGAAATTAGCGAAATTGTAAACAATATTCAGTATATCAAGGCCTTGAGCTGAGCTTCTATCACTAACAAAAAAGAACACATCTTACTTGAGCACTCTGATATTAAACATTCAATCTTTTATACTCGGCCTATAGGAAGGAGTGGTTCGCAAGATGGTTTAGGTAAACTATAGAAAGAAAAGAATCACAATCACACAATCCGAACTCATTCCACACAAAAAGCAGTCAAAATTAAAAAAATCCAAAAAGTGTATATTGTCTTAACTGTAGTTGAACGACTTTATAACTATAAATAACTCTAAATTTAAAGACTTTTAGACTCAACTGCCTACTTTGTACAAAAACCAAATGAGAAACTAATTAATTGTGTAAATATCTAATATTGGATATATATAACTTGAATAGTTTCGAATAGTCACTCACCCAAGCACTCAGACAATCAGAAGTTATACCCAATAGGCACCCAACTAACCTATTTGATTTCTCTTGTTCCCATGAAGGTCGCTATCATCACATGCCCCAGCCATACAGGCATGTGGACGATCAGCGTGAGCTTGGAATCTACCACCACATTCCCAATCCCTATGATGGCGGTTATGGACCCTATGCCGGTTTGAACCTTCCTTATGTCCATGACGACAGGCCCTACAAGTGAGTAACTGATCCTGGTTTAGAAAAAAAATTGTATTAAATATTTATTTCCTTTACAGCCACGACCTGTACACAGTAAGTAACGCCGAGTTTAACGTACCAGCAATCCCCTTGGAGTACGGCTTTCCCGATCATGAACCCCATCACCAACTGAGCACACAGTACTAAGAACCCACAAGAACCCACAAGATCCCCCCGAATTCCAACATCCGGCCAACACAACGAAACCTACTCCCCAAAAATTAAAAAAAAATTCCCGAAACACCCCTGCTTTCATAAACAATCCAAGCAAAAATGAGAACGTTTTTCGGCTCTGCAATTAAACTACACATTCCGCGCTACATGACACCACCCCCACATACGGTATCCTGCATGTCCCCCCAAAAATCCAAATCCCCTACCACAAAAAACCATGCAACGCACACACGCATGCCTACACAAGCCCGATCAGAAATCACGCCAATGATCACATGATTCGACCCACAAAAACACTCGCAGAGCACGACCACCAAGAAACCCACCACCACCACCAAGAGGACGACGACCACAACCACCACGACCACCACCACGCCAAGGAGTATCCTGTTCAACTACGATGACGAGGGTCGCCACAAGATTCTGCACAAGGAAGAGGTCCGCAAGCAGGACAAATACGATCATTCGTAAGTAGCTTATAATTCTCAAGTTGTTTTTTCGGCCTATAAAAATTAAGAGTTATTCTCTTGATTTCGATCTCTAGTAGTAGCATTCCAAAATCTTTTAACGATGACCTATAAATTCATTGATATTGCTAAAAATAAAATATTATTACGAAAGATCTTTAGTTCTTTAAAGTATTATATCGATTCCACCATAACCTTCTCAATAATTTATCTTTTACCCAACAGTTACCTGACCGAGAACGGAATCTACGGCGAGGAACAGGCCAAGCTCCACCACACTGGAGGAACCCACGCCAAGGGCTTCTATGAGTACACCGGCGACGATGGCAAGCTGTATCGCGTGAACTACGCCTCCAACGATGGCGGCTTCATGCCCGAGGGCGACCACATCCATCCGATTCCCGATGCCATCGCTCGTGCCCTCAAGTACGTGGAGGAGCAGCACAAGGCCAATGGCGGAGCTCAGTTCGACCATCGCGGCTTCCGCATCAATCACATGACCAAGGACATCAAGGCCCAGATCAAGGCGATACATCTGGAGAGGATGCCCAAGGAGCTGAGCGAGCAGATCCGCATGCTGGAGCACGAGGTGGAGCTCGCCGAGGAGGAGGAGCGCGAGGAGCAGGCCGAGCTGGAGCGCCTCCGCAAGGCAGCCAAGCTCCACTAAGTGCGAGGAACTCAACCGAGGAACTCGCCTCATCCACAGCCATATGTTCCCGCTACCCAAGCCCCCAGAAACAGTCCTAGTCCATCCAAATTCCAACACCCAAGTCCACACATTCCCCATGCATTTGCCGATCCCCCGCTGATCAGGGCAAACACTATAACAAGCCATCGCAATACCGCAAAAAAATCCACAAAAAAAGGAAAAGGAAGGTGAAGAATGTCAGCATATCGAATTGCAACAGGAGAATATTCGTACATATAGTCCGCTCCTATGTTATTTCGTATTTATTTATCTGTCGAACTTGTCGAATTTGACGATGTTGCTATGCATAAGATAATTAATTTGTTATTATGATATATCGAAATAAAACCTACTAAATATTTGTTATAAATTACCAAGAATTTTATGAATTTGAAGATCACCAAAGGCCCTTGAGTTGAACAGCATAATTCGTTTCAAAGGCCGAATCGCAGTTGATAATGAGAGTATCTGACATTTTGCCAAAAATATAATCAACATTTTCAATACACAATATACGGGCAGTGGTTAAGAATTAATGGGTTTGTTGAACCCACTAAGGCGAGACCAAAACAAGTCTCAATTCTCAATCTAAGTACGTGTTCTCTGTAGGCGCCGAATACATTTTGGTATACACATTTCCGATAAGCGGGATTTGACCCAATTTTTTCAAGCTTATATTAAGTCTGACCTTGCACCCGCTAGACAAGTTACAGTCATAATTATAAGTAGGATGACACTACTCTTTAGTTTCTAGTTGAACACATTATCATATCGCCAGCGGAAGTCAAATTCCTCTTACTCACAAAAAATTGAAATCAAGGTTTAACACAGAAAATTCCACATCACTGTAGATGGTAGAAGACGTAGTGACGAATCGGAGTGTCCACGAGGTGACTAATATATATTGCCTCTATATTAAAAAGTGCTACGATAGTCTGATTGAGTAATTCATCAATCAAAAGTTTCTCAGTTTAATTGAAAGTAAAGGCCTGAAAAAAAGTTTAATCACTTTTCGTTACAAAATACGATACCAGATCGTTGCGATCGTTACTGATTTTTTTACCTCTTCAAGAGGTGTTTTTGCTTGATTGTTTTCAACTAAGATACTATTCGCAGCACGCTTTTGAGCTTGGTGAGAAATAGAAAAAGCTTTTAAGGCGTTAACACAAGCTACCAAGCTTAATGGTCTATAATCAATAGATAAACGAAAAAATGGCTGACTTCAAATAAGCGAATCACTCGAGTTAATCTTCTGTTAAATATTTAAAATAAATATTTTTATTAATTGAAGAAGGCTGAACACACGGTTTTTAATCATCTAATTAGGAATCTCAATGCTTGGTGATGACCACATTGGCTGGAGCTGGCTGCTTGGCATAAAAAGCGGAGTTAACGCCGTCATCTACAAGGAGAAACCCAATAAATCAGGGTTCTTACTGTGATTTCTTTAAATGTGTATGTAGATACAAACTTACAGGTGATCACTGGACGGAAACCGTTGGCATCGGCCAGGTATTTGACTCCCACTCGCAGACCCTCGGGTGTGATGAAGGAGTAGGCCCCCTCCACTTGCTCCTCCTGCTGCTGGTTGCCAATGTTCACCGGCACTCCTCGCTCCTCCCCATGGATCCCATTTTCTGTCTCATAGTTATAGGCATAGGAACCCGCTCCGTAGTTCACATCGTTCTTTTGCTCCACAATCCTGGCCTGGGCAGCGGCAATGTAGGGATTGTACTTCTTGTAGAAACCGTCGTAGAAACGTCGCAGGTTGTACAAATCGCGGTTCCTGTAGTACAGATCCCTGTAATAGGGATTCCGCAGGTATGGATTGTATTGTGGCTGTCCTTCACAGGCGATGGCAGCCAAAGCGAGTACAAAAAGGCAGGACAACTAAAAGCACACGAAACATTAGATCACAACACATTTCGGGATTTCTGGAGAGTTCACTCTGATTTACCAGCTTCAAAGACATTTCGATATTTTTTGGCGACTTTTAACGATGATCTGTCCGACAGAACTGTAACAGTTTCCGCGCCACGAAACGTTTTATAACCAACTTTGATTCCAACCTACCCATTTTGCATAAGCATCAAATTTCAGCCAATAAAATTCATTATATTCGGCCAACGGCCAGCAAAAAAAACTTTCGTGCCAGAGAGTTTGACAATTTCCGTTTAGAATTTAGATTGGTTTTTATTATAATTCGCGTATCTTTTGTTTGTATAATTAAAATTTAGAGTAGCCGACAAAACGATTGGCTAAACAAGCAAAAAATAAAAAACACAGCTGGGGGGCGTTAAGTGTTTATTCGTGTTTAGCCATATGAAAATATAAATGCTAATCTCGATTATAGACATATATTGTATTCAATAGTGAAATTCGAGAAGCCGGTGAATAAATTAATTTAGATTTACATTTTCAATTATTTTCCACCCACTTTGGCTTACATCACTACTACAAAATTACAGATTAATTAACTTTCTATAAGTATTTCGTGAAAACCAAAACGTAATTATTTAGGTAATCAATAAAATGGCCAACAAACTTTAGATTTCGCTTCAACTCAACTCAATTGTGTCGATTATAATTTATTGTTTCCATCTGAAATTGAGGTGAATAAGGCATGAATGGGCTACTGAGACCCGGGCACATGAATAAATATGAATGAAGTTGGAGTTGGCTGTGGAGAAGATATTTTGGAGGAGGGATTAGGGGGTTTGGGGGATGCGAAGGGGAATTCATCTCGATTGCATCGCCGGCCTTCACATTTCGCGTGCGATTTGACAGCAGTCAACGAGTGCAACAATAGCTATGTAATTGTGTCTACACTAGTCAGCAAAAGTCACGTGCCAGCCAAGACGAGTTTTCGTTTTATTAATTGGCACCTATTATGTGCACCTTAAAACGAGAATACTATATATTTAACGGCCTAAATTAGCATTCTCATAGCCGAGATAGCTGAGAACAAAACAAATTGAGATCAATAAGCAATCCAAGTTAGTCCAAACTTATTTCCATTCCATTCAAAACAGAATCCACATCTGGCACTATAAATGTCCAAATGTTAGCAATTCGTATTCTTTATGGTTCCGATTCTGAAGTCGCGGCTCAGCGGAATGCGTTAAATAAGATCTGCCTATGGGTCAGACAAAAGATCTTTATTAGCTCATTTGCATAAACGAGCCGCTGAATATTTGTCGTCTAATTAATTGGCTCGAATTTATTTAAGTTGGCTATTTAAATATTCATTGAGGATTTGTGTTTGCTTAGAGCATCTAAACGTGTTGTCTGTGGCTTGATAAATTGTTAAACAGCAGACTTAGCATGTAATCAAGACCAATGAAGAAGTTCGGTTGTTTTAATACGGACTGTACCCATATTAATTTAAAAGAAGCAACCGATGACAAGGGATTGGTATAATGCAACCACACCTTAAATAATTAATCAGATTCTCACACTCCAAATTGCTCAACACATGAGTGACAAAACAATTAGAACATAAATTATTCAATGGGCAATTTAGATAAATGGGAATGGGCCACCCCTCGTCCTTTGGTTATAAAACTAATGGTCTTTGAATGCCAGAGCTCAGTTAAAGTGAAGAGTGGAAAGGTCAGAAGACAAAGAGCAGCCGAAAATGGGAAAACAACGTTCTTACGAGGATTACACCTACATGGCCAACATAATGTTCAAGACCCTGGGCTACGATCTATTCGATTCACCCAGACCCAAATGGCAGAATCTTCTCCTACGCTGCTATTTTGTTCTGTGCGTGGTGAGCAACTTCTACGAGGCATCCATGGTGACTCTCAGGATCATTCAGTGGGAATCCTTGGCCGGAAGTCCGTCGAAAATTATGCGACAAGGTCTGCATTTCTTTTACATGTTCAGTGCCCAAGTGAAGTTTGTCACTTTTATGATACACCGAAAACGCCTACGATTGCTGAGTAACAACTTGAAAGAAATATATCCACAAGATGAGGAAAAGCAGAAGATTTACGGTGTCAATAGATTCTACCTATCACGAACCACTCGATATGTTTTGTATTTCTATTACTTCACCATGGTCCTCATGGCTTTGGGTCCTGTCATTCAGTCCTGCATTATGTATCTAATTGGGTTCGGAAAATCCGAGTTTCCGTATCAACGTATTTTTCCCACACGCCTTAGCTTCGATTCAGAAACCCCAATGGGTTATGTGGTTGCCTACGTAATCGACTTTACTTATAGTCAATTAATAGTGAATGTGAGCTTGGGAACGGATCTTTGGATGATGTGCATCTCGAGTCAGATCTCAATGCACTTTGCCTACTTGGCCAAGGTTTTATCATCCTACTGTCCAAATAAAGAAAGAGAACAAGAAGATTGCTGTTTTATAGCAGGGTTGGTTAAAAGACATCAACTAATTCTAAGGTGAGTTAGAACAACTTACTAAATTTAGCAACCTTTTTAAACTATTTTATTATTTTTTTGCAGCTATCACAAGGACGTTAATAATGTATTTGGACTTCTATTGGCCTCTAATTTGTTTACCACCGCCAGTTTACTATGCTGCATGGCTTACTATACTGTAGTACAGGGTTTTAATATGGAAGGCATTTCATACATGATGCTATTTGTTAGTGTAGCAGCTCAATTCTACATGGTCAGCTCACACGGACAAATGCTCATCGACTGGGTGGGTAAAAGTTACTAATATATTTGTATGCACCTACTAAATACCTTTCTTAGAGTACCAATATAGCTGAAGCTGCCTACGAAAACAATTGGTATGAAGGATCATTGCAATACAAAAAGAGAATACTTTTTCTAATGGCGCAGGCCCAACGTCCTGCGGAGATATCGGCCAAGGGAATTATTATCATTTCCCTCGAAACCTTCAAAATAGTAAGTTTCCTATCATAAAATCGTATTTCACTAATAATTTTTGATGCTTTGTAGCTGATGACCATCACTTACCGATTCTTTGCGGTTATACGTCAAACTGTGGGAAAGTAATTTATGTAGAACTATACCCACTTGAAACTACAGTCACTTATCAAGTTATTATATAATGGAGCAGTTTGGAAAACAAAATTATGCCTCATCTTTGAAATTTCCATCATTTTCTTTAGTAAACATGACTTTATGTCTATAAATCTAAAAATACTTGTACTTTTATTACTCAATTTGACTATTCCGTTAGCCAAAACAAATGAACTAAGAGAAGCCAATATGAGGATATACTGCAACGAATTTGTGCCCTACGGAATAAGAACTCATATTGTCATAACCATAGAACGGCTACCAGTTAAGTCCAGGATTACGATACTTCTCAGTGCTTCCGATTACCTATTGGCCTTTTTTGAGGTCGGAAATGTTGCAAAAGAGATGCCACCGAAATTTGAAAAAACCTCATCCATCAGTAATGAGCTCTCATTTTTCGGAATCAAGACAAAAATAAAACCTGATTATGAAGATGGATACTACGCCAGTTTAGTCGCTACTTTTTGGTCGGCTAGGAATACATTTCTTACGCTACTTGGTCGACTGAAATCAATAAGGATATATGAAGTAAAGGAAGTTTTACCTATTGAAGTAATCCTTCCCCAGCATTGTTCTCCGCAACTGATAATGCCAACGTGTTCAGATCCCCAAAACCCGAAACAGGTTCTTATCACTCGGGGCTTCCTTATCAATGCTTTATTTCTGGAAAATTGTAACCTACCAATTAATGGTGTTTATAATTGGAGTGTGAGGGATGCGGTTGGGTTAAGTGAGTAGTCCAGTCTAATAAATCACCCTTTCAATCCATCATTTCCACAGCACAGTTTGCATCATATTCGACCAATACTCCATATCTTAATATTCGGCCATTTGCAATGCGGTTTCCCACTTCCTATGAATTGTGGAGGGATTTGTATGTTCTGCAAGTCGAGGGAAAGTTGAATGGATTGTATTTTGCAGCTCGATGCTATCTTAAATTGATAATGGGTCAAGTGGAAGCCGTAATTTTGGGTGGCAAATCTAGGCGGGCTCAGCAAAGTGAACAACTTTGGATAAATGGCTCTTTGAGTTACGATTCATCTAAGAGAACTACGGACATTCAGTTTTCAAAATATAATTGGAACTGCTATTCATATGACGATAGTCGTAATCCCTTTTGCCATAGGAACATATCGTCGGGTGAGATTTTTTAAGAGAGACTTAATTAGTACTTTTAATCTATTCCTTTTTAATAGTTGCGGTGTTTTCTATTCCTGCCAATGCCTTAAAGAACAACTGCAGATATATATTTCGCTTGCAAGTAACTAGAGATGACAATCCAACTATTTCATCGCGAAAAGTGCAAGTGGTTACAGTGATCAAGAATAAAACCCTACAAGTAACGATTGAATGCGTGAGAAATTGTCAAAAGGATTACTTTATTCCGAATGCAGAGGTTCATCTGTTTGCAAGATGCTTAAATTGTGGAAATCAAAATGTAGTGTGCAAATGGTATATTGATGGTCAGTTTGTGGTAGCTAACCATGATTTTTTAATCCATATACGAACGTCATCGAATGCAACGCGGATTAGAGTTCTTCTGTCATCGGATGATGGCCGAACCGGCCGGAAAAGTAAAACCCTGATTAAAAACTTAGGTCCCACTGGCGGAAAATGTTCGATTTATCCAAAAGAAGGTAACGAGGCGGTCACCGCATTTTTTCCTTGCTGTCAAAACTTTGTATCGTCGAACAATCCCATCGAATTTTGGTATTTCGTCGGCCCAGTTCTTATCGGTACTTGTGTCGACTGCACCTGTGAGGTTTTCCTACCTATCACTAATATCATAAAAGTGGTTATATGTGATGCATTATATGCATGCCACACCAGTTGGATAAATGTTAAGATCAATGCACTAAAGAATGTTCCCTTGGATGTCCCAAACCTACTTGCTAAAGGACTTCTTCATCGGTATTTGCAAAACGTGCAATCTATAACTCAGCATATAAGTAAACCGGAATCTGGAATGATTATTCTAAAGAATTTTACAACCATTCATCCCCAATCGCGAAGTTCCCTTGCAAGATTGGCTAACCTTACCCTAACATTAGCACACCGTTTATATCCCGAAGGTCAAAAGAAGGATACTTTACTAACCATGGTGGTTCAGAAAATGAATGATAATTTCGAGGCAATATACCTGGATGATGATGTAAACTTTCTGGCGGAACCACCTTTTCGCAGCATTAGATTAGCTTGCTTAGAAGTTTATGAAGTAATGAAAAGGTTGTGCAAGAGGACTCCACGTCCACCATGGCCAATTTATAACAAATACTATCAGGCGTATACAACGGATAAATTGGATCAGACTCTTCTTGAAAAATTGGTGGCAAAAACCGAGAAAAACGAAAAAATCGTTGTTCCATGGGCTTTCTGGCTAAACTCCACTTGGGAAACGGAGCGTCTATATCGCCACTTAAATTATTCTCGCGGTAATATTTACCGCTCAGGTGTTGGTGAAAAAAGAAAGATAACGCCAAGCAAAGTTACGCTGAACGTTCAATGTTTTAAAACTTTTCCGAAAAAAAAGATTCGAGTGCATACAAGCGATAAGATTCACTTGGTTATTATAACTCCAGCCGTTTTTAAGGATATTCTGGGAACGAATAAGGGAAGAGTCTGTCTTAAAGTGGTATCCATTATACAGCAACTGCATTGGTGGTATCCACTGGAAAAGAAGCCCAGTTCTTTGATAGTTTCTGTGCGCATTTACCAAAATGAAGATAACTTGCCTGTTCCGATCTCCCTAAATCACAGTCATATTAAATACAAGACTATAAATACATATAACAAGGATACTTTCTTTAAGAGTAACATAACCTCTGCAAGATCGGATAATAATCGAAAAGCAGGGATATACGTCGATTGCACGAGAGAAGGAAAACTTCAAACATTTCGGACAGTTCGTATATACCGCATAATGCTGATGGAGCACACAATGCTGGCTGTCCACTTCACCAAAGCCACTCACAAACTTCAGGTTGTCCTGACACTGAGAAACAAGCCTTTGTTTCGTCAGATTTCCAGGTCCAAGTGCACGGTGCCGGCGAAGACCAAGGGTAAGACCCTTCTTCTGCTGAATAACTGCCATAATGCCCAACGGGCTTATATGGCAGTGCGGATTTGCTCGAACGTTACGATAAGGAATAGCCCAAAAACTCCGGTCAAAAATGGACCTGCTGAATTCACGTTCGCATTTCAAATTCGCAGCTGCGACCATTGGTCATACGACTCTCGTCCGGATAAACAACATTGGCTGCAATACGGATGCTATCCGGCGATGACCCTCAGTGTGAAGTCGGGAATCCGTTGCATTTGCGATGTCCTGGGCACATATACCAACTATCTGTATTATATTCCCAGTATTGAGGTTCCAGGCTGTGTTTATAGCGAAGCACAACTTAATTACTTCGTTCTTGTATTTTATTCTATTATCTTTTTGTTGATACCACTTTGGATAATATGGTTGTATTTCTACCGCAATCGTTTCCCTAGTAAGACCATTTTTATTCCGGAATTCGAAAGGAAAGACAAATCTACGGGGGAGCTACATGATTTGCTAATCTCGTTGAGAACAGGAGGTCGTTTGAATTCCGGAACCACAGCTTCCCTGAAACTGGTACTTTTTGGCCCATCGGATGATGAGCGGGTAATCAGAGTTAAACAGGATCCTGAGCATCCTTTTCTCAACGCCAATAGCACACTGTTTCTTTGGATACGAACTCGAGATATCCGTATACCTACTAAAGTTATCGTTTCACACGACAACGCTGGTCGTTTTCCCAGTTGGTTTCTCCGTCGCATCGAGGTGAACGATATCCAGACCTTCGAAACGCAGGTTTTCCTCGCCCGGCAATTTGTGGCCAAAAGGAAGCTATTACTAACATCAGCCCTGATTTACAAACGTGGCGATGTGCGTTTCTTTGACAAATGGAGAAAGAGATTTTGCTTGAACTTTGAGATGCTCTGGATCAATTGGTCACTGTGGCAACCGGTCACCGGAAATTGGAGGGAAACCAGTCAATTTCCACGAATAACCCGAGCCAAAAGATTTTGCGTGTTCATCAGTAAGCAATTTGTTATCTATACAACCTGTGCCACGTATTTCGGCCTCACAACGACCGAAAGTTTACAATTATTCCGAGACAAGTTTCTGGATTACAAAGACCTGCTGGTACTAACCATTTTTTGCTGTGTTTTGGATATTATCTTTCAAGTGATGTTTCGCACCATCTACTGGAAATGCAGTTAAACGGGATCTTAATAAAAAAATGAATAAAATATGAAAATAATAATAAAGTACACTTGAACTTTTTATTGGTTAAACTTCAAATCGTGGGAAAGATGTGAGATATGTAGCTAATTACTTGGCCATAAAGTCAAAGAGAATATTGCCGTGACAAATTATCAAATAAGGGGGAGTTCCTAAGTTCCCACTCGCATATCGCATATCAAATGTCTTGGCCGCGATTTGCATTAATTAACCATGAGCCGTAATCGACGACGCCCACGTGCTGCAGATCGATCCCTCTGCCATTTAAGATGTCTGTCAATTTGCATAAATCACATTAATAAAACTGGGCCCAACGACACTCGGATGCCCAGACGGATTAGCATAGAGTTAGCTAAATTCTAAATGCTGATATATGATTCATATCACTTATTTTGCTACATGCTCCAGTTAAGAGTTTCGCCTTCCTGACCACACGAACCAGTTAAGGCCGCCAAAGCAGAGCACAGTTGGCTAATGGCTATCCTTGACCATGAAATGGGCAGCTTATGCCGGGCTTATACCCACTCCAATCCCCCCAAATCCAAAAAATGCAGTAGCTGGGATCGCGACATGACCAGAACCACTGACATTTAACCGCGGCAACTGGTTCGCCATTGGTGGCTTCTGCTGCGGTGTGCAATTATTTATTTATGCCTGCATTGACATTAGCATTAGCCAGTGCAAAGTATGCCAGGCTGGACCGCAGACCAAGCCGAACCCAGCCACAAAGTTGGCCGAAAGGCGGCTCTAGCTTCTTACGCAACAGCTAAATCAATGCGGACAACCGATTTACAGAGATGCCACTCCGAAGATCTGTCTTTTGGCTATTAACATTTGATCTTGAGCTCAAAAGGATTTTGGCTAGATTTTTAATACATTTTTTTTTAATATCTTAAGAGCTTTAGCCAATCTTGGTGTCACAAAAATCTCTTGATCTTTGGCTAGAGATTTTAAGTTAAAGCGTAGGCTTTTGAAAACATTCCAGTGATATCAATAAATTTTAGAGGCGATTTTCAATCCAACCAAAGAAAAACTTAGGGAAAAAAAACTTGAAATTATTATTATTATTATTTTCCCTCTTTCTCATATTATCATTTGATCTTAAATGTAGGGTATTCCTAGAACATTTCACAACTAATCCAATTGTCTCGCGTTTATAAAACAGTAGACAAAAGTTGGCACCTCGGATCGGCGCTATCGCGTGGCCAGCATGCCCGTCCCCCTGCTGGGTATCAAATTGCAGACACTACTCAAAACGTCTTTAAAACAAATTACGTTGTATGCCGTAAAGAACGCGTCGCGACCTTCAAAGTGGCCAGCGGGCGAGAACTGGTTGGGGCAAGCAGAATATGACCATATAGCCATATAACCAGACGGCGGATAGCCAACTGACATTTGGTGGCATCGGGTTCTATAATCGCCGAAGCCATGCGTAACATTTCAAGGTTCCGCCGCCTAATAATAAGCCCAGATGGGAAATGCTCAGCCGAGAACATAAATCTCGGTGGGCAGACAGCGGTTTATTGCGGTTAGTGCGAGTAAAAACACATTTAAAAGTAGTACAATAAATATTAAAATTAATACAGTCGAATGTCTTCATAATTATTGCGACCCAGCCAAAAAGAAAAAAAAGAGCGAGGGAATATCCAAAGATTTTGACTTCCACCTCGACGACTTCGCCTTTAACTTGTTCAGTTCAGGCCCCAAAAAAAAAAAAACAAAGTTCGTACTATATGGATTTTCTTCTTTTTTCCGATCTTTTTTTAGTTGCCAAAGACAATAACAATACAATACGGCCACAATCTTTGGGACAATCTTGTCACGAAATTCTGTCGCCGTCTGTGCCGGAGTTGCAGATGGAGGATGGGGTTTCGGGCCGGAGTTTGCAGACAAAGTCGAAAAGTCTAAGAGTCTGGCCCCATCTGCTGGCCCAAAGCTATTCATTAGACGCGCCTACACTTTGGCAGCGACGACAACAACTTGGCGTTTAGCAATTTCTGGCATTTTGACCCCGTGCACGGCTTCAGTTTGAGGTCTGCCCATGGGTTTTTGGGCTTGGGTACTGGATACAGAGTACTGAATACTGAATACTGAATACTGAATACTAGATACTGGGTACCAGTAACGCCGCTCCGATGGCTGCCTGACTTTGATTGCGACGACCGATTAATGCAGCGCATTTAAATGCAACGGTTCACTCCCCCTCAAAAAAAAAAAAGCACCGGGTCTGCCCCATTTCGAGTCAGGTGGCAACGCCGGCGGCCGAGATCGGTATCTTTATTATCATTATCATTTAGCTGGGGCGTATCCATCGACCGTTCTTCTTTCGTCGCTTGCTGGGTGACTACACTGAAGAAAATACTAAAGTATACTTATTATCAAGCTATCTTTATAAGGTTTCCATTAGAAGGACTCAAAGATTTCATGACTCTTGCTAATGTTAGTTTAAAAATCCCTTCAGACATCGTTAAGTTACTGTTTGAGAATTTTTATAAAACTATAGATTTTCTCAACCATTAAGATAACTTTCCTAAATAATAACTTAAAAAAAATCTATTAAGAAACCATTAATAAATTCTTAAATACCCGCTTTGAATAGATATTTTAATCTATACATTTTTCGAACAATAATATGATAGATCTACCTCTTTCTTCAGTTTTTATACCCGTGTAGCTATTTCCGCCGGCTGATGCAATTACCAAGCAATAGATTTAAATGTGTATAGACGCTCTGCAAAAACAAGCTGAAACAATTGCATAAATTAAGTGTACTTAGTACAGAGTTAGTTCTTTATTTCCAGCCCAGAACAGTTGGGTCTCTGCTGCTCTTTGGAAACGGTGACGTCGACTGCAACTGCGACTGCGACTTAGGCGTTGAATCTTTAGTTTAGTTTTTCTTCTCTCTTTAGTCAGCCATCTCGACACCCACCCACCCAGCCATCCCAACCCCCCTCCCCACCAATATACCCCACTACTAGTTAGTTGTTGTTTGTTAGTTGTTCGTTGTTGGTTTTGGCCGTACTCGTGTCGCAGCTTTGCATCTTGTCTATGTGTGTGCAACGCTTTGCCAACTGAAACCGAATTGTTTGCAGCCTCGCCAGTGCAATTTTCGTATAAATAGACTCACCTGCCGGCATTGGGCATCATTAAATAAAAACGTTCGTTCAATTAACAACTGCAGTGTGCTGAGGACCCAGTCGAAAGGATATTTGTGCCTTTTGGATTACACTTCTGATCTTCGAACAAGATGAAGAACGTAAGTGACCGAAAGGATTCGAGTGGACAAGAAAACAATAGAGTATTCCAATGAAGGATGTATTGGGAAAAGTGTTTAACATAGTGAAAATGCCGACAATAATTTATTAAAGTAAAGGAGGTGAAAAAGTGGTTGAAAATTTTAAGGATGCTTAAAAAAACACAAATATATTATATTTTTTATATTTTTGTGTTAGACACTAAAACATCTAAAAGATTATTCAAAGTCAACGCATTTTTAGAACAATATATTTTCCTAAAAAAACTTTTTTAAAAAATTAAAATAATCAATAAGTTTGATTTAGGGCCATATTTAAGTTTTTCCCATAAATGTGTTCCATTAGGTTTGATTAGACAAACCCGAGCTTAAAATAATGCCAGAATCCAGAAGTTTTCCAGAAATTAGTGGCTCCCTTTCAATGTGTCAGATGTAGACTTTCTGGGCATTTCATCTCTCCCTCATAAATGCATAAAATTTATGACCATAAATGCTCGGGTGATAAAAGCTCTCGTAAATCAATCGCCTAAGGTGAGCTGCATAGCTTTTAGGGCATTTATTACTGCCAGAGGCCCTTCAGAGTTTTTGCGGCTAAATCTTTCGCAATTACGAGGCCCGCCGGCAATAAAGGCGGGTGCAAAAACATATAGCATATTGCCAACGGGGGCAGACACGTCTTGCCATTTGAAAGGCTTAAAAGCCAAAGGCAATTAACGGACTGGGATTCGGATTCCGAGGCAGCGTGTAAGCCAAAGCCACGCAAAGGTCACAGTCAGACCAATGGACCAACACCTGGACCTGGCAGCTGTCCATCGGTCTGAAAAGTTCAGACACGAAATTGGAAACCCAAAATGAAAAGCCATTCGGCTCAGTTCAGTTTAGTTGAGCGACAATTGCCCAAGAGTCGAAGATCTCGGGGTTGCCAAAAAATAAATAAAACGAAGACACCTCCGATGGGACAGAGGACCACGCCCCGCGATTTCCATGCTCTTTTGTGTACGAGTTAATTGAGTCAGTCGACACATAGAGTGTGTGTGGAAATGTGGAAAATATTTAATTGCCATCTATTTGCCGACCTCAAAAGGTGTCTAAAAAGCTCGGTATGTGAGAACAGCAAATAAAATGGCTAAGGCAATAAATCTCGGCTCTCGGACCCGCTGGCATTGCATAATGCTAGCACTCATGGCACGATCTCAAGACGTTTATTAGCTCGGTTAACATTGCGGAACCCTCTTCATTTCGTTTTCCCTTCGACAGTTTGCTCTCTGTCTGCTGGTCGCCCTGGTGAGCTGCTGCCAGGCTGCCCCCCAAAAAGCGGAGGAGCCGATCGCCATCATCAACCAGGAGTCCAACATAGAACCAGATGGTTCCTACAATTATTCGTAAGTAATGCGAATTGGAAAGTGATTAAGGTATATAGTCAGACAACTCAATCAATTGTATTATTAGCTAATGTCATTAGCCAGTCATCTAAGTACGTGTTAATCAGCTCATTAGCTTTACACGCTAATTGAACTTCAACCTTTAATTATCTCCTGGCTCTGAAATTCATTGTAGTTTACAGATCTCCGTGTTATAACAAGTTAAATCTGTCCGTTGTTAAAAACTAAATTTTAAAAGCATACTTTGGGGACTTGCAAATAAATATAAAATTTAAAAAGAGCCCCTAAAAAGTAACTTTATTTTTTCTGATAAACGATCAGCCAATCTGAATAAGCTAAACTAAATCTTTTTGTTATCCCCCAGCACCACTTTCCCCTAAACCCATTAACAAAACCAGCTATTCTATAAAAAACCCAAGAAGAATATGCTAATTGAGCTAACGAAATATGGATTAATGAACCATATTTAAATAGAAGTCTGCACAGAAATGCTAAAAGTTAAACTGTTGATTGAATATTAATTTGATTTGCCTGGCGCCAGCTTTTAAGATATATATTCGCAAGATTTCAAGGTGAATTTGGTTAAAGCCTGTGATGATTATATGTACTTGGTACTTGCAGATACGAGACGGCCAATGGAATCAAGGCCGAGGAGACCGGAACTCTGAAGAAGGCCACCGCCCCGGAATCCAGTGACGTGATCATCGCCAGGGGATCGGTGTCGTACACCGCACCCGATGGCACCCTGATTACCCTGAACTATACGGCCGATGATGAGAACGGTTTCCAGCCGCAGGGCGATCATCTGCCCACTCCGCCACCAATCCCACCAGCGATCCAGAAGGCTCTGGACTACCTGCTCGCCCTGCCCCCGGCAAAGCGTCGTTAGGAGGGGATTAACACCCTAGATTCTCAGCCAACAATGATGACCAACTAAACGATTCTAATGTGTAGATGCTGCGCTGTTGCTACAAGTTTATTGCACATCCCCCACACCCCAGATCCCTAGACAATCACACATAAGACACAAGCCAAGGGCTGGAGCCACCTCCCCCTTCTCCTTATTTCACTGGGGAGGTGGTCGAAGGTCGGCCAAATCCACTGACTGAAGAACACGAAACTCAAACGGATTTGAGGGACAACACCACACTGAACAACCAACACAACACGATGATACAGATGTAATCCAGTCTGCTTTCTTGCTTTCTTCCACGATCAAACACTCTCTTCTACGCGAATTTCTTCAGATCTTTTAGTCGCCGGAACTTTGCCATTTTCGGACTCATGTGATATCGTCGATTTATCAATGAAATCAACAAAGAAAATGTAAAAAAAAGAACAAACAATAATATACAGGAATATTATCCACAGCAAACTTTGTGTAAATAGTCTGTATAATTAGAAAGATTTACACGTAGTCTAAGCGAAGATGTGAAGAACTATGAAGATATTCTTTAGCCTTAGCTGCAAATAAAGAATTAAAGATTCTTTCGAAAAGTAAACAAGTCGATCGTTTTAATGGGCAAACAAATGACCTCTAATAATCCTTAACAGTCAAAGCCTCAATAGCTAGTATCTGGTTTCAAAAGCAGCTTCGGCTTTTAAAGAATTCCACTCCCACTGATCGTCTTCTGAGCTTCTGTCGTGGTCATAAATCTAGACTCGCAATTCTCCAAATAACAGCGATGACAAACGTTAAACTTAATGAATGCACAAAACTTGTTGGCCAGATGCATACTCAGGTTGAGGATATAGTTTACATGGGATACTATCTTAGACTATCCGTCTATTCATAGATTCTGTCTGTTTTTTTATTGTTCCATTCTGTTTTGCACTTCAAGGCAAGATTTGATAGATTCATTTTATGCAAAGTGGCCAGACGCAGGCTGTTGCCAAAAATGTGGTCACGTTGCTTCGAAATCCGAGATCCGAGATCTGAAAAACGAGAACCAGAATAGGAGTGATGCCGATGACGAGTTCCCATAGAAGATGGCCAAAACATTAATATTATTTATTTATTTATTGAAAAACAATGTGGAGGCTGGCCAGCAGAGCCGTCTGCACCAAATTTCACACCCATTTTTCGAAAGGCCAGCGACGAACTACGAACGGAACTGGGCGCAAACAAGTTCAATATTATTTATTGGTCACATTTTAATTTCATGTTAAATATTTTAGTACAGGAATTTTATGTATCTCGGAGATTTGCTAATTTCGTTGCCTATATAAGAGTCTTTGTTTACCGCTGGGGATCACCAGTCGCCGCGAGTCGCCAGCTTGGATTGTATTAAGTGACATATCGATAGAGCGAAACATGAAATTCCTTATAATTCTCAGCCTGTTTGTGGTTGCTGCCTGGGCGACGGACAGCAATGATCCCATTTCCCAGGAATCCAATGTGGAGTACAATGGCAAATACCATTATCAGTGAGTTTAAGGGAGAGATATAATCCATATAGGTACTAACTAAGATCTAACTATCCAGTTACGAGCTGAAAGATGGCTCCAAGGCCACTCAGGATGGCGTTTTGAAGACTGTGAATTCCGAACACGATGGCGAATCGGTGAATGGAAAGTACTCCTTCGTCGCCGACGATGGCGAGACCTATGTGGTGTCCTACACGGCGGATGAGAATGGCTACCGCCCGGTTGGCGCCCACCTGCCCACGCCACCACCCACTCCAGAGTCCGTGCTGAAGGCTCTGGAATACATCCGGCTGCATCCCTACACGCCGCCCGCGGGAAAGCACTAAGCAGATCCAGCAAAAACTAAGCCAAAATGTGATTGGAACCAAAAGAACTGAGACAAATTAAAAAAGATATTAAATAAAAAAACAAAACATGCGATTGGTTAGCCGGAAACAAAAGAGTTCAAGCAGTTGACTTCACTGTTTACTTAGGGCTGGGAATCTCCTAGCTGAGATCCCCTCTTCGAAGAGCCACTGGACTGGAAATGTGTGTTAAATTTGCCTTACTTAGCAGTTTTTCGGCTCTGCTGGCCATCTCGCTAAACAATTACTAATTGAAAGCTAAATTGTTAAATAAGCAATTGAAGCCCAAGCAGAGTGGCAAAAGTCTCAAGGCCGAATCCGCAATCAGCTTAGGTTTAAGCGAGATTCAGATTGAGGCAGCAGCATTAGAACTCGGAATGCGACTAAGCTAAATCTTTAAGAATTATGTAAGACAAACGGAAACTGAAAGTGTTTGGATTCTCTCATTTTAATTTACAATATCATGTTAATTTTAAAATCAAACAAACACGTAGAACTTTGGAGATTCCGGGAAGAAGTTGAATAACATTTCTCTGAGCCCCGAAAAATTAATCAGATATGTATCGCAGGTGATTTAGAATTTTTGTCGCTTGGCTCTTTTGTTTCTGGCCAAAAGCGAAGTTCATTGACCATTATTCCCGCAAAAGTCTATTCTCTATGACACAATTGTGGTTAATATTCGCAGCATATAGCCATCACTTTGGGTATATGTAAGTTCGCAGTGTTATCAATTCGATTTATGGCCAACAATACTCTACATTTTTTATGGCCCGTTTGTCTCGACCGTTCACCGTTAGCTTTTCCCTAATTGAAACGTGATCGGTATGCTAAAGCGGGGGAATCATTATGACTTATGGAATTATTTGTGACAGAATTCTGGTTGCCATATATCTAGCACTCCCAACTCAAATCCTTAACGGATTCCCCAGGAACTCTGGACTCAACGGAACTAACTGGCGAACCGCGACTCCCCGAAGAATTATACATATTCTGCTCAGACAAATCACGTAGTCTGTCAAGATCCGAGATATGTGACGAGGGGAGGGGTTTTGGGGGTCTCAAGACTTGTCACCTGTTGACATCGTCGTCGCTCCATCTTCATCTCCATCTCTTTTGGCGGTGCGATCTGATGTTTACTCATCGCGGGGCAATAAAACCGAAACCGAAATTCGAAAAAAAAGAAGAAAAAACCCGGGCAGCAAGAAAAAGAAGCAGCAGCGCCCGCTCGTAATTTCTGCGAGTACTTCGAAGCTTATCTAGTGCGCCCATCGTAATGGTAATCGTAAGCAGCCGAAGCCACGGACCAAGAGTATAAAAAGCCCGGCTTTCGTTCGGCCAGTCAACAGTCGCTCGCCGGATACCGCCCACACTTAAGTTTAGAAGTCAAAAGGATAGGATATATTCTGAAACCCTCCTTCGCCAACATGTACAAGTTCGTCTTCCTCGTCTGCTCCGCCATGCTGCTCAGCTATGTCCTGGCCAGACCCCAGGATCAGCGGGCAGGAGCTGCCACGCCCACATCCACGACCACGGCGGCCACCATTGTGAAGCAGGACAATGTGAACAATGCCGATGGGAGCTTCAATAGCAGGTAAATTGGGATTATAACTTGTAAACAGAATAGAAATAACCCTTATATATCATCTCAAGCTACGAGACCTCGAATGGAATACGCGTGGAGAACATTGGCTACCTGAAGAAGATCATTGTGCCCAAGACTGAGACCTCCGACGGCCAGGTGATCGATGAGCACGAGGAGCTGGTTCTCGTCCAGACCGGATTTTATAGCTACAGCGATCCCGATGGCAACCTCATCACCCTGCGCTATGTGGCCGATGAGAATGGATTCCAGCCGGAGGGTGACCATCTGCCCGTGGCCCCGCAATAGTTTAGATAAACCTATCTACTCCCTATAATATTTCGCTTGAAAGTATTATGCACTGCCTGAATGCCATACGAAATTGAAATGTCTACATTCCGTAGTTAGTCTTAAGCAAACACACACACACACCGAATCGCCTGCAAAAAGAGAGAAATAAATATTGGAAACGATAATGAAAACGACAACTGAACAACATCTGAAGTGAAGTTACTTCTCAGCCTCGCGTGGCCTATAACATTACATTACCAAATTGCCCTTCACGCTTGCGGTTAACACTGATGATCGCAAAGTGGCGGTGAGATGGGATTGGGATGGTCATATGAGCCAACTGCCGGATTTGTTTACACTGATGGCTCACTGATGGTAAAGGCCCTCCAAAGCTCGAAACGACATTGATGCTGATATGATATGGTATACGGTATCAAGTGTTTGTTTGGCCAGCTCAATGGGGCATTCGCATAGCCAGAATAAGTAATTACTCTATAATGCGAATGATTAAACTGTCATTAGGTTGGGTATTAGCCACTTCATCAGTGGCTAATGTGGGACAATCGTGGAATCAGTTCATCATTTATTGAGACACCGGAATGTTGCCATTTCTCTGGTGCTTCGGCATTATTACTAGCAGTCTGCTGCAAATACATCCTGCAAATGCAGTCAAGTTGATTCCAGTGAGTTATTAACTATCTAAAATACTAGCTAGAAATATTTAACTCCTATTCTTTAGAGCTTGGGGTACTATGTGGAGATGAAGCAAATGGATTGCGTGGGCAATCCCGACTATTTTGCCGACCTCTACTGCCGGATTCTTCCCCCAAACAACAGAACCATGGAGGCATCTGTGAATATCATGCAAAGACTGTCCGTCTTTAGTGGTTCTCTAAGGGTATCGATTCCCAATACCAAAAAGGTCATAACCCAGATATTCGACATCACCTTCGATGTGTGCAAAGTGCTGCGTGAACGCAAGCGGAAGGTGTTAATCGACCTTTTGGTCAACACTTTGGCCAGGAACAGCAATGCAAAAGCTTGGCGATGTCCTTTTCCAAAGGTATTATATGCGGGTTATATAAAATCATAAATTAAGAAGCTTTATTGCTCTTTTTACAGGGTAAATTCGAATCCAGAAACATTTCAGTCACCGATTTGCCGCCCATGCTAACAGAATCTGAATTCTACGTAAACTTGGACTTCTTTATACCCAAGGTAGCGAATGCAATGAATGTCACTCTGCATGGGCATCTTTATGAGATTGCCAAGGAGAAGAACAGGAGAAAGAAATATTTGTAGTGCTTTTATTGTAAAAATCTCTAACGTTTCTTAAATAAATATAGAACTTATGGTAGAAAACTATATAAAATCTTTAATGGATAATAATAAAAAATGTTTAACAAACACCTTAATTCGCTGGAGATGTCGGTAAATGAATTTTACTTACAAATTTTACAATTGACACTAAACTTACTGCATACTTTCAGGAACTAACTTTTTTTGTTTCATAGATAAATGGATAATAATAATCGCGAATGGAAAATCACTGAATTTAAACTAAACGAATAGTATTATATAGTAAACTGCTATCACAGCGATGACAAGATCTCTTTCAACTAAATATTCACGCCCGGTTGACAATTGAAATGATGAAATTAGACAATTATGTTTCGGATTAGTAATTACTTCAATTTCGATAAAATTTCAATCAGTGAACGGCGAAATTTAGTTTTCCGCCGTCCGATCGACAGTAATGTTCTACATTTGGCTCAGCTCCATACGGATGATTTTGTTACTCATCCACCTGATTCATTATACCGAAGCCAAGGTGAAATATCAGTTATAAATTAGGTATTTAAATAGTAAACAAGCCAAAACATTTTTAGAGGCGAATACGATGGGATTGCTTTGATTGCCAGATGGGACCGCAGTATGCTGATCAGATGAAATGCCAGGTTGGCGGCATTAGACGCTCCCTCTTAAATGTGGAACTTAACTTGCTGGCGGAACTGGACAAAATTAAGACTTATATCAAAATTTCGAATAGATTTAAGTCAACCTCTCCGTATCGAAAGTTCTTTGACATCACTTTTGATGGATGTAAAGTGATATCCGATATGGTTCAAGGTACCATGGTATCGAACATGTTTAATGCTGTCGTCAAATCGAGCAATCAACCCCGCAAGTGTCCCGTAAAAGAGGTTAACTAAAAATGTATTACTATACTTTATAAATTATAATTTAAAATCAACATTACAGGGCACAATTTACTATCATAACATAAGTATTGAAGATGCCTTACCCATGTTTGTGCCCACTGCCCAGCTATTCATCCAAGTAGACTTCTACTCTCGTCGGCAATTGTACTTAAACGTAAGCCTGAGAGGAGAAATAACTGAAAAATAAATATATATCTATTCCAACTAGATTCGTTTGTTTATGTTTAATAGACCACTTTAACGAACTGACCGCATTTAGCGCCCATAAACGAAGACATTAACGCTTAAATTTAGAACTCTGTGCTCGATTGGTATATGATACCCACTTAAAATGCAATCACGAAAAATATCAATTATTGGGCTATAATTATGAGAACCATTATCCGCGAATGTTTTCACTTATAGCCCGTGCCTAAACTTTCCAGCCAGACAGTAGTAATTGATCAGCGGCGTAATTACAACATCATGGCTCAATTTCCATTGATATTTCTGCTAATCTTCTTGGCCAGCCAAAGCGAATCGGCCAAGGTTTGTTTTTTAAGACTAAACTATTAAAACTATTCAGATTGAGACTCCTAATTAAATCTCTTTTATAGACTTTTTCAAAGGCACGCCTTCAACTGATGTGGAAAACTTTTAACTGCTTGGCGAATCCTAATTACATTTCCGAACACAAGTGTGTGATTTTGGAACCTGAAAAATCTCTGATTACCGCGGAACTGAACTACTTAAAGGATGTTACCACATTCAATGCCACCTTTAAGCTTTTCATGCCGCGAAGACCTTCTCGACCTTATCAGAAAGTAATCGATGTGAATGTGGACATATGCCAGTTTGCCAAGGGAATTCACGGCCACAGATTCATGACAATCGTTGTGAAAGCTTTTGGAAAGCAGGGATCTCAGCTAAAGTGTCCCCATCCCAAGGTAATTCCTTCTATTACATTAGATATCTTTTTCATATATCTTTTTCAGGGTCTTTACGTATACCCCAATATAAATATTGCCGAAAATCTGCCCGCTTTCTTGCCGGAGACCGATTTCAAAATCGAAATGAATTTTCTAACCACCGGTGCTCATCTTTTCAACACCACTCTCACTGGATTCTTGTTCGATCCGATAAAAAGGAAGTCAAAGACTACTTAATGATCGAAAATGAAATAAAATGTGTATTAACAGCGGCTACCAGATGGAATCCAAGGATTCAATCGAGATGAAAAGAGTCGTAGGGGCAATTTGGAGCACTTTAGAATTAATCAAGTGCTTTATGGCCAGGCCACTTGTCACCCGGCGGTACGTGATCTTTATGTCAAGTTCCGTTGACGAGATTGCCTCAAAATCGCCACTAGAGCATTATTTACGAGTCAAGCTCAAGATTGGCCGCATCGACAAGGCATTTCATTTCACAACCGACACGGCAGCAGCCTGAATATTTATGGCCAGCAGCAGTGGGGTTCTGTTGGCCAAGTTGGCTCGCGGCGAACGGAACCAAAATGTCAAATGTTGTTCATAAGAACAGCAAATGCTAAGAATGTAAGGGTGAAATCGTTTGACATTTGCAGATGCTGCAATTTCCCTGTGCCAACGGCAGCAGCAACACAGGTCAGTGTGTGAGTGGGGCAAAGTTTTAAGTAGTGGGATGGTGGCTCAGTGGCTCAGTAGTGGTGCACTCGAAAGCTAACCTTGCCCAGCTTTCGTTTTTTATTTGCTATTTTCGCCTGTGCGTGGAACTGCATCTCAAAAAGTTGCACAATCTGCAATGAATCACCAGCAAAAGCAGCAACACCAACAGGCACAGCAGCAACACCAGCAGACACGGCAGCAACATCGGCAACATTGGCAATCTGGAGGCTTGGCGGGCGTTTTGGCTTGGAGTTGTGGGTGCGGAAGGCGAAGACGTGGCCAAAACACGATGATGGCCCAGCGGGAGGAGAGGTCGTTTGTCGCAATAGGCGTTGGAGTTTGGCAGCATTTCGCGATTTTTCGCCGGCTCTTCGGCGGTTGTTCAACTCGTGGTCCTCCTCTCTGATTGAATTTGTCGTTTTTCCTTTTGATTTGTTCTCTCTTTGGCCCAAAACGCGTTGTAGATTAACCCAATTGTTTGGCAACTAATTAACATTTGCCAAGACACGGGGCCCGCTTTGAACTCAATTATCGTCTTGCCTCATCTGCCAGACACTTTGGCTATTACAACAATTCGCGCTTCGCTGGTGTTGGTATTGGATCCGCCAAACTGCCGCAATTACAAGAATGCGAATCCGAATCCGAATCTCAGTCCGAGTGCGAATCTGAAAATGAATCCGAAACCGAAGCCGTGGGGGAGCAGCATCTTGCATGCACTTCAAATGCACTTCTGCCGAGCCAAAGAGAGGGAGAGAGAGCCAAGCGCTTTTGGCCAAGACAACAACGAAAGCAAAAAAAACAAACTCGTTCTGGCTTGTTTCTAAATAACGGCATTGCGAAGATGAACGACCGGACGCGCTGGCGGAGGACGGACATTTCGCAGACATTTGAGCCGGGCCTACGAGCGGGCCAAATACGAACGGCGACAATAAGCCGGCCTAAGGTGGGTGCCACAGATAGATAGCCAAGTAATAGTCAATTTTTATTTGTTTAACATTTAATTAAGTAATTCGAAGAAGTTCCTTTTACAAAATATACCTACTCCATTTTTGGGAACCTTAAAAACAAAAGACTTAGGAAACGAACTTGATTATTTGACTGGTTTAGTAAAAAGGTTGGCTTTGTCTTCAGAAAAAAATTTAAAATTTGTTTTAATTCTTTTAAGAGCTATAAAACATTGGTGATAGCTTTTGAAAACATTAAAACCAATTTTAGAGAAAATGAAAAAAAATTTATATTTATTTATTTCTTTTATGTAACTTAATATTCTTGGACAAAAAACAACATTTTTATAATAAGAAGGATAATTATTTAGTTACCAAGAAAGAAAGAAACCCCTTGTCCGTTGTGACATTTATTAAAGTCTATCATGAGGAATTTTCAGAATTATTTTATACCCACCGATCTCCCACCAACTAAGCCTCTGGAACAGCCTCAAACGAGAGCGACAGTGAATTGTTTTTTTTTCTATTTTAGCATTTAAGCGTCGACGAGCCTACAAACAACAATTACCGATCGGTCGGATCAGACAGCTACAACAAAAACAAGAGCTACTATGGCAAATTCCACTTCCATCCATCTGCATCTCCAACTCCATCGCCATCTCTATCTGCATCCGAAACTGAAACAGAAACTGCAAATGCACGCTCTCCCATGGCGGATCACCTGTGTGGGTATGGGTATGGATGGAGGTATGGGTATGGACACGAGTGCAGCAGCAGGAGGATCGGATCGGGTCGGAGCGAATCGCCTATATAAGGCCTAAATAGGGCCGCGCTTGGCACAGTGTCTAACGGAGCTGCTTTCACTAGCCAGTGCGATCAGTGCCAGCCAAACGGGCGACAAAGCGGGCCAAATCAGTGGAATATTGTGGATAATCAGCAGAGACTCCTTGCGAAATGAAAGTGCTCGTAAGTGGCCCACACAACCATATTATTCCCAACATGTCGGAGTTTTTAGTTTGGTGAAGTGAATCTTAAAGAATTATTAAAAGGCTGAAAAAACATTTCATAAAAATGGTGCCACACTTCGGGTTATTCAATGCATAAGGGCATATTTAAAAGATGTTCCTCAATTAGTTATAATTTAATTTGAATTATTTCTGTGTCATTTCTAACATTTGATGAAAACATTTAGCCTTTATGTTGTGATAAATTTTGTATTATATTTAGAGGTTTTTAAAAGTTATATGAAAGCTTTAGAGAATTCAATAAAATTCTTATTTGTAAAATATATGATTTGCAACATTAGAAATGTCTTCAAAAACTCGTTTTTTATTATTCTTTAAAAACTCCTATGCAACTTTTCTTATGGGACCCTACCATTAATTTAATTGCAAATACTAGTTAATAATCAAAAACTGCAACTATCATTTGCAGATACTTCTTGTGCTGTTGGTCCTCTCCTGCCAGGGACAACACCACCATCCGCACAACCAGCACCCGAATGTCAACAACATTCCGCGTGATGACAAACCCGATCACCATCGCCACGAAGATCACCGGGAGACCAGCACCTGGATACCCATAATCAAGTACAACAAGGAGCAGAGCGAGGATGGTAGCTACAAGACGGAATACGAGACGGGCAACAGCATCGTCCACGAGGAGACGGGCTTCCTCAAGGACTTCGATACAAATCCCAATGGCGTTTTGGTCCAGCATGGCCAGTACTCTTACCAATCGCCCGAGGGAACGCTGGTGAATGTCCAGTACACCGCCGATGAGAATGGATTCAGGGCCACCGGTGATCACATTCCCACGCCGCCGGCCATTCCCGAGGAGATCCAGAAGGGATTGGACCAGATCTACGCCGGCATCAAGTTGCAGCAGGAGCGTCTGGAGCAACGGGCCAAGACGGATCCGGACTTTGCCAGGAAGCTGGAGGAGCGACGGGTGGCCAACCAGAATGGCCAGTATATCGGTCTGCTGGAGAACCAATAGACGAGAGTTCCGCCCATCCATCCCATTACTCATTCCTTTCCTCCCCACCGAACCGATGATTCTGGAAACGTGACTCCTTCGCATTCTATATCAATAACAACAAGACTGTGATTTCACTCTGCAATTTCTTCCAAATCCACTGTACCACTCTGAATGATAAAACTTTAATTATTCTTAAATTTCCAAACTAAGTTCCATATACCTACACACAGTTATAAACAGGGGCGCTCAATCAAAATAATAATAATATTTTATTAACGAGTGTGAAAGTTTCACTGCTTTGAAACAATAAAAGAAAAACTAACGTTTCCATTATGCCGAACCGATGGATTTACCATATTTTCTATTTTTTTCTGACTTTTTTCCGTTTTACAGCTGACCATATCCACCGATGTTCAGACAGACGTGACAAAGCGTTTATGGGTCCTCATTATTTTCACGTAGTAGTGTTTCCCCATTTACCGTGCATCTTTCGTTGCTTTATTGTTTACTTCGCAGATCGAATTACCCCATACGAGCGTCGTCTCGTCAGTTTGTTGATCCCATTCCATGCAGGTTGGGTTTTTCCAATTTTCCATATTTCTACATCGCCGCCATGGAAATTTTCTTTCGCGAGGAGTCGTCTCTCAACTGGTTGCAGTTGCATAATTACGACAGATTTGCCAGTGCCATTCGAGTTGTCTTCAGGTTTGCCAGCCGCTTGAAGTGGTCCGTGAATGGGTTACTAGCGTAGCCCCGATTCCTCTTCATTCTCTGCCAATTATTCCATAGGTTACCGTTTGGTATTTTGTTAAGAGTAGCCCTTAGCTACGCAAATAAAGAAACGAACATCATCAAGAGACCGAGAAAACCTTTTGGGCCACAAAACGGCAAACGATTTGGCCACTTATTTGCATAAAACGTAAACACACATTTTTATACTATATGTTTAAGTCTGGCTAAAGATAAATCAATTCCGCTGCATTTTCACCACCGCAGAAACAGAAAACAGACCCCAAAAGCGGGGCCCCGAAGAATGTTTATTCGCCATTAAGTTTCAACGCTCTTGCGCATAATTAAGACGAAAAAAGAAGAAGCAGAAAAAGCATATAATAACGAAGCTGAACAAAGGAAAATTTCTATGGCCCGTGATTAGAAAGAATCTTTCTTGTGGGCCTGCGCGACCGTTGAAATTGATTTGGCCAACTCAGTTGCCGTTTAGAAGCCGTCGCGTGCAGATCGCAAATCGCCAAGAATCGGGAAATACAAGAAATATTTCGTTGGTCTACCACATCTCTGAGCTCAAAAACTGAAAATCGAATTCGCGGGAGCGTTAGACCGACAAAAGTGTGTGGGGAGTTAAAAGAAGTGAAGATGTAAAGAGTTATAGATATGTATGTGAATATTGAATTGACATCGAAGCTCCGTTAAGGCAGAAATAGCAGAAGCCGAAGAAGAAACACATACAATAGATTGTTATTGTGGCCGCTGAAAACGAGAATGAATCAATAAAAACTTTGAAAACTAACAGTAAACTTGAAAAGTGGCACAGCATCTGCCAAAAACACAAAAACAAAGTAAAGTACCAAAATAGAAAGAGATTTTTAGCATAATTTCAAAATGGTTAGTCATCGGAAAGGGTGTCTACTGTGGCTGCTGGTCGCCTTTAGTGGTTTGCAGCTAATTGCCCCGCAGCAACTGCAGGGACCACCTCCTCGTCCCAGGGGGCGTATACGCATAGCGGATATGCAAATCTCTGCCGGTGGACCGGGAGCTCCGTCCCTGGGAAACTTAGGAAACTGGCCAAGTTTGCCCGCTGCAGGTCCCATCAGCTCCACCGTGCACACCCACATTCCACTGTTGCGCGAGGAGAGCCCCCTTCCAGCAGCCACGCCCAGCCAGGAGGCGGTGGTGTACGGCAACTGGAAGCCAGAGCATCCGGAGAAGCCCGAGGAGATGGAGAAGGAATTGGAGACCGATCAGCAGCCCAAAGAGAGGGTATACGGCCGACTGGAGGCCATGCTCATGGGAATGCCAGCGGATGGTAAGATGGAGTGATCATACGAACCGAATACTTCCTACGTGGATATCGAATCTTAGAAAATTTGGTTGATATTAAAAGAAATATTATGATTTAGAACCCCATAAAGCTCAAATGTTCTTGATTAGCATAACTGGCCTATTTAACCAACCGAAAGGGGAATTTTTTCTCTACGTTTTGTTGCTGTAACAAAATCAAAGTGCTGTTTTAAACAGCTAACGATGTAAAGAATTTATACCAGTCACTTTGTCGATGCTGGAAAAGTAAATTGTTTTCCTCGGATTTTTACATTTTTGTTTGCCGATTGCCAAATTTATAGAAATTTTCACAAAGGTATAATATTTCATATTCGGACCCCTAATTCCATTGATAGGGCAAACAAATTTGTTTAATGTTTGAAAAATCGCGATCTTGCTTTTGAATATAAAATGAAATTTGTATTGCCTTTCAGAAGACAACTTTAATCAGAATTTCGACAAATATAAGAACAATTTAATAGTCCTCAAAAAACTTTTCCTAATCTTTAAGCAAATATCTTTAAACGTAATAGTTTTGGGTTAATTATTGGAATCTTAGAAATTTGATAACAGAAACATAATATTTCTTTGTCCCGCAGCCATTGATGCCAAGCCATCGAGTTCCAGTGAAGAGCAGATCGCTCCAATTGCCCCTGGTGGCTATCAAAATCCCTCCTTCTCTCGATCAGCCAGCTTCGAGAGATCGCCAGAGAAGCATGGACGGCGGCGGATTACCACAAAGCAGGAACCACAGCAATTCGAGGTGGTCAGGGTGAACAGTACGGATCCGATACTGAAGCAGATCAGTGAGTCCATGGAGACGACGACGACGGACATTCGGAGGAATTCCCAGCATTCCGGCGACGACAGCTGGATGCCCCTGCCGTATCCCTATCCCTACGATACCACATCCCTGCCAGCGCCACCGGCAACGAGCTCCATGATTCCGGGATTCATGCAATCCTCGGTGGTGCATCCACCGGCACCCACGCAGGCCACTCGATCCACCGAGGGACTGCTCAACTGGCCCACTGATTTCATCGACAGTTCCTCGAACATGGCGAGCACTGAACGGATTGACGGTAATATCCAGGGCAACATCGATCGACGCGATGAGAGCGTTTCGGATCCTGCGGATGAGTACAAGTACTACGAGGACTCCCTGAACTCCGCCCAGATGCACAGCGAGCTGAGTGTTCCCGAGACAATGCCCCTGAATATTACTAGGGTGGGCATTCCATACGAGGATCGCAATGCTTCCGAGGAACCGACCATTTGTGTGCCCCTGACCGTTTCGGAAACGTCGCTCTCCTCCGACAGCATTGTGCCCCAGGTGGTGGAGGTGGAAAGGGTCTACTGTTTTCCCCTGCCCAAAGTGGAGATTCGTCACCGTGGTCCTGTTCGTCCGCAGGTGGAACAGGTGACCAGGGAACAAGAGATCTCCGAAACAGATATGGATTACCAACCAACGGATGCGCCAGTACCCAGTGATTCCACTGCGGGCGCTTCTCGAAGATCACATGGCCACCTCACACTGCTCCTCTTTATTGGTTGGAGCTTGAGGCCGTGGATTCGAACTTAGAATTAGGATCGATTGACCTAACACACAACTCAGGGGCTATTCGCTATCTACATTTATTTAAATATTAAAGCTAAGCAGACATACCAAGTTTAAATAGTGTTTTAATAGTTTTTTGCAGGCAGCAGACGATCAAAGTAAGTAAAATTTAAATAAAAAGATACATTTATTTATATTTTAAGAAATAATTAAGGTTAACAAGTTTCCAAGACATCTTATGATTTGGAGGAGACAAGTATTCAAAAAGTTAACAAAAAAATGAAGTTCCTGCTGAAAAAAAATATTTAATGAGGTAATGAAATAAAAAATTGACAATCAAATTTCGATAATAGCTACGATTAAAAACGATTAAAAATCATTAATCAGTTTTTTAAGTTTTTATTTAAGTGATTAAATAAAGCTATAGTGATTTCACAGATTGATATTTTTGATAACATATTTCATTTATAAGTTGATAAGATATTGTTTTGTTTGCCTATGTACTTACAAACATAATAGAAAGCGAAACTGATAATGACCTAATTCTTGATTACGGAACTTTTAAGATTTCTTATCAGTACGTTTCTGTGATTAATATTATTCATTCATTAAAAATACAGCCTATAGTATTTTTAATGAATGAATGCAATGCGTAAATCGTTGAGCTTTTGATAAGAGTATGTCGTTATCAATTGGTTAATTGTTAGCCCCCTTTTTGGCCAGAAACAGATCGCGTGAGGCCTTGCGTAGAGTTTTTCCATTGGCATTGCTTGGCAGCTTATCTGTGAACTGGACGCCGGAGTAAAGTTGTTTCTCCTTTGCGGGCAGATGCTTGGCCACATGGTCCACAATCTCTTGGGCACTTATTTCGGTTCCTGGAACCCTGACCACCAAAGCACCGGCCTCATCGCCCACCCGCTCATCGTAGATCCCCACCACGCAAACGTCCTGCACTTGTGGAAGCTTGGCGATAACGCTTTCGATCTCAGTGGGCCAATAGCTGAGGTATTCATACCGCAGCATCTCCTTCTTCCTATCGACTATATAAAGAAAGTTGTGCTCATCGAAGTAGCCCAGATCGCCGGTGTGGTACCAGCCCTCAGAGTCCTGCAACTTGTGGGTCTCCTCCGGATTTCCATAGTAGCCATTCCAGTGGAGATTCGTGTGGACATAGAGTTCACCAACCTCATTGTAGGTCAGATTCTTGCCATCCTCATCGACAATACGCATTCGGACTCCAGGGACAGGTCTTCCCACAGATGAAAGATTGTGGATTCCAGCATTCGATGTTACGATTCCCATCTCGGTCATTCCGTAACCACAGCTCAGGACCGCACCCTTGCAAAGCTCCTGGGCCTTCTTCAGAGTGACCATGGAAACCCAGCCGCCGGTGTAATGGATGTTCATAATGGAGGCCAGGGCCTCGGGCGTGGCATCTGGACTACTGGTCAGTGCATTGAGATATCTGGGCGGTAGTACTGCAACATGGATATTGTACTTCTTTACAATCTGCACAAAATACTCCGGTGTAAACGGTTTGTTGGTAACAATTCGCGTGACACCCAAAATAGTATTAAAGAAGAAGGTCACCAGACCGGTCAACCAGTCCAGGCAACTGGGCGTAAAGATGACCATTTCATTGCTACCCACCCTGAAAAAAAAGTTAAAGACGGTCTAATTAAAATATAAGTTATCTTACTTACATGGTGTCATTTATAAGGCTGCCGTTTGAAATGCAGACTGCCTTGGGCAAGCCAGTTGTTCCCGATGAGCAGAGAATCGCCACAGTTTGAGCACTTCCTTCCTTGAGGGGTTGTGGTCTAAAGCAATCATGGTTAAGTTACTAAATTTAAAGACCAAGAAAATAACCTATACTAACTGATACATCCTCTCAGTGCCTGTGGGTTCAAGTAGGGTTTCAATACTGGGTGTTCCTTCAACGTGATCGGTAAGGGTGAAGATATCCGGAGACCAGCCAATAGTGGCGGCTTGGATCTTTTTAATATCAATTCCATCACAGAATATAAGTTTTGGCTTGGTTATTGAGAACACATGAGCAGTAGTAGCTGAATAAGGAAGCTCTATAATTGATTGAACGATTTTAAGACTACGAATGTTGATACAAACCTTCATCTAGCAAGGTACTTATAGAGTGGAAGGGTGTTCCATTCAGAAGACAGGCCACTCCCAATGGCATGGCATATGTGGAGTTTTGCATAGCAATGCCGATTACATCCTTGTGGCCCAGTTCACGTTTTTTGAAGAACTGAGCAATACGTATGGCCCATGTAAGCGCCTGCTCAAAGGTAACCTCCGAGCCGTCAATATCGTTGATCTGTTTTTTTAAAACAGTTTATTCGGAAATAAATTACCACTAATATATCCCCCAGTCAAAACTCACCTGGCACGAAACGAACGAAAGAACGAAACACATTCTTTGGCCAAGTTCTCATGGTGTTAAATATTATTTTGCCCACAGAAGTGTCCGGACTGTAGGTTGATGTCCTTTCGGCGCCACTCCAGATCCTGTCCTTCTCATTGTATGTTGCGGATTGTACTGCCATTTTCTATAATACTCCAGAAACTTGTTCACTTGATCACAAACTCTTAGCGAATGGACAGCTCTAAGCAAGAAACTTGTATTTATAGGAAGTTTACGGTAAACAAAGCTATTTTCTTGCGAAATGCTAACCTCTTATCAGAAGAAGTCGAAAGTTCGCCAAACAACTGAATATTCTGTCTTGACTATAAAGTACCCTAAGTAAGAACGAAACTAAACTCATTGTATTTTAATATTCTAGTTAGTTAAGTTAATAATAGAAAACTAAATACTTTTTTTAACTTAAGTAATTTTAAAAATTTTTAGCCTAAAATATAAATATTGAACCACAAATCATTTAAAATGTAAATTTGTTCTTTGAGAAAAACAAGTAGAATATATTATTGAAAACATTCGAGATTAAACTTTTTTCCTATTAAGAAATTTAAATAAAAAAATTGTATTTATTAATCTAGCTAAATATATCTTTTATCGGAAATACCTATAGTTTACAAGAATTATTCAAAAGCTCAAATCATGCTTGATCGGCAGTTATTTGAATCTAATCAAAAGCACATCATGCTTACTCAGCATTTTTCGTATCTAATCATGCCGAGCTCCAGACTAAATCGAAGCAATCAAAAATTGCGAAGACCTAAACAATGATCGTAATCTATGTTTGGAACAAAAATCAAAGTATGATCTGCTCGCTTAGTTTACTTACAGGAATTTTATAAGTCTGATAAGTACATTTCCAGATTTATAACTAGACCACTAAAAGCAACCACTTTAACTTATGATAAGATTAAGTGCCATTCCTATTCTATTTATTTTATCGATTTAGTCAACTGGACATTGAATATTGTTCTTTGGTCTCTATAAAATGTTGTATATTTTATCACTTACATCTTTAACCTTTAAACTTAAGGTCAAAGTCCATTTTTGTTTTTTTATTAAATGTTTAAAAACACTTTGAAAGTAACAATTTTTGTAAACACAAATATATATACTTTGACATTAGCGTCTTTGACCTTTCAACTTAAGATCAAAGTCCATATTCTTATCTTTATCAAATGTTAAAAAACACTTTTAAAGTAACAGTTTTGTTAAACCAAGTAAGTATTTTGTACCTTTTGTCAAAAACAACTATAAAAGGGTACATTTAGTTAAACATTAGCTATTCCACCAAGATAAACCAGATATACGCAAAACCTATAACAGTCTATAGAAAAGTAAAACAGGGTTTATAGTAGTAACGATTTTATTTTTAAGATACATATATAATCTCATTTCCCAGCCCCTTTCTTAGCAACGAATTCTTCTCGGGCCACCCGTCGCAACGTCTTTCCATTTGGATTGGCGGGCAGTTTATCCGTAAACTGAACACCGGCATGAAGCTGCTTTTGAATGGAGGGAAGTCTCTTGGCCACATAGTCTACAATCTCCTGAGCGGTAATTGGGGATCCCTCTCTCTTGACCACCAGTGCTCCAGCTGCATCTCCCTGCTGCTCATCGTAGATGCTTACGACACACACCTCCCCCACCTGTGGCATCTCCGCAATAACACCTTCGATCTCGGAGGGCCAGTAGTGGTTTCCCTGGTACTTGAGGATCTCCTTCTTGCGATCGACCACATAGAGCAGGTTCTGATCATCAAAATAGCCCAGATCGCCGCTGTGAACCCATCCTTCATGGTCCTGTGTTTTCCGAGTCTCCACTGGATTTCCATAGTAGCCTCTCCACTGAAGACCTGTGTAGATATAGATCTCGCCCTGCTCATTGGGACCCAGGTTCTTGCCATCGTCGTCCACAATGCGAATTCGTATTCCTGGCAGTGGTTTACCTGCAGTGTTGACGTTTCCGAGTCCCAAATTATAGGATATCCCGCCCACCTCGGTCATTCCGTAACCTGAGTTCAACATTGCATTTGGACAGAGCTCTTGCATTTTTTTCAGAGTGGTCATGGATGAAAATCCGCCGCCGTAGGCTACGCTCCGAATGGAAGCCAAGGCCTCTTTTGTAGCTCCTGAAAAGGCAATCAGGGCAGACATATGGCGAGGAGGCAGAATTACGGAGTTGATCCTATATTTCTGAACGAGCTTGACGAAGTAGTCCGGGGAAAAGGGCTTGTTGGTTATAATCCGGGTGACGCCAACGACTGTGCTTAAGATGAAAGCAGTCAAACCACTGTACCAATCCAGACCACTGGCGGAATATGCGACCATTTCGCTGTTCATCATACTGCGAAAGAAATAAGCAATTAGGAATCTTTTAAGTATAATATTTCACAAAAGCTTACGATGTATCCAAAAAGAGCGATCGATTTGATATGCAGACTGCCTTGGGCAATCCAGTTGTACCAGAAGAGCACAAAATGGCCACAGTCTGTTCGCCTCCTTCCTTTAAAGGTTCTGGTCTGCAATAAGATTTAGTTATTTCCCTATGTTTAGAGATAATAATTTTGATAACTCACTGATAAAACATTTCGGTTTGAGTGGGTTCTAATAGGGTTTCGATATGTGGCACTCCTTCAATGGGATCAGTGAGTGTAAAGATCTCTGGCTGCCAACCTTTCGTTGCGGAAAGAATCTTCTGGTACTCCTGACCATCGCAGAAAATCACAGTTGGTTTGGTTATGGAGAAAATGTGTGTCAAGGCAGCTGAGATCAGAAATATTATTAAGATTGTGTACAAGCTAATAACCTTTGATTACCAACTTTCGTCCGATACCGGATTCACCGCGTGGAAGGGTGTTCCATTCAGCAGACACGCTGTCGCCACAGGTGTTACATATGTGGAGTTCCTGGCCGTAATGCCAATTACGTCCGGATGCTGCAGTCCCTTCTTCTTCAAGATCTGTGCAATCCGAATAGCCCAAGTAATGGCCTGCTGAAAGGTCATTTCCACGCCATCCTCATCGCTAATCTATTTTGTGGTGTTATCTCTGAGAATGTCTAGTTTGATTTTTACCTATTGGACTCACCTGACAGACGTTCCTTGGCCAGTTCCTCATGACGTTCAATATTACCTTCCCGAGAGAGGTCTCATCGGTAAATGTAGCAACCCGTTTGGCTCCACTCCAGATTCGTTCCCTCGCATCGTAAGTGGTTGGTATTCTCTCCATTCTTCAGGTAACTCGACTTCCTTCTTCGCGTTCACAATCAAAACTAACTGTCTTTTCCGATTGAGATTGTATTTATAGTGGGCTAGAGCTTTAAGAAACTGCACGCTATAGATGACCCGCATCTACTGACCACCTGATTAACTTTAGGACTTATCTAATCGGAAACAATTTCAACAATGTGCACAGGGGCGGACTATTGAACTATCAATGAGTGATGAAATAGTGCTTATCAATAACAGATTCGCCATGCCAAAAATAGCAAAATTTATAAAAACTAGTATATCAGCTGTGTTAATATTAACAAATAAATTAGTAATTCTTATTCAGCACTTCTTAGCATATCAATCTTATTAAAATAGCGTTAAATAAAAGTATACCTTATCACAAAAGCTTAATTGCTTGGAGGTCTTTAAACGATTGCCTATCTAAGAATAGTAGTATACCCCTACGATAAGAAAGCCATTTATTAACTGAACGTAGAAAAATGACACGAGTATTCTGTCGATATCTTAATCATATTTAAACCCAATCTAATCTTTTTAAACAAAGTCTCGTGACTACACTATCAGACGGTCAAAATAATTGGAGTAAATTATCTAGGGTTGTCATGAGCATGAATAGAAAGTAAATTATTTTGTGTTAAATTTTTACAATGTTTTATTTAAATAATTTATAATATTATTACAGTAGCTTTATTATCAGAATCAACAGAACAAAGTCCCGACTAGACAGAATTAATTCATTTTTACGATGTTATAAAAATCTTATTTCTTAGCTCCTGTTTTAGCAACGAATACCTCACGCGCCACCCGTCGCAAAGTCTTTCCATTTGGATTGGCGGGCAGTTTATCGGTAAACTGAACACCGGCATGGAGTTGCTTTTGAATCGAGGGAAGTCTCTTGGACACATAATCTATAATCTCCTGAGCGGTGACTGAGGATCCCTCTCTCTTGACCACCAGTGCTCCTGCTGCATCTCCCTGTAGCTCATCATAGATGCCTATGACACACACTTCCTCCACCTGGGGCATCTCCAAGATAACGCCCTCGATCTCAGAGGGCCAGTAATGGTTTCCCTGGTACTTGAAGATCTCCTTCTTGCGATCGACCACGTAGAGCTGGTTCTGATCATCAAAATAGCCCAGATCACCGGTATGAACCCATCCTTCGTGGTCCTGTGTTTTTAGAGACTCCACTGGATTTCCATAGTATCCTTTCCAGGGAAGACCTGTGTGGGCGTAGATCTCGCCCTTCTCATTGGGACCCAGGCTCTTCCCTTCATCGTCCACGATGCGAACCTTAACACCTGGCAGTGGTTTGCCTGCAGTGTTGACGTTTCCGAGTCCAAAGTTCATGGCTACTCCACCCACCTCAGTCATGCCGTAACCCGAGGTCAGTATCGCATTCGGACAAAGTTCCTGCATTTTCTTCAGTGTGGTCATGGACGTAAATCCTCCTCCGTAGGTTACAATTCGAATGGATGCCAAGGCCTCCTTCGTGGCTCCGGGAAATGCGATCAGGGCAGACATATGGCGAGGAGGCAGAATCACAGAGTTGATCTTATACTTCTCAACAAGCTTTACAAAGTAGTCTGGTGCAAAGGGTTTTTTGGTTATAATCCTAGTGCAACCAACTACAGTGCTTAAGAGGAAAGCAGTCAAACCACTGTACCAATCCAGACCACTGGCAGAAAATTGGACCCAATCGCTGTTTATCATTCTGAAAGAGAAGTTTGACATTAGCCCTTGCTTAATAAATTGGTATAAAAACTCACGGGAAGTCCATAAAAAGTGTTTTATTGGATATGCAGACAGCCTTGGGCAATCCAGTAGTTCCAGAAGAGCACAGGATGGCCACAGTCTGTTCGCCACCTTCCTTTAAAGGCTCTGGTCTACAATGATTATTATTTTTAATTATTTTTCAATTACTGGACCTATTCATTTAGAGTACTCACTGGTAAAACATTTCTGTCTTCGTAGGTTCTAAAAAGCTTTCGATATGGGGCACTCCTTCAATTGGATCAATGACTGTAACGATCTCTGGCTGCCATCCTTTAGTTGCGGAAAGGACCTTCTGGTACTCCTGCCCTTCGCAGAATATCACAGTTGGTTTGGTTATGGAGAAAATGTGTGTCAAGGTAGCTGAAATCACAAATATTATTAAGATTGTATACAAGCTAATAACCTTTGATCACAAACCTTCGTCCGATACCGGATTCACCGCGTGGAAAGGTGTTCCATTCAACAGACAAGCCAGTGCCACAGGGGTTACATATGTGGAGTTCCTGGCCGAAATACCAATTACATCCGGATGTTTCAGTCCTTTTTTCTTCAGGATCTGGGCAATACGAATAGCCCAAGTTATGCCCTGATCAAAGGTCATTTCCACGCCATCCACATCGTTAATCTGTTTGGGGGCGTTATCGTTGAGAATGACTATTGTTATTTCACAGAATGGACTCACCTGACAAATGTTCTTTGGCCAGTTCCTCATGCCATTGAAAATTACCTTCCCGAGAGACGTCTCATCGGTGTATGTTGAAACTCGTTTGGGACCACTCCAGATCCGATCCTTTGCGTCATAACTGGTTGGCATTCCCTCCATTCTTTAGGTTGCGCAGAGTCTTCCTTTCCTATCAAAGTCAAAAGCACTTCTGATGATTTCAGCTAGGAGAGTTCGTATTTATAGTGGACTAGAGATAAAAAAAACTGCTTGTAATAGATGACCTGCATCTAGGAGAAGCTTTGTTACTGAAATTATCTAATCGAAAGTAATTAACTATCGAGCTGATGGTGAGTAATAAAAAGGTGTTTGTTTCACCACAAAATCATCCAAGTCATTCGATCTCCGTTAGAAGTGATAAACTTGCAAATCAAATTCAGGGGCTTAAGAACCGAAGGACTGGCCAAGAATCGTACGATAAGAAAACCTTGTATTAAATGCTACTGACGTCAAATGACTTTCGAATTGTGTATAATTTCATAAAAGTTTTATATATAATTCGGAATCAATGAAGTCACCATAGTCCAAACCTTTTTGAGCCCCTTACTAAGGTGTGTTTCAAAATTATACGACACCAACACACTTATTTTTTGAAAATTTGTAGCGTTGTTGTTGTTTATAGAAAGCGAAACATTTAAATGCAGATCGAAAGAAGAATGTATGATGTGTACGAAAAAAAATACCACGCGTCCTTGATCCTCTTTTTAAGGACTTACCGCTAATTTTTCGAAATATAGTCTTTTTTGGCTATGTGCGATCGTTTCATAATTATACGACACCATCGATTTTTTCCGGTTCCAATGATCAATCTTGACCGAAATTTTTTTGCTGGTTAAATATAAACTAAAAGGTTCCATTTTGAGAGTAATCCAGCCCAAAGGTCATTTCAATCTTCAACCCATACATAAATATTGAATATGTCTCTCTACACCTTAAAAAAGTACTTTTTCGAAGTCATATCCCACAATTCGTCTTAACTTTTGTCTGGTCAATATTCTTAGCACCTTTTAATCAAATAAGAATCCTGTTTAGTTCATTACGTGCACGAAACAGACCTCCAAAATAATTTTTTAAAGAACTGCCCGTTTGGAACAAAACCTGTTTTATTCCAAAAATATTTGATTTTGGGCGATACTTTCTGTCAAAATGCAAAAATTTGTTCTTCAAAACCTTAATAAACTTTCCACATTTCACGATTGAAACATTTGAAATGCGAACCCCAGTCCGCGCCACTTTAAAGTTTGTTCCAAATTTTTTCATATGAATTTGAGTGTTTTCTGCATGAGATTTCATTAAGGGGGCGCAGACTGTGGTTCGCATTTCAAATGTTCCAATCGTGAAATGTGGAAAGTTTATTAAGGTTTTGAAGAACAAATTTTTGCATTTTGACAGAAAGTATCGCCCAAAAACCAAATATTTTTGGAATAAAACAGGTTTTGTTCCAAACGGGCAGTTCTTTAAAAAATTATTTTGGAGGTCTGTTTCGTGCACGTAATGAACTAAACAGGATTCTTATTTGATTAAAAGGTGCTAAGAATATTGACCAGACAAAAGTTAAGACGAATTGTGGGATATGACTTCGAAAAAGTACTTTTTTAAGGTGTAGAGAGACATATTCAATATTTATGTATGGGTTGAAGATTGAAATGACCTTTGGGCTGGATTACTCTCAAAATGGAACCTTTTAATTTATATTTAACCAGCAAAAAAAATTCGGTCAAGATTGATCATTGGAACCGGAAAAAATCGATGGTGTCGTATAATTATGAAACGATCGCACATAGCCAAAAAAGACTATATTTCGAAAAATTAGCGGTAAGTCCTTAAAAAGAGGATCAAGGACGCGTGGTATTTTTTTTCGTACACATCATACATTCTTCTTTCGATCTGCATTTAAATGTTTCGCTTTCTATAAACAACAACAACGCTACAAATTTTCAAAAAATAAGTGTGTTGGTGTCGTATAATTTTGAAACACACCTTACTTTACTCCAGACCAGACAAAAACTCAGAAGGGCTTATTAGGGATTATTGCAGGTACAATACAATTTATTGGACTCCAAAGGTCACCCCGCTGTCGAGGGCCCTCCTCCACCAGGGCACTTGAGAAGTAATTCTGAAGTATCTCCCCCTGCACTTGTGATTAAAACTATACTCAATTGATATTGATCGTTCGGATCTCACTTTCCCGTTCCGCTCTGGGCGACGAACACGTCGCGTGCCGTCTTTCGCATTGTCTTGCCATTGACATTGGCGGGCAGTTTGTCGGTGAACTGGACACCGGCTCTCAGCTGCTTCTGCGTGGCGGGCAGTCGCTTGGCCACATGGTCCACGATCTCCTTGCCGGAAATATTGGCTCCCTTGCTCTTGACCACCAGTGCTCCGGCTGCATCTCCCTCCCGCTCATCGTAGATCCCCACCACACAGACATCCTGCACCTGCGGCAGCTCCGCGATAACGCTCTCGATCTCGGTGGGCCAGTAGTGCAGACCCTGGTACTTCAAGATCTCCTTCTTGCGATCCACTATATACAGGAAGTTCTGCTCATCGAAGTACCCGAGATCCCCAGTGTGGAACCATCCCTCGAAGTCCTGCATGCGCCTTGTCTCTACAGGATTTCCGTAGTACCCATTCCACGCCTGACCCGTGTGCACATAGATCTCGCCCACCTGGTTGTAGCCCATGCTCTTGCCGTCCTCGTCCACGATTCGAATCTTAATGCCCGGCACAGGCCTGCCCGCCGAGGAGACGTTGCTAATGCCAATATTGATCGTGATGGCTCCCACCTCGGTCATTCCGTAACCCGAGTTGAACATGGCTGTCTTGCAGAGTTCCTGGGATCGCTGCAGGGTGGCCAACGAAATCGAACCTCCGCCGTAGTTCAGGTGGGTAATGGGAGCCAGGGCCTCCGGTTTGGCATCCGGACAGGTGATCAGAGCGGACAAATGGCGAGGTGGGAGAACGGCATAGTTGATCTTGTACTTCTTCACCAGACCCACGAAGTACTCGGGGCTAAAGGCTTTGTTGCTGATAATGCGAGTGCAACCGAACACAGTGCTGAAGACAAAGGCCCACAGACCCGTAATCCAGTCGAGGCAGCTTCCTACGTAGATAACCGACTGACTGGTAACCAACCTGAAAGGAATTATACCTTATTATCTATACTTAGAGTGCTGGAAAGATTAACTTACATGCTGTCCTGAATCAGGATGCTATTGGAAATGCACACAGCCTTGGGCAGACCAGTAGTTCCAGAGGAGCACAAAATGGCCACGGTTTGATCACCACCCTCCTTCAAGACTTCCGGTCTATAAGAAACTCGGTTAGCCATTAAATTTATAAGACTCTAGCAACCATACTTACTGATAAAACTTTTCAGTGCTGGTAGGATCCAGCAGGGTCTCAATTCCCTGGACTCCTTCAACATGTTCCGTTAGGGTAAGGATCTCCGGGTGCCAACCCACAGTAGCCTTGTGAACCTTATCGTACTCATGTCCATCGCAGAATATCAGCGTTGGCTTGGTGATCGAGAATACGTGGGTCAAGGTTCCTACAAAGAATGTATTTAATATATGGTAATCAACCTATAAAAGACTCTACCCACCATCATCTAGCACAGGATTCACCGAATGGAAGGGAGTGCCATTCATTAGGCAAGCCACTCCCAAGGGCATCACATAGGTAGAGTTTTTGGCCGCAATGCCAATAACATCCTTGTGGTTCAGACCCCGCTTCTTCAGGTACTGGGCTATCCGAATCGCCCAGGTGAGACCCTCCTCGAAGGTGACAGTTACTCCATCCACATCACATATCTGTTGGATGGTTTTTTAGTTGAAATTTCTGCTTTATAACCAGTCTTCTCACCTGACACACGTTCTTCGGCCAGTTCTTCATGTTGTTGAAAATGATCTTGCCCACGGAGGTGTCATAGTTGTACATGGAGTTCCGCTTGGCTCCGCTCCAGACATTATCCTTTTCGTTGTAGGTGGTGGGTATCATGGCCATTTTGTAGGTTTCTCAAGAAATTAGTGCTCGCCGTTAGAAAGTTGACTGTGGTTAACGCGGCTAAGTGCAGTTCTATTTATAAGGAGCCCGAGCTCTGGGAATCCATTCTCGATAGACACCTTAAGTGGATCCACTGCAAGTGGCCAACACCTGTACCATCTTATCTGTGCCTGCTGCAGATAGTGCAACCATAGATTTCAGCCCGGGCCATGACTATTTTATACCCTGCTCCAAAGTCTTAAGCTTCCCAGTGTCTTTAATCTAAGTACATACATTAATCCGCCTCATTGTTTTGAAAGTCTGCGAAAAAGTCCAGTAGGCTGACTGAAATTCCCGCTAATACTACCAACTAAGTCCACTCAACTGTCTTTACAGGGAATTTAGGTCTGATTAAATGTGGAGTAAATGTGCAAGTGGAATTCAGAAAGGTACCTATCTAATCTTCCTCATTCAATGCTAAATCGAAGCAAACGAAAATCCCAAGTCCCCACTGACAAACAGCCCCTAAGTACCGTTATAAATAGGGGAAAACTGGCCAAGTAAAACACCTGACTGCATCTGAATCAAATCACGCAAACTTTACAATTGTCCAGGAAGTGGCACAATAACGTGATCATTACCCATTTTTATTAGTCATGAGATTTAAGCGCTATCTTAACAAGTTTTATGGGCTTTTTAATCCTTTGGTTACCTTGCATTCCTGATTAGACGTTTACGTAGGTTAAGTCTTGTTATTGTCAAGTAGCGATTGTTATTTAATCGAAAGGAACCTGAAAAGTTTATATATTGATTGATTTTGTTAATTAGCTTTTGGATGTAATTTTAAATCAGAGGAAAACTATACTAAACCTATATTTTAATGTTAAATAGCCTTGTTGTCTTTATAATTTGTAAAAACATCCTCATTGATTATAATTTTAAACATTTAATTGTTTTTATTTTAAGAATCAACAAGTGTCCTATTTTCAAAATATTTTAAATTTAAAACGGCGGTTAACTGAAAACAGTATGGCATCTCTCCAATCGGTCCGGCAGCTCTACGAACAGCTGTCAAATCAGCTGCTTTTTGCCTGCAGCCCTGGTCTTGAAAAATTCACGGCCAACAGCCAAAATTCGCGGTCAGAAACGCGGAAGTCTCTAGTTTTATGTAATGTTTAGGTGACGAGGACTAATCTCCGATCTGCGCGCTAATTGTCCCCCTCTGCGATGTTTCACTACCACCTCGGGGTCGTGGTCCGCTGCGCGCGCCAGAAGCCCCTGCTGCTGTGGGCGCCCGTCTGCCACATGAGCGGTCTCAGTCCGCTGAAGGAGTACCAGCAGCGCGTCAGTGCCGGCCAACTGATGACCGACGAGCGGCAGTTCCAGACGATGAAGGAGCTGGATGCGCTGTACCACAAGATTCAAGGCTATAGACCCAGCTACAAGGCGGGAGGCGCCGGCGGCGGTGGTGGCGGCTTCTTCAGCTCCCTCTTCGGCCGGAAATCCGGCGACGACGACGATCGGGATGATCCCAATGCGGGCAGCCACGCCCCCCAGGGGCTGTATCTCTATGGCAGTGTGGGCGTGGGCAAGACCACGCTGATGGACCTCTTCTTCGACTGCTGCACCGAGGTTAGCCTTTCACTAGCACTTTCCATTTCCAATTTAACCATCTTATAACCTTTTAGATCGATCGCAAACAGCGCGTCCACTTCACATCCTTCATGAACAGCGTGCACACCCGCATCCACGAGGCCAAGCAGAAGCAGGGACCTGTTGATCGGGCCTTCAACTCGGAGAAGCCCGCTCCATTTGATCCCACGAAACCGGTAGCCGATTTGATAGCCAGCGAGTCCTGGCTGATTTGCTTCGACGAGTTCCAGGTGACGGACATAGCCGATGCCATGGTGCTGAAGCGACTGTTCACCCACCTCTTCCACCATGGCATTGTGGTGGTGGCCACCAGCAATCGGCATCCCGAGGATCTGTACAAGAACGGCCTGCAGCGCACGAACTTCGTGCCCTTCATTGGCCTCCTGCAGAAGCGCTGCAAGGTGTCGCAGCTGGATTCGATCGACTACCGGCGGATAGCGCAGTCCGGCGACACAAATTACTTTGTGAAGGGCCAAACAGATGCGGAGGGCAGCATGAATCGCATGTTCAAGATCCTGTGCGCCGAGGAGAACGATATTATCCGGCCGCGCACGCTGACGCACTTCGGAAGGGACCTGACATTCAAGCGCACTTGTGGCCAGGTGCTGGACAGCACCTTCTCGGAACTCTGTGATCGCGTAAGCTTATAACATCTTTTATATAGGATCAATATTTAAAATATATTTGTTTAGCCCCTGGCTGGCAGCGATTTCCTGCAGATCTCGCAGTTCTTTCACACCGTCCTCATCAGAGATGTGCCCCAAATGACGCTGGATATCAAGGCGCAGATGCGACGCTTTATAACGCTTATAGATACCCTGTACAATAATAGAGTGCGTCTGGTTTTATCCGCCGACGTGCCGCTGGAAAGTTTATTCAGTTTTTCCGGGGGTTCCAATAGTCTTTCGGATTCTGAACGGACTTTAATGGATGATCTGAAAATAGTGAGTGGTCTTATATTGAACTATCTAATTTGAATACCATAAATAACCCGTTTCGCTTAACAGAACGAATCCAAAGCCAGTTTTTTCACCGGTGAGGAGGAGCTGTTCGCCTTCGATCGCACATTATCGCGGCTCTACGAAATGCAGAAGCGGGAATACTGGGAGCAATGGGCCAAACATCGCTAAAAACCCCATATCACAAAGCAGTAGTTCAATTAGCCCAATTAAATTATTTCGATTTCTACCTCGGTGCCGTGGAATTTTTCAACCAAAATTTCTTGTACTTATCAAATCCCCCAACTAATATGCAATATTTACATTAGATGCCTTGCGCAAGTATTAAAGCAATAAACGAAGTAGACAAAGTTACCCAAGAGTTTCTCTATTTATGATCTATATTTATAAATTTCAAAATAATTCTCGTCACCGGTGATCTTGTAACGGTTTCGAACTCTAAAATTATCAGTTAATCGCCACAGTCTGGCAACGCCGCCATCAGCTGTTCAATAATCAAATTGATAAGATTTCTCCCATGTTTTTCGGTTGAGGTTCAGGCGAAGATTAGAGGTCAGGAGCAAGTGATCGATTGTATCTTCAAGTGGAAGTTAATCTGCCTAATTTACGAGTTTCAACATGGATGTGAAGGAACTGGAAGTAAACAAAACCCTGCCCTATGGTGAGATATCATATAAGTTACCAATAAAGATCATAAATATATATATATTTTATGGGAATTTCAAGACCCCTCCCTGCTGACGGTAAACATATCGCTGCGCCAGATCGAGGAGATCGCCATGACGATCTCCCAGCGCTGCCATGTGACGGGAGCCAACGAGATCGCCTGGGCACTGAGGGCTCTTATGTTGACCGATCTCACCACCTTGGCCGGCGATGATACGGCGGCCAATGTCCGGCGGCTGTGCCTCCGCGCCTGCTACCCATTCGAACCGCAGTTCTTCGACAAGTTCTTCGATCGCGCCCTCATCCCCGAGATGCACACGGCCGCCGTTTGCGTTTACCCAGCCAGGGTAAAGGATGCCTACACGGCGCTGCAGCAGTACGACAAACTGGACAAGGTGGCCATTGCGGCGGTGGCCACTGGCTTCCCCACCGGCCAGTACGGCCTGCAGACGCGCCTGCAGGAGATTAGCCACGCCATTCTGGCCGGTGCCACCGAGATCGACATAGTGATCAATCGCCAGTTGGCGCTGGTGGGCGACTGGGAGGCCCTGTACAACGAGGTGGTACTCATGCGCAGCGCCTGTGGACAGAGGGCTCACCTGAAGACCATTCTTGCTATTGGAGAGCTGGGCACCATGGAGAATGTATGAGTATCTTTACTTAATATTTTTAAATAGTTATTAAACCCATGATTCTTTTGCAGGTCTACAAAGCAGCCATGGTTTGCATGCTGGCTGGAGCGGATTTCATCAAGACCTCCACTGGCAAGGAGACCGTGAATGCCACTCTACCCGTTGGCCTAGTCATGATCTTTGCCATCCAGGAGTTCAAGCGGCGCACCTGCCAGATTGTGGGCCTTAAGCCAGCCGGCGGAGTGAAGACTGTGCGAGATGCCATCGCCTGGATGACGCTGGTCAACGAAACACTGGGCATCCGCTGGCTGCGTCCCGAGAGATTCCGTTTCGGAGCCTCCGGACTGCTGGACGACATTGAGCGAGTGGTTCGGGAGGGTGTTAAAAAACTGGAGGAGGAGGAGGCCCTCAAGAATCAGCCTGTCTCAAAGGAAGCTGCTGCCGCCGAGACCTTCTGCAAGGAGCTGCGCAAGAAGAAGGAGGCTCAGTAGAAGGAGCTTCATTCTAGCCTTTATGCATTTATTGTAGCATTTTTATACAACTGACTAAAACCTATCCAAAAAAAGAGAACCCATCTATGTGCTACGCTCTTCCTGAACGGGAGACTTGAAGTTGAAGGCCAACTGCGCCGGAGCGGCCATCAGATCCTCCTCCGCCTGCTCCTCGCCGTGCTGGAGGAGCTCCTTGTGCGGCTGATTGTCGGGCATCTTCACCTGCATGTCCACCGCAAAGAAGGAGTCATCGAAGTTGATCCTATTGCGCTCATCCTGCTCGAGGTACATGGCCTTGGGGGCAGTTGCTCCGCCCATGGCCTTCTCATACGTGTTCAGCCACTTGAGATTGAGGTTGATGTGCTTGTTGGCCGCATTGAACTTCTTTGGCTTCTTCTTTGGCTTGTCCGCGTAGTAGTTGTGCTCCGTCTTCTGCGGCGGCGGAGCAATCTTCTCCAGCATCCGGCTCTTGGCGTCCAGCTTGGGCTCCACGTAGTCGAAGAGCGGCAGATAGAAGTTGTACGGCTGCTCCGTGGGCGGCAGCATTCGCTGCTGGGGCTGCACTTGCTCCTGCACCTGGCTACTGGCCTCCGCCGCCATGGCATCTTCCTCGAGGGCAGGGCCAAAGATTTCCCCTGCACGCCGCAGCAGGTTCTCCAAACGCTCCAGGGTTATGATGTGCGGATGGATGAGCTGGACGTCGTCGTGCAGCTGTGCCCGCCGAGCTGCCGGAGGCTTGGCATCCACACTGCAGCAGAAGGCGCACACAAGCAGCTGCAAGGAGGGGAGAACTTAGTTCTGATCACTGATGAGTTATACCCACAAACTCACAACCAGTAAAGCATTCATGTCCAATATAAATCGAATCACTTTCAGTGCTCCAGTTTAACCACCTTCACTTTCAGAGATCTCACACGAAGTGAGACCTCCTTGGACCTGGCCAATTCATTTATACTGGCGCTTGGCGCTCGAAACGGAAGCTCGGAAGTCTGCGCCTTGAATGGCCAACAACAAACCTGGTTGGCTGGTAGAAAACAAGTTTCCCACACGAGAAATAAATATGTAACGAGCCAAACTAGACTGCACATGCAGGCATAAGCATAATAATGTTAATGTAACAACGATGCTGTTGCGATGCTGGGGAGTTGAACAAACTGGAACCGCCATAGACGAACCGTTTGTCACTCATAATGAGTCCAAGCGATTGCTGCCAAATTGTCCAATTTGAGGCAGTGGCCAGTGGGAAAAGTCGGGCGCTAGCAAGTGCATTGACCCACACAATTATTTCCGCAGCAATGGGGACGAATGTGTGAACCCGTTTCGATTGTTTCGACTCCATTGCCCGTAAAAGTGCAAGTTCAAAGCGGCAGGAAAAGTGTAACGGCCACAACTTGTTCGTTGACTCGATAGTCTCGTTGTATTCAACATATATGAGGGATTTATTCAACATCACGATTGCCGCAGCTCGGGCAGTCCCTTAATGATAACATCCAGAGCCTTCAGGTCCTTGTTGACCGTTTCGCTCAGCACCTCCATGGCGCGTTGCTGCATTGTCAAGAAGGTCTTCATCTCGTCCTCGGCCTCCTTGTCGATAGCATACTCGGCTCCTCCGTTGCCGGCGAACTGATTGCGCTGCATGCGCATCTGGGAGAGCAGCTCGCTGAGGCGACCCTTGAACTGCGTGGGAGCGGAGACGACGGCCTGCATATTCTGGAGCTTAGTGCGCATGGCCTCTTCCTCGGGCGTCAAAGAGGTGCCCACCTTACGCGTGCACTCTTGCTTTACAATGATCTGTAAGTGATTAATGATTATCTACATGTAAAAGATGATTTTCTAGGGCAACCTATTTTCCTACCCTGAGTATGCGATGTCCGAGCTCGGCTAACTTTCGTTTATGCTCCAGAATCTTGGCTGTGGCCGTGGCATGACGCTGTCTTAGTTCCGTGAGTTCACTCTCCACCTTCTTCATATACAAGGCATGCGTGTCCGTTTCCTGTTCCTGGCACTTGACGCGCCACTTCAGATCGCTGAAACCCACCATGGGCACGGGTATGAATTTGCTGGCATCCGGATTATCCGAATTGGCCTGGCGCCACATGCGTGGATCCACGCCTCGCGGGGGATTCTCCAGGTACTCCTTCAGCTGATCCTCGTCGGGAAGAACGAGGGCCAAGGCCTCGCCAATGCCCAGATTATTCAGTTGCGGCTTTAGCGATGCCTGATTCAGGTAGTTCGAGAGTTCGGTGGCCAGAATACGCTTGCTTTCGTTGGGCGCATGCTGCAGTTTCTCCTCCACGTAGATCACCATCTGGCACTTTTTGTTCTCCAGCTCTTTGATCGAGTCAATGTGAACCAGCATGTTGGGCTTGCTGCCGAACAGGCTGTGCAGGGTTTGAACCACTTGCTGCTGGTGGGGCCTTAAGTAAAGGTGATAAATTTAAAGCTTGTTGTTTAAAAGTAGCTAAGCTAAATCTTACTTAACGGCAGAAAGTTCTCTGCAGAAATTCAGAGCCACCAATCCCAGTTTGTTATCTTTCCCAGGCATTCGACTATAACCGATGGCCTTGAAGCGGCACATCAGGTTCTCCGGCGTAATGTCCACCGGCGCCGCACTCTGCGAGTAGAACATCTTGCCAGTGCCCCAGGTGGCCTGCAAGTAGTTCCACTTTGCCACTATTTTATCCCGGTCATCGCCAAAAATGGAAACATTCAGAATCGATTGGGCAAACGCCTCGTCGGCTGAAATAGGAGCTGGCTGCTGTTGCGGCTGTCCAAGCATGAAGTTGGTGCCCCCAAAGCCACCGAATCCCGGCGTGACTGTTGAATTCGCTGGCTTTCCAAAGGCTGAAAACACGAACCAGGTTAGGAATACAAAGCAAAATTAAATTAAGCTAACTAAACTCACTGGAACCGAAGGCTCCGCCTCCAAAGCCAGTTGACTGGTTGGTTCCAAAGCCGCCGAAAGCAGGTGCCGATGTGGTAGTCGTTCCAAAGCCTGCAAATCCACTTGATGGCGCTGCACTCGCCGCTGCAGGCTGGCCGAATCCACTGAAAGCCGGTGGAGCTGCACTGGTCGCCGGGGCGCCGAACAAACTGGCCTGACTCGTCGCGGGAGCTGCTCCAAATCCACCAAAGCCACCGCCGCCGAGACCCGTGCCCGCTGCTGTGGTGGCAGTCTGTCCAAAGGCCGGAGCACTGCCAAAGGCGGAGCCCCCGAAGCCGGGAGTTGAGGTGGCGGCTCCGAAAGCCGGCGCAGCCTGGGCACCAAAAGCAGGAGCGGTGGCGGCGGCGGGTGCTCCAAAGGCGGAACCAGCTCCAAAGGCAGATGCAGCCGGTTGTGCGGTGCCAAAGGCCGATGTCGGTGCGGTCTGGGTTCCAAAAGCCGGTGCTGGCTGGCTGGCGGCCGCCTGAGCTCCAAACGGCGATCCAAAGAGGCCACCAGTTGCTGCGTGGAGAGATAAGCGGGCAGAGAATTAGGTCAATGCTTAGGAAACTATTAGCTTTTGCCTTGGGATACTGATAAGTGATTTGGGGTGCCGAAATTCTAAGCTGCTCATCAGTTAGTTTCGAGCACTGAACGCCCACTGGTCGTCGGAAAATGGCTGTGATCTTCATTTTGCTGATCCTCCTGCTGGGTTTCGTGGGATATATAGGATATATAGTCCACAAGAAGGGGTGAGCATCATAGCCAAGTGAAAATCTATAGCTAAAACCCATGTTCTGTGGACTCTTCCAGCATCGATCCCAATGACATCCGCATCCACAGCCTGCAGGACGCCAAGAAGCTGCTCCAACCACCGCCAAGTGGAATCGGACCCCACAAATACCTGGAGAAGAGGGCATGAGGTCTGGTTTTGGGGCAACTTACTCTTTTGCGGCGTGCTCGTTGCTCCCAACGACGTGTTGGCTCCGAAGAAGGACATGGTGCGGAAATCTCAAGAATGATGCGTTGCCGGAGAATTTGGAATGCCTTTCCTAAAGGCTGCGTTGCTAATCCTCTGTTTTAGTTCAATAAAAATAGTCTTAATCCTAATAAACGTAAGAATTTGGCGCTTCTGAATAGGGATGGGAAAAAAGGCAATATATCGATATGTTGCTAAATTTCTAAAAATGTATATCGATATGTTTTGTTTTCAATGTATTTAAACTTTTGATTTAAAAACAAGAGAGAACGCTATAGTCGTGTTCGTGTCCCGACTATCTAATACCCATCACTTGGCTAAAGGGAGTGCGAGGGAGATGGTTATATAACATTTTTTTGATTGCGCATAACTTTTCAATGAATGGTCCGATTTGAAAAATGTCTTCTACATTTCGATAGGTATAAGTATACACAACAAAATTGCATTTACACTTCTCGGAAATCTTTAAAGATGTGGGCGCAGGACCCATTTTAAAATCGTTAGAGGGGGCGAGGCACTCGGCTGAAATAAACTTGCGCTGCGTAGGAAGCCCAAGAATATGTGCGGGAAATCTCAACCTTCTATCTTTTGTAGTTTCCGAGATCTCAGCGTTCATACAGACAGACGGACAGACGGACATGGCTAGATCGACTCGGCTAGTGATCATGATCAAGAATATATATAGTTTATAGGGTCGGAAACGCTTCCTTCTCCCTGTTACATACTTTTGCACGAATCTAATATACCCTTTTACTCTACGAGTTACGGGTATGAAAAGTAAATGCTAATTTGACCAATTTACGTTACTCTTATCATAAAAGTTGTATGTGTAGAATTTTTTCAAGTTTTTGCTTTGGCCGCCGGGGGCAGCCTAAGGAGTTGAGTTCCTACTCACCAGATTATGACCTTGTTCGAGCCCCGGTAGAACTAATAGCATGATACAAAGACAGACCTTATGTTGAGCTGAGCAGAAAAAAATGAGGAACGTACGAGTCCCTAGCTACCCTTAATCAAAATACAAAACAGCGGTAGAAAGATATCGAACACAAAATAGGATTAAGCGTAAAGTTAAAACTATACAAAAAGACACTTAAATAAAAAACCAGATACGAAAAATAAAAAAACACTTCTAAGAATTCTAATTATAGTTGCTAAGCCTACTTTACTAGTGACAAATATTTTCCTAACTGTTAGCCATATTTGACACAATTGTCAAATGCCACACCTGCCAAGACTGGTCAATACCCTAAATATTTCAGATACATATATTTTTGTGGTGATATTTTGTATATTCTTTTTAATCAGGGTATTCCCTACACACAAAAAAAAACTTGGTAAAATCAACTGTAATAATTGTCAATTCTACTAAGTAAATAGTAATTTCACAACAACAAAATACACACAATTAGCAAAGACACAAACCCAAAGCAAAAACAAAATACACGGAACTATTTTAATAGTTACGTAACTATCTTTGTTGGTCAATTTTACCAAGCAAATTTTTTTGTGTGTAAACTGTTGAATTGCTGAATTATTGAAAATTCAACAGAACATTTCAGCAATTAATGGTAAAATGGTTCCTGTTGAATTTTTAAACAGCTGTTATTTGTTGAAAAGTTTTACGGAACTTCAAACATGTAAAGTTTGATTTATTTTTTTTTTAATGGTGGCCTGTGGATCGTCCACAGGTCGCTGTGTAGGTCCGATTTTTATGAAACTCTAGTTGGGGCACTCTTTCAAAGACAAAAATCAATTTTTGTCATATATTTTTCTTGTTGTTTTTGCTTTAAAAAAAATACTTTAACGTACAAATTTTTACATAAAGTAGGTTCAGACAGTAGGCAATTTCATTACAAACATTTCTGTAAAAGCAGCATGATGATCGAAGCATAACATTTTGAGATACACGATCCGCAGCTGAGGAAAACATAGTTGCGCGAAAAACGCTTTTAGAGCCGTTTTCTCGTCCGTCCTGCAAAGTAAAATTTAGCTAATGGAAGGATACATTTATCCCGGTGGCAAATCGGTTTTCGTTTTCTCGTCCGTCATTTAAAACTCCAAGTAAAAGGCGCACTAATTTGAGACTGGGTGGCAGCCCCACAATAGAAGAGTTAACTAATTGTCAAAAATTAATCGAAAAACTATCGTAAAATACCATAAAACAGTCATACTAACATCTGTTGCAGCACGGTGGATGAAGTACCGAGACAAAATTTGTCGCTACCTGCACTAACATAAGGACGAGTAAACAATTTTTTGTTTATCGCTCCGTTGTCCCGGCAGCCAAATTAAAGTACGGACGAGAAAACGGCCCTTATACTACCAATTTAAATAATACAAAAAAATTGATTTTTTTTTGTTTTCTATATTTATCTCCCACCTTAAATTTTGGTCAGAAGTTTATAACGCAGTGAAGGAGACGTTTCCGACCCCATATATTGTTGATCAGGATTAATAGGGGAGTCGATATAGCCATGTCCGTCCGTCCGTCTGTTTCAATACCGTTTGCGAGCTCCGTTTAAAAGCTAGCGACTTAAAACGTTTACAGTCATCCTAAAACATGTGTCCGCAGATCAAGTTTGAAAACCGACCCGATCGGACGTCTATATCCTATAGCTCCCATAGAAACAATCGGATATAGCTTTCAATTTACATTTCTTATCGGGTCTTCGGATTGGTGGGTCAACGCTCCTGAAAAAATTTAAAAAACAAGCATTACCATTTGCATTTAATATTCCAAAAATTGCTTACTGACCATTAAGCACCGCATATAGCCCTTTGCGTGCTTTTAAAGATTTTTTGCCGCTGCTTCCGTCCAGGTTGTAGTCGATAACTTCCAAAATAGTTCGAATTTCTTCGTGAAACTTTCATGACACATTCTTAAAGAGTTATACTACCAATTTAAATAATAAAAAAAATTAAATTTTTTTGTTTTCTATATGTATCTTCCCCCTTAAAAGTGGCTGTGTAGGAACAATAGGGTGAAATCGGTCAAAATTTGACGTTTTTCAGGATATTTCGCGCAGAATATAAGCTAATGACATGAAACTTTCCAAATCTTATTATTTTATGCATACCTTGATTAGGGTAAAAGCACGTGCCGATCGGGCGTCTATATCCTATAGCTCCCATAGGAAAAATAGGGTGAACAATTTTAAAAGTTTATTTTTTTCAATTATAAAATATTTTCTTGTTTATTAATTCACGTTGCTATTCTAGTCAAGTTTTCATTCGTAAAATCTGCAAGGCTATTAAAACTTCGGCTAGCCGAAGTTACCATCCGTCCTCGTTTAATTTAAAAATTAGTTTAGTTCTCATTTGAGAATAGGAAAAAAATACGTAAGCAGTGTAATTTCTCCGGTCCTAAAGTATGCAAAAGCAACTGGTATCATACAAAATTGCATTTGTATTGTGACGGATGGTAACGGTTCCATTTAACGAATACCTTCATAAGAGCAAATGAAGATCCACAACCCATATGGGAAGTGTAATTTATGATATTTACAAGGGGCGGACGATATTTTATGAAACTGCTGTTAGAATAAAAAAAATCAATATTGTAATGACCGATTTAAAGTGCTGCTGGAAAATCCAGACATTATTGTCCACAAGGCTGTATGATGAGCTCTATCCGGAGATCTAATCGTATAAGATTACTGTCAGTCTGCAAAAGCCCGAAATCAGACATATTAAAATTCATCGGCGACCTTTTGGATCGTACAAAAACCCTGTAAATTGCCATTCGAGAAATCATCCAGCAGAAATACCTAGATCATTTTGAACAACACAAAATACCCCGTGGGACGGTTTATAAAACGGAACGTCCCATGACGATCAGGCGGCCCCCTCAAGGGTATTCGCTTGCAGATAGCGCCAAAGCCAGGGCCTAACTTCAAGCCTTGGAGGGGAAAGAGGAAACGGAAAAACAAGTGGTGCCGCTGGCTTCTCAGGAAGGTGAGGGTGAAATCCCAATCCCCACGACCGAGGACGAAGGTCAATGAATGCCTGTTTTAGCCCTGCCTCCAGCGGCTTTTACGTTGGCCGTGCCAGACCTTGGCAGCACAGTGTCAATGGACCCCAGAAGAGGCGGGCATTAGTGTATGCCAACAAAATGATGAATACGGGGAATAAAATGGAGATGTTCGAACGCTTCGAGGAGAACAAATCGCCCTATGTTCTCTGTATAGATTCAATAGAAATAGGAAAGAAGCACAGGTTTCTATGCGTAATGATGGCGAGCCTGGATGGCTCTTATAATCGGTTCGTCTACATAGATTATGTAAGTTAATATTAATATTGATATTTTTCTTAAAGAAAATATATCAGCGATACGATATTTCAAAAATATTTGTCATCCCTGCCTTCACAGAGAGATCGCCGACCGATCCGTCCTCACGACCGAGGACGAATGTCAAAATATGTCTAAATTAGAAACTTGGCTAGAGATGCGCAATCGGCGGTGACACCGGAGCCTATCGCTGCCTATCGGATCTGTTAGTTCTCAAACGGCTATCGATAGCGATTTATTGTGCAATCAATCCTAATTCCTAAACTATTGAATTGCTGAATTGTTGAAAATCATAGCCGTTTCAACTCCCGAATAGGTCGGGTCGTTTTTGTCCACTATTCTGCGAAGAAGTAAAGGCAGCTACAAGTGTTTTAAACTAACCACAAACAACAATCAAAACCACAATAAAATAATAAATAATAATAATATAATATAAATGAATAATAAAATAATAAATAATAATAAAATCTGTTTCGCCGTTCCTTGCAGCTGCCAGGATCAGTTGGAAGTACTGGGTATAGACGTCTTCTAAAGAGTAGTGCGAGTTAATTTAACTTGTTTGTCAAATAGCTCAGGACGAGCATCAGTTTCTTCCTGTCCTCTACCGTCACGGTCTCTGGCAGGTTCCGGAAGACCGCCAGCCACTTTACCTGGAGGCCTTCCAATATGTCCATGGACAATGGAGCCTAGTTGAACGCCACCTCGGGATTCAAACGGAAGTGGCGCTTCAACAGCTCTCGGATGGCCAACAGCACCCTCGCCACCTTCTCAAGGCCGCTCTTAGACGTGCCCGCTCTTCGGCAGGCGCGGTAGAAGGAATTACCGAATGTTCCTTTTATCTTAATTAAAAGACAAATAGTGAGAATTATTATTCGCCGTAATTGTATTCTCGTTCTCGAATATGGATTCTTGTATAGCAAAAAACATTCTCATTCTAGCTTGTATATTACGGACAAGTTCTCTGAATGTTTGTTCCAAAATTACAGTGTTAGCGTGGAAAAAATTTGGAATAATTAAATTCCTTCGCATAATTATAGCGGCTTTTTCGTACGCCAATAATTGGGGTACTATGGTACTGTGAGTGTAATCGAAGTTTAATATTTCCGGCTCGGATATTATTACATTTGTATTTACAAATATTCCTCGTTCTGTTTTTCCCACAAACTCATCCAAAAAATTATGATTGGGAATTCCAGCAGAACGCATGGCGTCTCTGAGGTGTTTTTTGTCGATAATGTGGGGCACACTGACCATTTGTTCGAACCCCATATTTACGCTGTTCCTATCTGTAATAAATGCCACTAATTTTGAATATTTTCCATAGTGGTTAATTGCGTCAATAGCGTTGTTATATTCTAAAGCAACATCAATTGCGTTTACTCCTTGTGTTTCCAATACCTGTTAAGGATTAAAAGTATTAAAAACGTGACTAGCGCATTAATGCACGCGGGCATTGGGACGCGTCCTCCTTCACTGCCAGGTACATGAGGCACCTGAGGCTGCCTATGTGGACTTCGTTTATGGCCACGAAGAACGCGCCAAAGTCCTGGAGGAGCTCCACATTTCCTCCAAAGTCGCCTTCGTGCTGCTCCACGAAGCGGGTGGGCTCCTCCACGTGGATCTGCTCGTCTGGATCGAAAAATCTTGCGAAGTTTGCGCGGGAGCGGCTCCGAGACATGATTTAAGAATTTGCCGAAAACTTTGCCGAATTTTAAAGAAGAAAGTTCGTTAGAAGAAAGTTCCCTCCGAAACTAGTGGTGGGCGATTCGATTCCGATTTTCCGCCGCCGGCAGCGGAAATCGATAATTTTCTGGTTTTGCACTGAATATCGATAGTTTTAGTACATTTGAATTTGAAATTTCGCGGTTAAATTCTGATTTTGAAATCAAACATTTTTATTCTGATTCTCTACTCCCTTTGGGATCTTATTCACTCCCTCTGGGAATTTTATCTATGAATATTTTCTTTAATTCTTTATGAATTCATTAAAAATTAAAAATCATTTGTTTACCCATATTTCAGTAAAGAAAGTTGTAAGCTAAATTTTTGACTTCAAAATGTATTTTAGTTTTAATGAAAAAACACCAAATTAAAAATGTAAACTCGAGCTTATTCCCGCTTTGCACTCTAATAATTTCGATTTTTGGGCTTGTTCTTTTCTTTATTGATACACTTATAGCATAGCATAGTATAGATTTTGGTTATCAATAGACATACACCATATACAAATTTCTTTGAAATTATTCCAATTTAATTGCAATAACATTCAAAAATCATCGCAACCTCTGCTCACCAGATCCAAAGAGATACATTTATATATCAATTACAAATTCGTGTCGCACATTGGCAAATGTTTTTAAAATTCACAAAATTAACAGGAAAACTAATGGTACGATCCGAGTTATAGGGTTATAGCCCGATTTCGATTTCGCTCTCGGCAACTATTTATACAAGTCATTTGTAGCTTCTTGCTAGTTCGATTGCAACTCGAGATATGATTTTACTCCGAGCTGTTGAGAGTGTTGTGTTAAGAACTAAGGTGCTTTCATTTCTGATTTACTGCTTTGGAAGTAAGTGGTCTTCTTAGATCGGCTGAATCGGATTCGAGTATATCGCTCTCTGCTCTGGCTAATTCTGATGCTTTTAATCGTTATAATTATATATATGTACGTTTACGCATATATGCTCGTTCTACAACTAGGTTTGTGTTAACAAAAACAAAAAAATCATAACAATTTTGTAAATGGAAATACATTGATAGTTTGCGTTTTTATGAGAGGATGAGTATGTTGATGTTTTGGGATTGGGAAGGAGGAGCATGGATCTAGGAGAGGATAAAGATGGGCAACAACAGGAAGAGCTAGTGAACGAGCGCAGCAGCCAGCTATTCTCACACACTCGATATACGCAGCCGTATATATATCTCGATTGATTATGCACTGGCTATATATATATATATGTAACATTTAGATTAGTATGCGCGTGTTTTATAAAGTAGACAAATATATGTTCTAGTGGCCTCCGGAGTGCTCGCTTCCCTTGCTCCCGCTTGCTCCTCAGAAGACGAAGCGGTTGATGTTCATGCCCAGTCCGTTGCCGCCGCATCCTCCGGACGGCGGTGGCGCCTGATCGTCCTCGTCGCCGTCGCCGCCGAAGGTGTAACGGCTGGCGAATCCATTGCCGTGACCGCCGCTGCCGCGCTTGAAGCGCTGCATCTTCAACTCCTCGTTGTAGACATGGTTGTCCTTCTTCACGTAGTCGCGCAGCTGGCGCGGCAATTCCTCTAGGGTTAGTGGGGGTGACAGAGGCACTGTGACCACCTGCTGGCTCGTTCCCGACACCAGGCTCGAACTGCTGCAGCTGGCCGATTCGCCGTTCGACTCGTTGGAGCGGCCGCACATCTTGTAGAACAGAATGTACGGCGTATTAGGCGAAGTCAAGTTGTGCATCTCCTCGGGCTTCGAGTGGGTAACCAAGTTGTCGTTGAACTTGTACCAGTTCTTCGTTTGATCAGCGGCAAACGTAAAGTAGTGACCCGAATCCATGCTGTAGCCGGCGTGCACAACTCCGGCATACAGATCATAGTGCACCGTAGACATCTCCGTGGCCGACATCTTTACAGTGACCTGGAATTTATATTTTATATTTATTATTTTAATAACACAAAACAAAAGAATCTCAGGTACTTACACTCTCATCGTGAAACACCTTATGCATCAGCTTAGTGCGAAAGTGGTACTTCTGATCGTACTTGAACTGCTTGAGCGTGAGAATCAGGTTCCTGGGCGCCTGGGTCACCCCGATGTGCCGCTCCGCATCGCACAGCTTCTTGCACTGCGGACAAAAGTACTGATTGTCACCGTCCAGCTTCTCCGGCGAGCAGTAGTACTCGATCAGGTCCTGCACCGAGTAGTTGGTGGCCCCGCAATCGTCCTTGTCGTCGGGAAAGGACAGCTGCAGCTCCCGGAAGCTGTCCTCGTTGCGGCTCTCCCAGCCGCAGCACAGACATCGGTAGGTGGTGGACAGCTTCCCGGCGAAGGTCTTGTCGATGGTGGAGGGAGGCTTCGCTGGATTGGCCGGCTGTCCCGAGCAGTTTGTGCCTTTGGTGGGTGTTGCGGGTGGCGTGGGAGTGGGCTTGAGCTCGCGATCCTTGCTGTTGTATGGGATGACGCCGCTGCTCACTATCTCCTCGCTCAGCAGGGCGGGCACATCATCGCTGGCCTTCGGAGAAGCCGCATTGCGAGCAGCCGATGAGGCGCTGTTGATCTCGTGCTCGTGCAGCAGGTCGAGCAGATATCCTAGGAACTCGGAGCTGTCCTGTTGAAGGCCGGGTGTAAAACCGGGCGGTCGGGTGGCATTCAGCACTCGCGAAGGCGTCAGTTCGTAGCGCAGCGAGTGGTGCATCAGGGCGATCTGCTGCTGCATCTTCATGAGCAGCGGCGAGTCGCACTCGATGAGCAGGAGCTGCCTGCTGAAGCTGGAAGAGGTAAGGGGGTATTAAATACAATATATATATATATAAACAATTAAACAAAATATATAGCCTTGCTGATTAATTTCTTTAAGTGAAACTGTAATCTAAAACCAGTTTGTAAACAAAAAGACCCGCTGCAAACAGGGAATATAAATATTTACACTTTAAGCTTTCAACAGAACAGTAATTGGGAAACTGAACCTCATAACTATTAAGTAATAACTAGACATCTGATTTTAATTGAAATCGTTTTTTTTTAAATAAGATTTAAAGCCAAATTTGATTGGTTAAAAATTTCTTACAAAAACCTCAATTAAGTTTGGCCTAAATCTAAGCATAACTTAATAAATAAAATTTATAACCAAATGTGGCTTTAAATCGTATTTAAAATAAACGATTTCACCTAAAGTCCGATGTCTAGTAATAACCCTCAACCATTTGGCTCCACTTACTCGCTGGTCATGGCCAAAGCCTGAAGAACGCTATTCATGTAGCAGGTATTTCCCAGGTTAACTAGTCCGACCCTCGCGTTCCGCCGACCCCACGGCTGGGCATTCTCGTGCATGGCTCGCGCCAGAGCCACGCAGTTCGGCGAGGGCTCGTACGACTGCAGCGCCTTCTTGGCGGCCACATAGAGGTCATCCTGATCGTAGAAGCGCAGCATGAGGGCGCTGGTCAAGTCCACCAGCTGCTGCAGACAATTGCGCGTCTCCAGGCCAATCTCGTCCATGGTGGACGACTGACTCTTCATGTACTGCAGCACCAGAGGGATGCGTGGCAAGATCTTGGAAGGGAAAAATCTATAAGTCACTCAATAAATATACTTTCAACCCAAAATTCACCTTGTGAAAAACCTCGGGCGTCTGATTGATCGTCGTCAGCATGCGGAAGACCACCGGGGCGGCCTTCTGTCGCAGCGCCGGGAAGATCATCACATGGAACAGCTTCTCAATGTTGTCCAGCGCAATCTCGTCGAGCAGCGCCCGCTTGCCCTGATCGCGCAGTCCGTCCAGGAGCGCCAGCACCCAGAGATTGAGGTTGCTGCAGAAGGTGCAGTAGGTGATCCAATCGCACAGCAGATTCACCGTCTTTCGGATGCTCGAGTCCTGCACATTCTGCTCCAGCAGCGAGTGCACCGCCTCGAGGATCTGATCGGAGTTGAACAGCTGAAAGACGATGGCCACGGCGCAGAAGGGCGGCGGCTCGTACGAGTGCTTGGTGATCAGCTCGTAGACGACGCGCAGGTAGAACATCTGGTGGAACTTCTCGTTGCGCGTGGCCAGGAAGGCGCCCACCTGCAGCACGTCCTCCTTGAGGCGCGGACAGGAGGCCCGTTCGCGGGGGATCTGCAGACGGGCCAGATCCACAATGGCCCGCTCACAGATGGCCATCACATTGTGGCCCTGCTCCGGCAGGCCGTCCAGGCTATGGAGGTGGGCCAACAGGGTCTTTATATCCCGCTTGCCAGCTCGACTGGAGTTCAAACTCTCGCCGGCGGGCGAATTCACCGCTCCCAGGCCCTCGGGCGCTCCGTTCTCGTCGGGCAGCTGGGCGGAGGAGGGCTTGGCGCTGGGCGGCAAACCACCGCCTCCTGATCCTCCCGAGCTCTCCGAGGCGTCGCCCGCCTCGCTGTTGTTCTGCTTGACGGCCATCTGGCGCTGGAGTCGCCGCCTAGCGTGGGCGTGGACGTGGGGGGCGCGTAGGCTGGTGGACCACTGGGCCGACTGGAGCTTCCAGCTGCCTGGGGACGGAGGCTTCGGCTTGCCTAGCGCCCGAACACAGCGGCCTTTGCGTTGCCTGCGACTCGCAGCGAGGAGTCTGAGCCGCGTGTCCTTGAACCGCGCTCCGTTACGTGTCGTCGTTACGTTGGGACTGTGCGACCTTGCGAGCGGTCTCGAGTGCTCCTCGATCCCTGCCCGATCCCGGCCAGAAGCTGCGCCTGCACCTCCTTCCGCACTCCTGCTCCGCCGAATCGAATCGAATGGAATGGAATCCTAGACGAATGTGCTGCTCGGTGGCCCGTGCCACATCTATGGCCCCTTTTTTCGGGTGTTTCCTGGTCGTCTGCTGACCCGGCTCGGTGCGCACTCGATGTGCCTTTGTCTTGGTCGCCTGCGCGCTATGCGTTTCACCCTAGTAACTACAATTTAGACGGCTTTTCAACGAATTCTTTGTGATATTTTTCGGATTTGTTAATGTTGTCTACTGAGTCAGTGAAAGCGTTATCGAGACGTTCAAGCGGTATGACATGCAGGGCGACTCTGCACGGTAAGGCAGGGGTGAGATGGAGAGGCCTTATATGGGCTATATTTCCACTTTGATGGTAATATTTGGTTAAACAAGGCGAATTTCAAATCATTTCATCACCTTGACAGTTCGATGTTCTTTAAATTTCCTCGTAAAAATGCCAGCTATTTATCGCCAGTGCTGCCAGATAGTTCTACGCCCGCTTGAACGTGCTTAGACCGCCCTGAAGGCGCTGCCCTGTGAATGGCCAATGATATTTGTTTTGACTCGACTTTCGAACATTTCTGTTTCTGGAAATAAAAACATTTTGCAGATAACCCATCTATAGATCACCTATCTATAGCACACGATGCATCCTGGTCAAATCGAGGTCAACGAGGTCAATGGCTATTGGACATTCCTACTCAGCGTGAGTGCTTCGCCTGTTTTCTTAACCGGTAGTCCTATAATTTGGCTATATGTTTACGTCTTTCAGATCGATTGGAAGGATCCGTGGCTTATTGGCCTTATAATGGTGCACATCCTGACCACCACAACGGCGCTGCTCAGCCGGAACAATACGAATTTCCAGGTTTTCCTGTTCCTAGTACTGCGTACGTGGTCTTTGTAGCTCCCCCGATATCTCCAATAATGCTTTATCTTCCGCAGTGCTGGCCGTTTACTTCACCGAGAGCATAAATGAGTACGCGGCGCAGAACTGGAGTTCCTTCTCCAAGCAGCAATACTTCGATAGCAACGGCCTTTTTATCTCGACAGTTTTCTCAATTCCTATTTTGCTCAACTGTATGTTGTTGATTGTAAGTAAAAGATTTACATATGTATTTCAGGATTTCAAATTGAAATTTTCAATAATTTTTGTTTCGTCTTCAGGGCACTTGGCTGTACAACTCCACACAGCTTATGGTGACTTTGAAAACAGCCCAGCTGAAGGAGCGCATTCGAAAGGAACGCCAAAATAAGACGGAATCGGAATCCGCAGCACAACACGTCAAGGCGGAATAGAATTTAAATTTAGAACGTAGGCTGTTAAAAACATAAGAAGAGCTGTGAGAATTGTACTTTCAGGATAGCATAATCAGAGATCTTGCACTGTGGGCTTCAAATAGAGTTTGCTGCCATTTAGTAATAGTTGTCTGCAAAGCTTACGGCTTCTATTAATTAAATTCAAATAAAAATAAACATTAAAAACTTTCTTCGATTAAAGTTAAAAATAAACTCGTATTATTGTGCAATTTTTTGGCTGAAGAACCCCACCAAAGAACCCCACCAAAACCGAATATTTCGATTGGCTAAGTTATACACCTAATTAACATTGCCACCTCTTTATTTCTAACTTTTGTTAGGGGCTTTCCTTCTAGATTTTTTACTTGAAGTTTTTCAAGTTGTTTAATGTAAATTTTAGCGGAAATCATCATTTAAGGGTATTGGTATTGCTAAACACCTATGGTATTCCTTAAACTGTTGAATTGCTACGTTTTTATACCCTTGTAGAGGGTATTATAATTTCAGTCAGATGTTTTATCTTATGGCTGCCATAGGAATAATTAACAAAATAATAGAAAAAACTTTATTGAAAGTAGGCTTTTTGATTTTTGACAATGTAAAAACAACATTTGTTTTAAATGATAATAAAAAGCTATCAATTTATTTACATTTAAAATATACTTGGCATATATACTATATTTATAAATTCAATTACTTATTTGGTTGACTTTGTTCCTATTGTTCTTTTTCATTGAAGTATACAAAATACGAGCTCATAACGGCCATAATTGACGTCTTCCGCCAGCTGGAGTCTACTCTTTTCACACAATATCAAGAATCCCAAGGAAATATATCCGTTTGCCTTGACAATGCCGAGAAGGCCTATAACCAAAGAAGTTATATTTGGCGCGTTGCTCTGTATAAGTGCCTTAAGGAACTTAATGAGCCATGAGCAACCCCAGCAATCTTCCAGTGATTCCTCAATCCGAAGAATGTGCAAAAGTGTTATAAAAATCAATAAGCTGTAGAGCTTATACAATATATTATATTTACCCCTTTTCCTCCAATATTGGGAAAACAAATATATATTGCAATAAAACTTACCCTTTTGATAGCATATTTTATATTTGTTTTTTGTGCATTTTTAAATCCAATTAAATGTTTACGAATCCGAATCCACAATTTTAGTAATCGAACAAAATAACTAATACTAAACTGCTCTTTTCAGCTTAGACCGTGTGATCAACTTTTATTTATTTATCTATGTTTGAAATAAAACGGTCGTTTAAAACTAGCGGGAAATCAGGATTTTTTAGGGCGTTTATGAACTCGAGGGGAAACACACTTTCCCGTCTGGTAACACTGCGGCCAGCGTTTTTTTGTTGTTGCTGGCTTGTGGGTGTCGATGAAGCAGTGTCGCGGCGCGATGTTGCAAGTGAATTTTGTGTAAACAAAATCTGTTGATAAGATATTCGCACGGAGTTAATCCGGGAGTTGCGCGACATATTAACCGTTGGCAAGCCCACTTAAAGTGCAGTCTAGAGTGCGGATTAAAGCCAGGCTCCGTTTCCTGCGAGTGTGTGCCTGTGTGCGTGCGGTCGGTGGTGTGTATGTGTTTTAAGCCCACGAGCGTAGCCCGGAAAAAAAGAAGTCTTTCTGTTACCATATTTTTAAGCCAAGGGCCAAAGGGCGCAGCATCTTCTTCGCTCTCCATCTCGCCGTCTTTCTCTCTCTCGCTCGCTCGTTAATGCGAGTTTTGCAACTACAGTTATTGTGTGTAAACAGCCAAACAGCAGGTGAAAATAAAGCAAGTAAAGTGCAAAGAGCAAGGAGAAAGAAGTAGCAAGAAGAAGCAGCAACTCCGAATCCGCGCAGCAGAACAACAAAAAAAAAGTGACGCATAAATAAAGGTTGCTAATTGCAAAAGGTAAACAACAAAAAACACAACTATCATTATCCGAATTCCCAAGCAGGCATTAACAATAGCAATAAAATGTGGCAAAGATTTGTCATTTTCCCCCGTTCGAATTGCGTAGTAGATTTCCACGATACCGAAACTCAGATGAGTGACGCGTTGGCGACGCAGCGCAAAATGTTCATTCATAAAAAGCGTCTGGCCCCCTTATGCCCCCCGCCCCTCCTCCCAAAGGCCCCCCTTTTAACCACCCCTGTTTGCGGTTGCTGCTGGAATTTAGTTTACAAATATTTTTGTTTGGTAGGTCTAGTAAGTGGGATTTGGTTTTTGTATTCTTGGTCCATATGTGAAACCATAGTTTAAATATTGCCGATCTACTGAATTTCTTATTGGGTGCGCCACGCCCCTAATTCGTATTTCTCCAGCACACCTAACTCTATCAAAATTATTGGGTGTTTGTCATGAAGAATAATAAATAGATTGCAAATGTTTTGGCTATTATTTTTATGGTAAATAACAGAAGAGATTTCCTAAAAAATTTATTAAGTCTAATCAGATATTGTCTAATATAATTAAATCAGAATTATGGCCTATAATAAAAGATTAATAAAATAATATGACATTTGTTATAAGCCTTTATAATACCAGTAAACTTTCCAATATCAAATGAGGATAAAAGACTATATAATAAATGAGTTAATAGTTCAATGTTCATATCAAAATTAATAATATGAAAAAATGCCTATAAAATTCGAAACACATTCCTTAATTAATAGACCCTTATACCCATTAAGATTAGATCAGATACCGCCATATGGCCGGCGGTGGAATGATTAACTCAGCGAATATAATTGAACTGCCGTGCTAATGAAAATTCACACATAACTTGAGCCCGCGGGTCAGAGCATTTTATCGCTTATCGTCTTGGCCTTTTCCCCACCTTTTCCCCGCCTCTTTAAGCAATCAGTAATATTGACGGGGAAAACAATAATACGGAATTTATGGTCAGCATGTCGCCAAAATGCCAAAGTCAAGCAAAATAAATACATACAAATAATAAAAAAAAAACAATCAAAATAACTCGGTGACATCATTTTGACTAATCGCCAATTTTAGCATTTGAAAAACGGCGGCTGCTCACCCGGCCCACTAGCGAAACCAACAAAAGCGAAGGTGCGAAAGAGAGGCCACCAGGGAGGGGGTTCCAACGGGTGGGAGCGAGAGAGGGCGAGCGCACGGGGCAGGTGCGCCAAGCCGAAGTTCAAAACGAAGCTCGAAAGCCGAAGTCATTCGGCATTCCAAACACCTACAAGTCGCAAATAGATCGAAGCGGTCTTCCGATATCAGCGAATTTCACTTTCGGGCTCAGATAATTTCGTATCAGTAATCGCATTAAACATTAAACACGATCCAAACCGAAAAAGGGGGTAACACCGCACATACATAAAGCGCATTATCGCAGGGTAATAAATCAAAGCCGATTCGCAGCCATATTTCTCGCGGAGTATCTAAGATAAAGAAAGTGTCTTAAAAATTTGCCAGACTTTGAGTAGCTTTAATTGGGCTGCTTTTACGACTCATTGCCCTGTTAACGATCTCTTAATTTTACGATTACATAAATCAAAGAACTTGGGGAGTTGTTCCTTAAAAGGGGAACTTATCTAGAAAATTATATTTTGGGTTTTTTTGTTATTGGATTTAAGGATTTCTTTTAACGATCTCTTAATTGTACGATTACATAAATCAAAGAACTCGGGGGGTTGTTCCTTAAAATGGAAACTTCTCTAGAAAACTATATTTTGAGTTTTTTGTTATTGGATTTTAGGATATCTAGGATTATCCTTTCATTTTGTCAATCCTCAATCCTCAATCCAAGGGAAATACTTTGAATATATTTAAGAAATTTATGATATTCCCTTTTATTTATAAAGGTCCCCCTCTATCACCCCATTTCTTTAAGTATTTATTGGCTATTTGTTGATAATTGCCCCGGCAACTTCGATCAGATTCAATTAACTCGAACATATTGCGGCTCATTAGGAGGAGCATTCCAATCTCAAGACGAAGAAGCTTGATCTAGTTCACAGATACGAGGCACACACGCACACCCCACTAGTTATTTCGGTTAATTTTGATGTGTGCTAAGAACCGAGAGTGAAGAGTATTAGGCAGCACTGCTCCAGATCCCCAGATATTTCCGAGACTATGCGATATATATGTACGCAAGGCCTATGTGCGATGTGGGTGGAAATGTGGAAATGTTGTGAAAAGCTAAATGAGGCGTGACATGAAAAAGAAGAACGCAGGGAAACAAGAGCAGAGCGACAAACAACACCCAGTGCAGCATAGAAAACAAACAGAGTTGAGTGCGGCCACCCACAACATGACAGCCGCCACAACAATGGCAATAGAAATGCTGAAAAGGAGAACAAGAACTTTGGGGCCCCGTAAATTCTACAGCCATGGAGTAATTTCGGCCTAGAAAATGGACGACGAAAAAACTGCGGAAAAGACAAAGGCAAAAAATGCAGAGAAGAAAACCAAGAAAGCGGAAAGAAAGAAGGGGCATTCTACTACAATTAACCCTTTCTTTGAAGTCGCCTCCTCCGCCACTGACTGTGTCCACTGTGCTTTAATTAGTTTACGGAACTCTGCAATAAAATTAATCGTTTATGCTGTAATCGCATTTAGCGGCGCCGACCTCCTTTTTCCCAGTTTCTCCCCCTACAACCCCAGATTCTACCCCCTTTTGATGTATGGCATGGATATCGAAAGCGACAGCTATATTCCATAACCAAGAGGCAGTCATGTATGGGCATTCCATTACAGGGGGGGATTTTTGCTGGCGATTGGAGCGGAAAGCATCTGGTTATTTTTAGACCAAACCCAGCAAAACCCAAAGGGCTAACCATAATTGTTCGTGCTTTACAATCAATTTTGCTCAAGAAACCAATTAACCGCACACAGTAAAGTCCAGAGGCCACAGGAATACGAGTACACAGTAATCAGCAGCAAGGGTAGCAGGATGGGCGGCAGGATTGGCCAGGATAGGCACAGTCAAATCCACTGGAGCCCATCATGCAGCAGTCTGCTCTACAAGGAGATCCACGGGATGGGGGACAGCGGGAGGTTCCACAGGAGGGACCACAACTAGAACCGGAGAAGGGATTCCAGCAGGGACCACAGCCTCCTCCAAAACCACCCCCTCCATACCGGGAATCCCCGCCGCAGGGATCACAGAAGGTGGTGCCAAAGGGTCCGTTGCCGCCACTCCAACCGCATCGCGTGAATCCCGAGTACTTTCCATAGGGACAATCCCCACAGGCGCATTCCGGATAGGGTCCAATGTAGAAGGGATTGAACTGTCCACAGTGGCACATGATGATCTCTGGCTGATATCGAAGGTCCTTCAAAGGCATGACACTTAAGATCAACTACTCACATTCTGGACTTTACTGGGCGCGAGCAAAAAGCTTCTCTATTCGGTAGAATTTCGAAAATCGCCTCCAATAATTTCCCATAGAACGCCAAAAGCCAACTGTATAATCTAAAAGTATGGCATTATATTGGGGGCAGGGGGTTAATATACGGCGATCGTTTCATTTTGTTTGTAAACAATGTTCATGGCTAATAAATATTTGGGCATCCAACTTCCGCTTTGAATATTGTTTACCCCACGGATATTTAATATATTTGAAAAGCATTTGCTGGAACTAGCTGTGTATTTATTTGAGAAACCATAACGAGTGGAATTTTGATTTCAGCCGTTGAAAGCGAAGAGCTAATTTAATTTTCCTCTTAATTTTTCCCCATGCTTATATCATCATTGTGGCATTTTGCTAAGCTGCATTGATTGGTCACTGGACAATGCCATTATGTGTGACAGTTGCATTTCAAATCTCATTATAGATTTATGCAAAATGTAAGTAGAAACCCCAAAGAAAGAAAGGCACCAGACTTGCAGATTTCCCTACGATGGGGGAGGGGTTTTTGCCCACTTTGACCACTTTAGCCCTGGCCTGCATTGATTTGTGGGGCTTTTTCTTTGTCGTTTCCCTTTTTGCCGCAACCTCTTTGACTGCGATTCGATTTCCAATTCCAATTCCACTCCCATTTCGATTGCACTTGATTGACTTGACTTTTGTCGTTGACATGGCAAAAAAAAAGGAAAATAAAGAGAGAACTGTAATAGAAATTGCACAATTTTCCAGCCCCCCAGACGAGATTCGCTCGGTTTAGCTGAATATATCTTATCGGCTACGGTCTGTTTGCTTTGCAGATCGTTATCAACGCTCTCGAGATAGGGGAACGCCATCCAAATGGATCGTGAAATGAGAAAAACTGCCCACACCGAATGTTTATTTTAATGTCTGTGCAGCTTTGCCCTTCTGTTTCGTAAGAGATTATGAGTTACGAGTGCGTGGGCAGAAGCTAGAAATAATTTCCCATATTCGGTTACAACACATCCAACCGAAAAAAGAAAAGGAAAAACCAGAAAACCACCCACAAACTTCCCCCACTTTTTAGTGCCCTTGTGCAAAACACTTTGGCACACTTTAAGCGACATTCTGTCTGCTGATTTTCGACTCGTTTGGCCAATTAGCTGACCATTTAGCTCGGTTCCCAAATTCTCGCTTTGTTTTTGGCCTTAGTTTTCTGTTTCTATTTTTTCCTCGATTTTTCCGCTGCAAAGCGCACGTTCATATGCCAAAACAAGAGAGAACGCTATAGTCGGGTTGTTGTCCCGACTATCTAATACCCGTCACTCAGCTAAAGGGAGTGCGAACGCTGTGTCGGGTTGGTGTCCCGACTAATAATCGTAACTCAGCTAAAGGGAGTGCGAGGGAGATAGATATATGTTGACAATTTATAAAGCGTATAACTTTTTAATGAATGGTCCGATTTGAAAAATGTCTTCTACATTTCGATAGGTATAAATATACACAACAAAATTGCATTTATACTTTTCGGAAATCTTTAAAGATGTGGGCGCAGGACCCATTTTAAAATCGTTAGTGGGCGATTGTGGGCGTTAGAGGGGGCGTGGCGCTTGGCTAAAATAAACTTGCGCTGCGTAGGAAGACAAAGAATATGTGTGGGAAATCTCAACCTTCTAGCTTTTGTAGTTTCTGAGATCTCAGCGTTCATACAGACAGACAGACGGACAGACAGACGGACAGACGGACAGACGGACAGACGGACATGGCTAGATCGACTCGGCTAGTGACCCTGATCAAGAATATATATACTTTATGGGGTCGGAAACGCTTCCTTCTAGCTGTTACATACTTTTGCACGAATCTAGTATACCCTTTTACTCTACGAGTAACGGGTATAAATAGGGCGTGACTCGGGTGATAAAGTGGAAAATATTTACTGCGAATCGTTCGCTCATCTGTGCTAATTATACTGGGGATTGTCATCGATGGATCATGTCGGGTGTCGAAACAATTGTCACACCCCCTGCTTGGAATCTATAACCTGAGGTAACTGATTGCAAATCTCCCCTTTTCCTCTTCCACTGCAATCAATTACGAATTGCTCAGCCGAGAATTTGCATATTTCGAGTGGAATTTGAAACTACTCGTAAGTGTGGGCTAGTTTGCCATTCATTAATCTGTGGGCGGTGGGATTGCAGGTGCAGGTGATTTAACAAATGCGTAACTATTGCTATTCGGAATACTGAATAATGCAGTTCATATGTACCTTCGAATGTTAATTTACCCTACGGTTTACTGCTTTCTGCGCTTGATTAACTCCGATTGTTTGCGTTAAACAGGGGAGAAATTACACAACACATTGATTAAACATTTAGCTATTTAATGAGATTCTAGACGATTTCACATTGGTTTCATTATTTGCCAAGTTACTTTCTAAAATATGTGTTATTATTAATTAAGAGCGAGGTTGTTGATTAATGCAGGCAGTCGTTGATTTAAATTAATTGAATGAGTCTATTAGTTCTACTCTATTATTATAGAATGAAGTTTACAAATCTGGCTATACTTCACCTGACAGTTTAACTTTAATGCAATAAAAGTCATAGACACTGCAAGCCCTCTTTTATCGCCGCTCTCAAGAGGGCTTTATCTGACCTTGGACAGGTGGCTGTGGGCAAACACCAGCCGTCGTCATCATCTGCATTGCTGTCAGCACTTTCTTACGGACAAAGAGCGGACGAACGGACAGGTAAATCCCCCGAGAGCTCTGGAGGATTATGGCCACAGTAAACTCTTCAGCGGGCGTCAGCTGCCACTACACAACTTCAAACAAAGCGAATGGCTCCGTTTCTTAAGCTTTTTGGTGTACACTTTATCCAACCTGCCTCCTCGGCGGTTCAATCCCTTTGGAAATCCTTGAGCGGCGACAACTAATGGCGCTTTGTGGTGCCGTGGAATGTGCATTTCGCTCTTGGCTCCGCCAGTTGAGTTTATATATAAAGTGCAGTAAGTGGCACAGAACCCCTGTCACCATCTAAGGCCCATTCCCATTCCCTTCCTGCATGCTCCCATTACGAGCTGTACACATAATTACTCCGCCTGCGCATTCTGACGAGCCTGATGACAGTTGCCTCGTCTAACTGGGACACCACTTCCTTCCATCGGGAGCTTGGGCTTCTCTTTGCTTTTGTTGTGCTCATGGACTAATTTCGTTTGGCTTTGATGGCTGGAGCACGGTGAAAAAATATCAACAGAATTGGTTATCATACTCGGTATTATCTATATGGCATATCAGCATGACATTTCACGGATAATAATGTGTTTGCAACTTTGCTTTTATAACTTAGAAACGCAGTAAAAACGGATTATAGAAAGGTTTACCATATATCAACAATTTTACAATAGTTAGTGCCTTTCTCATTTAACATTGTTCAAGAAATCACTAATATCTCTGATAAATGTCTATTTAGGTCTCGAAAAGTATGCAATGAATAAAGAATATTCGCCTTTCTGAATGAAGTCATTATACTTGTGAGTTTTAAATATATTGCTGCATACTTTTAGACACCTAAATTAATTATTTTTATTTTACCTTATTGTTTGATCATTTTTTCCTGTGCATAAATGAGCCCATCCAAGTTATGTGACTTCCTTTGCAGGCCCATCAATTATGCCAAATGGAGCATATGCACATCCACTGTTGGCTCAATTTTTCAATTAACTTTCCAAGGTAGTTGCAGTCAGCCTTTTCGCCTTTTACCTTTAGCCATATTTCGAGTTTCGGACCTGGGACAAAAGGTTATTGCCTCGGTTGCCAGCGATTTGAGCTGATCAATTCGGCCAGACATGCAATCTCCTGTTGTCCTGCTGTTGCTGCAAAAACGGAAAAGTCGGAATTAACACGGAATAAATCCTGGTCGCCCCCTCGCTCTGAAATTGCAAATTATGTGCCCAGTTATCATCGGTGGAGTCGGTTGTTTGGCTTTGATTTCCCAGGCACGCAAATGGCATAAAACAGCAGCACCCAGGACTCTCGGGACTAGCAGGACTTGGAAAAGGAATCCCAGGACACGGAGGACTTTTGCAGCTGAAACTTGTTTAATTTCTGTTCTGTTTTGCGGGAAAAGCGCAAAGCGCAAGGGGAGGAAATGTAAAAGTGGGTGGGGTGGGTGATGGGGGATAGGTAACTTTGATGCAGGTCCTGGACACGCTATCGTCCTCGTCCTTGTTGCTATTCATATTTCATCCATGCGGTTTCCTCGCTTTGCTCCTCGTCCATTTTCCTCTTTTTTTTTCCTGTTTTCTTTCTGCTCAGTTAGTAAATTGAGCATCAACGTGAGTCCTGGCTGACTTACCTGTGCCAGGAGTTCTTTTTGGGTTCACCTGGGGTCACCCATGCAAGATGGATGGATGGTCGGATGGCTGGCTATTTAGACGGCTGATTTAAAGTTCCTGCCGCAAAAGGAAAAACATTATCCACTTCTGCTGATATGCTAATTAAATGGATTTATTCTCTTCATGTTTAATGGCTGTAAAAGGATTATTTTGACCACTTTTAAACAACTTTATACGCCAAAATGGAAAGGTTACAGTCACATCATTATAATTGCAAATAAATAAGAACTAAATTTTGATTCGGACTAATGGAGAATTAAACCAGAAAAGTTTTGGGTCACAAAATATATTTTGATGTGTATTCTCGAATGTTGAAAAGGCTTTTAAGTGTTAGCTTGCAGCTTTGTTGCTTCCAATTCCATATTGGTTTTGCATCTGATGGACTTGTTTTCTCTGTTCCATTTAATTAACAATATTGAAAGCCCAGAGCTTACCAGATTATCTAATAGGTGCACACAAATGTTTTGCACTCACAGTTCTCCTCAATAAAATGACGGCACATGCTGACCTCATTTCTTAAACACATTCGCATTTAAATAAAATGTATACTCCGTATTTATTTGTCTGATTTCCCCTCTGCCTTCTGGTGCAACCCATCATCGAGTCCGACCCATTTCCCATTTAAGGCCGAACTTAAGCACGAGTTCAATCGCAAATTGCAGTTTGCCGGTAATGAGGTTCAAACTTCTGGCATACAAACCGAGTTTAATGACTTCAACTTAAATTTTCCGGCAAAGTCGCATCAAAAGTGTCGCCAGCAGAAGTTGCTGGGTTAGAAAAGTTTTTAAAGGGCGCTTGTAAATAAATGCCAGTACGAAAAATATAAACAATAGACAATACAAATATGTAAAACAAGTGAGAAATCTGCATGAATTGAGCTGCTGGCTGACCACAACAAAAGCTGCCAACAATTGCGGTTGCAATTGGGAAAATCCCCCAAAGAACGAGGAGGTGTTTGGGACTTTTGCAATGGAATTTAATATGCTGTCGACACGGAAAAAAGAGAATTCTTAGTGCAGAGATCTCTGAATGACACGAATAAGGCTGCACGCCCCCTAGCCTCCTTAACCCCCTTTATGTTCACTGAGAATAAAAATGGGTAAAGAGTATTTATTACTGTACTGTCACAAAAAAACTTTCAAAATACGGAAAATGTAGTATTTAAATTGGATTATAAATCAAACGGTTTTTTTAAATAGATCTATAATCCGCTGAAACTTTGATTAATTCCTGATCTCCAGAGTTCTGAAACCACTTAAAAATGTGTCTAAAAGTATGCAATGAAAACAGGAAAGTCGTTGCATACTTTTAGGTATATTTTTTAAATCGATAATGCTTTTCTGTGTGTGTATAATCGGTGGGTGGCCACTTGGCAGACGCTCATGCGAAGAGCAGCAGGATGTCAACGCTCCGGGCGAGTGGCAGCATCAAAACTGCAGCAGCCGCTGGCAATGCGGAATTCCCTGTCCTGCCCCCCTCTTGGTGCTCCTCCTCCTCGTCCCCAACCTCCTTTCCCTGGCCAAACTAAAATTATTCAGCCAGGTCTTGTTGCATACTTTCGAGCGCAAATGTTTGCAGAGCATTCGCCTCGTGCCCCAAGAATTTGTGAGTGTGCTAGTGCGAGGACGAGTGTGTGGGTGTGGGAGTGGGAGTGGGTGCGCATATTTATATATGTATGTCCTAACGGCTGTTGTTGCTCTATTTACGTGTGTCCAAGAGGAGCGGGAGGAGGAGGATAACCAGAGAAACGCCGGGGCCTTGTGACTCATCATCCTCAATCTCCAAACATTCTTTCTTCCAACCATCCCCATTTTGAGATGAAAACGACCCTGTAAAATCAAGAATATAGTCCTTTGGCATTCTTAAGATATTAAAAAAGTTTTGAGACGGCTTTTTAATAAGAAATTTAAATTCAAAATAATGCTAATTATGATTTTAGACATCTTCCTCTTATTTATATTATTTATATACAAAAACTAAAATATTAAGGCATATAAAAGTAAATGTAGCATACTTTTCTGTTGTCAAAAAAAATATTTTAAATCTTTTAAGGATTTTCAAAGCATTTCCCTATAACATTTTTATAAATCCCTAGTTGGACAAAGTTTTTTCCACAGTGTTCACTATTCCCATTGGCGTCATCTACTTCATCATCTCGTCTCCAGTCCCATTCATAGTTTGCAGTTTGAAATTGAATTTCAGTTTGGCCATCCCCTCCTCCATCCCCTCACCGCATTTTCCCCGTCTTGTAATAACACTATCATTTAGTTGACAGAGGGCAGCAGGAAAAAGGAAGCGGCATTTAAATGAGAATGCTTGTTTAAATTGGCCAGCAATCTGGATCTGGATGTGGCTGATGAAAGGACAAGGCAGGCAGGACTACGACAGGATGGGACATACATATGTTGGCATTGTGAGGCAGAAATGGAAACCAGATCCACCCAGCAAAGTTCTCTGATTATTTTCGTATGATGACTCAGAGATGTCTACTTGCCATTTTCCAAGGACATTTCTTCTTTTTTTTTTGTATTCTCCCCCATCGTGAAAGATGGAAAATCAATTGCGAAAACTTGGGAGCGAGAAGCGTGATGTGACAGCAACTTCTGAAGTTGTCGACACCCTTCTGGCGTGGAATTATGCTTCATTCAAGGAGATGACGAGGATGCTCCGCCGGATAAAGAGGGGGGAGGTAAAAAAGGGGCATACTTGTCGATTAATTGGACTGCCAAAGCGGTTTATGCGAGAGCAAAAACTTTTATCGCGTAGGCGGATTATTAAATTCGCTTTGTTTCACTAACTAGCTGGCGGGGCTGAGCGGCGCGGGATTCCCCGTCTGTCTCCCTGGATTGCTCACTTCCTCTTCCGGCGATTGCCGCCAGCAGGGATGCAACCAAAGCCACCACCAGACGATGTTGTCACACTTGCAAAAATACTAAAATCGAAGGCACAGCTGCCAAGAATATGAATCATAAATCCTATGATGAATAGGCTTTTAACAGACTCTTCGGAAAGTAGAATATCATCACTATTAGCCACTTTAAAGACGTTTGATTTACTTCCCATCAAAAGTGATTCAATTTTAAATCAGGATGGGATATACTTATATTTCCCAGTGCATAGACAACGAGCTTGTCGAAGCCAGACGCCCAACACAATGGAATATGTAAAAAGTGGGTGGAATGAATAGCTTCCCCAGGCAGTCGGGGAATCCCTCTGCGGTGGCTGTTGAATGCTCTATAGCCGGCATTCCTGCTCCCAATCCCCCAAGCAATGACCCACTTAGATGCTACTGCTGCTGCATAACTATAACTACGATTATGCTGATTGTAATGCATACACATATGCTTTTTAATTAAATTTCAGTCATATCGCAATGGAGCTGGAGCCGCGTGTGGCCATCCTGCAGGATCTGCGCCTGCAGACCTTCGACTCCATTCGCTTCGCATCCTATCGCACTGCCTCCAAGCTGCGCTACATACAAAAGTCCACGAATCTCCATTTGGTGGACATATGGAATGTGATCGAGGCATTTCGCGAGAATGGTCTAAACACTCTGGAGCCGCAGAGCGAGGTGAGCGTGGCCAGGCTGGAAACACTGGTCTCATCGCTCTACCACAATCTCAACAAGCGCCTGCCCACCGCCCAGCAGGTGCCCGTGGACTCGAAGGCGGGTCTGCTGCTCAACTGGCTTCTAGCTGCCTACACAAGGTAAATAGATTAGTGCTAAAGAGATTCGATCCATATTTAACCAACCAATCATCTTTTTTCCCATTTGCAGTGATAACTCCGGCAAGATACGCGTGTTCTCCATCAAAGTGGCCCTGGCCACCATGTGCTCCGGCAAACTGGTGGACAAACTAAGATGTGAGTAAGCCAAAAAAAAACTGGATATGAATCGATGATCAATTTGATGTTATGTGGTATCAATTTTGACTTGATATTCGGCATCTCAGTTCGATATGCTCCCAGTCATGTAATTTTAAGTCGCCATATTGCTTCTCCCTTTTTTTTTTTCCAAGTCAGTTAATCTCCGAGAGAGTGAATTCGGCAAAAAGTTATTTAGGGTATTCAATTGCGTTGCAAACTTTGTAAAGTGTAAAAGTGTAAATCAATTCCAACAACAATTTCTATACAAAAAAATTTTCAAAAGTAGGCCTTTAAAACTATTTTGTATAGAAATTGTTGTTGGAATTGATTTACACTTTTACACTTTACAAAGTTTGCAACGCAATTGAACACCCTAATTATTCAATATCACTTTTCACAGTATTGCATGGTAAAAATTACATCCGTATACATACCAGCAATTTACCTTGCGTATAACGATTTGATCCAGACATGTTTTGTTTTTGTGTGTAGCCCTTGATATGCATCATCTCAGTTCGATATGCTCCCAGTCATGTAACTTTAAGTCGCCATATTGCTTCTCCTTCTCTTTTTCGAAGTCAGTTAATCGCCGAGAGAGAGAATTCGTGTAAATGATATTATTTAATATCACTTTTAACAGTATTGCATGGTAAATCTGACATGCGTATAAATACCTGAAATTTTCCTTGCGTATAACAATTTGATCCTCGTTTGTTTTTGTCTCCTTGTCTCCTTGATATGAGGCATCTCAATTCGATATGCCCTCAGTAATTTAACTTCAAGTCGCCATATTGCTTCTCCCTCTCTTTTTCGAAGTCAGTTAATCTCCAAGAGAAAAATGTCGGTAAAAATTATGTTATGTAATATCACTTTTACCAGTATTGCATGCGATAAATACCAGAAATTCACCATGCGTATATATTGTAGCCCTTAAGGTCGAACAGAATCCCTATTAATTCACCTTCTCACTCCACAGACATCTTCTCGCAGATCTCGGACGGCGCTGGCCAGCTGGTGGCCTGGAAGCTGGGCGAGTTCCTGCGCGAGGTGCTGGCCCTGCCGGCGGCCGTGTACGAGTCGCCCACATTCCACTACAAGGAGGGGCTCGAGGAGGAGATCTTTCCGGCTGAGAACAAGGTGACTGTGAACGACTTTATGGCCACGCTGATGTCCGAGCCGGGGCCGTCCTGCCTCGTCTGGCTGCCGCTGGTGCACCGGCTGGCCACCGTGGAGACCATTGTGCATCCGACTGTCTGCTCTGTTTGCCACAAGGAAAACTTCACCGGGTTTCGTTATCGCTGTCAGCGGTGTCACGCCTACCAGTTGTGCCAGGAGTGCTTCTGGCACGGCAAGACATCGCTGAACCACCAGAACGATCACGAGGTCAAGGAGTACTCGAGCTACAAGTCGCCGAGCAAACAGATCGGTCACTCGCTGCGCAAGAGCTTCCGCTGTGTGCCCGAGAAGACGGTGCAGGTGCTCCCGCGCTTCCCCGACCAGCCGGAGAAGACGCTCAACCTGTCGCACATCGTGCCGCCCTCGCCGCTGCCCTCGCACAACGGCTTCTCGGACCCCTCGGGCCTCGTACATGGCGGCCACCACGGGCCCGGGCATCCTCATCCGGGCTTACCGGGCCAGCACGGCCTATTCGATCGCTCCAGCACGCTCGACTCGCGGGCCACAGGCCGCAGTCTGGACAGCGCCAGCGGCACTGCCGGCACCACCACCATGTCCCGCGTGGCCGCTGCCTCGGCCAACGACGAGGAGCACCGCCTGATTGCCCGCTATGCCGCCAGATTGGCCCAGGAGAACCGAGCGGTGAGTGCTGTCTATTGGGGTTGGTAAAAAAATCGATAGCACTATCGATACTTTCGATGGTTTTAATATTTAGAAAACATCAATGGTTTGAATCCACAATCGATACTATCGCTCAAAAAAAAGAATTGAATTTTACATGCAACTTTGGGTATATTTTAAGGAAAAAAAGTATTTTTAAGTATACATATACTTAAGAAAACGATGGTATTTTAATTGTTAAGGCTCAACATCGAACTTTGTTCCACTTTTTTTTATAATTTTTATGAGTCAACCACACATTTTTCATAATTTTCTATTATTTCTACAACTTGTTTTTTATTTTCTTTAATTTTTGATGCAATCGATAGTATCGATAGTGACCACCATCGATAGCCAAAAACATCGATAGTCTCCACTATAGATTTTTTAACAACCCTACTGTCTATATAGGATTTTCTAATTACTAATCCGTAATAATCTCATTTTCAGCCCTCCAACTTGCCCGACAGTGCCACGCCTATTGGCACGGACAACTCGCGGGCCCAACGCGAGCTGATCGCCCAACTGGAGTCCAAGAACAAGGAGATAATGCGGGAGATAGCGCGTCTGAGGCGTCAGCAGGAGACGGAGCAGATGGCCCCGGAGAATCCGGCGCTGATCAACGAACTGCGTGCCTTGAGGCAGCGGAAGGGAGAGCTGGAGGGTCACCTGGGTGCCCTGCAAGATTCGCGAAGGCAGCTGATGGAGCAGCTGGAGGGACTGATGCGCATGCTGAAGAACCAGCAAACAGCCTCGCCCCGATCCACGCCGAATTCGAGTCCTCGCTCGGGGAAATCGCCACCAATGCCCGGGGGAGCTGGCATCCTGGGCACCTCACCCATGAGTGCCCTGCACGCCCAGCAGATGCAGCAGCATCCGATGGGAGGCGGAGGAGGAGGCGGAGGAGGCAGGCCCACCCAGCAGCAGCTACTCCAGCAGCAACAGCAGCAGCAGCAGCAGGCACATGGCCATGGTCCTTTTAGCCAAAGTCAACTGGAGCAGCTCAACCAGATCAGCAGCGATATGCGCAGCGCCTTTGCCACCAACGGAAGTGCAAGTGAGTAGGGATTAAAAGGGGGAATACCTCTACTTGGGTTACTTTTTCGGTTAGGTTCGATTGGTTGTCCAAATTTTGAGTTCCCCTGTGTGTGCAATTGGTTAACGCGAGAGTTTAGGCCTGGGCTAAGACAGATATTAATCGTATACTCGGCGGGAACACCAAAAACAAACACCTGATATACCAAATCACCTGATCACCAAATCAAATCACCACCAAAATCACACGCTCTCACGCCCAAAAAAAAACACCTCGTTTCTTGATCGCTTCGCCTTCGCAGCGCCACCGCCAATGCGCAGCACTACTGCCATTCCCAGCCTCAATCCGATTCAGAATCCGCCTCCGAATCCCGATGCGGAGCTCAATGAGGCCGCCGATCATCTAACGTCGGCCATTTCGCACATGGTCAGCGATTTGAACGCAGGTAAATCGTTGGATTCGAACTCTCCAACCGCTTTCGCTTGTGAAACTGCAACTGCAACTGCATCTGCAACTGCTGCTCATAATCCTGCTCTTGAATGGTGGTCTGCACTGCACCAGCACCAGTAGAATTCGTAGTAGCACCGCTTCTAGAGCCACCAAAAAACACAATCCCTGGAATGTTTTCACTCTGTGCTTATCCGTGTTCTTTTTTCGGTGTGCGTATTGTCTTTGGGTCTCGCCGTTTTTCCAGGACGGGGAAGGGCCACTCAGTTGCCCCAGCCAACGAGCAGCGGTGCTCTGCCGCAGGCTCGCTTCATCATGCCACTGGGTAAGTTGTCCCGGGGCTAAATCCTTCTCCCGCTGGTTCCCACTTCTCTAAAGCGACCACTTTCCCTTTTGTTTTCTTCGTTTTTCTTAAACCGTTTGATTTTAGATTATTTCCCCAATAGACGGCATAAGAAAAAGTGCTGCAAATATTGAGCTACCCTCCCCAGTTTTCGATTCGAGTTAGTTGCCCTTTATAATTTTCGCTCATTTCTTCTGTATGTCAAAAAATCGGGGGACCCCTGCCCATCCAATATTTAAATATAACCCGAAAAAACTGGTTAAGAATTCCGACACATCGAGGGCGGCGAGTCGGAGGACTCGAGTCAGTGCGAGTGCAACGATTGCGAGTGCGGGGAGTACGAGGAGGTCTTCCGCACCGACGAGGATCTCGAGTGCGAGGGAGCAGCCGCTGTTCCCCTTGGTTATTCGTATCCTAACGCCGCCGAGGAGGACCACTTCGATTATACTTTCGGGCAGGGCGAGGAGCTGTCGCAGGTGAACCGCATCCTGGGCTACCGCAACCACCCGGAACTGTTCATCGACGACGAGCAGGCCGGCTTCCCGGCGCTGCACGAGATCGGTGAGACAATCGACGAACTGCAGCTGATCATGCACGCTTATATCATGAAGTATAGTCTCAATATATAGGTTACCAAATATATACTCTCCGATCAGGTAAAATATGCCAAATCTACTGCCTCTAGACCATCTTCTTAGCTCGCTCGACTCACGAATCTCGAATCTCCACTCCACTTCGCTCCAAAGCAGGTAGATCAATCAAGTCGGGGCTCTCTATCCATAGTTATCTCTATAGTTCTACTATATAGCTCTCATCATCATCGCTGCACTCTCAATCGTCTCTCTATCTCAAATCTCAGTCAGTCCATCCTAGTTAGTCTCTAGATTTGATTCACGTTGGCTGCTTGACTCAAAGGATTCGAATAAATTGTCTGATCTTTAATTAGTGTCCTTAAACTTTATACACTTGTTTACCAAAAACTTGATCAATTTCAGATTTCGACGAATCTCAATCGTATAACCAAGAGTGGAACGAAAAGGTAAAGGATTTCGCCACGAAATCCTGCTCATTGTTGATCTAGATGTTGTTCTTTGCCGTTGTCTATCCTTACTTATCTTTCTCCTCTGTACATGCACTCGATATTCGAAAAAATATACAACTATATATCTATATCCTGTAGCTAGTGTAGTGATTGCCACTGAAATTTCAATTGCCTTTGCATGCCAGAGACTTTAACTTGAGTATTAAATAGAATAATAAGTTGTTAAAACAAGAATTAAACATGATATTCTTATGTTTCCACAGGCAAATGCGAATAGCCAATGGCAGGAGCAGTTTGCACAATGGAGTCTTAACTCGCAAAAGAACTAAGAACCCAAAACAGCAGGACTGGGGATCTCCGGAGGCAGCTGGCTTTTGGAATCTAGAATCTGGATGACGGATGAGGACGAACTCTCGCTTAGCTTTTTACCCTACCTTAACTCATACGTTGACTTAGAGCAATTTATTTATTGATTATTTTATTGAGCCGTAGCCTACACTACCTTAATCATTATAATTTATACTTCGCGGATTGGTATCTACGTAAATGTAAACACATATATATGATTATTTTACCGAAGCAAAGAATATGAATATATAGCTGATAAACAAGACTTGCAGTCGTCGCAAATCCATTGAATCTCGTTGAAACTTTTACGATCGTACTGCTAAAGGGCAATAACAAGTATGGCGTTTTACTTTTTAGGTTTCCGCGATTTCGTAATTGGCTTTTAGATTTTTTAAGCGCCCGCGCCAGCGGTTATTTATTACCATGAAACTTAACAAATCGAAAATCAAATCACGTAATGCGTAATACAAATACGATATAGACATTTACATATTATGTACTTAATAACTAGCAACTTGTTGAGAACCTAAAATCAAATTCTAAATGCTAAACATTATACACACATTATACACTTTGAGATACGATACAGCCAACAACTATTTGAGCCACAACAAGAACCCAATGTTAAACACTAAAAGCGAAAAACAAAACACGATTTATATATTATCAATTTATAATATGCATTCATACAAGAAAAGTTATACCATATAATCGTAACGGCATAGAGCACGAGATAGAGAAAATCCGACATTTATAGAACTTATACATAACTACTGAATAATATTACAAAGAAGAAAACTAAATAAAAAGGCATTTTAAACAATCACAAAAAAAAAACCTTTGTATGTTTCTTTCTCTCATAATTTCAATTAAATTAAGAGATGCGTTTCTGTATTTGTATAGCTAAAGTCTTTAATCTGTACTCTATTGAAATTCTAGACCAAAAAACTTTCTCTTTGGTTTTTGTATTAATGAGAAATTGAATTACAAACTTATTCTGCAAAACCGTTTTTTCAAAATTTCAAATCAAAATTGAGTTGCCATTAGGCTAATATTGCCACCTAGTTTTCTAGGTTGGTGTCACCACTAAGTCGTTGTCAAATTACCTGGCGGCGGTTCGTGTCCACACAACGTGTCTAGCAAAGTTCTCCACCGATAAACCCTCTTGTGACTCAGCCTTATTTAGGTCCATTTTAAGTGCCCATCTCTAGGCAACTCGCGCTCTTGAGGGCGCAATTTTCAAAGCCAGTGTTTCATTCGTTCCGCGACTTTCGAACTGTGAAGTTGACTCTCTGGCGCGTTTCCCCCGCTTTTGGCCAAAACTCGTGACTGATCGAAAGAGAGCAAGTCTGAAACCAGCTTAGAGCGAGAAGACAAGTCTGTGGAGACTGCAGCTCAGCATCCGCGTTGGCCGTGCAACTGAAAGAAACGGCGATAGTTGTCTTTTCGATTTTTTGGAGCCTCTTCGCCGCGCTCTCTCTCTGGTTATCTGGAGAAAGATTGAGATCTTGGAGCGCACACCTCTTGAGAAACACTGTATATTACTGTATCGCGCGCTGGTAGGGTGTGGTGCTAAAAAAAAAGACTCAATTCCTAAGATGTGGCGCCCGAGTATCTTGGCTATCCTGGCCGTTTTCATCCAGACAGCGACGGCCCAGCGAACGCCCACCATATCGTACATCACGCAGGAGCAGATCAAGGATATCGGCGGAACCGTGGAGTTCGACTGCTCCGTTCAGTATGCCAAAGAGTACAATGTGCTGTTCCTGAAGACGGACAGCGATCCCGTCTTCCTCTCCACGGGCTCCACGCTGGTCATCAAGGACTCGCGCTTCTCGCTGCGCTACGATCCCAACTCCTCCACCTACAAGCTGCAGATCAAAGACATCCAGGAGACGGACGCGGGCACCTACACCTGTCAGGTGGTCATCTCGACGGTCCACAAAGTGAGCGCCGAGGTGAAGCTATCGGTGCGGCGACCCCCGGTCATCTCGGACAACTCCACGCAGTCGGTGGTGGCCAGCGAGGGCAGCGAAGTGCAGATGGAGTGCTATGCCAGCGGCTATCCCACACCCACCATCACCTGGAGGCGCGAGAACAATGCCATTCTGCCAACTGGTGAGTTTTCTCAGTTATTTGTTAGTTATTAACCTGGGTTACGCTGGGTAAGTCAGCTTTCGTTCGTTGGGGCGCGTTCTCTGGTGGTTCTCTTTGGCGCTCCCGCTCTCTCTTCGGGCTCTAGGTATGTCTCTCTGTCCGTCCCGCTTTGGCTTTAGCTTTTAACTGGGCCCCCAGTGAGAATGTGAGTGTGAGTGACCGTGACTCACTCAGGCGTCACCTTAGTTTTGTTTACTGGGCCTGTTGTTCTTCTAAGCGGGGTATTCATACAAATGTAGACCTGCCACCCCCAACTGCTCCACTAGTTCGAGGGCTAAGTTTCGCAACACAAGATTGATTTTTCACCTTCTTTTGTCTAGGCATTCGTACACTTTTCCCCTTTGTTTACTTAGTTGGCCATTTAGCCGTTTCTTGAAAATAAAGGTATACTTGAAAATACATTTTTAAACATCTTACGCAATTAAAGAATGACTGAAAAATTAATTATCTTAAAACTATACTTTTAAATAATCTTTAAAATATTTTTCCCAACAAGTTATTTAATACAACAATACTTGATAAAACATTTTTAATCATCTTATGTAATTTAAGAATGATTGAAAAATGAATTATCTTTAAACTATACTTTTAAATAATCCCGAAAATATTTTCCCTAACAAGTTCTTTAATACTGCTCATAACAGGCACCAAAAATAGCCTCTACCCATTTTTAGAAACCCCAGTTTGTACAAGTGCAAATATTTTCACCATTAGCATCACTTTGCTGTCTCTTCCTTCTTTTCTAAATACCCAAACTCATAAAGAAAATGCGTTTAAGTTTTGCAAGAAATGATTTATGATCTCTTCAGTTCCACACATTTCAAGAACTACGATCATTTTCCTGGGAAATTCCATCTCCTACAAACAAGTGCAAATGCTTGCGTTTCCTTGTCCTACCAGAAATTCTAGAAAACAAGAGAGAGAAAAGCTAATAAAACACTAAAATAATTTGGTGCTCAGGTAGAAGTCACAATAGAACCTCCGCTCACAAGGTTAATCCCGTACAGGTGCTAGGCTGCTATTCTATAGGGTTCCCGATCTCGATATCTCTACCTGAACTCTGACCCTCGGGCCGACATAATGGTTTCCTTTAACAAGATTGCAGCGTCATTTTGAGCGTCAGTCGAAAAGCAATTAGTGTAACTAATCCGATAGTTACTTATTACCCAGAACCGTCGGGCGGACACACTTAGCCTGGCTTTACTGTAGCTCAGGGCTGGCTTAATTCTCGGGTTCTGTATCTATAAGGTGGTTTGTGCAATCTTTAATTGCCGCGACATTGAGGGCTCCTTCTATGGTCTAAAAACCGGGCGTGCCTTCTGCTACAAGCTATAAAACCCAACCGCATCGCGTTGGTTACGCTCCATGTCGGTTCAGAAATGGCTTAACTTTTTTTCGCCATAAATCAAAAGGTCCAGTATTTGCCAGGAGTTTCACACTTTTCCACGCTCTAATTTAAAGCGCTTAGGCAAACAAAACTGCGCTCGTCCAGCACTTTGAAATGCGCCAACGAGCCGAGTCAAATGTGTGCATGTTTTTCCGGGGGTTATCGTGGGGTTTTCCATGGGTTAGGAGTTGGGAGTTGGGTAGGTGGAACTGGAGTTCTTTTCACATTTCCATTCCCATTCGAGTTTCTGAGCCATTCGACAACTTCAGCACGCGCAATTGCTTCCGCAACTTGAAAACGTTCCACGGACCGTTTGATGGTCTCCAGGACTCCTGGTTCTACTCCTCCTAAAACGAAACGGGCGTAAACAACCCGTGCAAAAAAGGGCTGTTTCTTACACATCAGACACGGTCGGGGTTTTTCGGTGGGATAAAAAAAACAACAAAATGTGAAATACAAAAGTGAAACAGAGAAGGAGAAGCAAACATACGCAAACAAAGGGATCCGGATCCTGAGAGCTGCGCCCCCTGAAAAACTCCCAAGCCCACACCCCTGTAAAAAACAACACCCCACCCCTTCCACACACTCTCCTTGCTCGGCTACATTAATTCTTATTTTGATAGCCGGCCAAATACAATCGAAGTATACAAAATATATATAAATTACAAGCTAAAAAGGTAACCCAAACAAAGGTCGGTGGTTCCATGGGGCGAATACAATGTAAGAGATGCAAACAAACAAGCCGCGAGCGGTTCGCCCTTGCCCCTCGATCTAAACAACCCCTGATCTGGAAGAGCTATAGAAGTAGTCCCGCCCAGGGAGCAAAAGGGAGGAGGAACCCCTAATCAACCGTTTCCGCTCGCCAGTTCACCAGTTCTTTCAGTTTTCAGGGTGTTGAAGGGACCAGGGTCCAATGCCAATTTGTGCGTTGCCATGCAAATCGATTGGTTTTCGTTTTTTTCTTGTTATTTTCCCATATGCTTGGGCCAAACAAAGTTGATAGTAGATGGCCATTGAGTAAACACAGACATGTGCAGCGTTTGCACCTGGCACCTGGAGCTATCTGCAAAAAAATCTGCTGCCATAATAAACCTCACCTTGGCCCGGCGATTATATGTAAAAAACAGACTACTTTTTTGCAAAGAAAGCAAATAAAAGAATAGAATTAAAATTCAATTTTTGCTGAATCCACAAATAGCGACGACAGCTGTCGACATTTTGGTTTATTGTTCGTCAGCCGGAAGCGAGCCATCTTTCAGATACTTCAGATTATCTGTGCGAGGGATCGAGGATCATGCTAAATTAACTTTAATTGTTCAATTGAGAGAGCGAAACGGAACAGTACAGATCACTTCGGGGTGTCTGCACTCTATAACTCCGGGTTCCGAAACACTCCCCCCATCTAAACTCTTGATTAACTTTCATGCAAATTGTGTTTGCGCGCCTGGCAAATTGCGAATTAGACTCAAGTGAGCATGATCAAGTATTCCAATTTCGCCATCAAAGTGCAAGGGTGCAAATCTTAATGTTAATCATATATTTAAGCCCAAACATTTCGATGCGCAATTGATGCTCAACTCGAGATCTCAACAGGCCGTGCACGAAATTAGTTGGGTCCCCCTCTTTGCATATTTTCGATGCATAATGGAAATGAAATATATTTTACATAATGAAATTCCTCAGATGCCAGCGGCAGCAGCAGCTGTGTGTTTGGGTTTCGCAAAAATATTTGCAAGCAATTAGGTTTGGCACACTCGCAATTAGAGGAGTGATGATGGACTGGGGAGTGAGCCTTTGATCCTTTGACGGGGGAATATGTATGTTTTTATTTGTCCTGCTGCCGTTTCCTCTTCCTGTTTGCCGTGGGTTGCATTGTTTATGGCCGCTTCACTTGGCAGTGGCAAAGTCAAAGGCAAAAGCAACAGCAACTGCAAAACGAGAACGATAAACGCCGATGACGTACAAAAAGCGCTGTGGAAAACCTGTTTGTAAATGTTGGTTGCTGGGGCAACGACCACTTGGTCAACATGGGTCCATTCCCGTCCAGGCCAACTGGCGGCTTTCAGTCAGCCACAAAATGTGCAGAGAATCGAAAGAGAATCGCCAGAAAAGAGAAGAGTTGACCCTTTGTGGCAGTTACTCAGCTCGAAGTAATAACATGTTGGTTGATAGCTGAAATGCTCGGCTAAATCGTCCCAGTTTCCGTCTGTCCACGGGGCCATTTTGCATATTTTTATACCCTTTTTATGGTCATATTACAGATGGAAAATATAAAGAGAAACATTTAAAATTTAAATAGAATTTATTTAAATTTAAATTTACACTTTACAAAGTTTGCAACGCAATTGAACACCCTAATTGTATTTGTGCTGTATGTATGAACGCAGAGATCTCAGAAACTGCAATACCTATCAAAATGTAGAAGAAATTTTTTAAATCGGACCATTTATTAAAAAGTTATGTGAAAAATTGAAACAGCCGCTAGATGGAGCCATACACAATTTCAACAGCCGCTATCTCCCTTGACTATAGTGTCCTCTCTTGTTTTTTTGTATAATCTAACATTTGTTTCTTTCCCATATTTATAAATGCATAAATAATCACCTAAGTTCTTTTTCCCTGTGTAGAGAATCCCTTTCACTTCACATACATTTTCGGTGTGGCAATTCCCTTATTTGTTTAGCACTCTTAGCTGAATGTTTCACCTTCAGACCGGCTTTTTAATCCTTATCACACTCGCATTCTCACACAAAAGGACACGCGGCTTTTCGAAGCAAGCCCCCTCTATCCAATTCCATACAATCCCAACCCTCACCCCGCCCTTCAATCTCATTTGTTTGCCCTGGGACTTGGCCAATATTTATTTAGGCACTCGGCTCACAAGGGATTTACGTCGGTCAGCCTTCTTTTACTCCGCTTATCCACCTCTTTTTTGGCATAATTGCTATTTTAATAGTTTTCTTTACAATTCCTTGATTTATGATTCCCAGTATAAGTACAAGTACAGTCTGCACTTTGTCTGCAATTGAGTGAGTTTCCCTTGCGCGGCGAGGTGAAAAGAAGAGAAGAGTGTAATTTAATAAATGGCATGCCAGGCGGCATAACTCTCGGCCAGCTATAATGTACTACTCGAGAAGGAAAATCACTTTTGAAAAGTCAACAACACAGCGTCTGTGGCTTTGTCAGTCGGTGGGTGGTTTACTGTCCGGACTGCGGACTGCGGACTCCAGAGGGTGGATCCATGTCACTCGGTGCGGTTTCAAGGCGAAGGCCCACCAAAGTGGGTGCATTCACATGTCTCAAGAGCTTGTTATATGCTCGATATGTGTATGTAGACATGTAGCCCCCATGTTGATGTTCCCTGATGAGTTTGGGTGACAAAACAGGAAGAGGCGACAAATTTGCAGAGCCATGCAATTTTTTTCCATAAGAGTGCACGGAAGGAGGAACTGCAGCTTCTGGCGTTGCATTTACCAGGTGTTCTTGGGCAATCAATGAAAGACGTTGTCAGCGGGGGAGAATAAGGAAGCTAACGCTCTTCGCGGGTTTAATCAACTCAAACCACTTGACTTCT